CCAAAAATACAAAATGCTATAACCATTACAGTAACAACCACGACTGCTTTCCACGATATTCCGCTGAAGCTATCGGAAAACAACTTTTTACATTTTCTATCGTAGCGACTTTTAAACTGACATAGACACAGTTCTTCGAAAACCAGGCAAAACCGATCAAAAAAAACTCCAAGTATTATACCCAACAGTCCTAAACCAACGTTAAAAAGTACTGGGTAAGTTTTTTTTTCCTCCAATTTGTGAACTGTCATTGTTTCGTTGGAGTTAATTGTTATGTTGTGTTTTTCGCATTTTGTTTCTTTATTCTCGATGACGCCATAAGCTACTATTCCAACAGTCGTCAAAAGGCATACTACGAACGATGTTATCTTGCACTTTCTTTTCCTCGCTAGCATATCCCAATCAAAGTCATCGGAAGGGACTACCATTAATTGAGTGCCCTCAGTTTCCGAGTCAGCGGTATCGCCTTCGCTACCAGTTGGTACTTCACGTAGATTAGTTTGGTTTTCAAGGTCTGTATCAGAATTCATCTCTCTTAATACCGTTAATGTATTCCGTTGTTTAATTTAAAGCTGTTATGACTCAAATGCTAAAAGTAAAAACATACTGATCTTAAAATTTAACCGGGTATGTTCAAGGTACATGCTGTAAATAGTTTTTTTTTGTCAAAAAGCGATCAACTGGTTACACAATTGGCGCTGCATGTTGGCCAAGTTAATTAGATTTTCTTCTCGTGTTAAAACACCACCGTCTTATAGTCTTTGAGGGACGCTTTTTAACTCCCGGGTGATTATTTTTTTAATAAATAATTTTTTAACAAATGCTATGTAGGGGCGGATCTTGGATTCTTCGCACGTTATTCAAAATTATCGGAAGTGAAAACGGGGAGGTGGGTCAATTGCCGTCCCCCCCCCCGGAGTAATGAAATTTCAAAATTATCAACTTATCATCTGAACTCGAAATTTATACAAAAATTATGCGCGAAAAGTACTTGTTTGAAGGTTTACTGAGCCTTCAGTTTTAATAGCAGAAACATGTGTGTCGAAATAACGGGCAATAATAGGAAATTACATCTAGGGAATAAAAACATGAATGCGGTCAATTTGTAAGCCTGAATAATATTCATACCTGTTATAGCATAAGCTAGTATTGCTCCAAGCTATGCTACATGCCAAACATTATGTGCTTAATGCCGCTTACACTTTAGTTTACAGTATAAGAGTCACAGCAGGGCAATATTGTTTATAATGCGCTATAATTGCCATATTGGTTTGGTGGGTAATCATGATTACGTTGTACTGTTTGACATAAACATGGATTACATGATTTTACAATATATAAAATCTTTACGCACCTAGATCTAGTATTATGCATTGGCTGTTTGTTATTCTATTAACTGTGGTTCGTATAAATGGCGAGATCGAGCAGTAGAATCCAACAGATTTTTAAAATCACCCGCTGTCAAACATCCAGAAATTTTTCGATATTGCTTATTTACTTGAAAAAGATATATTTTTTCTTTTAAGACAAATAAAGCAAACCAATAAGAAATCAATATTTTTCTTTCACCAGCCAATCAGAAAGCTTAAATTTGGCGAATAAGTCAAACCCCCGCAAAGATAAGGCAAGTCAATGAAGAACCTGTAGTTAGCCTCCACCAGGCAATCGGAAACGCTTAAATTGCGCAGATGAGATTCGACCTGGAGTTGTGTAATTTTTGACTTAGTCGCGTGACTCATCTGACAACCCCTAGATCCACACCTGACTGATATCATACACAGGCATTACCGCTTGGAAGTGTTAGTGTGAAAATTCCGAAAATCTTAAATCAGCTTTCGCCCGACCATGAAGTGATAATCGATCAAAATTTGACATATGCAATTTATAACTTTCAGAAAAATATTCTGCACTAAAGTTTGTGTCTGTGTGACCGCGCTGTTGCTTCAAAATAGCAATTAACAAAATAAAAATATTATGTGATGAATTTTCAGCCACTCTATAGCTTAACATAACCGGGTCTTACTTGGCTGAAGCCAGTAATAAAACATCTTTTTAATTTTTTTTTTAATTTTCAAGAGCACATTCTCCAGTATTTGATGCGACACTGGGTTGCAATCTTGCTCACGGAAATATTACTTGACATATTACTGCACAGCGTACAATTAATCACTATATTACCTTATTTTGACTTCATTAACTGTGATATAATTAACCATATCATTTCTTGCACACTAATTGCTCTAAGCCACATATTTACAATTATTAAAATATTTGGCACAAAAATAGTTTATATTCCATACATAAATTGTTTTTTCCATCATATTCTTAATATCTGAGGCCTTCATTCCGATCATCTTTTCCATTCCTTCCAACCGTGTCAGAACAATTGAATGTTTCGTCTCCAGGTTTCTTTCCATTTTCCTTGCACGTGCTCTCTCCACCTTGCTCGCTTCGTTAGTCAAAAGCTCTACGCTCTTAAAACTCGTCCCAGGCATTGTTAAATTCTGCGCCAAATAGGACTCGTGAAAGCTGTACAAGTTGCCCTTCGCTTGCCATTCGTCCCAGATCTTATCCACGAAGGAGTGAATCGGAAAGAACTCGGGAGCTACCGCGCTTCGTGAATCCATACGAATAGCCTTACTCGCGGCCTGAGATTCTCACATGCATGTGTAACCATGCAAATAATATGATAATATCAGTTTTTCTTACTTGTTTTTTATACAGTTTTCATGAACATGTTTAATTATTTATGCTTGGTCGTCCTTCACGTGTTTGGTTCTGTGCCTGTGCACCTTGTAGAAGAGGTTCTCTTTCTGATGTACTTTTATATGTAGAAGTATTATATGTCTCACCTCTTCTATTTTGGACATCATTCAGTTTCAATAAGCTATTAACTTCAGACATTATGATTCTAACCAGTCCTCCATGATTCAACTGATGGTAATTTCCAACTTTCACGGTAACAGGCACAACAAGACCTTTTCTTGTGCATATGTCGTCTGGAGCATCTTCTAAAATCTCAGTCAATGTTTTTTAGAACCGTTCCAGTTCATCCGCATAACTCCTATCATCTACAAATACAACTTTTTTCGATTCCTTCATTTTTCTTAAAGCAACTATTGGCTATCTAACACATTTCATGACAAACTTATGTTCATCGCGTTTGAATTTGTAAATAGGAAACTCGCCGTTTTCATTACTTGGGTCTAATTTTTCAATCATGTCATCGTAGCTGATTAAATCGTCAACGTTAGTAATGTCAGTTACTAGAAGCAAAATCCTTCGGTCAAGAAACAGTTCGTTGGATTTATCTGTCTCCAGTACTTTGGCACTAAAATTTTCAGCTTCTTTAATAAGGCATATACTTTTCTCAAGCCCTCCTGTTCGTTTTTTAGATTACAAATGACTGTGTCCTACATTCACAGTACGTCATACATATATCCCTGAGACTCTATAATATTCTTTTATTTCATCTCTCGTGTGCCCAATGTGTATATATACATATAGGTTTTTAAAGGTTCTTAATTTCGAGTGGAATTATACACACTTCAAATTCAAGCTAGGAACAGTTGATAGAAAAATGAGTCAACTATAGGTCCTCCGGCAGGAATCGAACCTACGCTTTTGCGATGCCGGTGCAATGCTCTTGCCACCCTTGCCCTTTAAAAACCTCTAGAATTTACCTGCATCGAGTGAAGTGCCAAAGATCATAATCGATTATATATACTTAAGTCATATTTATCGTTGTCAAAAGAACTAATCAGTAAATGGCGTATCTATGCACGCATTTCATGTTTAAAAGGCATCGCTTAAATAAAAATACGCAATAACATTTATCGCTCCAATATGCATGCAATAAGCTCTTTAAAAAATATCAAGTTGTTGTAGTCATAAAAATAATCTAAAGTAAGATATTCAAAGATTTCGGTCATATAAAAATAAGCTAGACTTGCCTTTATTCCCCGCTTTATAGGAATATTGTTTCCGTTACGTTCTTTGATGAGTAACTTTTTACTGAAAATATGTCTATAGAGCTTTTGCATTGTTGATATTTTGTTACCTTAGAGACCTATCTATGAATATGTCTATATATAGTTATGGCATTGCAACAAACATGGATTGTAAAGTCTGGGGGGGGGATTATAGCTAGAATTATAGGAAAACATGCAGTTGTAGTCTTCCAACATTTTCTACGATTTAAACCTTACCTGTTGTGCATGAACGTATAAATAAAATGCCTGTATATGTGGAAATTATTCCTTAATGTGTAATTGGGATTGCCCCCACTGGCACTGTTGCTATTATAGGGACCAACTTATGTGTACATAGCGCCGAAGCAAATCAATTCTAAATGTAAAAAAAATGAAAGCCCCGCTTGAATTGTCGTATAAAAATCTCAAGCCCCTTTTATATTTTATCTTTTTCGTCACATGAAGATTCTGGAAATGACGAAGATTGTATTGTATCATGTTATAAAGCGGCCAATAGCCCGAAATAATGGGCAAATTAAAGTCTTCTTATTTGCACATAGATTAGCTCCATGAAAGCATATGAAATTTTGTTGAATTTTTTAATTAGTTTATGTAAAGGCTAGTTTAATTTTCCACTCTAAAATTTCCTTTGTCGGTGAGTTCTCATGCAGGTTGGTTTATACAGGTGGCGTTTATAAGGAAACTTTCCTGTCCTGTCCGATCCAGAGGGGATTTTTCCTGAGTGGAAACTATCGGGGAGACTGGCCCTGTATACACATAAATTTTGCATGCATGGTCCTTTATTACAGATAATTGATTTAGTATATTGTTTCCAATTTTAAGACGTTTAAAAATATTGAAATATTTCATTGTGACCCGGGAAAATTGCCTTGTTTAGCAAATTTTCACAGTAGTTTTAATGATACTATGCATTTCTTATATCTTATGGTAATGAAAAAATTCCTTTCACAGTAACCGATGAGCCAAGGAATAACTATTATTCTCCATTCTGATGCAGATGCAATTTGACCGGGATAATAACTACTCCAACGAAACTGACTTATGTACATTTCTTACGCCCAAATAATTGTCTATAATGACACAATCTATACACGAACAGTTTTTTCCATCATTTTCTTAATATCTGAGGCCTTCACTCCGATCATCTTTTCCATTCCTTCCAACTGTGTCGTATCCACTGGATGTTTCGTCTCCATGTCCAGCTCCATTCTCCTCGCACGTGCTCTCTCCTCCTTGCTCACGTGGAAAGCCTCGAATGTCTTCACGTTGATCTTTGCCATTGCCATGCGCGGTAGATCCCGGAGCTTGCCTGGATCATTTTCTGAAATGATGAAAAACATTTGAAGATTTCATAGTCAGCTCATGCAGGTCAAACGAGAACATGTAGGATGACAGTTGACTAAAACTCTTGCTTGTCTATTGTAAAACTGACTCGCTTGAAAAGTTTACATCTATTCCATCTATCTTTTTATTTTAGGCATATAATCTAGAATTCCATAATCTAAAATTTGTTTTGTCCTTAAAAAGTTTGAAATAGCTTAGCTCTGTCATATTTCCGAGTTCGACAATGACCCTTTAAAATGACTTGCTCAGGTTACACAATAAGATAAAATTTAGACCAGCCATCATAAAAAATTTCTTACCAGCCATCTTCTTCAGATCCTCAATAAGTCCTTCCCAGTTCCCTAGACCAGGCGGCGCGTATTTGACCTTGACGCACTCTGGTAACGCTTCGTTGTTCAAAAGCTCCACGCTCTTAAAACTCGTCCCAGGCATTGTAAAATTCTGCGCCAAATAGGACTCGTGAAATCTGTACAAGTTGCCCTTCGCCTGCCATTCGTCCCAGATCTTATCCACGAAGGAGTGAATCGGGAAGAACTCGGGAGCTACCGCGCTTTGCTCGCCGATCATCAAAGCTCCGATTGCAAAATGCACAACATCGTGGAGATTGACTCGAAGCATTAATTCAAAGTCGAAAAACTGCGTCAAATTTTTAGCCAAAGTTTGAGCGACCGCTACAATGTTTGGGACTACCCCCGGTGTTGGTATGAAGTTTCTTTGCAAGCACCCCCCGTATGGGATCGTCCAGTTGTTGAGAATACCGAAGGGTCCGGTTCTCACGCAGGGAGGGAAAGCGATACCGTTTCCGCCAAAGCCGTAGGTGTCGTTCCAGAAATCACTGTTGAACGGGTCTGCGGAGACTAGGGACCAGTCCCAATAAGGCACGGTCACTCTGCAATCGACCTGGATACAGAAAAAAGCTATTTTTAGAGAACGTCAAGAAGTGTATTTACACGAATGAATCTGCGTTTATATTTCAAGGAAGAACAGTTTAGAACTCATAGAGCTATCCAGTATAAATAAAGTTAGTTTAGTTTAGGTTTCCTCCTGTATTAACACTGGCTCAATAAGAGATGATCCTTACTGGACCTCTAGGAAGAACAGTTTAGAACTGATAGAGCTATCCAGTATAAATAAAGTTCGTTTAGTTTAGGTTTCCTCCTGTAGTAACACTGGATCAATAAGAGATGATCCTTACTGGACCTCTAGGAAGAACAGTTTAGAACTGATAGAGTAATATTATTACCTCACGTAAGAGATTCTCGTACTGTAAGACGAACCAGCGGTGCCAGGGTAAAAAATTCGGCGCCTTGTGAATGGGAGTGCGAAAAAATTCCAAATGTAACGCAAGCAATGCCTCGTACCTCCCCTTGTATTGCGCCTGAGTGGATATAGCCTGCACAGCCTGCAGGTAACGCAGGCGCTCCTCCTTTGGGATGTGGGTGAATTCACCACGAACTCGGTAACAGTCCTTCAACTTTCCCGCGTGGCATGTGCATGACCGCTGACATTCGTCGACAACGGTGCTACCTTCGAGGCATTCTGAATGCATAAAATCAGAGAGTGACTAACGACAAGCCATCGTTGTATGGAATTATAGATTATTAGCTTTCATTAGCAATTCTACAGCTAGGCTTATCTTTAACAAGCAATGACAGAAATGGTGGTCAACTTACGAGGTTTTGGTGTCGTTGTTGGTTGCGGGGTTGTCGTTGTTGGTTGTGGAGTTGTTGTTACTGGTTGCGGGGTTGTGCTTGGTTTCACGGCGGGCTTTCTGTATCTGTAATACTTCCTCCATCCTATGAAATCATCGGAAAATGTTTAATAAGTCGATATTCCAAGCATTATCTAAGCGACAATGTCTCGCTTACCGTTATAATAATAAGGGTAAGACGAGCGCCTGAAATAAGTTCTGATTTTCCTGTATTTTCTGTTGCCATAGCGACGACCACGACGCCACCAACCAGAGTATCCCCAGGTTCTCTCTGAACGAAATCACAACAAAATGTACTTCACGGAATAGGCATAGACTTAGGTTATCACTGTAAGCAAGACATCACTGGTCGTACTGGTTATTCTTTGGTTTTGGAACAGAGAGAAGCTCGAAAAATAAATGATAATTTAACCTACTTTCTTGTTTCTTTTCCATTTTATCATCGTCTTTATCTTTCTCGTCGTCCTTCCTTGATTCCGTCACATCAATTGCTAATGAGAAACGAAATGAGAAAATCACAATATCATATCTCCACACTCTTCGCTGGCCTCTATAAAATGCCCACCTAGACTAAAGTAAAACCGTATAACCAGAGTAAAATGGTTTAAGTTAAATGCTCGAAACTCTTCTTGGCTGCCAGGACAAATGAGTTCGCGAAAATATCGGACTGCCTTAGAAATGTCTGTCAAACTGACTTAGCAAATTAATATCACCGTTTAAATATCTTTCATCCGTGAACTTTAATCCACAGTCAAACTCTAGTATTTTCAACTTTCGTGCAAAGTCATTGATGACCGAAGCTTATATTATACATTATCGGAAACTGATTTTCACTGTAACGACTGTATCATATAAATTGTTTAATATATTGTACCACGGTGGGATAATTGTACAGTCTCCAATCGACTTTAAACATTCATGGTCCGTTAAAGTTAACTGCATAACAATTAATCAATTTGTCTATGATACACACGACCTATTAATATTGTGATTCTGCCTAAGGGCAGAACATGTGAATCTCAGTCTTATACCAGTCAGTTTCATGGACACTTTAGTAAAAAAAACACATATCAGTCTATGTGTACATTTAAAACAGTTTATTCGTACCGTCTGGATAAAGATCTAAATTCTCATCATCCTCATCAGCGTTAACAAGATTTCTATCAATTCCGTAAAATACAACGATTAAAACTCCAGCAAATAACAACTTTCGTATCATTTTTTTTATCGATTCTGAATGAATACAACTCGGTCTGAAGGAACGAGCCACTGTGGTTGTCAAATAATATACTTTCCGTTTTATTACATCGAATGCATTGTCAGTCGTTTCCAGAGAACAAAGAAGGTTTTCAATCTGTATTAGACTCTTGGCTTAATTTGAGTACCTCCGGTGCCACTCAGTGGATAAAGCGGCAACTCATAGTAATAATAATTGGACATCTTTATACAAGAATTGAGTTTGTAATTTGCTGTAATATTGTTGGCGATTCACTGATTCAGCTCTGTGTAGGTTGAAAGGAAAAGATATTTTCTTTGTCTATGGATGAGTTGAGAGCGGTGAAGATGACGAATAGTTAAATCTATTTTAAATTAAGGTTGTTATCAAATATACTGCGATTTAAACCAACAGCTATATGTGGATTCACGAATCATTATCGTAACCAATAAACAAGTGTTAATTGAGTTTCGATTGCCTTTCTTCAACTACGACATTAAATATTGGCTCTACCACGACGCATTGTTGTCCCCTTGGCATCAGGCTCAGTGTTGTATGCGACGGAAATATTCACTCTAACTTATGAAGGCAATTTCTAATAGTAACCAAAATTTCTACAATAATAATATCCTGAGTATACTATGGATAAATTATACTAAAACACGATTCTCTTAGTTTGCTAAAGAGGTGGAGCTTTTAGTTAACTTGGTAACCACTGTAGTAAAATTTCAATTCTTTTGATGCTGACGTCATTTGGTTTGGGCCTCGCCAGTCAGCCAATCGCTTTGCGTCTTTTATCCAACCCAGGCTCCTAGTCCAAGGTGGATTCATGACGTAACTATGCAGACGTGCGTATATAATAGTCTAAACCTAAAAATTGATATATTAAAATGCCCAGCAATTTCGCATGAAAACGAACAGCTTATCATCTGTCGACAATCATTTCAAATTTTGAAAAACAAATTTATGTCACCCAGGAAACGATTTCATTACGTGCAGTAAATATGTTGGAGGAAATGCGTTAGTGTAGGTATTTATAGGGTACAGACAAATAAGGTAGTTTTGCGTTCAAAAAGCACCACAGTCCACAGTCATTAATGAGACATTTCCTCGGCTTTATGACTAATTAAAACAGTCAATTAAAACATTCAAACATTGCAAAGTGCAATGCTTAAGGAAATATTCCTAATTTCAAATCAAAATAGAACTGAACTGACCACTTTGCAGAAATAAAAGATGGTTTTTAAATCCGCATGCATATACTTTAAAAGAACACACAGAACTAAACGAGTTAGCCACAGACTTATAGTCGTGTTTATTCATAAGAAACTATGCTTTCTCATTTACTTTAGTTTCTATGGAACACAGTGATTTGAATCTAGACTCTACTCAAGGAAATATACGATACATAGTTTCTTTAATGTTTCCTGAATATTTAAAAGAACCTTTCTTCTTTATTTAGGCCAATTTGGTTTCATCGCCTCAGGCTGTTTTCCCTTTATCTGAAAGACAGAAAGAAAGAAAGAGGTATGCTGAATTATTTGTTTGAATAATAACGTGGCTTGTCAATGTTGGACCAAGTCCCCATGCAAGAGTTATAACAATGACAAGTTGTAAATTACGTCGAACCCGCTCAAGCTGAGCAAAATCTATTGAAAATAAGCTAAAATATTAATTCAACTAATTGAGTTGAACTGAAATTCTAGCTCAAAAATAGAACAGCTTTTTTTAAACTTAATAAAGCAGCTTTGATTCAACCAATTTCACTAAACTGAAATCATAGCTCAAAACCAAAGCCTAAAACTGCTTTTTTCAACTTGATAAAGCAGTTCTGGCGAGTTTAGGAAAGGTATATTGAAAATTCTATACCTTTCTTCAAAATAGCAGCGGTCTCAAAACCAAGATTTTTATCTCTTCCGTGTAACGATGCTTTCTTTAACATCTCATGCGGTTCCATCTTTTTCAGGAGTCTGTGCAAACGATGCATCTCCTTGTCTGTGATTTTGAAAAGCTTCCTTGCACTCTCCGGGAATTTTGGCATAGGAAGTCGCTTGATACTTGCTAACTCTTTTCTACCGGCCTCTGAAAGGTAAAACGGATTTTTAAAACGGAAAAAGGATTTTTAAAACGGTAAAACGGATTTTTAAAACGGTAAAACGGAGTTTTAAAACGGTAAAACGGATTTTTAAAACGGTAAAACGGACTTTTAAAACGGTAAAACGGATTTTTAAAACGGTAAAACGGAGTTTTAAAACAGTAAAACGGATTTTTAAAACGGTAAAACGATTTTTAAAACGGTAAAACGGATTTTTAAAACGGATAAACGGATAAATTCGATAATATTCATTTGCTGATGAGGTTTTCTCGTGTCAACTTCCTGTACGAATTCGTCTTAATTTGCTCTTTAACTTTGAAACAGCCGTTTGAAAAAGCAAATAAACAATCAGTTTGAAGTTTTCCTTCGAAACTTCAAGCAAATATAAATCGAAATAAACATGCAGTTCTTGCAATATTTCAACGGTATAGAACGTGTCAAAAACTGTCGACCATCATGACTGTTTTATCGTAAAACTATGCTACAAAAACGTTTAAAACTATAAGCGTCAACTCACTTTGCAAAGCTGAATATATTTTGCTTCGCGATGGCACGTACTCGGCACAAACGCATCCTGGTTGGTTGTTTAAATCTAGGAAATCTTCAGACCTGTATATGGTCGATGGCATGCGTGTAGTTTGGCTAACGAAATACTCGTGGAACGTGTGATTCTTTCCTTGTTTTTCCCAGTCCCACCATATTTTATCCACGAAGCCGTGATGTAGGAAGAACTCGGGTGCAGACGCTGAGTCTATTGTGCACATCGTTCCGAAGATGACACAGTGAACCAGATCGTGGAACTCAGTTCGTAAGAGGAACTCGAAATTTTCAAAGTCGGACGGATTTGGGGTAAACATGATCAGCATCTTCACTGCCACTGCATTCGGTGTTCTTCCGCTGTAAAGAAAAACAAACGTGAAATTATAGGCAGGTCCAGTTCTCCGGCGTTATTCAAAAAACGTCGGGTTCTTAACATTGAACGCCTTCAGTAAACTGACTATATTAGCTTCTTGTCGTCTGCGCGTGAACTTTTTAAGATCTGACTGGAAAGAGTTGGAATTGTACTTTTGAATGAGGTCGCTGCCCGTAACTATCTTGGACACTGGTTAAAATACCTGCGGTAAATAATAATATATATAAAATACAGATCTATTATATCTGTATGAATATTTGCAATTGTAAATCCCATCCAGATTGTAAATCCCATCCAGCTTGTAAGATTCGTCATCAATTTATAATACTAACTATGCATTAACATTAGCAGAGCTAGATCATCCTACTCCTAGCTAGGATCTTATTGAAGATTAACCGTCGCGCGTTCACATGTTACGAAATTACTGCAATGATAAACGTACTTGAATTGTCTCCTAAGGCAGCCGCCTCCTGCGCTCTGGATCAGAGACCAGACCCCCTCTCTGAATGGACCAGTGTCCACGCAAATTCGCGAGCCGTTTCCATCGCCACCGAAACCGTGAGGGCCTGGATTCCACACATCACTCGAGAGAGGATCCGCACCTTGGTGGAAACAAATAATTAAACTGTCATACTCGGCTTGTTTTAACTGCATTTTAGTCGCATCTTTAGAAACGACATGACAGATAAAATCAAAGATTTTGAAGAATATGCATTAATTTATTTGTGAATTGTGGCCGCTCAATTGGACAACTGTTTACAGAGAGAATATGCTTTTAAGGCCAATAAATTGAAGATTTACCAGGAGATGTGCAAGAACAATTTTGAGCTTATTTTGAACATGATATATTCGCATCTTCGTCTTGTGAAAAAACTGTTTAGGAATTACCTGTTAAGCTCCAATCCCAGTATGGCACAGTTATATGACAATCAATTTCTCTCAAAAGGTTCTCGTATTGCAAAATAAACCAGCGATGCCATGGTAAGAAGTATTCAAGTTCGTGAATATTGCTGTCGAATATCACCCGATGTAACGTGAGCAGTTTCTCGTATCTTTCTTTATAAGCTGGATCCTTAGAGGCCTTCTTGACCGTGTTTATGTAACGAACTCTCTCAGCTGTTGTCATGTCGAGAAACTCTTTTCGTAAACGACAGCATTCGACCAGTCGGCCGTGAACACATTTGCACCTTCGTCCACACTCGTCGACGACATGCCCTTCAGAGTAGCACCTTGGTGGTCGCTCTGAAGAAAGAAAAACAATGAATAAGTTTGATCATAAAATAAGTTCCGATGCAAGCAAGAATAATACATTTCAAAACCACATCTAGACGAAGTATATATTCGAATGTGTAAAATTCCAAAGTTTCGTAGAGACAGAGGTATGTTTATACGATTTGGAAAATATAGTCTTGTGACTTCGCAAGTTTTGCACATTCAGTTTATATTATGCGAGGTAAAAGTATTAATCATTTTTGGAGCGATTGTGGTTATTTTTGCAATGGTAATATGTTATACCACTCTTTATTCTATATTCAATCGAATTTAACAGTTCTTGCGTGATTTACTCCATAACTTGAAGCTTTCGCCTGTTGAACGAGAGCTTGTTCAGTTCAAAACATACAGCGATAATATTTGTAAGTTCAGTTCCTGCTCAAGAATACTTAAATGAAAATAAAAAGGAATCCCTTACCTAAACGCAAAAGATCTCTCACTCTATTAACAATCCTGTACGAATGACCCGAGAGAAGGTACTGTGGCCCACTTGCTATCCTTCGCAGACCATACGATGCCCCCCAGTATCCATATCTGTGGTACCTGTATCGACCTCTGAACCTGCTTCTCTTACGGCCATTTCCGACCATGAAATTATCCCAAAAGCGTGATCTCGTTAAATCTAGAACGACGATCTTAACTCCTTTATACTTCAGTTTGTAAGCGAATTTTATGGCCTTCAGACTACTGCGGTAGTGTCGTCTGGTTATTAAAAGAAAAATGACTTTTTCTGCACCGGCTCGCGCTCCAGTGCTGTTGTTGTGTATGAGATCAGTACGAACAAACTCCAAAGCCTTTGCATAATCTGCGCGACCGCCTAGAGTACTGAGAAAATGAAAGATATTTTAGGAGTAATTTTGAATGGAGGATCCCGAAAATCAGAATGATTGCATATTGACTACTTTTAGTAAAAAATACATTATTTACTATATACCAGTTTAAAAATGTCAATATATCAGGGTAAAAATATACCAGGGTAAAAATATACCAGGGTAAGAATATACCAGGGTAAAAATATACCGGGTAAAAATATACCAGGGTAAAAATATACCAGGGTAAAAATATACCAGGGTAAAAATATATCAACTAAAGGCTAGTTTCCACTCAGAAAAAATCTGCTTTGGATCGGAACGGACAGGAAAATTTCCTTTGTCGGTGAGTTCTCAGGCGGCGTTTAAACAAAGAAATCTTTCCTGTCCTGTCCTGTCCGATCCAAAGGAGAATTTTCCTGAGTGGAAACTAGCCTTAAGACTATATGTATTTAGCGTTGTACTTTGAGCGTTGCACACACCTTAAGCTTTTGATTTTTTTCACCATGCATTCTTTGTTGACGTATCTTTTGAAATCAAAATCCACCGTCACATTGTTGTTGTATGAAACGACCGCCACTCGTGTGTTGGCGGAAAATACTGAAAAATACTCCAGAAGGCTTATCACGAATCCTTTTTCTCTTTTGAAATTGTACCGTCCAACATTGCTTGAGTCCAGTAAGAATACAAGATCAAATTTGGTGTTCCTAGGTCCTTGGAAAAGATAATATATTTCTTACATCGGATAACCAATGCAGTGTTTGCGACAATCAAACTGGACGCATGCGCAATACAGACGATTGAGAAAGATTTTCAACCATGAATAAAGACATTTACATTAACATCGATAAACAAACAAACATTGTATTCATTTACGAACTCATTTGCCGGAAAGAATCTTTCTCTGGTCAAAAGCTTTTGTTCTCTGATTAAAACTTACTTGGTTTTGGACGTTGGTACCAGGACTTTTTTGCCTTTGGTGCGACTAAAATGAGAGAAATTTACCAGTTTTTGCATGTAGAGATAAGAATTCTAGACGGATTCTTGCCTCGGGGTAATTAGATAAAAAAAACTGGTATACCACTTCACTTCCTGACGTTACTACCTCTTGTAACCGTGGAACAATATCGAATATTACATATAGAAAGTCTTTATACTGATATATATTTTCATGCCCTTCCTGCTAAAAATGAATTTTTATAAAGTCTGAATATTTATTAAAACAGACATGTAGACACTATAAATATATAGCTATACAGTTGTTTCCTTGTATACTTTTGCAAAGCCCTTTGGCCATTCCAAATGCAAAAAGATTTGAAGAGAAATTACTCAAGTTTGGGCGGTGAAAAATATACTTTGACCTATGCTTTAAAAGACACAAATACTTTGAAATATTTGTTAAATGGACGGGAATTCGAGCAAAGTACAATAACATTTTTTTCGATATTGATATATCAGGGTAGTTCTAGCATCTAGTTCTTCATGTAAGATTAAGGTGACTGCATTAAGACAAAGACGGTCTGATAAATTATATATATATATATATATATATATATATATATATATATATATATATATATATATATATATATATATATACACTGCAAGAACTAATGTGATTAGCCATGCATTTGCCAATAGAGCTACAAAACATATCAGTGTTGTCCAATATTTTCCTTCATCTAAATCTCCTGACGTTTTAGGTTGAACTGTTTTATATATATATATATATATGCTCATTAAACCTTTATTCATAACTCTACTAATAACTTGACCAATGTCTTCACTATAAATGTCTTCACTATACAAATAACTATAGATTCAGACAAAGTTAAAACATGCAACGATTGTAAAACTTTATTGCTTTATGGCTACTTACAGAAAAAATCATTCTGGACGCTTGCAGACCATCCAATTTCAATAAATACTGCGAGCAAAAAGCCCGCGACGAAAACAAATCCTTTCGTCATGGTGCTTCTGTGGAAATGTGTCCAACGTTGTGAACAATTCTCTTTTATTCTTCCAAAGCAAACTAAATGCATTCAAAAAGACTATATACAAAACCTTTTACTTGCACAAAAGATATCTTTGATAAATACAAAGGTTATTATTATATTATTACACAAGATTATTCTCGGAAGCTGCATGTCTCCAACTCCTCAGTCCTGACAGATCATTGCATGATAATATTTATAACGGGAATGAGTTTTTTACAGTTTTTTTACGTCAATATATATGGAGGGGAAATAACCACACTTTGTGTAGACAAAAATTTTAGAAGAAATTAGGTTGTTTTCAATCAGCTCTGGGGCCGGTTGTACCATGCAAGCCCGTTTAGCTTAAACGGTGGATAAGTTCAAAATAGAAAGCAATTCTATCGTTTTATTTAACAAGCAAACTAAATGTTTTTAACCTTAATACAAACATACTGTTTACAACTACATATTCAGTGCATAATATTCAAGTTGACTCATTCAAGAGAGATGTAAGAGTGTTATTTAATTTTGACTTATCCACCGTTCTCATACTAAACGAGCTTGATACAACCGACCCCAGTAATATATATTTTCTTAGTTATAGTTCATTCGATTAAAGAGGTAGTGATCCACCTTAACAACTATTATTCTAGCTGATCTGTGCTCTTAATAATTATATGTAAAGTGTGAAGTATAACTTTCTGCATGTACTCTTAACATGTTTTTTGAGACACATCACGATGAAGCTTGCTGCATGCAAACATTTCTTACAGGCGAATATACTGCAGCGCCTGCGGTCATTGTCCTGCGGTAAATTTTGTTGCCATTTATCCAATTAATTACCGGCTAACTTGACCAGGCAATCCACATCAGCCGGGTTTGTGCGTAGCCGTAATTAGCACACGTTTCAACTGAAAAAAATGCAAAGAATGAAGTTATTTATACAGGAAGAGATTAACGGTATTTGATTTCGTATCTTGCCAACCGTGATTGTCAACAACGCGTATGGATTTTATCAGTATATGAGCGCCTTTAATCAAATCACTAGTAATAATAATACTCGCCCACGATTGTAGGAAACATTTTCAGCTATAGTTGAATAGCTTTCTTTATATGAAAGATATATTTAGATGAAGGCAATTGATATAAAAATGGGTTTCAGATGTGTTATTTTAATCAAATTATACCTAACCTTCGAATAGAAGTTCTTAATCCAGAGCAAAATGAAATGCTGGCGACTAGGGGTGTTCATTTTTGTTTTCGTATGGAGTGTCCAAGAGCTAAACGCTATGGAAAAGGAAGGTATATATTTTAGTATATTTAGAATTTGGTTTAGCGTTCAATGTTTAACAGTGTTTATACCGAAAAGTTTCCTGACCCCCATGCATGTCTAAAATTCTCTTGAAATATCTCTTCTCGTTGAGTAGAGTGTTCCATGGGTTTTTAATGGCTTTGCACCAGCTCAAAAGCAGATTTTCCTAAGAAGATTAGTCCAGTAGCATCTCTTGTAGGAAGGAAACATTTGGTGTTTTCTCTCGTTAAACGGAAGGACATCGAACGGCAAACCGCAAGCCGCAAATTTCGAGTCACATTTGACATTTGACGGTAGTTTTTGATTTTTAGATGTCGTGTCACGGCCATAATTTGTAAAAGTAGTTAGACTACTTTATGTTTTAACACAGTACATCATTTTTGCGATGGAAACATAGTTTTGTTTTAAAAATACCGGAAATGAATTTTGCCGTTTGTGGTTTGATACTTAAGCCAAACTAAACGTCTCGTATTCAAAGCTCACATGCCTATGCACTAAATTTAACCACTTGTTCTATCATTCACTTGAAATGTATATTTCATATTTGCTTGCGCAGGGGGGCGGCATATATTCAAAAACTAAGGTGTTTGTTCTGTTCTTGTCTGAAAGATATGACACTCAAGTCAAGTACAAACTGCTTGAAGTCTAAGTCTTAGTTTGGAAAAAAAAGAACATAAAGCCTTTTATGATCTACGAACAATCTGATTTCCAACTAAGAACTGCTTGGATTCCATTCATACTTTATTTGCAACCATGTTCGTGATCCACAGAAATTTACAACGTGTGGATTTTCAGTTGCTATAAGCTTTAAGTTGATCTACTTAACACAAACCAAATCGCTGAATGAAGTTAAATCAACTCTTCCTTGAGTCGATCCTATAATATTTCTTTATAGAATCATGACTTATGCAAGTACTTAAAACATATTCAAAAATTCTTTATAGTCTATCTATCACAAGCCATTCTCTTTCATCTGAATCTCAACCGACTTAAAACCACAAAATAAATAATCGCCCCAGTTTGAACCATAGAAAACATGCATTTTTCTAATGGATAAAACCAACCTTTTAGTCCTTTTAAATAGTTTTGTTGTAGTCCTTAAATGATTTTAACATTGCCTTAATGAAATCCCGCAGATCCGATGAAAATTGACGTTGTATTTGTGATTGACAAGTCTGGAAGCATCGGCCGAAAGAATTTCGAGTTTGTTAAAAATTTCGTTAAGATGTTTATCGAATATTTTCCGGTATTTCCGTCTAAAACTCGTGTGGCGATTGTATCTTATTCCACGTATCGTCGCTTGGAGTTTAATTTCAACGAAAACAGGAATAGAAAATGCTTAAGAGGTGGAATTAAGAAAATGAGGTAAGATTACAAATGTTTTGCTATTTATTACAGGGACCGCGGAGCAGGGTGGCTCGCTGGGCTTTAGCCCCACCAATAATTTTCCGTAATTAGTCTTTAATTTTGAATATTTTTTAGTTAGCTCAAATTTACAAGCTAAAACTTACAAGCAATACAAGCGCCAAACATGCTGAAAACTGGCTTTACATTGGACAAGCATTTGACCATTAAAACAGCGTGGTTATCCATATCAAAATATTTGACATCATAACCAAAGCATGGTTATATCGTTTAATGTTTGTATATGAGCGCCAAACATGCTGGAAACTTTACATAGGACAAGCATTTGACCATTAAAACAGCGTGGTTATCCATGTCAAAATATTTTACATAATAACCAAAGCATGATTATTTTGATAAATGTTTGTATATGAGTGCCGAACATGCTGGAAACTTTACATAGGACAAGCGGTGATATAATTCGGTGATATAATTTATTCCGTGATAGATTTCCGTGATTTTACAATTAAGGTACACAAACGGACGCACGTCGACCGGAAACGCGTTGGAACTGGTCCGCACACGTCTCATCTACAACAGCAAGGCTGGTGCAAGGGAACAGGCAAAGAAGTTGATTTTTGTCATCACTGATGGTAAATCTAACCTTGGCATTGATCCCGGTGTTCCGGCGGGAAAACTGAAGCAAAATGATAACGTCAGCATTGTTGCTGTCGGAGTGACAAACAAGATTAACCAGACGGAATTGCAAAGCATCGCTAGTTCACCTTCACATGTAATTCATGTCAAAGATTTTGACGCGTTGAAGAAGCTAACACAGTCATTGAAAGATGGTAAGAGATGGTACACGGTCCTTGAAAGATGGTACTCCTCTAGTCTCAAAACTGTAGAAAATATTGGTAAAATTTAGGCCCGGTATCCTGAGTGTAAAAAGTAATCAAAAAGGAGTTCAAACTATAATTCCAGGACTGAATTAACTATAACTAAACCGTTTTAAGCATACCCACCTTTCGTATCAACTTTAGATATCTCAACGAAAATAAGTGTCATGAAATTACAAAGCTATGTACAAATCTTTTGCACTAGCTTACAAAACTCTTATTCCTAGTTCAGTTAAGATAGTAGAAAAGAAATCCTAAGTTTACCAGCAATTCATCAACGGCTTAAACAAAATTTTGGAATGTCGTGCCGTTAAAGCGTTGTGAAATTCTGTGTATTATTTACCGAATGCAGCGTCCAGTCTAACCTCGTCTTTCTTGTGACCTAGATCTTTCAAAGAAATGTGAAAATGGTAAAACGGTTTTGGACGAATGTGGACGACGTTGCAGATGTAAGGATGGACTGTTAGTTGACTGCTGTAGACTCCGAAAAGAATTCACTCAACTATCAAAAGAGGAATTAATACGATACATCAATGCTGTTAAGAAGGCTTCAACTGACCCGAGGTATGTTCAGAAGTTAACCTCCTTGCAACCGAATGTCCTATTTAATCACTTGAATTTTCATTAATCTACTCCTAATGCTCAACTAAGGTCCCCCAAAGTCGCCTAAATTGTCCCCAAATTGCCATAAATCACCTTATATTTCCCTAACGCTGCACACATATAAACAAAAAGAGTTTCACAACGTTTATTCATAGCTGTCCATGCGATCTTCTATGGCATGCTAATTCTTTTAAAATGGATCTCTGGAGGTTCATTGATTTTAGCTCTGCTTTGATTATCCAGTGTGTTATCAGATCAGTGGGCATGCATAGCTCGCCCAAGACCGCACACCGTCAACCTAAAGCAATCCGAAGGACTGATAAAGTGTGTTCCATCTTAGGTATAAAAGAAAATACGACCAGCTTTTGACGTTGCATGTGGAACTGTTTCGACGAATCCACAAGAAAGATTTCTTCCTAACTTGGCATCGCTGGTTTTTACTGCAGTACGAGAATTTGTTGCGAAAAATCGACTGTCGCGTCACCTTGCCGTATTGGGACTGGACGCTAGTGGCGGGAAAACCATTTACTTTTGGTGAAGGCGACTTTTGGGCCTCAGGCGAGGAAGGATTTGGCGGGAACGGTTCACCCCCCGGCGGTTGTGTTAAAACCGGTCCATTCCGGGAGGGGGAATGGTCGTTGATTCGCAGCGCCGGAGGGGGGTGTCTGAAGCGAAATTTCAACGGCCGGTTCCCAGATCTGATTTCGCTGGCGAGTTTGTTGAAATCAACCTCAAAACCGGAAGATTTTTCAAAATTTGAATCCCAATTGAGGGTCGTGTTTCACAACAACGTGGCTTGTGGAATCGGGGGTACGATGTGCACCAAGCACGGAGCTTCTGCCCCGGAGTTTTTCCCTCACCACGGCTTCATCGACAAGATCTGGTCAGACTGGCAGAAACAAAGCCCTGCGCACAAGTTTCATAAGTTTTTTAAATACCAGAAGGGAGATATGCCGGCGACCAGAGGGTATAGATCCAGGGACTTTCTAGACCTGAGCAATCAACCTGACTGTGTTTGTGTTGATTACGGCGAGGCCCGTAATAATGTCTCTAAACTTATCAAAGGTGGGTTTACTTACAATTGTTATCATTTACAATTTATTTACAACTGTTATATTACCAACTACAGTTGAGGGGACTAAATACAGACACAGACACTTAATTGTCAATAATTTTCGTGGACAAAATGATGAAATTGCAATATTTCCTCATAGTGTCAGTATCAATCGTTTTAAATGAAAAATTGTTCCTTCAATTTTCAGGTCTACCGCTGTCGACATTGCAGAATATACCTCGTCTTTCACTATCAGAACTGAATGCCAACGCTACGACATTATTTCAGACATCAGCGGATGAACTTGAAAAACTTTCTAAGCTTCGAGCGACCATTGCTCCGAAAGTGATTTTTAAAGGTTCTTTGAACGGTACTGATGCCTCGTTTGGCTTCAGAATCTCTGACGTTCTTAAAGCAAAGGGTAATTTCATATTCACGGAGTTGAATCTGAAAACTAAGTGTTTTTTCGCTCCATTCACATATTTTCTTTGCTTTTCTGTTTTAGGCTAAATCATATTTCCTTGCATTCTCCATCGTCGCCTGCTCAAACGAACAAAATAATTCCCAACACTTTTCCCATTTTAACTTTATTATATATCCCAACTACTTCAAGATTATTTCAAGATTAAAATAAAGTGTAGTTTCGTCTATAATTATACTTCACGCCTGATTAAAGCGTTATTCAGTACATTTAAATCATTGCTAAATTTGTGACCAATATGAGTTTTAATGCCCAACTATCAACTAGTTAGTTTACGAGTATATAAATATTTTACTATATCGTTCTTGGAATTATGTATTAGTTATTCGTATTAAAATTATTAAGGTTCGGAGAAATGGAACATGATTATATTTCGTAATTCGGATTGTTTTTATTCTTTATCAGCAAAATATAGTTGACTCTCCATGCCTGAAAAACGGGTCTGCAAAACAAGAGTAAAATTTGAGTCTTAAAATGGTAGAAAACGTACATTTTTATAGTCAATGACTAAACTTGACTTTAAAATAGGTGATCAATGTGTGACCAATAATTATCTTTTCCGGGATTAAAAACATCCCATCATTGTCGGCAATGAGATATTTAGTTTCTCTTTATATATTTACCATATTATAGGCTATCTTGTTAGCCGGAAGCCAAGTATTGCGTCTCTTCCATGTAAGCTACTCGTCGATACAAAACGTTTCGGCCCGATTTTAGCTTGGATTCTTGAAAGTTCCGTCATCTCTGCGCTTGTGACACCAAACAATCTCCTTGCGTCTGCCGATAACGGGGGGATTCGTAGTCGTGGTTTGTGTAAAAGGGTAAAGAAGGACGTAACTGTTTATATTATTAAATAAATATTTCAATTAATAATCTTGTAATTTTGCAAGACGAGATTTAGAACAATAGAAACTTCGTAAAATGCCACTCATTTTAAAAATTTCATTTCATGATAATCACTAAACCATAGCCACCATTATTAAGAAATGAATGATGTTCAAATAACATTATTATAACACCCTAAAGACATGATAGAATTCGTGATAAGTTGGGAAATTTGTACTCGAAAAATGGGATCTTTTTACTGAAATCATTCGTTCTTTCCAAAAATAAAAATTCAAGTTGAAGCAAGGTTAAGATGATATGTACATGTAATAAGAAGAGATGAAGGAGAGATGGTCAGAGATATTATGAAATGAAGAGATCAGAAGAAGATGTGAGGTGGTAGACAAAGAAAAGATTCCTTGGTGGTTGCTTGTATTAGAAATTTCTCTTTAATTATTGGAGTGGTATTTTTGAATTAGAGAGTATCAAAAGTATCCTTGAGACAAACCTTGAACGTTCCTATACGCGGCGCTCCTGGGGTTGACATATTCAGCACACACACAGCCGGGTTGGGCGTTCAAATCCAGCAAGTCTCGAGAATGATAAGACGTGGATGACATGGTCTCGGCTTGGTTTCGGAAGTAGTCGTGGAACTTGCGTGTGTCGCTCTTTTTCTGCCAATCCCACCAGATTTTATCGATGAATCCGTGGTGAAGGAAAAATTCAGGAGCCGTCGCTGAATTATCGGTGCACATCGTTCCGCCGATAGAGCAATGAACACGGTTATGGAGGTCAAGTCGCAATACAGTTTCGAAGTCGTGGAAATGTGACAAAATAGAAATTGCATTTGCAACGGTGATTGCGTCCCGTACGTTGTCATTAAAGTTTCTTCTTAAACAACTTCCACCAGCGCTTGCAGGAAGTGACCACACCTCACGCTTAAAAGGACCAGTATTAACACATCTTCCTTCTGGTACCCCGTTTCCACCAAAGCCACTGCCACCAGTGTTCCATATTGAGCTCGACCAAGGATCGCCAGCTACCAGGCTCCAATCCCAGTACGGAACAGTGACGCGACAATCGATCTGCCGAAGCAAATTTTCATATTGTAATAAGAACCAGCGATGCCAGGGAAGGAAGAAGTCTTTTGCGTGGATTTTATGGCCATAAAAGATCGTTTTGTGTAGTCTTAGAAGTTTGTCGTATCGTGGTTTGTATCCTGGGCTAGTGGAGGCTGTTTTTACAGTTTTGATGTAGCGAACCCGCTCAGCGTGACTCATATCCGTTAATTCTTTTCGAAGTCTGCAGCAATTGACCAATTTTCTATTATGGCATTTGCAACGTCTGCCGCATGCATCATACAGAGTCTGGCCATTTGTGCAAGATTTATGAAGATCTCGGTCTAAATAAATTATGACCAAAATTAGGGTATACGTGAGCAAGCACTATGGCAATTGTGTATACAGCACAACACGTGATAGACCTTTTTCATAATGACGTCAAACGCGAAAAGTCACATGTTACATGAAGTTTGATTGGCTCGATAGTTTGGTGGAGCTAATATAATTTCGTGTAACATCAAACTTTCCGCGTTTGACGTCATTATAAGAAAGGTCTATTGTATCCGACGTAGTCATCTTAGGTGCGATGGGTTGACACGTGAGGTGGTAGGCCAAATATCTAAATTGTGAGTTTTAAAGTATGCTTTAGTCGTAAACTGTCATGAAGACATAAAACTGACAAAGATAGAGAATGATTTGACTATTTCAAATGTAATTTCATGAACTTATTGCAAGGTCTTTTTTGAGAAACTGTTAGTGGGGGAGGTATATAATCCTAACAAGAAATTATGTTTTGAGGTTCCTCTGACTTTATTTCCTGTATTTTGGGGACACTTGCTCCAAATCTTAGAAAATGGCCATTTTCGGGTCTTACCACAGTTTTAGCGCATCATTTTTCATGAAAATTTTGATTATAGGTATCCTTGTTTGACTGCAACGTATATAGCAGCATTTTTTTACGTTACTATTTCATTCAGATCAAACCTGCTCACCTCCGTTTATTCGCTTTGTTATTTCACCCAACACAGAATAACTGGATACATGATGTACTCTGGACGAAGATCCGGCGATTGCCTCTAGCTCACTTTGCATTGTGCTAGAAGTGACTCCAATGACGGAAGATAGCACACCGCGGCTGCGCAACTGTGCTGCGGGTGTGACAGGATTGACTCCTCTGTTGGACTTGCCATCTGTGATCACGATGAGAACTTTTTTCGCACCCGCTCTAGCCCCAGCCGTTGTGTTGAAAATCAGGTTGTTATAAACATACTCCAGCGCTGTTCCTGTTGCTGTCATACCACCCGTGTACCTGAAAACCAATAGCAAAAAAATTGCAAAATGTGAGTGGTAAGGAAGTATTCAATGAGGTTTCTTTCTTTTTTCTCCCTTGTTAAATCCGAACTAGAGAAATTTATTTTTAGAATGATTAACGATTGAATTCACGATGGTAACAACAAGCTAATTTATGGTCATACGGTGTTTCTATACAGTTATAGAAACACGCTTCTCGACCAATCAGCACGCGCGTACTATAAATGTTATATTATAATCAATTTTAGTGCTGGTTCTATACATCATGGATAATAAAACCACAGTCTTTTAACTATCCATGTATACATTTTTTACAAGTTTAAAATAATTTATCGTACCTAATTGCTTCAATTCCTTTTCGTAGACATTCCTTGTTAATATATTTATTAAAATCGAACTCCAGCTTTAGAGACGTTGAATAGGTCAGTGCGGCAACCCGAGTCATGGACGGAAATTTTGGAAAGTACTCAGTCAAACTTTCGACAAATCTTTTTTCCAAGACAAAATCATCTGGCCCGATGCTGCCAGATTTATCCAAAACAAGAACAATATCTTGAATCGTCGTTATAGGAACTAAGAGACAAATATTTAAAATTAGTTCTGAAGTCATCCTCACAACTTCAAGCCTTACAAGCCTCAAAATTCAAAATATATTACTTCTTAAGTGATTACTTGACTTTACTCGTCGAATGAGAAATTCAAAAATACCTCCATTAGCCTCAAATTTAAAACTACTGAAAAAGGCTTGAGCTAAAGCTCTTTTAGAGATCCCTTTAGATTTGAGTCCCTCGCGCAATACGTCTTCCTTTTGGATTTCATCTGCAAACAAAATTCGAATTTAAGTATTAAGTATAGATTAGGACCCTCTCTTCATTTTCTTCACAAATTCGCCTTGTAAAAAACGAGCTTATGCTGTATAACACCCAATACGGTCTCGCTAAAACGAATGTCTTCTATACACTGCCTGTGTTAGCGCAATATTTTTCAAAACCGGTAACTAGCTCCTTAATAAATCTGAAAAACGCCAAGAAGAGGAAACAAAGACAAATTATTAGTTGATTTATGGGACTAAAAATCTTCTAAATCTAAAGCTAATCCCATTCAGCATGAACAATTACTAAATGGTTTCCGTGTTTGGATGCACTGATTTGGATGGCCTGAGCCAAACACGCGCGGGATTGTTGCGGGAGTCAAGAAATGCGCGCCACCCAAACACGGGAACTTCGTGTAACATCAGACTTTCCGCGTTTGACGTCATTATAAGAAAGGTCTATTAAGTAATTGTTTTATAAAATAACAACAACAAGTCAGTGTTCCAAGTTTGATTTCAAAAAGCGAATTAAATTTTCGTGTTTGGATAGCCTGATCCATGGTTTCGACCAATCAGAACAAACGTTATTTACATGTTACATTATACATTATAATACACTCTCCCTTACCTTCACTCTCGTTTACGTTCTTTCAAAAGATAAATTCTGTTAAAGTCATAAAACGACCAGAGCTAAATTCCCGCATCTTGCCATTTCGAAATCAAATAGCATTTTGAAAGTCCTTCGCTGAACGAAGTCACTTATTATGCAATTTTTGCCTCTGACTTCCTTTTCAGCAAAGCTATTGTTATATTGATGATTATATAATTATCCTCTTCGTTAATTATTTAATTTCCTAAAGTGTGGCAGAATCACGTCGGCGGATGTATACAGCATAACAAACTCAACAAAGTACTCTCGACGTTGTGTGTTTCAAACCATAGTTAAAATTCCAAATAACATTATAAATGCCACTCAACCACAGGCAGCACCAGAATGGGATGCTGTCGACCTGTAATTAGTTTGATCTTCCAAAACATGCTACCACTTCTTAAGCTTTTTAACCGATGCATATGCTGATTGTTGACTAGCTCAAAATCTCACGATTGTATTCAGACATACAAACATTTTCATATACACTAATTAGCAGAGAGGAATGCCATGATTAGTGACGCGATGATGCAAAGCGATGCGATATTTTTGTTTCGAGAAGCGAATAAATTTTGTACTGACATAGTATTCAACTCGCTTCGGGTTGTCGCATCGCGGGCATCCGTTTTTTGTCTGCTTTTATAGTAGCTTCTTCGCATCGGTTCTGCCCGTAACAATGTTAATCATAACAGATCGAAGATAATAAAACACAAAGCAAAAGATAATCTATTTCATTTTTGTTCATATTTCACTATATAGTATAACAGAGGCATTACAAGGAAATGGAAAAATGGTTGTTCAGTGTAAAATCCTTGCAATGATTAAAATGAAAAGTGTATAGTGTTATCTGTAGTTATCTTCGAAGCGCTGTGTTCTCATACGCGTAAAATGTGTGCATGTCCTGCATGAAGTATATCATAATATCTTTCATGGCCACGTCTTTTTATGCGCGACCGTTTAGAGCACAACTATAAGCTTACGAATATAATTAAGTTTCAACAAATGATTATATTACTCTGCTGTTTTCTGTTAACGCACTCACTAAAAACCAGCGGCACGTTAAAAAAACCTATAATCTAACTAAATACCAATCGCAAAGGATAAATTATATAATATTCCCGCCTTGCACAAACCGAGATGTTTCAACAGCTGGATGCATTACAAAAACTTTTATTACAAGTTTTCTCTACGAATGCACATGGTTATATGTGCATGAGAGAAAATTAAGAGAAAAATAAGATTGTGCAAAACTTTACCTGCCCCAAATCGGAACTAGTTACTGCGTTACTACTATTTAACGGGAAAGTTCTTGTTATTGTTCAATCGAGCTGAAAGCTGCTATAAGCGCTATGGTTATGGTCGAAATACGATAAACTAATGCCTTTTGCTCGATAAAAAGCGTTGAATATCGAATCACCATGACTATTTTTACGATTTCCAAATGCAACTTATGAGAGCAAAGAATTTTTATTAAGAATTTATTATGGAGAACCAACAGAGCTTCTTTTGATAACATATAAGATTCTCAAATACTGACCTTCATAACCTTCGTTCATGTTTACAAATTCTGTTAAAGCCAAGAGAAGAACCAGCGCAAAAATCTTGCATCTTTCCATCTTGATAGCACAGAGTCATCTGAAAATAGCGTCGCTGGAATAATATAGTTACCCCCTCAGTTTTTTTGAGGTTAATGAGTTACCATTTCTCACAACTTCCTTTTCCGTAAAATTTTACAAGTTTCAACCTGCAAGGTTAGATTGATGATGGACACTTGCTGAACGCACGTAACATTTGCGTTCGTAAAATTCCATCCACACAGCGTTTATTTATAAACCAACCAGCCCAATCACTGGACTGATTTTGAGGGTGAAAATTATTTTACGTTGAATAATGTTTTTCGCCTTTTATTATGCCTTATATTTTCCTTTTTGTGTAATTTATTTGCGCTGCACTTTTCGCAAAAACCTATCATATTTTCGCTTTTCTTATATTACAATGGGCGCCGAAACTTAAAACCAATTATGATAATGTAATATATGTTCATGCATGTTTATGCATATCAGAATTACTATTGTCCTGACCACTCGCGATGAACGAGTTTTTAATTGTTTTCATTAGTCGCTTTTTTTAAAAATATATTTCGAAGTGTCGACATAATTTGAATTCGTTTAAATGTTTCTTATGAAGAACCCAAATAGAAAAATGAACCTAATTTAGTGTAATGTGTACATTTATTTGAATAATGAAGAAGAATTTGAAAACGACGGCTGAGCGGATACAAGTCTTGTGGGTTATACTCAACCTTTTATTTCTATATTTGCGTCAAATAAGTCTTATTTAGGTTATTCTCATCGTGAGTGAAATCTTTACCAATCCTTTACAAATTGCGGAAGTATTTTACGCGAGAAACATGTCCAAAATGTCGGAGTTAAACACAATTTTTTATTCACGACATGCATTTAATAGATACTCAACAACAATATTCAGGAGTTTGTTAAAACAAAGTTCTCATTTTTGTTTTTTACTTTGGATTTGGTAGATCTTTGCTTTGAGTTCGACATCCAACCTATGACACGCAGGTGGAAAACATGAAGGTGTATTGCGGGATCAAATAACTTTAGCGTTTTTGGATCGTTTTTGTGTTTACCTGTGGACGCGGATAAATATTTTTGCGTTTTCAAATTTTACTGGCATCTTGTAGACAGGGCCTTAATCTAGCATACATTTGTTTACATGTTTTTAAGATATTTACAAATATGAAAGTTTTTATCTTGCGAAAGAATTCCCACACGGGGGTGATGAGTATCAGCTGTTAACACAAAATTAATTGTGAGAGCGCGAGAGGTTTGCACTTTTGCCAGCAGGAAAAATGATACATGCATGGATAGACTGTATATTTCTATTTTTATCACGAAGTAACAGGAGAAGTGGTGTTATAAAGTTGCATGGATATAGTCATATAGTTGTATATTTAGTTCCAAATTTTGATTGAATCATTATTCAAACTACAAATTATCAAAAAGTTGGCTGGGCAAATTGCATTTTCATTTCTATTGTATTCAAATTTTGCGACCTAAAAACATTCTATTTTTATATCTGCTACAGTATAGGCTATCGTGTTTCATTATCAAGAAAAATGTACCAATTCTCTGGGGTGTTTTAAGCGTTAATTTTCTTCGTCACCCGTACCAGGAGCACCTCTGAAACCCTGTTTTCCTTTCCGACCAATGGGATGACGTCGACCTGAAGAAATAATAGAAACCAAATAAGAAATGCTATGAAGTCTATGAAACACATGTATAGAATTTCACAATTATATTTTTATATACAGTTAAATCGGTTAGGATAGAGGTTCACCTTTGAATGTGCGTGGAATAATAGGATGTTGGAATGATAGGATGTTGTCTACGTCAGCGGCCCAGCAGGAGACGATAATTTAGGGGAAGTGCTTATTAGCTCCGAAAGGAAGTTCCTATTGAGATGTTTAGGTTTAATAAACCGGGTTTATTCATCTCAATGGGAGTTCACGACGTTGAGAGTCAAATTTGTCAACGGTTTATCATCCCAAGCACTCATTGAGATTTGTTATAAAGTCATTTCGAGAATGAGTCATATTTCTTTGACTCTTAAAATGAAATTTTTTTATTAACTGTTGCCGGTCACGAATCGTTTCGTTTTTATGAAACAACTCTCACTGAATTCTTCATTCGTCTGTGGAAGTGTAATAAATTCATTTCGCCGTCCATCTGGGATTTTACGTAATATTTCTTTACTTATATAAACAAAAATCGTTCGATCAGTTGGGTAGCACTGGCAGTTTGGCACTTACTTAGAAGTCTAAGAACAAAGGCATCCTGTAGTATCGCCTCGCCTTGAGAGGTCACCGGACGTAACCGCGTATGGGCTGCTTAAAAAATCTTTTAGGATTAAAAATATTTACCTGGCTGTCCCACTTGGCTCAATTTGAAACCAAGTTTAGCATCGGCTCCTCGTAAACCGCTCTTCAATACGGTACGTCTTGGTTGTATCTTAGCAATAAGCCTGGTGACTCTTCGTATTTCTGCTTGTGATGTTCCAAACAGTCTTGCGGCCTTGGCAGACAACGGTGGAAGGGGCAGTCGTGCCACGTTCTTAAGTTGGCTGCTTGACGCAGCTGGATAAAATATAATAGCAAAGGTAGTTGAACGAGGTCTTGATTTTAACCTTGATTTAAAACTGTGGATATCAGTTGTGGGCAAGGATCCGGACCCGATAGAGAAGAAAGACTAGGGAAGCAAGTCTGAGATGATATGAGCATGTAATAAGAAGAGATGAAGGAGAGCTGATAAAGAAGATATTATGAAATCGATCAGAAGAAGATGTGAGGTGGTAGAAATCGCAGAGAAGATGAGGGAAGCAAGGTTGAGATGATATGGACATGTAATAAGAAGAGATGAAGGAGAGCTGGTCAGAGATATTATGGAATGAAGAGATCAGAAGAAGATGTGAGGTGGTAGACATTGCAGAGAAGATGAGGGAAGCAAGGTTGAGATGATATGGACGGAATACAAAAGAGAATGAAAATATTTCTCACATGCAGACATTGAAAGCGAAAAAAATAAGTCAACTGCGCAATGATCTGCATTGCTATACGCCCAAATTGATATTATGTCATGCAGGACTTGGAACGTACCTTTAATGCGTCGATACGCGTTATTTTGAGGGTCAACATACTCGGCACACACACAATCTGGCTGGCTGTTCAAATCCAGAAATTCTTGGGATCGATAGGGTGTAGATGACATCAACCCAGTCTGCGTCGTGAAATACGTGTGGAACTTGTGTGCGTTGCTTTGTTTCTGCCAATCCCACCAGATCTTATCAACGAATGCATGATGTAAGAAGAATTCTGGCGCCGTCGCTGAATCTGTGGTGCACATTGTGCCATCAATCATACAATGAACATAGTCGTGAAACTGAAGTCGTAAAGCATCTTCGAAATTAATGAAATCCGCTGCATTTGCATTCGATGAAATCAAATTTTGAACAGCAATGGCGTCCGGAGCTGTACCAAGGAAATTTCGTGTCAGACATCCTCCCCCGGCGCTGGCCGGAAGCGACCACGGTGGCCGGAATGGACCGGTGTTTACGCAGCTCCCCCCTGGGACGCCGTTCCCGCCAAAACCGCCCGCGCCTGTGTTCCAGAAGGAGCTTGAGAACGGGTCTGCTCCGACCAAACTCCAGTCCCAGTAAGGCACCGTGACTCGGCAGTCGATCTGTCGAAGCAAATTTTCGTATTGCAGTATGAACCAGCGATGCCAAGGCAAAAAGAATTGTAAAGCGTGAATCCCATTACCGAAAAAGATCGTTTTGTGTAGCGTTAGAAGTGTATCGTATTGTGGTTTGTACGCTGGGTTTGTTGAGGCTGTTTTCACAGTATTGATGTAGCGGACACGTTCGGTGTAGCTCATGTCTGTGAACTCTTTTCGAAGTCGACAACACTTCACTAGTCGGCCGTATTGACACTGACATCGTCTACCACATTCGTCGTAAACGATCTGACCATTGTAGCAATTTCTGGAAAGATCTGTGGCAATAAATTACATATATTATTATGACTTGATGGACACATATATAAGGAAAACCCTCGCAAAACAAGGAACTGCAATACAGTTTGTGCTCAAACAAGGCAAAATATTTCTGTGATATTTTTCATTGGCATTTTCACTTTGCTGTCTTGAGATACTCTCGCCAGCTAAAAGGTGTTATTTTATCTGCAATGTTGGTGCATCTTTAAAGTGGAAGTCAAGTCCGTTCTGCGCATAGGTTCTGCTCATAACAAGTGTGGGCCCTCTGATGAGAAAATTCCCTAAATTTCGCATGTTTCTTATTTTTTCTTAACATAAACTCTAGTTCATATTAATTTACAAGCACAACGAACCTAAATAGTGTTAGATATTCAGACAGCACATCGTATTTTAAAAAATAGTGAAGTTCAAAATGTAAACAAACCGTTTGTTTACATACGGACTTGACTTCCACTTTAAGTAAAGTTAACGTGGAATTTAAAAGCCTGTTCTTTGTTGCCTAAAAGCCGGTTTATCCATCAACATAACATGACATGCAATATCTCGCGAAATCCTTCTTGTACCTCACTTTCAAAATTTAAGTATAGTTAATTTTAGAAAAGCTCCCGTTACTAAGTGTGATTGCAAAGTTTCAACCAGCTTTATAAATAATCATAAGAAACGCTGTCAAAAATATAATTGTTATCAATTCTACCGATCATTATATGGCCAACTAACCTCCACTGATTTGCGCAGTGACGCTCCTCAATGTCGCAAAACTTGCGACGTGAAACACGTGTGCAGGGGAAGATGCAATCGACAGGAGTTCGCTCTCCCGTACGCTGTTTGTAACACCAAGTGCAAACATGACAACCCTGCTTGCTTTCAGCTGGCCAGCAGGGACAGAAGGATTTATCCCAATGTTGGACCTGCCATCCGTCAGAACAAATACCACTTTCTTCGCCCCACTCCTCGCCCCAGCAGCCGCGCTAAAGATAAGATTGTTTCGAACATATTGTAATGCAGAACCAGTCGCTGTTCCACCGCCCGTGTACCTGAAAAAAGTTTAGATCCGCCTTTGAAAACACTAGATACTGAAAAGTTTATAGAACTCGGCCATGTTATTTGCCTATGGGACAGTGATTTATAACAGCGCCTGTTCTCTATTGCCAAGGTCGAATATATCATATAGCAGTGTATTCGACCTTAACTATTTATTTATTCCCAAGTTCTAATATACCATATAGCAGTACATTCAACCTTGACAGGTTTAATATACTGCCGGGTATATTCGACCTTGGTGGCAGAAAATTTAGTCAAAGCGTAACTATATTTTTAAATATTACGGTCCAATATACTATATTCCGGTATGATTTTTGGCACTTCACTTGATGCAGGTAAATTCTAGAGGTTTAAAGGGTCTTAATTTCGAGTGGAATTATACACACTTCAAATAGCTCAGTGCATTGCAAGAGCATTGCATCGCAAAAGCGTAGGTTCGCTTCCTGCCAGAGAACCTATAGTTGACTTATCTTTCCATCAACTGTTCCTGGCTTGAATTTGAAGTGTGTATAATTCCACTCGAAATTAAGACCCTTTAAACCTCTATGTTCCGGTATATTCGACCTTGACTATATTTTTTGCTACCAAGGTCGACTACACCATATACCTGATATATTCAACCATCACTAAGGTCCCCATGTGTATCGTTTTATTGCTCTTCAAGGCTTCAAGCATTGTAAAAATCAATATATCCCGTGGATAGCGCTATCCAACTTGCATGCTTACCCGGTTTCCTGATAAACGCGTGGGCTTACTGTACCTTATCTTCAAAATTCCTTTCCGTAAACACTCCTTATTGATGAACTTTTTGAAATTAAACTCGAGCTTCACAAAGTTTGAGTATGTTACAACAGCCACGCGAGTTTTGGCAGGAAAGATTGGAAAGTATTCTATTAAACTTTGCACAAATTTCTTTTCCAAAATGAAATTTCTTAGGCCGATGCTTCCAGACTTGTCCAGGACAAACACTATGTCGATTTTACTCGAACCTAAAAAAAAGAAATACTGGCTGAATTCTATATTTGTTCTTGAAATTCAAATCAAATCAAACCCACGTCAAATTTGGTAGGACTTAATTAAATGTAGTTTTAAGCAGCTTTCGAAAGCGGATTTTAGACAAGTGTAGCGGGAACTCGAAAACAAACTATACCTCGAGTTATCAATATCAATAAAAGGAAGGCATTATACCCACTTAAGATGAGATATTCGTATCACTTTCGGTGGTATTTAATTATAACTCTCGGTAGTGTAAATGCTTTTGTATATCCTCTCGTAACTTAGCACCATAAAAACGTTCCTAATATATATTGTTAAATAGTTTTTATTTTTATACGCGAGGTGGTAGGGAGCATCTTTACAATGAATTACTAATGTTCATTAATGCTCCTTTCTCTTCTGAATCGTATCTTCGTCGTTATACTGTTCTGTCTTCGTCTGTTCTGTATTGTTGAGCTTCTTTAACGTTTCATATGGCTTTTACTCTGTTATTCCGGAAAGGTTCGGGTGCTGTGTTTAATTAAGGGCGTTGAAGCACTAGTCGAATTGGTCTTTTGCTTAATAGATCATTGTTAAATCTCGTTCACAACTTAAAATATTTATCATGAACTTAAAGTACAATTACCAAATTATTACTCTGTGAACCATATCTCAAACTTATAAACTATTTTACTAAAAATTTCATCGAATTAAGTTTTTCGTGACGTAAGGCTTCAAGTGCTTAACCGAGCAAAATATAACAAAGAAACGATTGATACAAACTAGTATCCGCCTAGAACTTATGTTCTAGAATCATGACACTCGATCCTTGTACGGCATACTATTGTTTCGGAGGAAATCGTATGGGCTGTCACCTCTCATGACAGGAAAAGTAATTTTGTGATTCCAAAGGGTCATAATAATATTTACTTTACTTTCATTTTATGTGACATGTTCCCCAAGTAATTTCCTCATCGATATATTGACCTTCTATTTTTCACAATGTTAAATTACATTATATATGCGCATTTTGTAACATTATTTTAAAGTGCTCCTCCACTAAGTGTGGGTTGGAATAGAATACTTTGTTATATTCATCCAGGTAGTAACCCAATATATGAAGAGTCTATTTGTCCTTACTTTCCCAACCGAAGTTAAAGTCCTTGAAATAACATTCTAGCTAAATGCGAGGGTGTTTAATATTGGAATAATTTTTCTGGCACGTTCCTGTGTTTTTTGTTTAACTGGCGTGATTTATACCCAGCGAAACGGTGATTTGAAACATCCATTTCATTTATAGATCCGTACATTTTGTTTACCTGAAGAGAATCCTGGGCGTCCTGGTCTCCCGGGCCGTCCAGGCCTCCCGCGCCGTCCTGGGCTTCCCGTTAGTCCAATAAATGTTGCCTTTAATTTTCTGAAGGTTTTTCTTGCGCTTTGCAGCGCCCTTTTCGATATGTCGTCTGCTGTCATTTCATCATTTGAAATTTCTTTCGAACCGTCTTCTTGAAGAAGAAAAACATTTGAGTTACCACAATACATTCATTATTAGCGACTCGTTGTACAGGTGACTAAGAATGAAGTTCTTAAATAACTGAATGAATTGTTTTGTTAATTACAGTCGAGAAGAACTCTTAGGAAGTCTCATTATCTAACAAAAGAAGATTAGATTTCACATGCACTCAAATAGAGCAAAGTTTACCACCAAACTCACCTCTAAATTTTTCTTGCTTAGTATATAAACATAATTAATCTATTGATTAATTGTTCCTGCAGGAGGAAACCTTAACTAAACTAACTTTATTTATACTGCCGGATAGCTCTATCAGTTCCAAACTGTTCTTCCTAGAGGTCCAGTAAGGATCATCTCTTATTGATCCAGTGTTACTACAGGAGGAAACCTAAACTAAACTGACTTTATTTATACTGGATAGCTCTATCAGTTCTAAACTGTTCTTCCAAGAGGTCCAGTAAGGATCATCTCTTATTGATCCAGTGTTACTACAGGAGGAAACCTTAACTAAACTAACTTTATTTATACTGCCGGATAGCTCTATCAGTTCCAAACTGTTCTTCCTAGAGGTCCAGTAAGGATCATCTCTTATTGATTCAGTGTTACTACAGGAGGAAACCTAAACTAAACTAACTTTATTTATACTGGATAGCTCTATCAGTTCCAAACTGTTCTTCCTAGAGGTCCAGTAAGGATCATCTCTTATTGATTCAGTGTTACTACAGAAGGAAACCTAAACTAAACTAACTTTATTTATACTGCCGGATAACTCTATCAGTTCTAAACTGTTCTTCCTAGAGATCCAGTAAAGATCATCTCTTATTGATCCAGTGTTACTACAGGAGGAAACCTAAACTAAACTAACTTTATTTATACTGGATAGCTCTATCAGTTCCAAACTGTTCTTCCTAGAGGTCCAGTAAGGATCATCTCTTATTGATTCAGTGTTACTACAGAAGGAAACCTAAACTAAACTAACTTTATTTATACTGGATAGCTCTATCAGTTCCAAACTGTTCTTCCTAGAGGTCCAGTAAGGATCATCTCTTATTGATCCAGTGTTACTACAGGAGGCAATCACTAACCTGCGTTGGAACTTTCTTCACACAAAGAATATGTTGCAAAAATCACAAGCACAAATAGCACAATTAATCTTGGGTTTGCCATTTCGACTTAACGATGCCAATTAAATCTTGCTTTCTAAATCCGAGGTATTTATGTTCCCCCCACTTCACTAAAACGTTCGCTTGGTCATCATCCTATATTGGACAGGTCCTTGAGTAGTTCCTCTTTTGTAGTGTTACTACTTAAGTAGTTCCTGTTTTTTCGTTTGCCAGCGAGGCTTGACATTGAGTCGTCTTTGTATTGGAATCAAAGCGAACATTCGTATAGCAATGTGTCGCGCTGAATGGCTTAAATTTTTGCCGGAAAATGTGCCGGTAAAGAGTTTATCCTTACTGGACTTCTAGGAGGAACAGTTTAGAACTGATAGAGCTATCCAGTATAAATAAAGTTAGTTTAGTTTAGGTTTCCTCCTGTAGTAACACTGGATCAATAAGAGATGATCCTTACTGGACCTCTAGGAGGAACAGTTTAGAACTGATAGAGCTATCCAGTATAAATAAAGTTAGTTTAGTTTAGGTTTCCTCCTGTAGTAACACTGGATCAATAAGAGATGATCCTTACTAGACCTCTAGGAAGAACAGTTTAGAACTGATAGAGCTAACCAGTATAAATAAAGTCAATCTTAGTTTAGGTTTCCTCTCGTAGGAATACAAAAATAAAAAAATGATATTAGTTCAAACGGCAAGGATTCTGATTCGAATTGTGGATCGATTATCAACTTTATTTGAAATATAATGCTTACATCATTCAAAATTCTACTGCATGCTCTTTATTTGCTGTTTTCTTTCACAAAAAAACAATAAAACTAATCTAACCACACAGCCTTGAATACTTTCTAAAATCACTAACGTCTTTATATTTTAACTATTATCCCATAATCGCATTCTACAGCGTCGTTCCTGAAGTGCCACAGTTAGGCTAGACCATAGTGCTTTCCAGACTTCTTCTTCTTGCAGCTAAAATCAAAGTAAATACATAAAGCCATATTAGCTGCACTGTTTGTTATATCAATCTCAATTTGGTCGCAGAATGGAGTAAGTAGTTTTGGACCTTGTAAATCAACAGTGTGGCAATGCAACAGATTATTTGCACAAGCAAAAACACTCCTTTATGATTTAGCTCGAGAACGCTTAGCTTTCGTTTAAGGAGAGCAAATGATTTTGTTTAAAAAGAGCAAAGAACATCCCGTCCTGGCGTCTGGTGCAAAACAGCCTTTAATTAAGCCGTGATTCCAACAGCGTGTCTTCAACAGTTCCATAACGATTGCTTACCTTTGGCTTTTAGCACGGCGTTGTATTCAAAGCCCAACACAGCATCGCGACCTTTCAATTCACTTCTTGGCACGACATGGTTTGGTTGAAGTTCTTGGCGAAGATTTGCAACTTTGACAAGTTCACTGATAGGTACTTGAAACAATTTTATCCCTCTAAGCGAGATGTCGGGCAGGGGAGGCCCTGGGATGCCTTTCAGTTCTTTCGAAGTTAAATCTAAACAATTCAGAAGAAACTATTTTAAGTGGAATCCATCACTTCATTCAGTATAGAGCTATCCAGTATAGAAAATTAAAGTTTACTTCAGGTTTCCTCCTGTAGTAACAGGACCTTACTGGATCTCTAGGAAGAACAGTTTAAAATTGATAGAGCTAACCAATATAAATAAAGTTAGTTTAGTTTAGGTTTCCTCTTGTTGTGATACTAGATCAGTAAGAGATGATCCTTACTGGACCTCTAGGAAGAACAGTTTAAAATCGATAGAGCTATCCAGGGTAAATAAAGTTTGTTTAGTTTAGGTTTCCTTCTGTAGTAACACTGGATCAATAAGAGATGATCCTTAGAGGACCTCTAGGAAGAACAGTTTAGAACTGATAGAGCTATCCAGTATAAATAAAGTTAGTTTAGTTTAGGTTTCCTCCGTAGTAACACTGGATCAATAAGATATGATCCTTAGAGGACCTCTAGGAAGAACAGTTTAGAACTGATAGAGCTATCCAGTATAAATAACGTTATTTAGTTTAGGTTTCCTCTTGTAGTAACATGCAGTTACTAATAACTATAGTAAAAGCTAACCTTGCAGGTTTTTGAATACATCACTTTTCGGGTCCTCATATACCACGCAGACATTATCAGGCATTTTTTGCAGGTCCAAATATTCACGAGGAAGATACTTTGTGCCGGGCATTTTTGTATCTCTGTTCTTGAAAAACGTATTGAACTTGTACTCAGATCCTTTCTTCTGCCAGTCTGACCAAATTTTATCAATGAAACCGTGGTGCATAAAGAACTCTGGAGCCGAAGCAGAATTTTCGCCAGACATTGTGCCTCCTACGGCCATATGAAAATTGTCATGAAAGTCATCGCGCAAAGAAAATTCAAAATCCGTAAATTTTTCAGCAGTTTTGCGGAGCAGTTTCTGTACTTCAGCGGCGTTGTGGACTACGTTGTTGAATTTGCGTTTCAGGCAGCCCCTCCCTGCAGACTGGATTAGCGAGAACTTGTCTTTTTGAAAAGGACCAGTCTGGACACAATTCGACTTCAAAGGGTTACCATTTCCACCAAAACCACTTCCGCTTGTCGCCCAGAAATCACTTTCGAAAACTTTGTTGGCCACGAGGCTCCAATCCCAGTACGGCACGGTAATGTCGCTGTCGATTTCACGTAAAAGATTTTCATATTGGACTATGAACCGGCGATGCCAGGGGAGAAAATTGTCCTTCTCGTGAATACTTGTCAAAAATAATCTTTGATGAGTAGTTAAAAGTTCTTCGTATCTTGTTTTATAAGTTGTGGTGGTGGCTGCTATTTTGATAGTTTCGATGTAATGCGCTTTCTCTTTATCCGTCAGACCTGTGAGAAATTCCTTTCGTACACGACACTCTGAAATAAGATCCGTGCAAGCGACTGTGAGAAACATGACTTTGGAGAGGAAGCACAAAAATAACATACACTTAGGGGCTGTTTACATGAGCCCAGTTACCCGAGATTCAACAAAGCGTGAGATGATTTTGAGGTATTGAAATGAGCAGATAACATGATCCTGGCAGTCGTATAATCACCACAACAATAGTATGTGCTTGTTTGGTGTCATAAAGACTTATTTCAATACCTCAAAGTCCTCTCACGCTTCGTTGAATCTCGGGTAACCGGGCTCATGTAAACAGCCCCTAAATGCATGCTCCCAAGGGAAATAGTGAGTTTTGTTTTCCCAAGAGTCTGAATGTTTCCCGAGATGAAGTCAAGGGAAACATTGAGACTCGAGGGAAAACAAAACTCACTATTTCCTGAGGTGCAGCGAACATTAAGTGTTTTGTTATATAGGAACAAAAACATACATGTTACACGACAATTTCATTTCAAAAAACTTTGTTATGACAATATGCGGGCAACAATTTTTCACTTGTTTCCCTGGCGGGAAACATTGCATTTATTTAAAGTCATGTGACTACGAATGAACCAATCACTCATACATCATGCACACTCATACGAGTGTAAAGTGCCGATTTTTGTTGGTACCAACCTACCCCCGGCAATGAATAGAATACAATATTGCATTGAGATGAAATTTAAGTACGTATATGAAGCAGTTACGAGAATAGTTATGAGAATGCGTTTTCTCGAACGGTAAATGGCCCACTTGAATTACCTGCTGGTTTGCCAGTTGTAGTACTGTGACCTGTTAGGTAGGATAGATGGAAAAGTCACATTTATCATTAGGTTTCCTACTTAGCGTTTTCTAGCTAACCTTTCAAATTTTAAGTGAATATATTACGTCTAACATTTTTCAACGTGACCATGCTTCAATTTCATGGGCGAAGAGAAATGAAAGTTATAATTGCACTCTTAAGTCTAGGGTCACGAAAGGGGGGGGAGCTCTACACATATACATACGAGTGTAAAGTGCCAATTTTTGTTGGTACCACCCCCCGGCAATGAATGGAATACAATATTGCATTGAGATGAAATTTAAGTACGTATATGAAACGGTTACGAGAATAGTTATGAAAATGCGTTTTCTCGAACGGTAAATGGCTCGCTTGAATTACCTGCTGGTTTGCCAGTTGTAGTACTGTGACCTGTTAGGTAGGATAGATGGAAAAGTCACATTTATCATTAGGTTTCCTACTTAGCGTTTTCTAGCTAACCTTTCAACTTTTAAGTGAATATATTATTTCTAACATTTTTTTAACGTGACCATGCTGCAATTTCATGGGCCAAGAGAAATGAAAGTTATAATTGCACTCTTAAGTCTAATCCACTTAATATAAAACACTCTAGTATTTACAACCAACCAAATAAGTCAATCATTATTCAGGATAAAAAATGTGAATTCTAACACCAGCGGATCTGTTGATTGTTGATTGTTGATGATTACCTATACTTATTTATAATTATTTATCTATTCAAAACTGATCAAACGTATTCACAATTAATGCATGGATGAACTGTTCCTTCCATATCCAGTCGAATATTAAGTGAAACTACATTTAGGACACATAATCATTTTATCACAATGTTTGCTAGGGTTTTATGCAAGATCTTGTTCGTGAAATCCTTAAAACCTTCTCTTTACACGTATATCGTTTGCCGAAGTTCAACACTTAGTTGTAAAGACGAAATTCTTATGCAAGCACTAAAAAATTTTACCATCTATTAATACGACATATAGCAGTAAATATATATGTACCTGCAGGGGGACCAACGGATTTATTCTTTTTTATCGAATTTGTTATTATCTGCAGCAACCTCAAAATTTTATCTAGGATTGAATCTGCAAGAAAAAACATGGGAAATTAATGAAATGTCAACCGTCATGCAGTCTTAAGTTAATCCTATCCTACGATAATTTCTTCATGCAACTGTCCAGATGAAGGCCAGGTTTAACAGACCGGGAGCTTTGTTTACAACAAATGGAAGTAGTGTTTCTACAAGTTGGTGATCTTTCTTAATTTCTTTATTAAAACAGATAAATTCACGTCTTTTTTTACCTCTCTTAGAGATTTCTTTCCCAAAGCAATGTTCGGTTAACGCAATGAACACCAACAGCGCCAAGATTCTTTTTCGTCCTTCCATCTCGTCTTCCTTTTCGTCTTCTGAAAATGATTTCGAACGCAAGGCATTTTATAGAGTCATGCAGTCACGTTTTCTCATCCCAAACCTACTGATGACAAAAACAATTTTTCTAAATTTATCCATTCACAAAGAAAGTACTTAAGTGGACAAAGAAAGATCATTTATGGTTATCACGAATTATAGGAGGAAAAAATGAAATAGTTAAACTCCTGTAGTTTTGAGCCTTGATACAAAATACCCAACATAGATACGATTTTTAAACTTCCCTCTCTATGAAATCCAACTTTTTAGCCTCGTCCAAACGAGTGGTTCAGTTCATACCACCAAATTTATTTGAACGACACTTTCCGTGATATGGTGTGTGCTATATATGGAATTACAACCATCCTTTTAGGTTCTATGGAATATGTCACAATGGCATATCCGACATCGTCGAGCCGGATTTAGTGTGAACGTGCATGGCAAGTTGGCGAGGCACGATCTGGGAATATTATTCCGGAAAGCAATTTTAGGGCAGTGCCTTAATATAGTTGCTACCTTTAATCTATTGATATTCGACCAGGCAGCATTAGAGCATTGCTGATGGATTATTGCATGAATGATAGCCACATGTGAATGTTAGTTTCCTCCCCTCCTGCAATGTGTAATATGTGTTTGGACTATGTGTTTGGTTGCGTTGAGATGAATGAAAATGGTTTCACTCTCAATGGTTTGTTGACGTGAAGATACCTGCTCTGGCGTTAACACGTGACAGATTGAGCAAGTCGGCACTAGAAGTTGACGTCAGTGGATGATGAAAGATTGTTTATGCATGGTTACCTTGAATTATGAGGAAAAATTTAGCTGGACCTCTGTAGTTTTGAGTCGTGATAACGACTGTCAAACCCAACTTGGATACGATTAAAAAATTTCCCTCTCTATGTTCAATTTTTCACAATCCAATTTTTCAAAATCCAATTTTTCAAAATTCAATTTTCAGCCACTTCTAAACAAGTGGTCCCGTTAACACCACCAACTGAGATTTGGACGACACATTCGGCTGGTAGGGTGTACACTACATATACTGAATTACAATCGTTGTTCTATGTCCTATACTATGTCATGATGACTCTAATGGTATCTTCAGAGCCGTCTCTCGTGTAAACGTGGAAAGTGGCACGTTACAATCTGCGAATATTATTCCGGAAAAAAATTTAAGTGTGCAGTATATCCTTATTTTATTATATATATAGAGATTTATGCACAGCAGAATAATGAAATAAAACTCATATTTTTCTGTGTAAATTAATTTTATGTAATTTGATTGAACATGCGATGTTTTTCACGTGTGAAAAAATGCCATACACGGCTTTTGATTGGACGTACGATATTCTTCACATGTGAAAAATTGTCGTATGTCATTTTGGCGGCAATTTGTTGTTTACATTTTCTTTCAAGATGGCGTCGAAATATAGGAGTGAGATTCAAAACATAATTCTCATATTCAAGATATTTTCACATTCAGCACATTCTCAAATCTTTCGGAAAGAATATCTAACTTTTATTGAACAAAATTACAAAGAAACTGAACGGTAGTAAATATGTTTTGATGCATAAAATTTCGATTTTTGTTGCTCGCTGTGTTTTTGCATATTAAAAGCGTGTCGTTTTCAAATTGATCTCTATACACATTTAATAAACAAAATTACTTCATGGTTGGCTCGTTTGTACGATTTTTATCATAAACTCGTTGTGAAGGATCGCAAACTCACTCGTTCGCTACGCTCACTCGTTCGTTTTGCGATGCTTCACAATTCGTGCATAAAAATCGTACGTACTCGCCAACCATGAAGTAATCTCTGTATAGTTGTTACCTTTAATCTATTGATATTCGACCTGGCAGCATTAGGGCATTGCTGATCGATTGTTATACGAAATATATTTTTAGCCACACGTGAATTTTTAATGCCTCCCCTCGTCTAATGTCTAATATGCGTTTGGATTAGTTTGTTGACGTCAAGATACCTTCTTTAGCGTTAACTAAGACGTGCGTGCTATTTTAACCCATTGCAAAGATTACCTCGAGCTCTCTTACACAGGATATCCTAGGAATACTATTAATATACCACTATAATATACCCTGTTTGCCCTCCCAAAAGCCAATCAAATACAAACCAGTAGAACTTCACTTGCAATGTTTTGAAATGATATTCTGTATGAATTCTTATGATATACTATAAATAGAGATTACTACTTCATTATTGCCGAGTGCGTATAGATTTTTATGCACGAGTTGTGAACTTTACAACGAGTTTATAATAAAATCGTACAAACGAGCCAACCATAAAGTAATTTGTTTATTAAATGTGTATAGACTATAGAGATCAATTTGACAACGACACGCTTTTAATATACAAAAACACAGCGAGCAACAAAAATCGAAATTTTATGCATCAAAACATATTTATTACCGTTCAGTTTCTCTGTAATTTTGTTCAATAGAAGTTAGATATTCTTTCCGAAAGATTTGAGAATGTGCTGAATGTGAAAATATCTTGAATATGAGAATTATGTTTTGAATTTCACTCCTATATTTCGACGCCATCTTGAAAGAAAATGTAAACAAATTCCCGCCAAAATGACATACGACAATTTTTCACGTGTGAAGAATATCGTACGTCCAATCAAAAGCCGTGTATGGCATTTTTTCACACGTGATAAACATCGTACATCCAATCAAATTGCATGGAATTAATTTACACAGTGAAAGACGATTTTTTATTTCATTCTGCTGTACATAAATCTCTATACACATATAATAATACAATATATGTGTGTTTTGATATCAACCAAACTAGAAAAACCTTGGCGAGAGAGTATTTTTTATTTACATTAAGAGGTACAATTAAGCTTATATTGTACTGCCTGCTATTTTATACAGTGGAATGCTTTCAAATGCAATAATTATTATGACTTGCAGGACAGGATTGTATCAAATGAAATGAAAGATTTTGATATTGCAGGCCCTCTCTCTGAGCTATTTTATCTATATAATGTTAGCATGAGAGAATGAAACATTCAATGAAATCGTAAAACATGAAGACAGAAATGTTAACTGAACAAAATACAGTTATTCGCGTGTAAAATGAGAGCATATAAAGAAAAATGGAAATCTCAGATTGAATAATAAAGCGCATGCACTGGGTAACTCCGAACTTAAAGTTTCAAGCGAGACACACAATTGTTATCATCAATTTGACGATTTCTCATTCTGGTGCGAGAGATTATTGTTCAAGGTCATTGATTCAGGACTATTTACAACGCACTTTACGCATGTCAGATCGCGCAATTAAGTCATCACCGGAAGATGACGTAAGTGAATAAAGGAAGATTATTTATGGCTATCGTGAATTAGGGGAAAAAATTAAATAGCTGCTAGACTCCTGAAGTTTTGAGTCAGTCAAAATGCCCAACGTCATAGTTTTATACGATTCACAAACTTCTCTTTCCATGAAATCCAATTTTTCAACCTCTTTCAAACAAGTGCTTCCCGTTCACAACATCAGATTTAAACGACACTTTGCTGGTAGGCTATATAGGTTTGATAAAATATAGTTATGGCTATGCCAATCAAAACAGGTGGGCAAATATCGAAAGTTATGACAAGCAAAGTAATATGTCACAGTCACAAGCACGTATCAATCACATTATGTTAAAATTTGGGTTTCTGCATCAGGCAGTAATTTTGAGATGTTGTTCACAGAGGTAATCTTCAAAAATTTTACTAAAAGTTCAGGATAAATATTTTAAATTGTGAACATTTTTAAGTAGTGATGGATTGAGCAAAAGACCAACTCACATTGGGCATTGCTGATCGATTGTTGTACGAAACTATGAAACTAGCTTCGTTTAGGTTTCCTCCTGTAGTAACACTGGATAAATAAGAGATGATCCTTACTGGACCTCTAGGAAGAACAATTTAGAACTGATAGAGCTATCCAGTATAAATAAAGTTAGTTTAGTTTAGGTTTCCTCCTGTAGTAACACTGGATCAATAAGAGATGATCCTTACTGGATCGCTTATAGAGCTATCCAGCATAAATAAAGTTAGTTTAGTTTAGGTTTCCTCCTGTAGTAACACTGGATTAATAAGAGATGATTCTTACTGGACCTCTAGGAAGAACAGTTTAGAACTGATAGAGCTATCCAGCATAAATAAAGTTAGTTTAGTTTAGGTTTCTTCCTGACGTTCCTGTAGTAACACTGGATTAATAAGAGATGATTCTTACTGGACCTCTAGGAAGAACAGTTTAGAACTGATAGAGCTATCCAGTATAAATAAAGTTAGTTTAGTTTAGGTTTAATTCCTGTCGTAAGAATACAGGCATGAAAGAATTGTTTCACGTTCAGACGGCAAAGATTCTGATCCAAATTGTAGAATTGTAGCTTTATTTAAAATAAAATGCTTACATCATTCAGAAACCTACAGCATGCTTTTTATTCTGCTATCTCCATTCTTTAGAAAATCAACTATAGACTTATCTAACGATTCAACCTTTAATGCTTCCTAAAATCACTAAAACCTTTAGACTTTATCTGCCATCCCATTCTGCTGTGTTGTTTCTGACATGTCGCTTCTAGACTCATCCATGATGCTTTCCAGAAATCTTCTTTGCAGCTGAAAATGAAGTAAATAAGCAAACCATATCACCTGCATGTACTGCAGGGACCGCGGAGGGGGGGGGGCTGGGGGGCCCCATAATTTTCTAAATACATGTGATTCCTTTATAGCGATTTTTATCTGGCCATAATAATACGAATAAAAACTCCTTATAGTAAGTTGTGTAATCATAATTATGTGTTCACTATCCGTGTCGGTGAACAATGTTTTCATTAAAGTGTTTACAAGAAAAATATAAATAGATAAGTATGGACCCCCCCGAGCGTTCACTCTTTCGGCTTCGCTAGCCCCCCCCCCAATCCAAAAACTGCTCCGCGGTCCCTGTATTGTAAAGTCAATGCCAATTTGGTCGCAGAACACGAGCTATTCGCATTTGTGAGCGGATATTAACGGAGTTAACGTCAGAGCAGACGTCCTGTTATAAATTAGCCTTCAAGGCCTGCTTCTATGCAATAGCGTGTTATAGTTCATTACAATAAAAGTGGTTATCATACCACTTTCTTGTATCAAAAAACTTCTCTGAAATGAACACTTTCTATAGACAGCATATATAAGTTATGACACAAACGAGATTTTGCAGAATTTGTATATTAACTGCATGTAGAAATGATAATGGGCCATACCTTGACTTTCTTTAACGTACTGTATTCAAAGCCCATCACAGCATCTTGACCTTTCAATTCACTCTCTTCCACCACACGATTTGGTCGGAGCCTTTTGCCAAGATTAGAAACGTTGACAACTTCAGTGCAAGGTTCTTTGAACAATTTTATCGCTGGAGGCGAGAGGTCAGGCTGGCGTAGATTTGGGATATTCTCCAGTACTTTCAAAGATAAATCTAAACAATTTAGACGAACCAATTTTAATAGAAGTTCATTTCATTCACTATCTTGTGCTAACACCTTTATAAATAGTTAACATTTGCCCACTAGACCTCTAGGAAGAACAGTTTAGAACTGATAGAGCTATCCAGTTTAAATAAAGTCAGTTTAGTTTAGGTTTCCTCCTGTAGTAACACTGGATCAATAAGAGATGATCCTTACTGGACCTCTAGGAAGAACAGTTTAGAACTGATAGAACTATCCAGTTTAAATAAAGTTAGTTTAGTTTAGGTTTCCTCCTGTAGTAACACTGGATCAATAAGAGATGATCCTTACTGGACCTCTAGGAAGAACAGTTTAGAACTGATAGAGCTATCCAGTATAAATCAAACTAGTTTAGTTTAGGTTTCCTCTTATAGTAACATGCAGTTAATGATAACTATAAGAAAAGCTAACCTTGCAGGTTTTTGAATACATCACTTATCGGGTCCTCATATACCACGCAGACATTATCAGGCATTTTATGAAGGTCCAAATATTCACGAGGAAGATACTTTGTGGCGGGCATTTTTGTATCTATCTTCATGAAAAACGTATTAAACTTGTTCTCAGATCCTTTCTTCTGCCAGTCAGACCAAATTTTCTCAATGAAACCGTGGTGCATAAGGAACTCTGGAGCCGATGCAGCGTCTACGCTACACATCGTTTTCTCCACACAACAGTGAAAATTGTTGTGAAAAATCGTACGCAATAGTTTCTCAAAAGTCGAAAATTCTTCAGCAGAGTAGCGGAGCAGTTCCTGGACTTTGACAGCGTCCTGGACTCTACCGTTAAACCCGCGTTTCAGGCAGCCCCCTCCCGCAGACTGGATTAGCGAGAACGCGTCTTCTCGAAAAGGACCAGTCTGGACACAATTCGACTTCAAAGGGTCGCCATTTCCACCAAAACCACTGTCGTCTGGCGCCCAGAAATCATTTTCGAAAACCTCGTTGGCCACGAGACTCCAATCCCAGTACGGCACCGTAATGTCGCTGTCGATTTCACGTAGAATATTCTCATATTGGACTAGAAACCAGCGATGCCAGGGAAGAAAATATGTTTGCGTGTGAATACCTTTGTTAAAATAGTCTCTATGAACGGTTAACAGATTTTCGTATTTTGTTTTCTGAGGTTCGGTGGTAGCTGCCTTTTTCACAGTGCTTATGTAATGCGCTCTCTGTTCTTTCGTCAGACCTGTGAGAAATTCTTTTCGCACGCGACATTTTGCTGGTACCTCTGAAACAAGACGCAAAAAAGCCCCATTTACACTAAGCTCAATTTTTTGTACGGTACCGAAAAAAATGGTACGGATGAAATTTTAAACTGTCAAATATAGTTAGTCAAATTTCACCCGTACCAATTCTATCCGTTTACACTATGTTTGATTTCAGTTTTGGTACGGATGTGCTGAGAATGATGAGATTTGGACTGCCTGAATATAAATGGTCCAAATTTCATCAGTAACTATACCAAACCTTGAATTTCACGTGGTGTTAATGGGGCTAAAGATGACTGTAATTTAAGAGAGCAAGTGTGGGCCTTAAGTCGTGTGTGTTGCACCGAACTACCGGGAGACCAATGTTCTACAAATCATGTTGTTATATAGGTGCTGTGTATTTTAAACGTGCTTGGTTCATTCGTAGTCACATGACTTTAAATAAATGCAATGTTTCCCGCCAGGCTATACAGAAAGTTCCCAGAACGGGCGCGTAAAAAATGACTTATTACAAAGTTATTACAAATAATATGATGAGCATGCAAATATAAAATATTCAAAAATATACACTATTTACGATTTCTAAATAGTTCCATCTGTTTATTATCACAATAATAGGCTAATAGCGATAGGCTTTCATGTCTGCCATTATTTTATCAGCGTAAGGCGAAAAAATCAGTTTAACATTCAGTTAGTTTTGATCAGTAAATTAATCGAAGCAAAGTTACATATTAAGCGTGACTCATGCACTTACCTTCAGCATTTTCAACGGCTTTTTCTAAAAAAGAAGTAAATTAAAGAAGTGTCTTTTTTAATGATTTTAAATACTTACGCTTTATTGTATAGGTATAATAATGATGTTTAAATCATGTAAATAATCTAGTTTTGTAATTTATATGCATTGTAAAGTTGCACGTTTGTTACAACTCCATTATTGCAATGCAGTTTAAACAAAAACGTATACATAAATACATACACACATATCCTTAGCATAGGAGATTTATATAAAACTAAACGTCGAACTCAATTACCTTCCCAGAAACCTTCTTCGCAGGAAGAGTATGCTGTATAATATACGATCAAGGAAAGCACAACTATTCTTCTTAGACTTGCCATCTCCACCAAACCAAATGAAGCTAACCTCCTAAATGCGCAGTTTTTATACTCTCTCAAGTCTCACCTTATTAAACGCTCGCTAAATATTTCATCCTGCTTAATTAAGGCAGGCCCCAAACAGTGATAAGTGGATTACAGAAGGGCCACTCAGCAGTGCTAAGTGTGGTCGTTTGCTTATGCAAAAACATGCATTAAACTGTCCAGAAAGCCGGCAAGCGGCCACCACCAGTAGAGCATGTTCATTGGTCAAAAATATCATCAACTGGCTTGAAAGATGACAAAACACATGCACTGATGTAATGGGACTACATTCACATCAAATGGTTTAAATTCAACTCAAGTGGCGGTTCCAGTCCTGTCATTATTCTACATAAAGTAGCAGTTGTTTAGACGAGATGATTGACAGGGGGAATAAATTTCGAGTACCCTATCTTTTGCGCATGTTCCGTAAAGCAATACGGCGGCAACGTGACACGAATGTTGCAATAAGTCTCAGAGGTTTCTTGATATGTAGAAGATACAATGATAGATGTGGATTCACATGTGCACGCTCCTATATATGCAGTGAATTCTTAACCAATCTTTGCAAAATCAGTATTTGGCCTTCTCATTTCCAAACACTTTTTTTCTAATGCGTTTCTCGCAAATTCGCTATCCACAAGGGAAAATATTATACTTGTTTGTGAAATTTTCCTCTAAATTCGTGACGTCACGGTCGAGAAGGTCGCCGACCAATCAGCGTAGCCGTTTAGAAGTGCTCGTTCCAGGTCACACATTTTACCATTATTTACCTCGTATTGTAGATGATGAAAGTAATAAATAAAAATCTTCAAATTGTAAATAACTGAGCCTTATTTGATAATTCAACTTTGGGTTGTAGTTTTTAACCCGAAATTTTAGAGGAAAACGTGCATGAAACGAATATACGAAGAGTGTTTTCGTCTTAGTTCATTTTCTTTATCGTTTCGAGTACAGGAAATAACACTTGTTTATCTGCGTAGCCAGTGTTTGTCTAGAATAATTACATGTGTAGACGTGACTGAACAGTAAAGGAAATATCCTTGAAATGATTGACGGCAAAGCTGTAATGCTCATGCGCACTCTGAAGGTCAATAAACAAGCGGATAAAAACAGACCTCTTATCTTGTCAACGATAATGGAGTGATGATTGACATTTTTTCAGTCGATCAATCAAATCAATTTTTATCACTACTTGACATTGATTGTTGTTTGCGATGCAAAATAAATACGGATAACTTTATTTGCATTCCATTTACGATTGTACTCGGCCAAAATGAATCTATTGTAGCGAATGCCGGCTGGTTTAACAATCACTTTTTTATTTCATCTTCGGAAATCTTTTTGGATGTTTAATGACACTACAAGGCTGGTATAAGTTCTATCAATGAACATCCTTTTGTATCCTAGCGCCATGAAAGTGTTTAATGATGAGATAATCGACCTGGCGCCATCAACCGTGATTAATCCAACTTAAGTACAATATTCCTCAGGAGGAAAAAAATAAAACATCGGTGAATATTGTGTGAATTTGCCAGAAATGGTGCGCACATAGCATGGTGTTGATATAGAAGTTCTCGGAGATGTATTTAAAAAAGTCAATAGGTAGAGTATACATGGGCAAACAGTCATTTAATTTTATACATTTTTTGTATTAGTTCACATAGAAATATCTCAATATGACAAAAAATATACGGATGAGAAATTATTTTCCCAGTGTTCTCAAAAAACGCATATATATATCGTCATCATCTTCCATATCTTTCATATCAGATGTTGTTAATAAATAGAACACTTCAATTATACGCATATAGATTTATATACATGATGTACACAGATGTACATAGATGTCCATCAGGCCACGGAAGAATGCAATTATCAGCCATCTGGAAAATTGTATTTCAATACAAATTGCCAAGTTTTCTTTTCACTTTTTACCAGTAAGTCGAGCGAAAAATCCCGGTCGTTTTTCTTTCACCGTGTTTTGGAAATCTGCAAAGGAATATGAATATTCGTCGATTGTCACATCACTGGTTGCTCTATAGCTAGTTAAAAAACATATAAAGCTGTTTGTTTACATTGCATGATTTTTCAAAAAATTACTTGATTTTTTACTTTCTTGAATATATATGTATATATTTATGAGTTACCTGTGCTCAGAACATAGTTATATGCACCAGATTTTTGCGCTTCTTGTGTGAAAGCTGTTTCTCTGGCCCTGGGATACTACGAAACGAAGACATCACAACAATTCAGAACTGTTTTGTTTTGACCAAAACTGGTAGTCGATTGTAAACACATTTTTGCGATTCCAATACCTTGTTTCTGTAGTAATTTGAACTTATTTTTATCAAACTGTCTAACATCCTCGAAGCTTCTTTTTCCTAAAACATTAGTAGTGTCAAATCACATCAAAACAATGGCTGTGACCATTATTTATTTTCGATATTGTTTATTATTTAACTTTTGCTATTTGTACATTTACACGAATTATAAAACACTCAGCCAGATGGTCCTGACAAATGGTCCTGACTATGTTTTCGTGACAAAATTAGGACTTGGAAGAAAAAACTATCAACCAGACAACCACAAAATGCACAAATCGCTTGATCATTCCTCGATGAAATGTTTTCTCACAATTTCACCGTTTACCTCAATTTGTCTGTCCCTAAACTTTGTCTCAAGGTTTTCCTTGATATGTGATCCAAGGTCTCTGCCTTGTCGCGTAGAATCGATCGGCCATTGCTCGCAAATTTGTAGAAATCTTTGGTAAAGTTGGCTTGCCTGAGCGGCCGACTTTCGAGACGCCATCTTTGTTTTCAATGCTCAAGTTGTGCACCGCTGAACACAGGTATAGCAGTTGAGCCGATTCCAGGAACTCAGAAGAGTTTTCGGCCAGCCAATGACATTAGCTTACACTAACTGGAGAATTAACCAATTAGATTCGAGATTGTTATCCAATCAGAAGAAAACAAATAAAACTATTGTTTTCAGCCGGTTTTGGAATTTGGAGTCTCGTGTGCATCGCGGGATCTCCACGCGTGTGAATAACCTGCATTCAAAATGGCTGCCGCAAATGTCTGAGATTTTAATTTTGTGCAAGTTTGGACGCGAAATTCAACAAAGTGAAAGCGTTTGACGGTATATTATCGAACTATGGAGTTCGCAGAGTTCATAAAAATCCCAATGGTCGATAAAGTGACCCTTGTTCGGCCAGGATTCTCCCGTGTTGTAGGAACTTTGTGTATCACTGGACATCACCTGCTTTTCTCATCTCGTATGCAGGACAGCGAGGAACTGATGGTTGGTTAACTTGGTTTTGTATTTGCATAAAAAAAATGTAGATAGGCTATGCATTGTAACGACCTATTGCACAAGGTATTCTTTACAAGTACAGGATACGCTTTTAGAGTACTTGGTAAACGAAAATAACACCATTTGTGAGACAATTTGGATGATAATTTTCATACATTATTATACATCGGCCGATCGGCGATGGTTATTGCCATTGATCATTATTAATGCATGAAATCCTTTGCCTAACAAAGTTTTTTACTACATTGATTTCTGATGGATTGTATGACAAACCGAGGCCAGGCTTTGAGCCTCACTTTGATGCTTCGGCAAAGCAAAAATGCCAATGGCTCTATGATCCTCTTTTGTTTGTTGACACTATAGCTGCTACACAGCAATGTGGAAAGCGTTGATCGGAGGAGTTCTGGTCAAGAAGCCATTCTCGTGATTGGTTGCAAGAATTTTGATGTGTTTCAACTGATTTTTCCATTCCCTGAAGATGCTCAAAAAGTTCAGGCATCCATTGAACCTTTATCTGTTGTTGGTAAGCCTTATGAAGTCAATAACCCCCACCTAAAATTTTCATACCCCCTGGAAAATATATGCTATCCCTTTCCCTCAACTATATTCTTATCCCATCATAACTCTTCATACTCTCTCATGCCCTATCATATCCTCAAACTGATGTTTTTTAGCCCCCCAAAACTCTCAGTATAGCCTACTTTTTTATCCCATCATATCCTTTCATAGTCCCTGATACCCCTTTATATCCTTTAACTTATTTTTTACCCCTTAGAAACCCTCAGTGTAGCCTACCCATTCTTCTACCAAGCAACAACTGCCGAATCAAAAATGGAAAATGGCTGGGATCTTTTTGGTATAGACACATATTACATGAAAATTGTTCAGAAAACTGAAAACTGGCGATTGTCTTCGGTCAATAAGGATTACAAGGTGAATGATTTAAATAGCTTCATCAGTTCTAAACTGTTTTTCCTAGACGTCCAGTAAGGATGATCTCTTATTGATCCAGTGTTACTACAGAAGGAAACCTAAACTAAACTAACTTTATTTATACTGGATAGCTCTATCAGTTCTAAACTGTTCTTCCTAGAAGTCCAGTAAGGATCATCTCTTATTGATCCAGTGTTACTACAGGAGAAAACCTAAACTAAACTAACTTTATATATACTGGATAGCTCTATCAGTTCTAAACAGTTCTTCCTAGAGGTCCAGTAAGAATCATCTCCTTTTGATCAAAGGTTGGAGAGGGAATTTCACTAACTAGAAAAAGCATTTCATAGAAACAAGCTGGCAACCATTCTCAATTAAGACGAGACCTGTGTGTTGTTTACTAGTTGACAACTGCTAAGCCAATGTCCAATGACAGAATATTCTCGATTGCAGGTTTGTCCAACCTACCCTTCCAGGGTCTTAGTTCCAAGAAAAATCTCTGATGAAGTCCTGAAGAAGTCTGCAGCCTTTCGTCAGCATGGCCGCTTTCCCGTCTTATGCTATGTTCATGGTGTTAAGAAGGTAATTAATGTTATTGTTAAAATTATAGTTCTTATAATCGATCGTTCGACTTTTCTGGGAATTTTTTGAAGTCTGCACTGCGCACGCGCACTGATGCAAACATCAACTTACCAGCGCCACTTTAAATGAACGATTTCAGGCACCATGCGAAGATTTAAACTTCCGAATATCGACTTATTTTCCCAGAGTTGTTTGCTGCGGAGTTCCCAACCGGCGTCGGGCATAACGATGAGAAGGTGCAAAGAAGATGAAAAACTGTTGAATGAAACATTAAGTCCTGATAGCAAAGGTCTTATACTTGATACCAGGCCAGCCACATCGATATATAACAGCCGAAGTAAAGGTAGGTTTCTTTGTGACAGTACATAACAAAGTAAATGAGTGATAAACGATAGCTTCACGTCTTTGTCTTGACTTTTTGGACTAAGGCTTGGTAGCGCTATCCACTGGATAGGGTGTTTTTCAATCGCTCTAAAATCGCTCGACTTCGGTGCAATTTAAATTGAACTTTCTATTCCTGAAGTATTTTTTCTTTCTATTTATTCTTGGGTCAATATGTACAATTTTGTTACTTTTCAAGCACCTTTGCGTTACTTGAAAAAATCACTATCCGATTGATAAAGCTATCCAGCCGTACAATCCACCCCAGGGGTAGGGGCAGGGGCTGTCCTAAACCAAGTCATCATTTTCTGCAGGTTTTGGTATTGAACCAGATTCAAATTATCCACAATGGAGGAAATTTTACGGAAATCTGGCAAGGCACAAGGAATTTACGGATATGTTTCATAAATACGTGGAAGGTGAGAAACCATATTTGCAAACTTGGTCGATTTCAGTTGGACCATCCAGTGAAGTGTTAGAGATCAGGCACTGACCTCGAAATAATAAACTGGATAGCGCTTTCGAAGTCCAATTAGTGCAAAACAAGTCTAACACTTACAATGATGATCATTATGTTTACAAGTTTAGTGTTCTATACTTTCTAAATATCTTGTTTATTTAGCGTGTATTGACAGCGAATCATCAACGAGCACGTGGCTGTCGAAACTTGAGTCCAGCGGTTGGCTCAGACAGTTGCATCTGATTATCAGTGCTGGTAACGTTGTTGCTGCAAATCTACACAAAGGTTCGTCTCCTCTTAGACTTAGTCGAAAGTCGAAAATCTCGCCAAACCCTTGGCTGGGCCTCTCAACACGTTTTCTTTATCTATTTGAAGGTGCAACAGTTCTTATCCACGGTGGGAGTGGCAAAGACACCACCTTGATTGTCAGTTCCTTCGCCCAGGTACTCCTGGACCCACAATGCCGCACCGTGCAAGGGTAAGACTGTTGATCTCAATATGTATCTGGAGTGAGGACATCTAATGTTACTTCTTTACAAGTGAAAATAAACCCATAATTCCGGGTACACTCTAAATTCGAACCGATACCTGCCCTCCCCTTCGTCCTAGGTTAGGGGTGCACCCCCCCCCCTTCCGCAAACTCCCCGGAAACCCAATCCCTGCTCTAACTAGAAGTTTCTTCGCATTTCTAGTTTCAAAAGTTTAATAGTCCGTGAATGGCTATCGGCCGGGCACCCGTTCAGAGAACGCTGTATTAAACTGGGTACTTCTAACATGAAGTACAAGGGACAATCTCCGACCTTTCTCATGTTCCTTGACGCAGTTTACCAGGTCTGTACATTTCCCATCAAGTAATTCATCTTAATAAAAACATCACCACTTACTATTGAGTGTAGTGAGTTTTGTTTTCCCTAGAGTCGACTCACTATTTCCCGAGTAGCGAACATTAAGTATTTTGTTATATAGGAACAAAAACATACATGTTACACAACAATTTCATTTAAAAAAGAAAACCCCTTTACTTTGTTATGACAAGAAGCGGGCAGCAATTTTTCGCTTGTTTCCCTGGCGGGAAACATTGCATTTATTTAAAGTCATGTGACCACGAATGAACCAATCACATTTAAATACACAGCACCTATATAACAATGCTTTTTATACCCGAACTGTTTAAACCTCCCTCTACGCGTGGGAATTTTCTTCCGCGAATTTTCTGTGATGGGAAAAATTAGCATTCCACCTTTTGTCCAAATGCATTTACCGTGACAAATCGCCTTTATAAAATTACTCATTCTCACGAGAAAAATATGTTTGTGACGCGAAGTCAGCTGATCTGAGATCATGACGTTGTAAAGCGTCTCGACAAAACTTAGTTATCACGTTCCTGGTGTTATTTGTCCCTATTCTTCCAACTAATAGTATAAAAGGTAAAAAATTTAAATTCTAATTTACAGTTGGGAAAAATAAACGTGTTTTCACATAAATATAATAAAATTACTTGGGATATTCGAGTCTCGAAGTCATATGCAATGAAGGAAATGATAATTCAGTTTTGTCGAAGATCTGGCTTCTGATTGGTTGAGCTTTATACCCAGATCAGCTGGAGTTAGTTACAAAGAGTCGCTTGTTAATACGATGGTCTTTACCATAACAATCGACATCATTCAAAGATCTTGCTTTCTCTATATTTTCAGGTTATGCAACAGTACCAATGTTCGTTTGAGTTTAACGATAAATTCCTTCAAACACTTTTTGAAAATGCTTACAGTTCTAACTACGGTGAGATTGCTGAAGTCTTCGAATCAGTTTCAATTGACTTAAGGCGCTGTTACACCAATGATGCAACTTTTCTTGCAACTTGCAATGCAATCATAATTTTGAGGGATGTTAATTTGTAGGGAGTGTTCGAAATGCTAAGAAAACGTTAGCAGATCGTAAGAAATATTCGTATTTGACAACATTAGATACCTCAGGAGTAGAATTGCATTGCAAATTGCAAGGAAAGTTGCATAGTGTAACACTGCCTTAAAGGTCTGTTCACACGATCCAATTTTGTTGGATCCAATTCACTTCTGATGGATGCTTTATAGTCTGTTGTATTGCAATGTATGTGGACTGCAAATCAACTGAAGCCAAAACAGTACTGTCTCATCAATAACATACTACATTCCATACGTCAGAAGTGAATTGGATAGTTTGAATAGACCTTTACTAATACCCTAATTCTGCTGCAAGTATTCGACATTCTTTTCAATCTAATATTTAGGAACGTTTCTGGGAAACTGCGAACATGACCGGGAGAAAAATGGCGTTCGGGAGAAAACAGTCAGTCTATGGTAATATTTTAGCCCTTGGTTTTAAAAGCCTTTTGAAGTCCGCTTAATCGTCGTATTTTCCCTCTTTGACATACCTTTAGGAACTATTTGAATGATCCTGAGATATTGAAACCAATGCTGAATCCTGTTTATGAATTAAATGCGTCCGTTTTGAGCCCTTCGGCCGCCTCGCAAACGTTGGTACGTCATGTAATATATCATCCTATTCACTTCTTATGATTTATGTGGGTCACTCTAAAACAGCGTCTATTCGTCGCGATTTGACGCAATTTCTGCGCATGCTCCATCAAAATATTTGTTCTTTCTTCCAGTCAGTGTGGTCGGGCATATTCCTACGAGGTCAGGTCGATCCCAGGATTGATAGCGAAATTTGGGACGAAGTCAGGAAAATTCAAACACAGAATAAGGAATTGAAAACCAAAGCTCTCGAACTAAGAAGGTGCAGTTACTAACACACAAACTATTAAATGAAGCCCTGAAGGTAGTTTATTGGAAGCGCGGTTATTCGAAACCTTTTTACCAAGTGATCCAAAATGGCGGGATAGGACTGTGACTAGTTGTAAAAAGAAATTTCTTGGTTAAAAAGACTTTAATATCTCTTGAAATATACTTTATTTTTGCTTTAAATTTATGTCAGAGCTATAGTTCCTATAACTAAACATATTCACAGAATTTCGACTAGTTTCTTAAGGAATAACAAAATATATAATCGATTAAATACTGCAGAATGGATTTCTATTTCGGCAAGACTTTTGAGCGCTGTTGCCTAAAATATGATCAACTGTTTGGCTAAAAAGTGTAAAAGTTTAAAATATCAGATACAGCCGACTCCCAACTAATTTTACGATCAACATTCTAGACAATACGTTGAACTTCAAGCCAAGGTCAGAGCTAAGTTAAAAATGGATCGCAGACCACAAGCGACGGCTTGAAGAAAATTTACTCCGCCGCAACAAGAACTTCATGTAAGTACAATTTTTGCGATAACGTGTATATTTTGTGCACATTGTGTGAAGGCGCTGCTGCCACGTGATAGGTTAACGAAATAATCTGTCAGTTTGACGGTATCTTGTTAGATACTCATTATAATAAGCTCAATACGGGATTTTCTTTGCTATTTCATTCTGACTATTACCAGACAAAGTCGAAGTAAGGGTAATTCTACTCGTAGCGGATCTAAAAGAGTGCCAATATATCTCTGCAATAAGTATCTTGTTAGATACTCATTATAATTAGCCCAGTATGGGCCTTTCTTTGCTATTATTCTGACTATTACCAGACGATTTTATTCTTCAAAGTAAGGAAGGGTACTTCTACTCGTAGCGGATCTAAAGAGTGCCAATATATCTCTGCAATCAGTAAACACTGGTTTGCATACGCACCGCGCTAAAGAGAAATCGGTTTACACTATTTCATATCCACCACTTGTCGAGTTTAACTGCGGACTACGACCAGAGGCAAAAGATTTACGCTTTCACTCAATAACATGATTCCTCTTTTACATCTTGTCTCTGAGAGCATTTTAGAAGAGCTCTGGCATGCCACGTGCACAAAGTTTTATTGCCAATGTCACTGTATCCATGATCGAAAATAACAAGTAAATTACCATGAATTTAAATACCCGAAATTTATGGCATATCATTCCGCCAAACGGCAGATTTTACTCGTCAATAGAAGAGTCGTGCCACGTGAACAAAGCTTTATAACAATGTCTCTTAATTGTATCCATGCATTATCGCATATTTACAGTATCAATACAGCGAACTTGAAGCGCTCCGGTTTGAGTTACCCGGGCTGAAACTTAGTGTTGTTGTCATGTAATCGTAAATAAACTTAAACCCGGACAGAAAAATTCGCCTTCACAATGCTTTTTCGTTTGTTTATTTCATTTTTATGTGCAGTCATAGTCTCTTAAAGGTCAGGTTATTGTCATTCGGGATTTTAAAGCGCTCGAAGAATCGAAATAGGTCCACTACCAGCCTTTACAAACTCAGCCCGGGCTGAAATTTCAGCCCTGGTTTTAAAATAATTCTGACGTGTCATAACACAACCCGGGCTGAAACTTGCCATGTAATTGAAAAATACTTTGGCCCCGGTTTGCCGGGCTGAAAAGACGCCATGTAATCAGCCCCTTAATACAAAAAAATATGATAATTTCAGGCGCATGCAACGTTTACTACGCCACGCGCTCTCATACACACATTTACGTCTGTTTAAACAGATAAAGCAAGCTGTTTACTTTCGCCATTTTTTGTTTGTTATTCATATCAATCTGCCAAGAAATATTGACATAGCGGGCTATGCCTATGTCGATTCCAACGATTATAACATTAATAATCGTTAGCGCCGTATTTGCCCCGAAAATGCCAGATAAAATACAAATCACTGTTCTCGGGTAACTCTCTTCTAAGCCGAAGTTATGAGATTTTCCAAATTTCCGCGAAATACAATAATTACACCCAATCGAGCTATACCCAAACCGCGAAGAATCTATGGACTGTTTAGATGGGAATGAAATAATCATTTGTCCCTCCAAACAGTCCATAGGTGCTTTGCGGTTCGCGAGTCGACCCAGTACCCTGCTCGATTGGGAAATGGCTAATTCAGTTGTCGACAATTGCAGTGAATTTTTATATCCATGCAGCAGCAATTATATTTCATACATCAGTTAAATTGTTCAATTTTCCGGGAAATTATATTTTAGGCCCTTCAAAATACCCTTCAAAAAAATTGTTTACCAGGGGCCGGTTGTATCAAGCCCGTTTAGCTTAAACGGTGGATAAGTCAAAATTGAATAACACTTTTACATCTCTCTTGAATGAGTCAACTTGAATATTATGCACTGAATATGTAGTTGTAAACAGTAGCTTTGTATTAAGGTTGAAAACATTTAGTTTGCTTGTTGAATAAAACGATAGAGTTGCTTTCTATTTTGAACTTATCCACCGTTTAAGCTAAACGGGCTTGATACAACCGGCCCCAGATCCTAAAAATCTAAACCTCAATCTTAAAATGACTACTTTCAAAGTCACGACTATCTTATGCTTCGAGAATTTTCCATAACTTATTTTGCGATATTAAAAATCGGAAACTTTGATTATAAAAAAAAGTTAAATTGAGTGGAAAATTGTTCTTAACACCAGGGGCCAGTTGTATAAAAAACCGGGCTAGTTAACTTCTAACTGTAGTTAAGGGCAGAATTGTCCCGTCAGAGTTAAACTAAGATTTAACTATGCAAAATGTAGATATACGTTCCAATATAAATAGGGAGCAGCTTGCGGTGCAGCGTCTTCAAACAACTTAGCATCAAATGTGGTATAATAACAACTGGCTAAAATAGACAAAACACTTCTCGAACTAATAACATAGCTACTAACTCTCCTGACGAAGGCCCTCAGGTCGAAACGTCGAAAAGTGTTTTTGTTTATTTTATTTTAGGCCGTTGTGATACCACATCTGATGCTAAGTTATGCAAAATGTAGTAAAAAGGGTTTTATACAACCGGCCCCAGAATTTCCTATTCCTCACGGACAAGGTGAATGGTAAACACTCTTGCTCACTCCTATTTATGGATCATTATTTGCTTGAATGAAATGTTTCTGAGCACCTGCTTCAATATTATTTTAAAACGCTTTAATATTTAAGTGGAAATTTTACAAAGCATTTGCATGCATTCCTGTTTGTCACGAACGTTATATGAATTTTCGTAGTTCTACTAGAGTAAAATATGAATACTAACTTTATTTAAACTGGATATCTTATCAGTTCCTCCTTAAAGTCCAGGGGCCAGTTGTATATAAAACTCTTTAACTACATTTTGCATAGTTAATCTTAGTAAGCTCAGAAATACACGACTGATTGGCCAATTCTGTCCTTAACTACAGTTAAAAGTTAACTAGTCTTTTATATACAACTGGCCTCAGTTAAGATCATCTCTTATTGATCCAGTGTTACCACAAGAGGAGACCTAAACTAAACTAACTTTATTTATACTGGATAGCTCTATCAGTTCTAAACTGTTCTTCCTAGAGGTCCTGTAAGCATCATCTCTTATTAATCCAGTGTTACTATACAGTAGGAAACCTAAACTAAACTAACTTTATTAATAATGGATAACTCTATCAGGTCTAAACTGTTCTTTCTAGAGGTCCAGTAAGGATCATCTCTTATTGATCCAGTGTTACTACAGGAGGAAACCTAAACTAAACTAACTTTATTTATATTGGATAGCTCTATCAGTTCTAAACTGTTCTTTCTAGAGGTCCAGTAAGGATCATCTCTTATTAGTTAACATGCACCGAAGACCGTAAGCGACGTTATATTCAGTTATGCAAATGTACGAACGTAAAAGTTCTAATTGTGATTGGCTAGATGTATAATAATTGCAAATGAGACGATGTATGCATGTAAGCATGTTGATGTTCGTTAAAAGTAAATAGTCGATTGCAATGTTTTCAAAATTCGTTATATTTTCGGTATTTTCCATAAATTTTGTAGCATAAGATTGTCGAAAAAACATCCCATATACCTGCACCTGACACTATTAATTTTTATATGATGGTCGCGAAACAAGCACAAGATTGTGAAATGTTAGAAAACAATTATAACTCGCATGCAATGCCGGTGTAAATTTTCATGTCATAAGATAGATCAAGACTATTAGTCCTTTGGGACATGCTCTCTCAGCACAATAAATATAGAGATATAAAGCAATCTTTTACAAACAAACATTTATTTAGTTGAAATTACCAAGGTGCGAGAATAGATGAACTTTTAGTATAGAACTAAAAGTTTTACTGCCTTCAATGAGAGGACGCAGGGTAATCCATGAAGTCGAGCGAATTTTAGGGTCTACATAATGTCAAATGAACTTGAATGTACATGCATAAGCTATATAATTTTATAATGATCGATCAGTGTAAGGCCTGGATCACACTGGCTCCTAAGAATCGGGGATCCATTGTATTACTTTCCGATAGTCTCAGAAAAGCATTTTGCACACCAGCGGTCAACTTTGTCTGAGGACAAAGCCCAAAGGGAATCCCAGACATGTGTAAACTAGGCTTAAAGGCGTTTTAAGATTAGAATATATTTTAAGCATTCAACTTGCGTTGAAAGAACTTATGCCAAACAGAACTGCAAACTTATTTTCGATTATGAATATATCATACCTGACACTAAACGTTCAACCAATGAGGGCCTGGCATTTTACGGTAACGAACGAATTTGGCAGTCCCAGCCAATAGGGAACAATGATCTTAACGTAAGTTTCGTTCGTTAATGAGGTTATAAGTCCTTCGGTGCGTGTTAACTATTGATCCAGTGTTACTACAGGAGGAAACCTAAACTAAACTAACTTTATTTATACTGGATAGCTCTATCAGTTCTAAACTGTTCTTCCTAGAGGTCCAGTAAGGATCTCCTTTTTTTTTCTCGTTATTTTATGAATTCCAAAATTATAAGTCGCTCGTAGAGATAAAAAAAACAAGACTTTATTACTGACTATATTTGTATGACATGCAGTAATCCATTCACAAGAGACTTGACTACAATTGTCGCATCCCACGTTTTACTGAATCACATATTCACTAAACGCAAGCTGGTCTTTTCCCGCCTAATGCCTGTATATACAGCAGGAATCCAGCATTGAAAGCATAAAGCCACTTAGGCGGGAATTTTTATCTGTCTGAGTTTGCTCTTGAGACGTTCCGACTATAATAGACTATTACCTTGTCTAAATATCGACGGAATAAAGACCCTGCGTCAGTTAAGGATTCGACGGCAAGTGAAGCTAGCCGCATTGTTCTGTTCGAAAACACGAGAAAATGATTCCGAAAACGTGTCAGAGTTGCAAGGAGACCGCTCGCATAATCTTTTCAGGCAATATTTAAGCCTTAAGACACAAACAACGATTGCTATATTGAAATCCGTTATCTCAAATCACCATTATGTGAATAATTTGTAACGTTTTTTTATTGCCTCTAAAAGCCTTCCGCCAAAAACGTACAGCTGAAATACTCCGAAGGGCGGTTTTACTATAGCTATTCGCTGTCGTTTGATGTTTTCCCGAGCAAGTTACGATGCCCCACACTTCACACATATATCCCACCGTTTTGGGGTATTTGCCGTTGGGTGCCTCATACATTGGCAATAACTCGCATGCATGCGGCGAGTCTAGAAGTATTCCATAGCAGGCTACCTGTAAAAGACCTGTCGTTTCAATATCGCAAAGTGATGCCGTGCAGTTTAAATGCATTTACCTATCGTATCCCTGCTAACGTATTTATGACACTTCCTTAAAGAAATCATCCAAAGTAGATCCGTGTTTTCGTGGGAAAAGCCTATTAATTTGAGTAAACTAAGGGATAAATTATAGAATTCCTTAAAATGATTTCGGCTGTTCCTCAGTTTTCCTTCGAATTTCGTCCACTAGTTGGCAAGTCGCTTATAACTCTATAACTTATACTGTATTGCTGTATACCCAGTAAATAAAACCACAAAAAATGGCCGATTTTGCAAACGAAACACAACTTTTCAACACCACTATTTTAACTATTTTATATGCTTCTTTATTTGTTTTTGAAACGACGAAAATTTGCATTGAAGACTTGTTTTTCTCGTTTGGCTGTTGAAAATGCAAACGCTTCAACCCGGCTGGGAAAGCGTACTATTAAAAGTTGAGAATCGCTACGGAATGTTGTGAAAGTTTAGTTTCGAAGCTCGCGGCATCTGGACTTTGCCGGTATATTGGACGTTGAACTGTACCGCGCTTTCGGCTTCAAATGTGTTAATTATAAGTAAGATTTTTCGCACGTCGTACAAAAGTAAACTACAACCAAGAGCATAACTCTTCACAATAAAAACTTGACCGTACTTATGAATTTCAGCGTGCGCTCTTTAGCAATGAACGATTCACATTTTTATATATTATAAAATGATCCCAGAATGCAAATCGCCGGCACTTAACGATGTCAGGTTTCTGGCAGTAAATATGCAGTAAAATTTCCCGTTTTTCAAAATCATCTCAAAAATCATTCCGGTCTGAATGTTTTTGTATATTTTTGATACTGCATCTTTGTTAGGCAATATTTTAAAGCATTGAAGGTCTAAAGTAGTGCACATCTTATCTATCCATTTCCCAAGCTAATGGTTTAACGAGAGGCATTCGCGATGTTTTTGGAGCCATTAGCTTGCAATATATTTTTACCGATGTATGAATTAAACATCTCAGTGCATTACTCGCTAATGGCTTTGCAAGAGACGCTGCTTAAGGTCGGTGATGTTTTTTAAACCATCAGATGGCAGAAATCGTCAATATCTGATGAGAAATCGGCTGGTGTTAGACGGAGAATAATAGCAAGGTCACACGCGGGATCGTGCGAATTCGAGGTGCTCGCATTGTGCCCCTTCACATGATGATAGCAGATAAAATTTGCGTGGAATGTCATGCGTATATTCATAGGTAAAAAAACCCGAAAGCTTTCTCACAAGTCCTGCTATCGAGGATAATTTTTTTCGATGTCACTTGGCTGTCAGCAGCTGTTTTTAAAAGTAGCGCAACTCAGCAATGAGACGAAACAAATGACATGTCGATTGTTAATTGCTAGCCGACCTATCACGACGCGTTCAGCCAATGGGAGCGCTCCCTCGCGCTAGAAACCCCGTTGTCCCGCTTCGCATAACAAAGAACTACACTTGATAACTTGACTTTGAACGAGTGAGTGAATGTTGAAAATTTCGGGGTGACTAAACGGATCGTAGATTGCCGCCTGTACTGAACTAAATACTCGCTATGATAGTCTGTGATGATACGGGGTGATGGTGAAACGTTGTATTTCTGAGAACGGTACACGGACTGTCTTGCTTATAATATGCTCAATAAGCTATCTGCTCGTTGGCGCTGCGGTATTCAGCGCCTTAGAGTACGAGGAAGATCAGAAAAGACGTAAACATATTCGTCAACTTTTCGAAAGCTTCCAAGCGAAATACAACATCAGCAAAGATGATTTCGACAAGTGGGCCGAAGTCCAGCGATATCAGCGAAGCTACAATTCTAATGTCGAGCAATGGAGTTTCGCCGGTTCCGTGTACTTCGCTACGACTGTTATAACAACTATAGGTAAGCACCGAATTACAGCGAACGATAATTATGCAGATAGATATAGTGTTATGGCCGCTAAAATGCACTGCTAAGTGAATGGCATATTCGCGACAAACTAATAAACGTTGCAAGCGAACGTTTGTTTGTCTTGCTACGAGATAACGACAGTATTTGGACATTCAACGCTTGACAGCTTTCTGGAACTATGAACATGCATGTGAGAGTCGAATTCATATTCGGTTTGCCTTGGCTTGGATGCAAGACAGTGTAGTTCCAAAGATGTCTTGTCGAAACGAGTGTCTGTCTATACTTCATAACACTTAACACAACTTTCATTTCACGTCAAATTTGAACTTATAGTCTGATGGATCGGTCAGTCGCTTAGTGACATCAGCGACATGGCAATTTCCTAGCGTAACATATTATAAATTTATGTTCAGTAAAATTACTGTTTGTATACGATACAGTTTAACCATGGAAAACGTCGTACAGTGTCGTTCCTACTGTATATATTCTCTCACATACGTTTTTGTTGTCGTTATTGAGAATTACAGTTTGGGATGTTTGGAAATGCCTACGCGGCTTAGGTTGAAAAAATGTCAGAGTAAACGATTAGGCTATCTATAAACATAAAGAACATTGTACCGAAATTTGCATGCGTAGGCCGCACGTTGTAAATAGCGTTTGTGATCATTCTTCATGCGTTACTTATTCTCAGGAAAAGCGACGAACTTACGAAAGGATTATAAAATATTAAGGTATTAAAACTTTCAAATCAATCGTGCTTCGAGTTTTATACTACGTGGTTTTATCGGGTTTTTTTAAGAAGCACGTATTTTTCGTTAAGCACTTCCCAAGCGTCTTCAGCGCTGCGATTTCTATAAATTGCCGTTGCAAAAGTTGCAACATTTGGTGCAGGCAATGTTAATTTGCTACATCGAACCGAAAGGCTTTTGTGTCAAATAAATATGTTCGTATTTGTTTAACAGAGGTATATATATATACATATATATCCGCATTTTGCTACCACTAAACTGATTATATTCCTTTTAAGAATATAACACATGCAATTTGTTGATTTCACATTTAGGAAGCTCGCATAGTTTAATAAAAGATGCATCCTTTAAAGCCCTATTACTTTCAAAAATAAGAACAGTTTTTTAACATTAAAACGAGAACTTTGAAATGCCTCACTATTTGATTTCAGAAAGCTCTCAACCGGCACGGTCGTGTGAATATGTCGAACGATTATTGTGACTAATAAATGTTATTTGTTTTACGTGTTTTTTTCGAAGTTCTCATGCAAGCGACACAATTTTAACGCTGAAATCATTCTTCTACTGCGACAGGCTTGCCGTGTAATCATTCATAATCATACCCGCGTTGTTAATGTTGTATATAGCATGTGAAATATCAGCCGTTCCGTGCATTTTTTGAACGCAAATAGGAAGGGAAATCAAGATAAGAGGACAAAGAGCTCTATTTTTGCTTCGTGAGATTTACCGAGTCTATTTTATGCAATAACGTTTATATTCCAAAGCTTATTCTCAAATGCACAGGAATCATTGGAACAGGAACAGCTGATGCAAGCTATGAAACAGTAATTTGCAAGTGTCATCGTATTTTCAACCAATATCTCAAAAACACTTGTTCATCATCGACTTGAAATTTTAGCTACGAAACAAAGCCCGTAACTCAGAACCCTTTTTATGCCAGGGCCTTTGCAAGAGAAGTAATAATGCCCGATGTGCGCGTATAGTTTTGATATGATCACTTTTGAAAATCCCCATCGCACAATGCTTGTATTATCCACGTTTGCGCAAATTGGAATGTGCGCAGATTATCGTCAGGCGGTTACGCGGCATTTAAACCTGAACAGGTATATCAGACGCGCTCTTTTTGGCATGTTTTTCAAGTGGAATTTTTCAAGCGAAAAGCCTTTCCCAAACCCGTTGAGTCAACATTTACAAAAGCTAAGTAATGTTGAGAAATATTTTATATTGCCATTAATTTATTTGTTCTTCAATGTAAGCAGAATGATGCGGCCCAATTTTCGAATGGCATTTTTAAGGCATGCAGCGATTGGCAAAAATTGGCAATATTGGCAAAAATATCGTATGACTATGTACGAGGAAGATCAGCGATTTCTTGTAAATTCAAATGAATTTTGTACACAACATGAAATTTTCCAAACTTTTCACATGACATGCACTTGTGGCTGTATTATTGTTAGTCTCGGTGCTATCAATTTTAATATTGAAAAGCACTTGTATAATTGCAATTTTGGCGAAGAAAACACATTCTGAATTTGAAGTTATTAAATTTACTACTTCAACACCATATCGCATTTCGCTGTAGGCCAAATATAGTCACGCGAACTCAGTACAGGGCGAATATTAGCAGCGCGCGAGATTAGTGAAGAATTCTCAAGGTAAAAATATCGATACAAATATGTCGTTTGCCCATTAACTTGCGACAGCCATAGCAGGTACCTGCATTAACATTTAATAACTTTTATTTAGTTACTCAAATACGCATTTCATCATTTCATTTGGTCCATGTTTGGCTTTGCCCTGAACCTCATTTAGACTGCATTATTTATACTGGATAGCTCTATCAGTTCTAAACTGTTCCTCCTAGTGGTCCAGTAAGGATCATCTCTTATTGATCCAGTGTTATTACAGCTAGGAGGAAACCTAAACTAAACTGACTTTTTTATACTGGATATAGCTCTATCAGTTCTTAACCATTCTTCCGGGAGGTCCAGTAAGGATCATCTCTTATTGATCCAGTGTTACTACAGGAGGAAACGCAAACTAAAATAACATGCGTAGTTAGCTCAATCATTCAGTTCCAAACGGTTTTACTAGAGGTTCAGCAAGATTCGTCAGGGAGTGTTTCGTTATTTCTTGCAATTGTAGAAGGATTTTGAAACCGCATCAATTAGATCAAAGAGTCACATCTCGTTCTTCTTGAACTAAAACATGCCATTTGTATTCCTGTCTAGGCTATGGGCATACAGTTCCTCGTACGGCCCGAGGGAAGATATTCTGCATGATTTACGCTACGATTGGGATTCCTTTGGCTATTACAGCGCTACAGTCGATCGGGGAACGGTTCAATGCGCTGGTTAGATACAGTTACCGAATAATTATGCGACGTTTCGGAAAGAAACGGGAAATTAGCACAAACAGCATGGCCGCTGTTGGACTAGTGGGCCTTGCCATTACAGTTTGTTTTGGAGCGGCGATTTTTAGTCATTACGAACGATGGGATTACTTTCTTTCGTTCTACTACTGTTTTGTTACCCTCACTACGATCGGTTTCGGCGATTACGTTGCTCTTCAGGACAGCATTGAGGAACGCTTTGGAATTTTTTACATAAGTCTATCGATGATTTTCATTTTCATCGGCCTGACGATAGCCTCGTCGTTTTTGAACTTGCTCGTTCTGAGGATGATGGAGATTAGGAACAAAACTTCGAAGCCGAAGGAAAGACTTCTCCCGGGCGCGTTGGAAAACTGTGAGAACTGTCAAACGCACTCGCTGAATGAGACAACTCAAGTCACGGATGTTGACTACGTTTCCGACCTGCTGCGGCATTTTGAAGATGAAGTTACGTTCACTACTTATAGAACTATGTATAGTCGTAAGCGAGCGTCGATTTAACATACGATGGCATAGGAAGGCGCGCGCGTTAATTGGTCTAAACGCGGACCCATACCAGCAAAACGCCGTACGCTTTTCAACGCGTGTATACTGCATTTTGGGTGAAAATTTTGCCCGAGGCAAAACACAAAACAAACTCCTTGTTGAAGGAGGAAGGAACGAAATGAAAACAAAAAGCTTTTAATCTGATTTCAAAACATTCATGTGTCCGAAGTTTGACTTATTGCTTTTGTCTGGGCTATATTAAACACTTCGCTTTTTCGCTCTTCAAGAGCAAAATGGTTTCTACTTGGAAGCGAAAAGAATTTATTCGTCCTGAGCGCTATTGCTGTTAAATGGCAAATTATAATGCCGTGCCATTAAAAAATATTTTGTAGCAACAATGTTTCCAAGTTTGTCCAGCTGTTTAAATAGTCTCGGGATGGTTCACTCAAAGCGGTGAATTTCGGTAAACAGAAGGAAAACGAACCTTGCCGGCGTCGTGCGATTTCGATCCGGCAGAAAATGCGACATTTTTTCCACCCATAATGCAGTATATTGCACGTGCGAAAAGCAAAATGACAATTTTTAAGAAAAACTGTAGCAATTTCGCGATGCAAAAAGTCGTAGCCGTAGGATAAACATTCGGGGTTTAAGTGTGAATTGTCGCTGGCATGTCAAGCAAATGAACTGATGATAATATTGAGAGGATAACGGCCCAAGGGCCGCGGAGGCATCTCAGAGGGGTACCCTACCCTGTCCCACTTTTGAAAACCAAAAAATGTGGTCCTTTTTCAAGCGAGTGCGATTTTCTTCGAAGCCTCGTTACTAGTATTAAAACTCAATTTATCGGCATGGATTGAGTGTCGTGTAAGCGGGACTTTAAGTCTATATACCTCGCTGTTTTCACATTTTTTTGGGTAAATAACATAAGCCGAATTCATATTAGGGACGGGAAATTAATCTTAGATGGGAGAGTTGATAGCAAAAACCCGTCTGAATATGAATAGGGTGGATACATTTATACGTTTATGACGGGTCGGGTAATGTTAAAAAAGGTATCCTAATTATTGCGATATAATCATTTTGTTTATTTGCTCTTAGCCTTGTTCCGTCCTTGACCGTGTTGATATTTCAGAAACTCGTCTGATTTATCCGTCTAATGCGGATTTAAGACAAGTTTCCCGTCCAACTTACCCGTCTGTTTAGACAGCAAAATTTGGACGAGAAACCCGTCTTTGACCGCATTCACATCAGACGAGTTTCCCGTTTAAGACGAGTTTCCCGTTTAAGACGAGTTTCCCGCGTCTCTATAAGGATATCCCTATTAACCGAAAAAATCCTTTTTGTCGATATGGATCTCATTTTTTAAAGTTTCCGCAGCCCTTGATATAACCGACCATTCTCAAACTAAATTTTACAAGCAGTTGAGGCAAGTTATCATATATGTATATCTGCATGGTGTCGCATTTTGGGACGCCTTCAGGGTAAAATCAAGTCGCAATATAATATTATAACATGCTTGCTACTTCGTATGTAGCTAGTGTATTATTATTAGGCAGTTATCCTTTCTTTGCTGTCTAGCTAGCGTATATATAAATATCGAAGAATTGAAAAACTATATTTTCACTGAATCAATTAATCGTTTACAAAAATAGGGGCAGAGAGTGTTTTGTATAATAAATTTTGACTTGCTTCTCTGGTGTGTAAAGGCAATATTTATACCGGTGGCATTTTTGATGCAATTTTTGGTATACAGAACCGAACTATGCTGAGTTAACGTGAATCTGTCGATTGCCGTTTTGAACATATAGGTATGCCCAAAACGAAAAAAGGTGAAAGGGTGTGCACCTGAGGTTATTCCAGAAGTAAGAAGAGAGGTGGGGGTACCTTGGAGCTTATGACTTCCCCCAATTTATGTTGTGGTGGGAAAACTACCCTGTTTTTTGAGCGCACGTTTTCGCCAAGTTTAGACTTCTCAATTGTTATAATGAGATCAAGCAGGTTGACGTTGCCCCTGTTTAGTCAAAACATAACTTTGTGCAGTAATTGCCTTGAAAAGATGTTCCATTCTAACGCGTCCGTCCATACAAATTCGTTTTCATTTGGGCAAAAGATTCCGTACGGATTAAGATGGGCTAAATATACATTATCTCCTTCGCAATGAAAAAGTTAACTTTTAAAATGACCACTTCAAAATACGACCGAATTAAAACTAGCCCGCATGCAATGCCATCATGAAAACATTTAGGATACACCATAAATTTGAGAGCTTTTGAAGTTTAAAATTGAAAAGACTTCGATGTATTTTCGTCAGTTTACAATCGTTATGCATCGTGTTTGCTTAGCGCGTTTAGCGAGGCCATCCCTAATTATTAAAATTGCTCGAAATAACATTTTTACAGTCACATCACGGCGATTTTCGTCCCTGCATTTATTCATGCTTCTTTCACAAATAAAAATTCGCGCCAAGAAGACGCCTCGCATTTCATAAGATCAAACAAGATTAATTACTGTTTGTGCCTTTCATATATCAACGAACCATCCATCCTACTCTAAAAACTATTCAATATTCTTGATTGGGCGTGTTATTGCACGATTATTATTATTCAATGTTTGTATAGAAGTGTTTGTTCAAATATATTTTTACTCGAATCGCCTTTTATACACAAATTAAAGGCCCCATGCCGGCTTGGCGACCGTATTATTTTGAGACATAGAAATCCAATCTTGCCTGTGATACATCCAATTATGCAAGCATTGCAAGTAAAGATTGTATTCGGCTAAATGCAGTTTATATAATACTTTTTAAAGTAGCCCAGTTGTACATCTTTCGTTATTTTTTTACCTAAACCAGTCTAGTTGATAGTAATGATTCAAGTGATTTGAACTGAGTTTGTCCCAGATTGCACTATAGACTATAGTCGTCTATATACCGGACTAATTCAGACCACGAAATCTTAGCATATCAAAGTTTAGCATATCAAAATTAAAAATCTTCAAAACCTGTCATTATCTATAGCTACAAATTTCACTCTCGACACTAGAGATCTGATAGAGCATAAGTCCTCGGCCAGGACTTGAACTTAGTATGTCACACATTGTGTTCTTACTTTTAGCTGCGGTGTTTTGCAACGTTATTGAATCCAGATCAGTAGTTGAATCCACAAGGAACGTGCAAATTTCGATCATTTTCAGCCACAACACAAAGTAACCCCGTCGACCCCGTGAAGAAAACCGCTAATTTTCGCTGCGGCAAAATCGTTCCTCTAATTAGCCTACCCTTAATCATTTTGGCAAACAAACCGCTCGCCTTGGCAATAATAATGCCTGATTCCATTCTCCTTAAGAATCGTAAATATTGGACTATGCTTATACGATCTCCTGAACTAGGCCGATTGTCGGTTGTTCACGATGAGTTTGCCAAACAATATCTGCCTAAAAAACCTACTATACATACGCGTGTAGATACGCTGAAAGTCTTGAAATATCCATGGCAAAGAACGCGACTTTTTAACATGTAACTTTGTGCGGTTTCAAGGCTTGGCAAAATGTATCCCTATAGAACTGTGAATTTACGACAAAAGTTGAATCTATCGCAATATTTCCCTTCTAACCGCGTGTGAAATATGTCCAAAACTTCTGTCAAAAAGCGACACTCACGCTGTACAGAAAGCCTTTAAAATTATGTCGCAAAAATTGTCCTTTCAATTGTAGATTAAAAAACGATGCCTGCATTGGCAAGTATATCACTCAACTAATCGAATTTGATGGCACTCGTTCCTGTGGGGGAATTTTTTATCTTATCCGTATGTTTCTTGTTTTCCACGTCAAGTCATAGGCCATGGATGAGAGAGTATAGTCTATGGACAGTAGAGCATAATTATTTTTTTAAAACCAACAATCTTGTTGTGTTCTTTCACTTCTTTATATGTTTACATTAGTGATAATGCATAGGCTCTTGAAAGTTTGACTAAGCCTGTTTGCGGTTGATAGCGACAAAGAAACCGAGATACAGCTAATGTACTTGCCGAAAGCCGATGGGTTTACCATTATTGACTTTTTTTATAAAACAGCGATGTAATCAGTTTCCACAAAACAGTAGCTAGTAGAATATTCTCTTGTGTATGCAAAAAGGAAAACTATGATCATATGATCGTACTATCGATAAAATTGCACAAACTGCACGCAAATTGTCCATGAATGTCTCCGCGAAGATAACTATAGGAGTCGTATAGTAAAAATAGGAGCAGAAAGTCGGTTTTGACTCTTATATCTACTCCTAGCGTATGGCATCTTCTGAAGATGGCGGCCAAGAATTATAATATTCGATCATGCTTCCATGTCTCAATTTCGGCAATCAGAGAGAAATTTTCAACATTTTCGAATAATCGAAATCCCCAAAATTTCCGTGCATGTCACAATTTTAGCCGAATTGTGCATTTCACTAACAATTCTAGATGACCTTACCAAAAGATTGCATGAAAAATACTATTGTTTATTTCAATTGCTTTCTCGCTCTTCCTATTAAAACAATCAATGGTTACAATAATATAATAAAAATGTTATTCCCTAAAAGGTAGTAATTTAGCAGCGTCCCTAAAAATGAACTGTGTTGTTGTTCGCGCCGGAGAACTGTTTAGGTGACTTTAGACAAAGTTTTAAGACAGTTATCGTTTTCAAAAAAACGATTTTGACACCTTTTTTGCGAGATTCAATTTCATTCAAATGTGTAACAGCGGACTTTGATTATTGTTGGATTAATCATTTATGTAAATAGATTTAAAAATGCTATTTATTTTGCTAGTTTCCTGCGGTTTAATCCATCACAGATATATTGCTCAATTATTGACGATTGTTCGAAGAAATAAAACAATTTAGTTTGACCTTTTCTGGACTGAAAAACGCAATAAGCTAATGCAGGTATTGTTGGGCTAATTTATTTTTCCCGAAACTCATTACTTTCAGTATTTAGGTCAAACAATGTAGAATTTCTAGCCGGCACATTTTTTAGGAAAAAAGGCCAACCACTGTGTCATAATGTGTCACAATTAGGCTAATTTATTTCTTCTAAAACTTATTACTTTGGTATTTATGTCAAACAATGTAGAATTTCTAGCCGGCACAATTTTTAGGGAGAAAAGGCCAACCACTGTGTCGTCATGTGTCACAATTAGCCTAAATTGATACCTGCATTATTTGAATTATCTGATAAAATAGAAATATTCTTGTAATTTTGGATGGTGACATCAAATTATAAGTAGATTAGCTTGTGCTAGTGAAAAGCTTTCGGCCAAGGCGTTAACATTTACACGTCACGTTTATCTGATTAAACTATTTCTATGGATTAAATAAACCACAGTTATTAAACGCAGTGTAGCCTGCGTGCAGTCCCAGACTTCCAAAGGAAGAAGGAAGTCTTTGGAAGTCTAGGACTGCACGCAGGCTAACGCAGTGCGGATCTGGGGCGATGGCGATGATGGCCGAAGACCTTCTGTTTCTGTGGTGTCCCGGAAGGACCTGGGGCCAAAAATTGGGTAAATTAGCCTTTCTCACGATGACAAATATCCGCCATTTTTGGGGTACTTTCAACTTTCTCAAATGCGTTTAAACAATAATAGCAATGTAAGAAGCATTTTTAAAGACAGCTGCCCTGACAAGGTCTTGCGCTCACATTTTAAAAAAAGTACCCCAAAAATGGCGGCACGTTCGTCATCGTGAGAAAAGCTAACTGAACTGCTGTTTGTCACTGCATCGGCCAATCAGAATCGTGTATTTTTCAAGTTTATTGTACGACAGAGCTGAAGGCCTGAGTTCTAATAAGCGTGTCCCCATTGCATTGTGGGATTCGTACAAAATTCTCTTCTTTCCACGTTGTCTTTAGGTAAGATTGGCTTCAAAATTCGATGAAAAAATCCCCTTGGAAATGTCTCGTTTTCCTTTAGAATGGGAATTTTGTGTCTTGCTCTGAAAATATAGATCAAATTCTTGAGTAGAGTCGATTGATCCGCCCGTGGGAATGTTTTGATCAGTTTCAGATTGCCTTTTAAAAAATTGTGTCGGATGATATTTTTAATGTCTTGGGAGTGTAATTATATAAGTTCCCTATTAAATTATTAAATTGAGTCAAGCAAAGTGTATTTGGTAGTGCAGATATCTTTTATTCCAAGCTAACAATTTCTTCAGATTAAACCCTTTGAGTGGATAAATATTAAATAAATCTGCATAAAATTGAAGTAGACTTCGAAACAGCATGTCACCAAAGTCTGTCTTTGGCAAACTTTTGTTTCTATATGCTATTTGAATAGTAAAACACCAATTTGTACATATCAAACTCAACCAACCACATATTTATACAAAGTGTGTATTTACATCAAAAAGTATAGTTTAGTTTGATCCACAAAGTACTAGAGATCTCTCAATTATACCTATATAAAAAGAGCAAAAACTTTAAAAAATTACACTGAACATCTTGCTGTCTTTTGCAGTGATTCTTTAAACGTTTTATACGCAATCCTTTTCTAAATCAAAATGGTGAGGGAAGATAAGACAACATGGAAATCAAACTATTTCACCAAAATTATAGTAAGTTAATTGAAAGATTTGTTGACATCAATAGCAGTTTACTAAGTATCTTGATATTAGTTATCTAAGTATCACTGCAGTATTAACAATAGTTCTATGAAATTTCGTAGCAATTACTAGACGAGTACCCAAAAGTATTTATTGTTGGTGCTGATAATGTTGGGTCAAAGCAAATGCAACAGATCCGTATCTCGTTACGAGGCAAGGGTGAACTGCTGATGGGGAAGAACACAATGATGAGAAAAGCAATCCGTGGGCATCTTGAAAACAATCCTGACCTTGAGAAGTGAGTTCTTGTTGATGTAGCTTGTGCTACTGTATGAAATATTTGAAAAAGTTGTAACTTAGTAATGTCTTTACTAAGTTTCAGGCAATGCAACCCTGCTTGAAAGTTTTGCAGGCAAATTCTTGGCAAAATCTTGTGAAAGAGTTTTTCTATATAAGGGACTAAAAATATACATGTTCTGCTATACTTGTTCAAAGTCAATTCATTCTTTTTTTAGCAAATCTTAGAATTTTCAAATTTTATTTGCCTAATATTTTATATTCAGGCTACTGCCTCATATCAAGGGAAATGTTGGTTTTGTATTCACCAAGGAAGACTTAAACGAAGTTCGCGATGTCATTCGAGAGAACAAGGTTGAAGCTCCAGCCAAAGCTGGAGCAATTGCTCCAATTGATGTCAAGGTGTCTCCAGTCAACACTGGTCTTGGACCAGAGAAGACATCTTTCTTTCAAGCTCTGGCCATTCCAACCAAAATTACCAGAGGAACAATCGAAATCTTGGTAAGACAAAAAAAAATTGCCAGCAAGGTGTATAGTTAGAAAGTATATCAGTTCTTTCAGTTATAAGAAGTGTTTGTGAACTATATTTAATGTCAAATTTGTTTCATTTCAGAGCGAAGTTCATCTGATCCATAAAGATGAGAAAGTTGGGGCATCTGAAGCAACTTTACTTCAGATGTTGAAAATCTATCCGTTCTCATATGGCTTGCAAATACAACAGGGTAAGTGAAATATGTGACTGTTTCTTGAGTAAAATTGTGTTCAGTGGCACTTTTGACTAATCTCTAATGATACAAACCCTGATCTTTTTTTTAAATTTGAGTGAGAATTTATTGAAATATCTTGATTGGCTTCACTTCTGTTTAGTGTACGAGGCTGGAAGTGTTTTCTCACCTGATGTTTTGGACATCACTGAGGACGACATTATGTCCAAATTCATTCAGGTAAAATCTATTCACTGTAATATTTAATAATGATTTTTAGCAGAAAACCTTTGAATTGCCCATTTGATATTTTGTACTTCAATTTTTAGGGCATTGCTAATGTGGCGTCTGTCTCTTTGGCAATTGGATATCCAACAGTTGCTTCTGTTCCTCACTCTATTGCAAATGGATTCAAGGTAAGATTCTGAAATTAAAGTGGGGATGTACAGCCCTGTGTAATTCAAGTGTACAGCCCTGTGCAGCCTTTTCCTCCCCCTAAAACCCCACCTCTGTTGGTGGCCAACAATTCCATTTGATTTCTTCCTGTTGTAGAACGTTATTGCAGTTGCTTTGGAGACTGACATCACGTTCCCTGCAGTTGAGCAACTCAAGGCATACCTTGAAGATCCATCTGCCTTTGCGTCCGCTGCCCCGGCAGCATCTGCAGGTGGTGGTGACGCCGAGGCTGAAAAACCTGAGGAAAAGAAAGAGGAAGAAGAAGAAGAGGAAAGTGACGATGATATGGGCTTTGGATTGTTTGACTAAACATTCGCATTTGAAGCAGAAAATAAATAAAATTTGAGCAAAACAAACTGCTTGTTGTTCTATCAGTTCTAAAATGTTCTTCCTAGAGGTCTAGTGAGGATCATCTCATATTGGACCAAATGTAAAATAAATCTAAACCTTAAATCCAATAGGGCCAATGATTATACAACTCCAAACACACATATGATCACTTAAGCCTTAATCTATAAACCCCCATCATAAAACTAATTTTTTTTAATCCAAATCACAAAACAAACCATTCAATCAAAAGTTGCATGCAGGGGGGGGAAGATGACAACTTGTCTTGTCCTGCAATCGTGAACAATCAAAGTAAAAAGGTTTGTACCAATTGGTACAAAATATTTTAGAGGGAAACATGTTTTGTCTTGATCTAAAGAGATGAAGCATTCGTGTAAAATTTCTTCCTTTGTCAGGCTAGAGGCTTTTCTAAAAACCAAACCAGCGATGGCCTTAGCATCGACAAAAATTACACATGGAGTACCCTTTCTACAAAACCGTAAGTTCAATGATTTGCATGCAGGAAAGCGTTGCATATTAGATCGAAGCTAGCAGGAATTACCATTTATACAGTTTACTTTTTTCCGAACAAGAACTTCAAAATTAGGTCATCCTAACATATATTTCAATTCATTGTTCATATATTTCAATTGTATGGTGCAACAAGCCCACTATTAAAAACACATATGTATATAAAGTATATATATATAGCTAGTAAATTTCCTATTTGTTCAAATTTAAACCGTATAAGAACTTTTTTTACACAATTAGCCACATGAATTGACATCAGTGTGGACTTTCTTTTGAATAAAACTTCAAAACAAGACTATATCCTAATGTATTAATTTTGATTCATACATCCATGCATTTCAAGCCTATGGTGCAACACAATAAACAACATATGTATATAAAGATTGTGTACATGTATATAAAAGAATTGCAGTTGGAATTGGCGACAAACATCAGAGATCTTTCAGTATCATATTTATCAGCACGCAAAATTCTTAAGGTGCTGACTGATAGCGCTGCATGAACATCTTGCTGTCTGTGGCAGTCATTTTTAAACATTTTAAACAGAATTATTTTCTGATTCAAAATGGTCAGGGAAGAGAAGGCAACATGGAAATCAAAATATTTTACCAAAATTATTGTAAGTTGAGAGGTCTGTTGACATGCATAGCAATTTACCTGAGTGTCTTGATAGTAGTTACCTGTTACTGTAATATTAACAATAGTCTATTAAATTTCATAGCAATTACTGGACGAGTACCCAAAAGTATTCATTGTTAGTGCTGATAATGTTGGGTCGAAGCAAATGCAACAGATCCGTATCTCGTTACGAGGCAAGGGTGAATTGCTGATGGGAAAGAACACGATGATGAGAAAAGCAATCCGTGGGCATCTTGAAAACAACCCTGACCTTGAGAAGTGAGTAGTTTGTATTATGGGATATTTAAAAAAGGGGTAATGATGTTCCAGCTAAGTTCCACTTGTGATTGAATCTTGCCTCAACTCTAGTTTTCTGAATTCTGAGGTAATTTTTCTTTTAAAGAAATGTTCTCTTTCATGCAATATTTGTTAGGCTACTACCTCACATCAAAGAAAATGTTGGTTTTGTATTCACCAAAGAAGATTTGAAAGTAGTTCGCGATGTCATCCGAGAGAACAGGGTGAACGCACCGGCCAAAGCTGGAGCAATTGCTCCAATTGATGTCAAGGTGTCTCCAATCAACACTGGCCTTGGACCAGAGAAAACATCTTTCTTTCAAGCTTTGGCCATTCCAACCAAAATTACAAGGGGAAAGATTGAAATCTTGGTAAGACAAAAAAAAATTGGCAGCAAGGTTTATAGTTAGAAAGCTAGTATATCAGTTCTTTCAGTTCTATACAAAGTGTACGAACTGTATTTTATGTTATATATATTTAATGTTTCATTTCAGAGGGAAGTTCATCTGATCCATAAAGATGAGAAAGTTGGGGCATCTGAAGCAACTTTACTCAAGATGTTGAATATTTCTCCATTCTCATATGGTTTGCAAGTACAACAGGGTGAGTAAAAAGTGTGGCCGGGTCATACAAATCATGGTTAAGAATTATATCTGAATGAGCTTGGCGTCTGTTTAGTGTACGAGGCTGGATGTGTTTATTCACCAGATGTTTTGGACATCACTGAGGACGACATTTTGTCCAAATTCATTCAGGTAAAAATCTATTCACTGAAAAATTTAACAATGATTTTTAGCAGAAAACCCCTGAATTGCCTTTTGAAATTTTATATTTTTTATTTTTAGGGCATTGCTAATGTGGCATGTGTGTCTTTGGCGATTTGCCATCCAACAGCGGCTTCTGTTCCTCACTCTGTTGCAAATGGATTCAAGGTGAAATTATAAATTCTAGGTGGAGTTTGAGCATGTAAACATGCTATGTTGTGAGAATATTTTATCTTTAAATCAAGTTCAATGAGATTAAAAGTCACCAAGAGTTTACGAAGAGTTGATCTTTACTCTATAGCAAAATAATATCATTCATAATGTCTAGCTTGGTGCAATATTTAAAATGTAAAAACAGTATAGTCCCTTTGATGAAATCTTGGTGACCAAAATCCACATGGATGTACACCCCTACGCACCCTTCCTCCCTCTATGCACCCCTCCTCCCCCTATGCATCCCTCCTCCCCCTATGCAACTGTCCTCCCCCATGCACCCCTCCTCCCCCCATGCACCCCTCCTCCCCCCATGCACCCCTCCTCCCCTCATGCAAACCTCACCACTGTCAGTGGTTAACATTTTCATCTCATTTCTTCCTGTTGTAGAATGTTATTGCAGTTGCTTTGGAGACTGACATCATGTTCCCTGCAGTTGAACAGCTCAAGGCATATCTGAAAGATCCATCAGCTTTTGCACCCGCTCCCCCGGCAGCGTCTGCAGGCGGTAGTGATGCTGCGGATGAGACACCTGAGGAAACAGAAGAGGAAGAGGAAAGTGACGATGAAATTCCTAATATATTTTGGGACTGAAACTTCAGCAAAACAAACTGCTTGTTATCGTATTGTCCTCATAATATATTTAGCGGCTGGTGTGTTTTCTTACATACTGGATACTGGATAGCTCTATCAGTTCTAAACTGTTCTTCTTAGATATATGTCCAGTAAGAATCATCTCTTATTGATACAGTGTTACTACGGGAAGAAACCTAAACTGACTTTATTTATATTGCATAGCTCTATCAGTTCTAAACTGTTCTTTGTTGTATTGTTTCTGGTGGTTCATTTGGACCAAATGAAAAATAAATCTTAACTTAAAAAATGCCACTGCTGGATTAATCTTCCCTGGGCCAGAGGCATAAAAAAGGGCCAGTCACAGCTCACAAAAATATAAATATTTCTTAGGTGGCTGCAAACATTAAATTAAATCTGGAAACAACAACTATCTCTTGATTTTTTTTGGTGCCAGGGCAATTCCCTTTCTCTTTGCCTCTTTGTTAATCCAGCACTGCATCAAATTGCCTGGCCATAAGGTCAATGAGTGTAAAACTCGAAACACCCAGTTTATGACTTAATCCTTAATAAATAAATCTAATCTTTTTAATCCAAATCACAAAACCAACCTTTTATCAAAACTCGGGGGGGGGGACATGATTGTTCTTCAAGTCAAGTGTGAAGTTTAAAAATGGTGGACTTTATCCATATAAAAAGGTACTACAATAAAATCGACTTTTACAAATTTGTACGATATATTTTTTGAGGAAACGTGTTTCGCCTTGATCTAAAGAGATGATGAGACGTTTTGGTTACATTTTGTGTCAAATTTCTTCTCTGTTTCAGTCGTGTTTGCCTGTGTTTGGAGTTGAAATGCATTTGATATGAAAGGTTATTGATAAGTCCGTCATGTTGGGTCGCTGGAGTTGTATTAATCGTAGTCGATATCATCGCTCTTTTGTAAAGTACTTGAGCAGCTCATGGAAGTCCAGGACCGTCGTTCACAAGGAAGTTTCTGAGGCCTTGCTAAAGAACAAGCCAGTGGTAGCCTTGGAGTCAACGATTATCACACATGGAATGCCATTTCCACAGAACATCAAGTAAGTTCAATCGTTTGCATGCAGAAACAGGTCGATAGGGGACAATTAAAGCAAATGAGCAATTATAGAATACCATGCCAACCCAACTCTTAACAGTGAATGCCATATAGTCTTATAGATAAATGTACCTTGTTTTATGTTTCTTAATGCGTGAATTGGACTCCAGGAAGCAAGAATAAACACTATTTTTAAAGAACGGGGCAATTCTATACTCTTAATCCTCTAACAGATCTTTAGCATAATGCACTATTGGCAGGGTATTCTATAATTGTACTGTGAAAATATATCCTGCCCAAGTCCTGCCAATGATAGATTTTAAGATACGGTAACATTAAATAGATTTTTGGCCTAAGAAACCATGACTGATGTTAAGGACTTGTTACTGCACATAAATATCCGAACTAAACAAATGAAAATGACTACATTGGCCTTAGAAAAATTATACTGGTGTCCCAACCAGCTATGAAATTTTGTGGGAAGGATGCAATGCCAGTCACCCTGTGGTTCTCTGTCTGAGTTTTGCATCCTGATTGCTGTTTGTCTTTGATGTAGAACCGCTAGGTCTGTGATTGAAGTTATCAGACGAAATGGTGTTGTTCCTGCAACAGTTGCTGTGTTAAATGGAGAGGTTCACATTGGTTAGTATGCTTTGTCTGCATGATAGTATTATATGGTTATGCATGGTAGTATTATATGGTAGTTTGATCTGCATGGTAATATTCTAAGGTAGTCTGCATGGTAATCTATGGTGATGTTTATAGTGGTATTCTATGGTGGTCTTATGGTAATCTATAGTGAGGTTCATGGTAGGATTCTATAGTGGTCTGTATGGTAACCTACCGTGAGATTCTTAGTAGAATTCTATGCTGGAATGTCTCATACCCCAACAATCTTCTCTTCTTAAAGGTTTGACAAGAAGTGAACTGGAATATGTGGCAAAGATGGGAAAATCTGCCATTAAAACATCCAGAAGAGATATACCAGCTGTTCTCAGTAAGGTAACACACTCTTTTGATAAGAAATAGACCTTCTTATTCCTCTAGATATTACCACACTATATATCCTTCTACCTCCCCTGCCTTTTCACATTATTTTCCCTCCTTTATCCCATTATATCCCTGTCATTACCTTGTGTCCCGGCCTTTTCCTTCCCTGTCTATCCCTCCTTCCCTATCACGTCATTCCCCTTTTTACATGAAGTGCTTCAGAATTCCTACCCAAATTTCTTATGCTTCTGAAGGGTTTAGTTGGTGGTACAACCGTGTCTGGCACAATGGTTGCAGCTGCAATGGTCGGTATCCCAATCTTTGTGACCGGGGGGATAGGTGGAGTGCATTACGGGGCTGATAAAAGTAAGTGTCAATGGAACAATGAATATCAATAGGGGCAGATTAGCCAATATTAAAATTTAACTCCTCTCCCACCCCCAAAAGTAGTACCTTGTGTATTTGTGATTATGCTCTAGATTGCTATATATAATGGAGCATTAGGTATTGCAGAAATACTGAATGTTCCAGTGTGCCCCTGTAAGTAATTATTCATTTATCTGTCAATCTATTAACAATCTTGCTAAATTCCATTCAAATTTTAAGCGTTTGATGTGAGTGCAGATTTAACTGAGCTTGGTCAAACACCAGTCACAGTGATCTGTGCTGGTGTGAAATCAATACTGGACATCCCTCTAACACTGGAATATCTGGTAGGCAAGGCTAACCTTTAACTTGGCATCTTATTTTATTTTGAAAATGATATGTTTAACATAGCTCATAATAAATTTAGGAAACTCATGGTGTAACAGTTGCCACGTTTGGGGATACTCTGGATTTCCCAGCTTTCTTTACACCAAACAGTGGTCATAAGGTAGGCACTGTTAGATCATCACGGTATATCTCTCCAGGCAAAGTTTAGCCCCAATATCCACATTGTTTTACTTTCAGGTTCCTTATAATGTAAAAACACCAGAAGAAGCTGCCTCAATGATAGGTTTGTAGATCAAAATCTGCTGCGTCTTTTGAAAAATGTTTGTGAATTGATTCCTTAATGAGCTGAGCTCAAGAAATAATCATCCATATTTTTCCTTTGTAGAGTGCAATATTGAAATGGGTTTAAAAAGCGGTATGGTGATAGGTGTTCCCATCCCAGAATCGCATGCGGTCCTTGGAACCCAAATCGAGGCTGCCATTCAACAAGCCTTGCAAGACGCCAAGTATGTCACTCGATTCGACTTTATTTGTGGTATACTGCTAATAATAATCTTGTGTTTTATCTTCAAGTAAATAGTAGTTTTGTTGTTATCCTTTTCCTAAACTCAACAAGATGAAAAAACGCACGTAAACGCTTAAATATATTAAAAAGCGTGATTTGCGCATTCTAAAAGCAACATTTATTCTTTCGAATACGATAAAGTAACAGTAAACGTTCTAGAACATTCCAAAATGTATCAAAAGTATTCTAAAATGTGGCAAAGATAATTTGTTCCAAAAATGTATCAAAATGTGGGAAAAATCAATTAGAACGTTTCGCGTGTGAAAAGAACCTTTTCTTCGTGGGAAAAGAACTTCCTTGATGAAAAAGAACTTTTTTGTGGGAAAAACTTCAATTCGAGCGTTTAGCGTGCGAAAATGATTTAATATACACGTTTTAAAGAACAATAAATTGTTTTTTTATTGAAACGTTACCAGAGGCAGATAATTATTGATGTCACTAGCTATTTTCTCACCTTTCAAGTATATTTAATCGAATTTGGTTTTTCTAAAAGGATGCGCTCTTAACATTTTTCAGAACTAAAGGTGTCTCCGGAAAAGAAGTCAGCCCATTTGTTCTACAAAGAGTCAATCAACTGACAAAGGGGAAATCTCTGGAAGCCAGTATCCTTATGTCTGTATCTTAATAAGCCGTCCACAACTATATTATGAGAGTCGGCATCTGGGAAGAACAGTTTAGAAGTAGTAGTATTCTTGTGTACGTTTGCATGGTGACATCAAATAAGTTCATCAGGCCCGGGTTAACGGACGAAAGCTTTGCAGTATTAAATACTTCCGTGCTTAACCTATGTACACAAGCTAATTTAGAGGTAAGAAAAATTAGATATTTCTTTTCGTCTAATCTTAATCTTGATCATTAAGATTGTAAAAAACCTTGATCACACGCAATGTAGATATAGCGCTGATTCAGAACAACGCGCTGGTTGGCAGTCGAATAGCTTTGGAACTGAGCAAGTTGAGAGACGTCAAGACTCTTGGCCAACCTCAAACGGTAAAAATTTCAACGTTTTTGCACATAACTGGCATTGGCATTCGTGTGTGGAAGTATTTCTAGTCTCACCAGGATTTTTCTTTTATGCTTTTCAGATACCTAGTATTTCTGATGAGCTTACCCCGAAGACGGCGAAACAGCCGGTAAATATTCTTCGGAATTTTTTTGATGTTCTTAGAGGTGGGGATGAGGGTGAGGTGAGGATGGAAGGGGAAGAGGATGAATAGATTGGGGCATATATGGTGAGCGTGAGGATGACAAGGCTGATGAAAGTGAAGTGGGGATGATGAGAATGGGAACTGCGAAGGTGAATTAGGGATGACGTGGGTGAGGTAGGGATGTCGTCGTTGTAGTGAGGATCATGATTCAGGGATGACGACATTGTGCTGAGCGTGATGAGAATGAGATTTATGAGGGTGAAGTAGGGATGATAAGTGTGAACGAGAGATAAGGAAGATAACGACGTACATTGAAACTCGACTAATTAACTCATTATTCACAGGTAGTTATTGGAGGGTCGAATGTTGACTTCACAGCAAAAGCAAATTCTGAAATCACGGTACGTTTTTTAATCCATCAACTAATCGTTTGTAAACTCCACCATAGAACTAACTACATAGAACTCAACAACATGTATCCTAAATTGAATGAGTAGGTCATGTATTCAGAGCCAGACCAGACCTAGATACAGTTGAACTCAGCTTTGCTTCTATCCAAAAACATTTCGAAACTTGACCAACATTCACTCTCTTAACCACTATTCTCCCGGGCACCAACTGCTGTATTTTATGGTATTTTTATGTAGTTTCATGGTGCCACGAACGTAGGAAGAATTCAGCAAACGTTTGGTGGGGTCGGACGAAATATCGCAGGTACGAAAAGACGGAAAAGTTGACTCTAGAAACAAGGCCGTGAATCCCTTAAATCATGCGCGGAGTTCGCTTTGAATATTAGCTTGTGAGAAATCTCAATCGTGCAGTGAAATACTTGTGTTTTATATCGTACAGAGTGTATCGCTCGTGTTGGCCACTGCAAACCATTGTTGATCTCAGCCGTAGGCGGTGATGACTTGGGTGAAATGTTGTTAAGACAATTAGAGTTAGTCCGCGTGGTATGTGCTTTTGTTGTTCGTAGGATTTTCCAAACACTATCAACTAATATCCCTCCTCATCATCGCCATGTGTATCCCCATCTATCATCGCGAAACACTCCTTGTCACACTTCTATCATAAGAAACACTAATTGTACAATACTACGTTCTATCACCATTAAACCCCCATTGTCTTCATCTTCAAAGTCAACAATAGTGTCTAATATCACCATGTTACCCTCATCATCACCATTCTAGCCATAACAAACACCAGCCCAACATCATTCACTCTGCTTGCGATCATTTTTCATTCCAGTCAACCTATGGGGTTCACATCAGCAAGAACAGTAACACTGCCACCTACTCTGTTGTTTTAAACAACCAAGGTGAAGTGGTTGTCGGGATTGGTGATATGGAGGCACATGGAGAGATTACAGCTCAGCTGGTAAAAATAAAATCTCTAGGAAGAACAGTTTAAAAACTGACAGAGCTTTCCAGTATAAATAAAGTTAGTTCAGTTTAGGTTTCCTCCTGTAGTAACACTGGATCAATAAGAGATGATCGTTACTGGACCTCCAGGAAGAACAGTTTAGAACTGAAAGTTATCCAGTATAAATAAAGTTAGTTTAGTTTAGGTTTCCTCCTGTAGTAACACTGGATCAATAAGAGATGATCCTTTTACTGTTGAAGTGGTAATATTCTGAGATAAGTGTTGAAATTATAAATGTTCTGAATCTAATCTTAAGGTGTCTGCATTTGAAGAAACAATAAGCAGCGCTCCTATAGTAATAATTGATGGAAACATTGGAGAAGAGGTCATTAACTATTGTATTGGATTGTGTAAAAGACATACTATTCCTGGTGTGTATATTTTCCCCATAATTTTCAACTGCTGTTAAAAAAATTATTTGTAGAAGTATTATTTATCCTGGTTATGGATGTATTATATTTTCTCTGTGTTGCAGTGGTTTATGAGCCGACTTGTTTGATGAAAGCAAAGAAGCCTTTTGAAACAGACGCTTGGAAGGACATCACGTTCACCACACCGAACTTCGACGAACTTAAAATAATGAATAAACTCGTCCAAAGTCGCTGACACGAAGAAGTCACGAACGAATCCGAGAGTGGGCCGAACGGGCCCGATGATATGCCTGACGAGAAGTCAAGACCTTTAGAGGATGTACTTCGAGAATGCGTCGAACTTTGTAGGCCATTAATGGAACATATTTCTACAATAATTGTGACATTGGGGGAACACGGGGCGTTGGTTTGTAGGGACGTGCCTTTTGATACCCCGTTTGTAGAAGACGGGAAATTTGTGGGGGTTGGAAAAAGGAAATTGAATGGTCTGGCTTCTGCGGTATATTTCCCCGCCTACGGAAATGAGAAGGAGCAAGTGGAAGTTGTTTCTGTGAGTGGTGCTGGGGACAGGTATGAAGGGGGGGGGATCCTCTCGGAAAGAGAGGGGGTGTTCCCTTTTATTATTAAAAGGTCGTAATTTATATAAATCCCTGGGTGACCAGCATAAATAGATATACGTTTATTTCATTCTTTAGTTACTTTTTTTTAATCGTTTATTGAAATTTAAAATATCTTTTTGTATTTTTTAACTGAAATGTTTTTAACGTTGATATCAAATTTGAAATGTCTTTTTTTAGTTTAACGGGAGCATTTATTTCCAGTGCTCTGGCTGGTTATACGCCAGAGGTTTGCGTGAAAGCAGGTCTCATGGCGGCCTGGTACTCAGTCCAAGGCTCCCTGGCCGTGTCCGCGTCAGTCATCCCAGAACAATTTACTATCGACAAGATACAATTTTGGGCTCCATGGCAACCAACCACATTGGATATTGAGGGAGGCGGCTAGGACATCTAGGAGTATCAATGCAAAGTATGGATATGATGTGATAGATTCATACTGATGGGATTATATATATGTCGGTGCTCTCCTATTCAAAGGGAAATTTGACCCTGGGGTGATGTGTCCTACTTATTGAGGGAATGCAAAGACGCGAGTTTGTGCCATCAGCGCAAATGTTCGACTTTACATGAAAAAAAAACAAGAAAATTAAATACTTTTAAATGCTTTTATTACAGTACAATGTTCCAAGTCGTCATTTTTAATTTATTCACAATACCAAACACTGTAACTATGGTAATAAAATTAACGTTTATTTTAAACTTCGTGATACTTAAAGTAGAAAATTTCAAATAAAAACAACTGTTTTCAAGTCACATACCAGTTCATGACTAAACTGCGGTCAAATGTTCAATCATTAACTACATATTTACAACAACAAAACTTTAAACATCTGTGGCCGTTGTATTAAGCCCGTTTAGCTTAAACGGTGGATAAGTCAAAATCAAATAACACTCTTACAACTCTCTTGAATGAGTCAATGTGAATATTATGCACTGAATATGTAGTTTTAAACAGTATCTTTGTATTAAGGTAAAAAAAATTTAGTTTGCCTGTTAAATAAAACCACAGACTTGCTTTCTGTAACCTAATTTAGATACACATGATAATTTGATTCCGACTTTAAGTGGATGTTACTCGGAGCATCTTTTGTTGAGCTGAAAAATATAAGTATAACATCGCCTTTAAAAAAACACGCCAAAACAAGAACCAAAACAGCGAGAATTTGAAACATCTTGAGCAATGGTAGTGAAGATGTGTCTAGCAGGTGGTTGTTGATCTCGGTCTCGCGTTCGTCTTCAGTCGTCGGAGTATTTACGTCAGGCTCGGCCAGTGTTAAACCATCCAATTCCGCGATGTGTCTTGGATTCGAAAACGACGCCATATTTCCAGTCAAAATACTGTAAATTTGAACGAAATCTTTGCAGTAATCCAAACAGTCGAATCGCCTGCCACGGCTGTTGTTCCATGCTAGCATACCCATGATAGCTTTGATTCCTGGAAGAGATAGACGCATGATACCAACATATCGACACTCGCGAAACTCAATTCGTTGACCATGTTTCACTTTCTCGCATTCTGAAATAAAGTTGCCGTCTTCTAGAGTTTTTACGCGAAAAGCGTACACAACGGTATCTATTTTGACACACTGGCTGGCGTCGTAATGTGCCAAATGGTCTAGATCTGTCACCCTTGCAGTTTTCATAACATCACATTTGATTGCCAAAATCTCTGATTCTTGATCACGAAGCACTATGAAGTAAGCCCACTCATTCTGTGCTTCTTGTGAAAAGCTATAACTTTAAATACTTCTGTATTCAGACTCGTCGCTTCTCTCATTAACGATTTCCCAGATGATTTCAACTGTAGCTTCATCATAGCCAGTCAGCATTTCTTGGATACGCATTCGTTGTACATCAGATGACCGTGCCATGATATATTTCAGCGCGTTTCAAACTTTTAAGGAAACTATGTTCATATATCAATGTGCATGACGTGTCACTGCAATTAGAAATGGTAGTACTCCATTTCATCAAATAACAGTTTTCCACCAATAACGGGAAAAGTATTTTAAAATACCTCCGGTACCAAGAAATGTATCGGCATTCTGGGTACCTATATGAGCCTGTGGTGTTTTGTCAGTGGTAACATTAGCTTTCGTAACCACTTCGTTCTCGTGAAATACATACATTGAGCAGATTTCAAGCCGAGGAGCGCTTTGTTTTTCAATCCAGCCACGGTCGCAATTCGCATGGGCAGATTTTCAAAAGCAAAAAGAATCGCCCTTAGTATCGTATCGGTATAAACAAATGTTATTGGTAGGTAGCGTATCGCTCATTACTGATTTTTCGAAGAATGGCTGTCTTTAAAACGGAGAAGAGGGAATCCTGGAATCGCCGGCGAATCCCAGAAATTGAGGATTCTGAGAATATTAAAACCATGCATTACCTTCAAGATAGTGTAACGAATACTAATAAAATACTGTTCCGAAGTTTTTATTAAATCTATGATTTATACGAATTATTATATTAGACAGCATAATTTATTCATCCGACATCCTGACCTCTTCGTTGCGAGAACAAACGCTTTATCCACGGGCAATAATGGCGAACAAACAAATTCGCAAGCGACAGTTAGAGGAAAAACTAGGCCTGGCTCAAAACGATATCATCAAGAACGGCTTCGACCAACAAACGATTGACATCATTTGGGATATTGTTCATCAGAAATGCGATGGTCTCCGAGCCCATCCCTTAATTTCCCAAGACGAAGCTTCGTGGCCAGACTGGGTATTCTTTCTCGTAGTACACAACACGCACGCGGCGATTTGGGCTATCGAAGAGAAACACTTAAGTACAGTTGAAATGGTCAACCAAGATTATCTCACCCCATACGATGTGAGCGAATGTATAGGAACAAACTCTGTCATTCATCGATTTCACGTCGTAATACGGGAAGACGGCAGATATTATGTACAAAATGACGAGTTGAAATTTCATGGAAAGCAACCGGAATTTGATGTCAGTCTTTATGTGGGAACAATAAAACTTTCCCTTCGAGGCGTTCGCGTTGTAATGGCTATGATTGCGAGAGAAAACTATCTCTTGCTGCAAAGCGATTGCCTGGGTTACTGCAAAGATTTTGTGATGATGTATTTTGAGTTGATCGAAGAGGAACTTACTGAAGATCATGTGAAAGTCTTAGAAGCCTTGACAGTCACAACAAATGCATTGTCGGCCGCAAGTGAGCGAAGTGGAAGACAAAATCCGACCTCGGGTTGGTCGCTGCGGTCGCTTCTTACATCAACGTTTGTTCAAGTGTACATCGGGACAGTTCTTGGGGGAGCAACACTGTTCCTCTTGCGTCGCGTACTAAGTTAGGAAGTAGCTTACTCAATCGTCGTAACAAATATCCTTTTGTAGCTATAGTGAAGCACTTTCGAGCTTTCTAGCTTTACCAGACTATCCTAAATGAAGTGAAGTTTTGTAGACCCGGGTACATCGCACTTCTCATCGAAATCAAGGTGTTTCCTACCCCTTCTATATAAGGCTATATTCTGGGATGTTACATACGTTATGCACATGTGGCCATATCATATGAAATGATGATACGCCTGGCTTAACGTCAAACTTGAAGCTTATATTGAAATAACAAGAAATTCAAGTCAGTGCGAGGTTAGCTTAGAAACTAGAAAGTTTAGCCGGAAAGAATTGATGGGTTACAGCGAACTGATCTTTCTTAACGAAATGATCTGTGATAATATGGTGATAACAATAATAATCAGCTTTGAGCGAAAATCAAATGTAGCAATTTCAGAATTTCTCGTTCGTGAACTAAGGGCATGCACGCTTGCTTGCACAGACAAACTTCAAACAGGAAGCCTTTTGACTTTATATAGGAAGTGAATGTTATTATAGTTTCAAAACTAATCTTATTCCAAACTATTAAACTTTTTTAAAGTTAAATTAATATCGTATTGAAACAATTGTATTAAGATCTAAATAACTTGCACTGTATTTTTTCAATATTTTGATAGTGATTATAAGGAGCTGATGAATGAATGATTATTATAAACATTTAATACCAGGTTTCCTGCAGGAAGCGTAATCTTTAGTGGACCCAGGGTTTATTGGAGAGACACTGTGTCCTAGAATAACGTTTCGTCCAATTAAGGGGGCTCATCCCCTCCACTTCGCCTTTCAGTATACTGGTTCTCAAAGATCGCACAAGGACAGTGTTCGAAACTGTTTATTGAGCGATTTTAATTTGCGCACAAGTATATGACTTAATTTGTTTCTATAAATGCATGTATCCTTAATCCTTCGTTTTATTAGCTTTCACGCATCAAAATAGTGTGTCCACACTTTGTGTGTCAGTGTTAAAGGTGAATATGTTGCTGTAAGTTGAAAGTCTGTACTCTGTACGTGAAAATAATGGCCGGGATAATTGTTTGAAATAGTTTCAGTATGATAATTTCAAATGGTTTTGTCTGCGTAGATAAACTATAGATACGACACGCTTTGATTTCAATTAGTGTCATTATAGTGCTAACTTTTGCTCTGCCATTAACGAGCATCGCAGAGCCCCCCCAACTTGATAAAATTTTTGCAATACCCCATACCACTGATAGAATTTTGGGTATAATCTGAATTTAAAACAATTTAAAAATTAACAGGGACCGCGGATCGTTTTTCGTATTGCTGGGGCTCATATACAAACATTAAACAATATAACCATGCTTTGGTTATGATGTCAAATATTTTGATATGGATAACCACGCTGTTTTAATGGTCAAATGCTTGTCCTATGTAAAGTTGCAAGCATGTTTTGTGCTCATATACAAATATCAACCAATATAACCATGCTTTAGTTATGATGTCAAATATTTTGGTATGGATAACCACGCTCTTTTAATGGTCAAATGCTTGTCCTATGTAAAGTTTCCAGCATGTTTGGCGCTCATATACAAACATTAAACAATATAACCATGCTTTGGTTATGATGTCAAATATTTTGACATGGATAACCACACTGTTTCAAAGGTCAAATGCTTGTTCTATGTAAAGTTGCAACAATGTTTCGTGCTCATATACAAACATTTAATAATATAAATATAATATTCGACCATGTCTTATTCGCCTGAAAACGACTAATTCGACCATGGTCGCGTATTCGCCTGAAAACGACTAATTCGACCATGGTCGTATTCGCCTGAAAATGACTAATTTGATCATGGTCGTATTCGCCTTAAAATGACTAATACGACCATGGTAGAGTTTGCTGGAAAACGACTGATTCGACCATGGTCGAGTTCGCCGGAAAACGACTAATTCGACCATGATCGAGTTCGCTGAAAAACGACTAATTCAACCATGGTCGAGTTCGCCGGAAAACGACTAATTCGACAATGGTCGAGTTAGTCGCTTTCCGCCGAACTCGACCATGGTCGAATTAGTCGTTTTCCAGCGAACTCGACCATGGTCGAGTTAGTCGTTTTCCGGCAAACTCGACCATGGCCGAATTAGTCGTTTTCCGGCGATGTCGACCATGGTCGAGTTAGTCGTTTTCCGGCGAACTCGACCATGGTCGAGTTAGTCGTTTTCCGGCAAACTCGACCATGGTCGAATTAGTCGTTTTCCAGCGAACTCGACCATGGTCGAGTTAGTCGTTTTCAGCCGAACTCGACCATGGTCGAATTAGTCGTTTTCCGGCGAACTCGACCATGGTCGAGTTAGTCGTTTTCCGGCGAACTCGACCATGGTCGAATTAGTCGTTTTCCGGCGAACTCGACCATGGTCGAATTAGTCGTTTTCCGTGGAACTCGACCATGGCCGAGTTAGTCGTTTTCTGGCGAACTCGATCATGGCCGAGTTAGTCGTTTTCTGGCGAACTCGATCATGGCCGAATTAGTCGTTTTCCGGCGATGTCGACCATGGCCGAATTAGTCGTTTTCCGGCGATGTCGACCATGGTCGAGTTAGTCGTTTTCCGGCGAACTCGACCATGGTCGAGTTAGTCGTTTTCCGGCAAACTCGACCATGGTCGAATTAGTCGTTTTCCAGCGAACTCGACCATGGTCGAGTTAGTCGTTTTCAGCCGAACTCGACCATGGTCGAATTAGTCGTTTTCCGGCGAACTCGACCATGGTCGAGTTAGTCGTTTTCCGGCGAACTCGACCATGGTCGAATTAGTCGTTTTCCGGCGAACTCGACCATGGTCGAGTTAGTCGTTTTCCAGCGAACTCGACCATGGTCGAGTTAGTCGTTTTCCGGCGAACTCGACCATGGTCGAATTAGTCGTTTTCCAGCGAACTCGACCATGGTCGAATTAGTCGTTTTCCGGCGAACTCGACCATGGTCGAATTAGTCGTTTTCCGGCGAACTCGACCATGGTCGAGTTAGTCGTTTTCCGGCGAACTCGACCATGGTCGAGTTAGTCGTTTTCCGGCGAACTCGACCATGGTCGAGTTAGTCGTTTTCCGGCGAACTCGACCATGGTCGAGTTAGTCGTTTTCCGGCGAACTCGACCATGGTCGAGTTAGTCGTTTTCCAGCGAACTCGACCATGGTCGAGTTAGTCGTTTTCCGGCGAACTCGACCATGGTCGAATTAGTCGTTTTCCGGCGAACTCGACCATGGTCGAGTTAGTCGTTTTCCGGCGAACTCGACCATGGTCGAGTTAGTCGTTTCCAGCGAACTCGACCATGGTCGAGTTAGTCGTTTTCCGGCGAACTCGACCATGGTCGAGTTAGTCGTTTTCCGGCAAACTCGACCATGGTCGAATTAGTCGTTTTCCAGCGAACTCGACCATGGTCGAATTAGTCGTTTTCCGGCGAACTCGACCATGGTCGAATTAGTCGTTTTCCGGCGAACTCGACCATGGTCGAGTTAGTCGTTTTCCGGCGAACTCGACCATGGTCGAGTTAGTCGTTTTCCGGCGAACTCGACCATGGTCGAGTTAGTCGTTTTCCGGCGAACTCGACCATGGTCGAGTTAGTCGTTTTCCGGCGAACTCGACCATGGTCGAGTTAGTCGTTTTCCAGCGAACTCGACCATGGTCGAGTTAGTCGTTTTCCGGCGAACTCGACCATGGTCGAATTAGTCGTTTTCCGGCGAACTCGACCATGGTCGAGTTAGTCGTTTTCCGGCGAACTCGACCATGGTCGAGTTAGTCGTTTTCCAGCGAACTCGACCATGGTCGAGTTAGTCGTTTTCCGGCGAACTCGACCATGGTCGAGCTAGTCGTTTTCCGGCGAACTCGACCATGGTCGAGTTAGTCGTTTTCCGGCGAACTCGACCATGGTCGAATTAGTCGTTTTCCGGCGAACTCGACCATGGTCGAGTTAGTCGTTTTCCGTGGAACTCGATCATGGCCGAGTTAGTCGTTTTCCGGCGAACTCGACCATGGTCGAGTTAGTCGTTTTCTGGCGAACTCGACCATGGTCGAGTTAGTCGTTTTCCGGCGAACTCGACCATGGTCGAATTAGTCGTTTTCCGGCGAACTCGACCATGGTCGAGTTAGTCGTTTTCCGGCGAACTCGACCATGGTCGAGCTAGTCGTTTTCCGGCGAACTCGACCATGGTCGAGTTAGTCGTTTTCCAGCGAACTCGACCATGGTCGAGTTAGTCGTTTTCCGGCGAACTCGACCATGGTCGAGCTAGTCGTTTTCCGGCGAACTCGACCATGGTCGAGTTAGTCGTTTTCCGGCGAACTCGACCATGGTCGAATTAGTCGTTTTCCGGCGAACTCGACCATGGTCGAGTTAGTCGTTTTCCGTGGAACTCGATCATGGCCGAGTTAGTCGTTTTCCGGCGAACTCGACCATGGTCGAGTTAGTCGTTTTCTGGCGAACTCGACCATGGTCGAGTTAGTCGTTTTCCGGCGAACTCGACCATGGTCGAGCTAGTCGTTTTCCGGCAAACTCGACCATGGTCGAGTTAGTCGTTTTACGGCGAACTCGACCATGGTCGAGTTAGTCGTTTTCCGGCGAACTCGACCATGGTCGAGTTGTCGTTTTACGGCGAACTCGACCATGGTCGAATTAGTTGTTTTCCGGCGAACTCGACCATGGTCGAGTACTCGAGTTAGTCGTTTTCCGGCGAACTCGACCATGGTCGAGTTAGTCGTTTTCCGGCGAACTCGACCATGGTCGAATTAGTCGTTTTTCGGCGAACTCGACCATGGTCGAATTAGTCGTTTTCCGGCGAACTCGACCATGGTCGAATTAGTCGTTTTCCGGCGAACTCGACCATGGTCGAATTAGTCATTTTCCAGCGAACTTGACCATGGTCGCGTATTTGCCATTTTCCGGCGAACTCGACCATGGTCATATTTGCCATTTTCCGGCGAACTCGACCATGGTCGTATTTGCCAATTTCCGGCGGACTCGACCATGGTCAATTACGCCGTTTTCCGGTACACTCGCGACCATGGTCGAATACGCCGTTTTCCGGTACACTCGACCATGGTCGAATACGCCGTTTTCCGGTACACTCGACCATGGTCGAATACGCCGTTTTCCGGTACACTCGACCATGGTCGAATACGCCGTTTTCCGGTACACTCGACCATGGTCGAATACGCCGTTTTCGGGTAGACTCGACCATGGTGGAATACGCGTTTTCCAGACTTGTAACAAACAAATGAAAAAATCAAATTGATTTTAATGAAATTAGCAACAAATTTCAGTGATAAAAAGCTTTAAAAAGTCTATTTGGTCTCTGAAACAAAGGTTATTTTCAAATCAATTATAATGTAAATTGGTAACAATTATAGTTTTTTTTTAAAAGCTTAATTGATATTATCTCTCTATGGGTCGAACTGTCGAGACGTTTTTGCATACATTTTATAGGCGGTTGTGGCAAATTTTACGGTGAAAACTATGTGAAAAAATACGAAAAGAATATACGCTTTGCGAAACTAAGAGGTTCTTTAATTACGATGGTTATCTTTTTGGCACTGAGCGAAACAAAAAATCTACCATCGAAAGGAAAATTCGAAATGTCGGCGGCCAAAAGTCGCTTCAAATCAGCACAGAAAACTCACAACAGGCGATTTTTCATTAATCCGCGGCTGTTTGAAAATTAATCCCGTTTGACCTTCCTCGTACAAAGGGCGCGGGCTATAAAATAATTTGATCCCAGACGGCATGTTAATTTGCATCCTTTATATGTTAATTAGAAAGCAACCATCAGTTCCTGTGTTTCGACTTCTGTAACTGCGAATTTGACAGACGAAACGGATAGCCGCAGTGAGTGCAACAGTAGCACAACAAGGCTATAGATTGTCGAGGAAGGAGGCAAGTTTATGTAAAAAGCTGCGAGATTCAAGTCGTTTCTAAAAGGTATTATCTTGTGACATTACTATAAATTCTTGTCGTTTTGTGTGTGTTTTGATTGTCTGTGTATGAGAGGTTCGAGTCGAGAGAGTGTTTAGGTTTGTCTAGCAGACACTATCGGATTTCGGATTGTGTGTATACGTTTAATTGAATACCAAGCTTCGCTTATTTATAGCAGACCGAACATCTTTTGCCAGATTAGAAGAAAGATGCTGTTTATCGCGTCTGTCATTCGTAGTGTAAACGCAATTGCTCGCGCGTAGGTGGCATGCAAACGACCTTTCTGATATTTGAATTGTAAAACCAAATAAACACATGGTTGTTGCTGGGATTTGAAAAGTTTCCGAAGGTATTTCAGCCAAACTGGCTGTATAAAAGCTGACACGCTGTGCTTGGCAACAAAGTCTAGTTCAAGGTCTAGTTCGTGTTTCAAGGAGTCAACAGATACACGCATTGCCAAACTTTCAACCGCAATTCAAAATTGAATAGACTGGTTGATTGACTAATTGTCTGAAAAGGAATAAACACGGCGTCAAGTCAAGCCAAACATGAATGGACGCCTAAAACACTACCAAACTACACAACGCCAAAAGGAGCTCTTCTTGCCGGTAAATTCGCGAGAATTCCGGATTGAATTGTATTTACATTTTAGCGCTTAGCGCACGATTTTTAAACCCCTAGTCCATCAGGCGAGAGGGTTTCAAATCTTGAATCTACTCAATTCCATACCCCCCAAGTTCGAATTTAAAGAGATGAGACGTTTTCAATTCCGCAAACCGCATTGAAGATGAAGATACATTATGACGCACGTCGTGTTTGTTCGCTAATAACTTGATTAACAGAAGATTTCTGGGTTATTTGCTGTCAGATTTGTGCGCGCATTGAAACATATTAATTTGTGAATGCCGCATGTATGTGTTTATGTACACAATTTAGCAGCTGATGTTAGGAGAGAATTAACTGAGATCACACAATACGAACTACATATATTCACGCATGTTTCAATGACTTTCCAATAGCAATTATGAACCGCTTCATTGGGGTCTCAATTCTTAATTTCAAATGAGAGGTGATTAAGGGATTCGTGTTCAAATCCTTTTGTAGTTTTGACATTTAGTTTTGAAATATCGCGTTCTTTTCAAACCAAGAACAAACAAAAGAATCCACAAACATGCAGTTTAAAAATGGACGCTATTTATTTACGTTTTTTTCTTGTCAAATTGCTGGTGCGATTGGATACCAAAACATGTTTTTTTGCGACTCTTTCCATTCAATCACGCACCATTTTTTTTCTCCTGAGCGGTTCTTTACGCACGAATTTGGTAGATTTCAACAAGTAATATTACGTACAGAACCGTTAGGTCGGCAAAAGGCCAAAGGCATTTTCGTCATAAATTTTCTAGAATTCATCGCTCGTATGTTTTGCGCGTGATGGAAATAAACAACACGTTCGAACGATCTGAAGCGAAGTTTAAATCTATTTTTAACATGGTAATAACCCTACTATATATTCATATGGCGTTTTATCTGCTGTTCAAACTCCACATGGGAATTCAATAAGTTTGAAATACGATATATAGGCGTGTGTGGAAGGAAATCACAGATGAATTGCATGCCAGCTTGCGTCCATGCAAGGTCTGGAAATTCTAACCATGACCACATAATTAAATCATTCGACCGGTTTTTTGACAGTTGCAAGAGAGTTGTATTTTTCATCACAGCAAAGCCAGAAACCTGGAAGTTATATGCGCTGTACGTGCATGTTAAGGCCCGTTTACACTTGCGAGTTTTGCTGCAATTTTCGGTGCGATTTTTGACTTTTGATGGATGAAAACGAGTGAATTAGTTACTGATGTTCAAATAAGAGATCGTACACATTAGAGCATTCGTAACTAACTACTCGTTCACATCTACCAAAAGAAAAAGATCACACATAAAATCGCCTTAAATTTGGTTGGAATTTTACCAAGTTGTCTTGTTCATAACAGGAATACAGGATGTATATATTCGATGAACTCTGACGTACCCTTAGGGGAATAAGAAAGGGTAATATTAACACACTCTTAACATATTCCCATCCTTCGAGAGTTCGAGTATTTCGAACTTATCGTGTTGACAAAATGATGAAGATTTAGAATGTCAAGTGTAAACATTGCTTTGTCAACGCTTATATAGTTTTGCTTTCTCTAAGCGCTTCCACTTGACTCAAAAGTCTCCAACGTCAAAGCCTGTTGACATAATCGCGTATTATAATATCATTTAAGACTTGCAAAACTTTCCGCAATTTTCTCATGGCCAAAGCAAAGCTTTGGGGAAATGATATTTGAAATATGAGTATTTAGTTCTTGTCTCAGCAGCAAGTGTCACCTAGGCTTTCAAAAATCCACTTTGCCAAGGTATTTGACAGGATTGTGTAATAATTGTTTTGAGATAAGATAAGATTTGTGAGATGAACGGAAATTAAACTTTTTTGCCAAAGGAATTCGTTGCTCCAGCCTCCTTTTTCTCATGTAAATACAACCTTATAAGTTCGACAATAATCTATATTCCAGTTCCAACAATACAGTTATATAGATCAACGAATCACGTGCAGTGAAAGTGTGAAACCACGTTAAAATGACGAGAAGCTGTCAGCAGGAACTATATAGGAACATGTGTACTTCGTTAAAAGTTTGTTTCATTACCGATTTATTGCCCATTAAGAAAAAATATAAATAACAGTGACATGCACACATATATAGGTCATGCAAGCCTTCTCCTAAGAACGTGAAAGTGTGTTAAATGCAATATATTTCTGACGTACGAACTATATACGAAGTGCTTGCCTTTAATGCGTATGTTTTGTCTAATCGTTGAATTCAAGAGTCTATTTTTATGTAAGTGATATTATATTTGTTTGGTCTGGAGGGTTCGAGAGTTTAATGGGGTCATCCAAGTTTAGTTTCCCCTTACTGATGGAGATTTGATGGCATTAAAAAGATCGCAATTGATAGCTCATACCATAGCTGACAAACGCACGAAACAGCGACTTCAAACTGGCATTTTTTAAGGATAATACTTAACTATTATCTCAGATAGTTTTCCGCTAATTTTGGCACTATTCCTTAATAAACACGTTTATTCCTTAAATAAACGTTAATACAGAATCCTGACCAGCAAATCTCCGAGGTTGACATGAGATGCTCGAGTAATCATCCACAGATGTGCTGTGCAGTTATCATACAAGGACATTAATCTAATTTGCTATATCTTGTCCAGTGTAACCGCAGGGCGAACGATAAGTTTATAGTATTTTAGATAAGCATTCACACTCCTAATGCTGCTTAATCATAGCTCGTATGTGTAGTAATGTCAGTCCCTGAGACTTTAAAGAATTTTAGAACAAGCTGAGATAAGGCTTCCAATTATCGATGCAGTTTGTTTCAGATATGCAGACACATCTATTTAATATTTTAGCTTGTATAGTAGCTAAAACACCTCGATTACACAGGAATCGCTTTGATAAAACATCTCTCCCACAAAACATCTCTCTAATATAACGTCTCTATAATACAGACGTCTCTCTAATGCAAGCATTTCTCTAATACGGACCTCTCTATAACTAACACAAGCACCTTTTTAATACAGACACCTTTCTAATACAAACACCTCTCTAATACAGACGAAACTTCTGTGATACAAACATTTCTCTATTAACGATATCCTTCTAATCCACACATCTCTCTAACAACACAGACATCTCTTTTACAGTCAATATTATAAATACGCCGACATTTTTCTATTTTTTTCGTGTATATTTTTTTAGCTCATATCTGCACCACTTTGACAATCCGATGCTCTTAATTTGTCACATTCTAAACCCTTAATGTCTCTTGAGAAATCTCGAAATCGAGGTAACCTGTCTGGTTGGGATTTCGCCAAAGACGATTTGTGGTTTTACGGCGAAAACAACTTGAACTTTCCTTGGCATCATAAAACGCATGATCTTAAATATAGCCACAATTCCCTGTGGTCATCTTTTCCTGCATGGAAAAAATACACCGCATTCCCTCCTAAATGGGCCATCACATCAAAATAGGAAATCCCAACACTTCGACAACAAAAATTTCAACAAATTCCAATGCCCGAAGGGAATTTTTTGCTCTTAAAATCGTGTGTATAAACCATTTTATCACCCAATATGATCACAAGGTAAAAAAGATTAATGTGCTTAAGAGATTAAAGATTAATGGAATAGCTTTTTAATCCTTTCGAATGAATCCAAGGTCACACAAAATATGTCACGCACGTCAGTTTATGCGAGCAGGAATTAATATCTTTATTTCCCCATTTTCCTTAATTCCTGTTTTGCGAAAGCGTGGTTGCGTCAACCGTACATGACCTTGCCTTCGAAAGTCTGCAACTTTAACAACGTCTTAAGCCCGTTATATCCCAACCTCGATCCTCAGACTAAAGGTAACATTTCGGGGTGAATATGGTCATAGCAATTAAGTCACCCAATTTATCCCCATTCTCCATTTTAATTCTAAGCTTCTCTCTTATAGATAAAGTTTAGGATCCCCTGAGCCATACTACTGAGGTACGTCCATATAAGGTAAAATTCTGCAAAATAAGCTGTCCGCTGTAAGCTTCCTGTGCGTACGAATTATACCAGATCATGAGAAGATATCATAGAAGGGTCTGGTATATTGAAACAAGTAAATAAAGCAATATTACACAACGTATTGCATTGTTTGTGCCGAAAACGAGCTAAAAATATATCTCATGCTGAAGAACTGATACAGCTTTACCTATAATGTAAATACTTCTGGTTTAATTTAGATTTCCTCCTGTAGTAACGCTGAATCAATTCTTACTGGACCTCCAGGAAGAACAGTTTAGAACTGATACAGCTATCCAGTAGAGCTATCCAGTATAAATAAAGTTAGTTTAGTTTAGTTTCCTCCTGCATGTAGTAACACTGGATCAATAAGAGATTATCCCTACTGGACCTCTAGGAAGAACAGTTTAGAACTGATAGAGCTATCCAGTAGAGCTATCCAGTATAAATAAAGTTAGTTTAGTTTAGTTTCCTCCTGTAGTAACACTGGATCAATAAGAGATTATCCCTACTGGACCTCTAGGAAGAACAGTTTAGAACTGATAGAGCTATCCAGTATAAATAAAGTTAGTTTAGTTTAGGTTTCCTCCTGTAGTAACACTGGATCAATAAGAGATTATCCTTACTGGACCTCTAGGAAGAACAGTTTAGAACTGATAGAGCTATCCAATATAAATAAAGTTAGTTTAGTTTAGATTTCCGCCTGTAGATTTCCTGAAGAGGTAATCTTTACCAGAGATTTAGAAGAAACAGTTTACACTTGATAGAGCTATCTAGTATAAATAAAGTTAGTTTAGGTTTCCTCCTGTAGTAATTAACGCCGGATTGTTCAAGAGATAATCCGTACGTGCTGGTAGACCTCCAGGAAGAACAGTTCATAGAACTCGGATATAATTAATAGTTTTAACGCCATTTCAGTTAACTTGGAAAACCGCGCAAGGCGACAGCCGACAAGCTGCTTGAAGTGAACTCGTGCATAAAGCCCACTGAGTCCAATCTTTGATCAAACAAATTCCAAACGCAGCATGCCTTCTACCTTATCTTTCGCAGCATGACCGGCGCCAAGCCATTTCGGTCAACACGAGTGCAGTACTCACGGATGAAAGCGGAAGAAATATTTTCCAGATTTGCCTTGATGTTATTAACCGTCAATTGTAATAACATCTTGCAGAAAGGGTTGGCAGGAAGCAAGGGCGGCTGCCGCCACCTCTGATTAGATTTTAATGATATATGATTTGATGCGGAATGTGTGTTTATCAAGGAAAAAAAAGCCATGTAATCTGTTCTTCCAAGAGGTCCAGGAAGGATTTTTATTGATTCGGTGTTATTGCTGCACGGAACCTTAGATAAACTGAATCTGTTCACAGTTGATTGCTCTATCAGTTCTGAAGAAGGCGGAAACCTAAACTAGATTAAATTTAGACAGTCAGGCACTCAGGGTCCATTGTCTTGGAGTTGTCACACGAGTATATACCTCAGTCGGTTTTTATATTTGGAATAGACAACCGAGAAAGTTAATCGTTGATATTTTTATAGCAATTCTGTCTTTCGTTATTTCTCAGGGATTAACTAAACCCAGGATTTCTGAGATGAACCTAATCCTCTCGGTTTTTCTCCTGGTGTTATTGACTTCGTGTCAAAATGGCGTCCACGGCAAAAGAAGGAAAGACAATAAATCCAGGCGGCCAAACATTATTTTTATTTTGATGGACGATCTTGACGTTCAACTCGGCTCGATGCAAGTGATGACGAAAACGCGCAAGATGTTCGAGAGGCATGGTACAGAGTTTGTAAACGCATTCGTCACCAGTCCCATATGCTGTCCTTCGCGCTCGTCCATTCTGACCGGCATGTACGCGCACAATCACGGGTGTTTGACAAACACGATAAACTGCGCTTCCATGTCCTGGAGACAAGGACCCGAGAGACGAAACTTTGGCCATTATCTTCAGCAAAGTGGTTATAGAACAGGTACGTTTAAAGCGCTTAATCCTGTTCATCGCTGTGCTATTGACGGTAATCGCTGTGAACGCTTAGCGTTCCTATTTTTTATCCAGCGTATTTAGTCCAGGTTTCATAGGCGAGTCAGTTTCCGTAAAAATTTGCGCTGCGACAAATTTGTCGACGGACAATCGAACGCAAAGTTGGAAAGAATGAGTAATGTTGATTTGATAAATTTCTTAAAGTTGTCTTAATTTCAAGCGATTTCTCTGATGATCGATGGTTGTTTCTTTAATGATCATCAGTTTGGTGGTCGAAGAAGGTTTTCCAGTGACTGAGGACCTCAATTACGTTGCGAAAAGTTTCAAATCGAGCGATTTTGAGCGAAAGGTTTTGCCAAGCAGTCGGCCATCTGCTGAGGGGAAACAGTCTTTTGACAAGAGAAAATTTGAAGAGATTACTATTACTACGTACATGGCGACAGAGGCTGAAGGCTTTTCTACTCCTATGGCGGAAAGTGGCGGCAATAATCCGAATAAAACCAAAGAGAATCTGGCTAAAGTTGGTTTGGATGGAATAGATATTGAACAGAAACCATATTTTTCTGGGAATCCTGCTGTAGAGGTCACAAAAGGCATTCTACATTTGTACAAAATAAATGATAGTCTATCGCAGAATAGCATTGCCCTTAGCAACTTACTGTGCATGCTTTCTGTTCCGGCTAAAATGTCCTGCACAGATTTATTAAACTTTGTATCAACTTTCGACAAACATATTGAGCATGTGAGGATAATCAGGGATCCCACACCCAATCTATACATGACCTTACTAAAGTTTAAGACTGATGAACATGCTCATGAATTTTACGACATGTTTAACGGACGACCTTTTAACACCTTGGAGCCAGAAGTTTGTCACTTGGTGTTCCTATGTAAAGTCGAGTCTGCGAAATCTTCAGAGAGCGGTTTTCTGCCTCTGGAGGGGGCGACCGAGTTGCCGACATGTCATATTTGTCTAGAGAGGATGGACGAGTCAGTTGAAGGGATTTTGACAGTTCTGTGTAACCATTCGTTTCATAGTAGTTGTTTGGTAAAATGGCAGGACTCAAGTTGTCCAGTCTGTCGATGCCTTCAGACCACAGAGGTTTTGCAGGATAATAAGTGTTTTTCATGCGACTCTCAAGAGAGTCTTTGGATATGTTTGATATGTGGTCATATTGGATGTGGAAGGTAAGTAAATGCTTTTTTTAAAACTTGTGGGTCTCCAGACATATATATAGTTGAGATGTCTTAAGGAAGATTCCTAGTTCCTAGAATATGAGGAGGAACTCACAATTTACATTGAATATTAATAGTAGAACAAAAACATGTTCAAGTCAACACATTTAGTTGAACTGCAAAATGTGATCATTCCTAAGCATTATATTAATAAGTTTATATTTGCTTGAATTCAGATACCACGAAGGACATGCTCACAGGCATTTTCGTGAGACTGAACACACATATTCCATGGAACTTGAAACAAAGCGAGTGTGGGACTACACTGGAGACAATTATGTTCATCGATTGGTCCAAAACAAATCCGATGGAAAACTGGTCGAATTTGACGCTCCCCCCGGGCAGGTCGCTGGCGAGGAAAAACTGGATTCAATCACTCTGGAGTACACTTACCTTTTGACGAGTCAACTGGAATCGCAGCGCCTGTATTTTGAGGAGAAAATTGCATTTGTAGAGAAGGATGCTTTTGAGCAAATGGCGGCCGTTGTGGAAAAGTCTAAAAAGACACTCGAGGAATGCCAAAAATACGAAAGATTGCATTTGGAAACTGAGAAAGAACGAAGGAATCTCGAGAAGAAGAATTCTCAGTCCGTTTCGAAGTTAAAAAGCGTTGAAAAGGAACTCAGAGACGAGAAACAGCTGAACGAATGCCTTCGGAGAAATCAACAAGTCTGGCAAGAGAAGGTCGCGGAACTTGAGATGAGTTTAAAGCAAGTGGAAGCACAAAGGCGACAGGAAGTTGGTGATTTACAAGAACAAGTCGGTGACTTGATGAAGCATTTTGAAGCTCAAACTGCAATCGAGAAAGCTCCGGCTGATTTGCAGCATGAAATTCAAGAAGGGCAGATGTTTGTTACACAAAATCAAACTCGGGGTCATCAAAAACAAAGGAAAAAACACAAATAGAATATTCTGTAATATTTTGAGCATTTGCCTGAGAATATGCTGTATATTCCAAACTGTGTAATAATCAAATATATTCAATTGTTTTTTGGGCATTTCAATGCTAAAATAAGCAGATGACTTCTTCTCGGTAGCTCCTGCAAACATTGCTTTCATTTTGACGTTGTAAACTAATGCTTAACCCTTTCAATCCTTCAGCTGTAAGTCACAGAATTCATGTGGGGAGGCCCAAAATCAGTAGGAGGGGGTCAACCGTCAAGTACACAAGCTCTCAGGGAGCGTGGGAAATCATTAATTGGGAGAGGGCATATATTCATGTTAGCAGACCGTAAGAACAATCAAAACCGCGGCTCCTGCAAGCAATACACATGGGAATATTGCGTGGTTTGATCTCCGGCATCTCAGTTCTGGATAGCCTTAAAAATCCGCCACAACCATCTCAGTCAATATATGAATTTTCCCTTTGCCTGCTAGCAGCTTTCTCCATACCTTAGTCGCAGAGGTGAATTTCTTGACTTCCCAAAAACACGGTCCTTGTTGATCCTTGAAATGTTTACAATTTCACCCATGTTTTGAGTTCAACAAAGCAAAAATCTTTCTTATTTACAACCAGATCAATCTACCCGTGAACTTATACCTCGTTTTTGATAATTCATAGGATACTTTGGCAAATATTTAAACAACTACGATGGTAAATGGGTTCCGAATGGTTGGGACAACTGGTCGGCGCTGTTGAAAAACAGCAAATTCTACAACTACACTTTGATTCGTAACAGAAGGTTTGAGAAACATGGCCATGATTATGGCAGGGATTATTTCACAGATGTTGTGACAAACTATAGCATAGATTTCTTTCTGAAGTCGAAAACCAACCAACCCAACAAGCCTGTGATGATGGTGGTCGGAATGGCCGCACCTCACGGACCTGAGGATCCCGCACCACAGCATAAAGATTTGTTTAGTAATGTGACCGCTCCAAGGTGAGTTCTGAGAACCCATACTGGTGAATAGCTCTATCAGTTCTAAACTGTTCTCCCTAGAGGTCCAGTAAGGATAATTTCTTATTGATCCAGTGTTACTACAGGAGGAAACCTAAACTAAACTCACTATATTTATACTGATAGAGATTATCAATTCTAAACTGTTGTTCCTTGAGGTGCAGTAAGGATCATCCCTTATTGATCCAGTGTTACTACAGTAGGAAACCTAAACTAAACTAACTTTATTTATACTGGATAGCTCTACTGGATAGCTCTATCAGTTCTAATATGTTCTTCCTAGAGGTCCAGTAAGGATCATCTCTTATTGATCCAGTGTTACTACAGGAGGAAACCTAAACTAAACTAACCTTACTTATACTGGATAGCTATATCAGTTCTAAACTGTTTTTCCTAGAGGTCCAGTAAGGATAAACTCTTATTCATCCAGTGCCCACTGTCTACCACTCCATAGCGTCTAAACCTTCTCATTTTTGTCAAGGCATCCAAACTTCAATGCCCACTCCAAAGACAAACATTGGATAGTACGATACACCAAACCCATGGACAAACAAAAGGTTGCCTTTTCTGACCTGCTTCACCGCCGACGTTTGCTCACATTGCTTTCTGCTGATGACGCAATTCACAGATTGTACAAAAGCCTTGAACAGCGTGGAATGCTGGACAATACCTACATATTCTTGAGCTCGGATCATGGCTATCATTTGGGACAGTTTGGAATGGCCAAGGGGAAGTCACAGCCGTACGAAACAGATATAAGAATTCCGTTCTACGCTTTGGGACCAAATGTACCGAAGGCCAAAAAGTAAGTGAAATACGATCACTGTGTTTGGTGCAAAAACAGCTTAAAATAAACAAAAAGAACTTCTCTACGTTTATTTCGATTAACTTCTGATGGATGCCATGTAGTCTGTTGACTTGAAATGTAGATGGGTGCAAATTGAACTTAGCTCATGCAGTACTGCTTTATTAATAATACACTATATCCCATGCGTCAAATGTTATTGAATTTGACAAAATTGGATCGTGTTCACAGTTCTTTCACCAACTCTGGGAAAGTTGTGAAAGTTATTTGAAGAAGCTGATGTTGCGAATCATCTGCTAATTGTAATATATTCTTTCGGTTTTTTCTCGCCTATCAAGGGTGAAAGACGTAGTGTTGAACATTGATCTGGCCCCAACGTTTCTCGATATCGGGGATGTCCGAGTACCGAATGGTATGGATGGACGATCTGTCTTGGGGCTGTTGGAATCTTACGAACACAAGAATAACAATTTGAATTGGAGAGACTCTTTCCTTGTTGAAAAATCGTAAGTAGATATCAAACAGAGATGATCCTTACTAGACTTCTAGGAAGAACAGTTTAGAACTGATAGAACTATCCAGTATAAATAAAGTTACTTTAGGGTTTTTACCAGCAACAACCCACATTCAAAGAAACTATCCAATTATGAAGGTAACAGCAATCTTTCTATTCTATCTGTAGCAAAAAGTTTTACTCGAATCAGAAGAATACAGCGAAGACCAAATTAGAATTGATTAACGAGAAATGCCGGCGCCTCTCGTATCCACGCTCTTGCAAACCTGGTCAAGAATGGACGTGTACGATCATCAAGGGACAGTTGAGGCTTCGGAAATGCCGACGGAATTCGTCGAGTCGCGGAAGTACTCCGAGATTGCCCCGAGGCTTGAGTGGAAGATACGGTACGAGTTCCAAACGATGCAAGTGCCCGAAGAATGAACGAGGTTTGTCAATGATACTCTTTGTGAAATAATATTCCATGTGGCATTCCTTTTTTTCTGGTAATATTAATCTGTAGAGTTCAGTTCTAAACTGTTCTTCCCAGAAGTCCAGTAAGGATCATCTCCTATTGATCCAGTGTTACTACAGGAGGAAACCTTAACTAAACTAACTTTATTTATACTGGATAGCTCTATCAGTTCTAAACTGTTCTTCCTAGAGGTCCAGTAAGGATCATCTCTTATTGATCCGGTGTTACTACAGGAGGAAACCTAAACTAAACTAACTTTATTTATACTGGATAGCTCTATCAGTTCTAAATTGTTCTTCCTAGAGGTCCAGTAAGGATCATCTCTTATTGATCCAGTGTTACTACAGCAGGAAACCTAAACTGAGTTCTAAGAGCATGCTAAAGACTTTTGACCTTAATTTTCTCGGACAGGGCGAATGGATCGCTTCAGAAGAAGATACGTTGAAGACCAGCCTCGTGATATCTACCGCTGGTACATGAGATCGCAGCAGGAGCGAAGAGGAACGAAGAATCCCGACAATTACGACCGCCATCTTAGGAAGGAAATGCTCTCAAAGTACAACAAAAGAACGATGAGTAGGTTGATGCAGGATAAGATGAGAAAGCTTAATTCAAGGATCCAAGCTTCACGAGAGCGTCTATCTCAGCTCAGATCAAAGAAGATATCGCTGGTCGCAAACATGATGAAAGAACCGGAGGTAAGGACCCTGCACCCTGTTGAACCCTACACTCACAAGGTATTTTGATAAGGTGTTTTTTGCCCTAAGTACAATTTATTTGTCACAGCCCATTTCTTACGGGGGTGAGCGGGTATTTTTCAAATCACTGGATATGAACCATGCTAGTTTACCGCTGTCGTGGAGGTTGATTAAACCGCAATACATCACAAACAATCATTGATAGTTTTTCAGCCAGAATCGTAAATACAAAGTTAATATTCTTTTGCGATCAAATGCATATATCATTTTCTTTTATTTTCTTTGATCTATTATTCTAATTTGTTTAAAAGTACCTAAAACGTTATACAGTTCGTCAGAGTCACGTATAAGTTGTAAATTTAAACCAGTATGGTTAAATAATTGTTTATTTTTTCATTCCGTAGAGAAGAACTTCTTGTCGTTGTGTCAATGGTAGAATGATTCAATCCGAAAGAGTGAAATTTGCGAATAGAAAAAGCAGCAACAGTTCTAAACAGAACAGAAAATCAGGAAGGAATGCGAAGAAGAAGACGAGAAGAAAGGATAGGAAACGACAATATCGATTGAACAAGAAAAAAGTTTGTTTAGCTCCAGGATTAAACTGTTTCAGGCATACAAATCAGCATTGGAAGACAGCGCCATTTTGGAAAAGTAGGTTGCAGTTCTCCGAGTGCTTATTATGGCATATATATGCCAGGCAGGTCACAAGCCCCTAGAATTTACATTGAGTGAAGTGCCAAAAATCACAATTGATTTACCCTCATATATATGGACATTTCAACACGATGACACTCGGAATTTTTTTTAGATGGTAGCTTTTGTTTCTGCCCGACGTCCTCCAACAACAGTTTCTGGTGTTTGCGAACGATTAATGCGAACGAGAACTACATTTACTGCGAATTTGTGACGCAATTTTGCGAGTTTTACGACCTCAATACCGATCCATATCAGGTAAAAGATAGCTTGCATCAAGTCGTGCATATTTCACCCACGTTTCGAGTAAAACTAATGTCGCAATTCATCTGCCATTGCAGCTCAACAACACAGTGTCCACGCTCTCTCGGACGTTTCATGCTAAATTGCACAATAGGCTGGGAGTTTTGACTCAATGTCGTTCAAGTGGCTGTGAGATGTATCCAGGCAGACGTATACCACGAAACACTATAATTCCACTGGAGAAATCATGTACAAATCGAAAATACTTTTGATAGCAGAACGTAGCCAGGTACTGGGGAAGTACATAACGGGATCCGGGAAACATAAATGCTAGGAACGCGAGTTCGCTTCGTAAAAACGTGATCTATATCAGCTGCATTTAAACCGTGACATGTAACTATGAATAAAAAAAACCTTGCATGCAAAATTAATTCGAAGAACGTTTCGTTTTTAACTCAAGGTAGGCTGTTTTTAAATGACGAAGCTTGAGACAAAATGTGCAAGAAAGGTAATTCAAAAATGGAAAGCAATACATAATTATCAAATGCGGATAAGTAGAAAATGATTCGATCTTTTAGCGATAAATCATGTTGCGGTTCAAATGCAATTTAACATGATGTAGAGCATAACGTTTTCAGGCGCAGTCAAAATTCCGAGCGCAGGCAAACGAGCTTGAAAAAGAGTTTAAAATAAGTAAGTTTAAATAAGTTAGCATCAAATGTGGTATAACAACTGCCTAAAATAGACAAAACACTTCTCGACGTTTCGACCTAAGGGCCTTCGTCAGGAGAGTTAGTATGATCGAGCGTATCGTTTGAGTGTACCGTTTTCCTGCATGACGAAGGCTCTCAGGTCGAAACGTCGAGAAGTGTTTTGTCTGTTTTAGGCAGTTATACCACATTTGATGCTAAGTTGTTTGAAGACGCTGCCACGCTGCTCCCTGGTTATGTTGGAACTTAAGTTTAAATAAGTTTTAAAATTGTGTATTGTGAATGCATTTTCTGGGAGTGGCTTAATAAATTCGGCTACTTTTTTCAAGATCCGTTGTCGAACGTTTTGTTTTTATATTCAGTCTTTGGCTGCATGAAGTAGGCTGTTAATGCCTGGACTGGAATGTTTTGTGAAAATATTTATATTACGGGGGGAGGTCGTGATGTTGGTTTTTAATACCGGGGGGAAGCACAAGCGACGATTTTCTTCAAGAGAATATTTTGAACATTCGTTATAACCTAATCTCCACCTGTGATTTTGTTACTCGAAAATGCTGGGAGAATTAGGTTTGAGTAATGAAAGTAACAAAAAGCTAATTTTTTAAGGAAATTAGTTATTCTTAATTCTAGGAAGTCTCGCAAGAAATCATTCAATATGATTTTGCTACTTTTTATTGTTTATTCGAAGTGCGGCCTGGTCCTCTGCAAATGGACTTAAAGTCATTCAAACCTTTCTCATAATAACGTCAAACACGGAAAGCCTGATTTTATATGAAGTTTGATTGGCCCGTTAGTTTTGTTGGAACCAATCAAGCTTCGTGTAACATCAGATTTTCGGGGTTCAAGTCATCATGAGAAAGTTCTATAGCCAAATTGTTTTATTCATTTATACTAAATAGTTCCATTGAATATTAAATCGATGAAATCATAATGTTGTACATCTGTTTTATTTATTCATTAAATGATCGATTTTACCATCAGTTTTGTCTTGATAACAAATTCGTTTTCGGCAAGAAATTATTCCAAGGTAAATTCAAAGATAGCTGCTTTAGAGGTTAACTGAAAGAGCGCGCAATATGCAAATTATTATAACCCGGCATTAATACTAACAGTCTGTATAGAAAACTAAGCTAAAATTTAATTAAAAGCTTTATTCGTTCACTGAATAAACTACACCATTAATCAAAATATGATTGTCTTTCTCAAATATGTTTTAGGGTTGCTTCAACCAACAATATTTATAACAAAATATATATACTTGTAATATCTCAACATCTTACCCAAGTACGGCCACTGATCTGAAATGTAGACTGAATGCGAAGATCTATTGTTAGCCTTTTAGCGAAAAATTTAACCATTTTAAATTCGATGAAAAATTATCGGTTTTATTCCGGGTTTCTAGGTTATTTTAAGCACAATAGATACACAATCCAGTTTCTATTCAAGATCAGTTGTTGTAAGAGAAAAGGTCCAGCTTTTCTCTACTTGCCATGCGCGGCAAATTTCAACCAAACGCGGTCGAAATTTTGCATGGTTTGAAACTTGCCGACTTGAGCTTGATGCGAGAGTTTTATTGACCAAGTGATCAGTTGTCTATAGTTGTCTAACTTATACTAGTAAATCCACAGATTTCTTTAAAATATTGAGCTTGATCGCCCCTACGTCTTTTCTCTTTTGCAAAATACTCTTTTTACTTTTTAATCAAACGAATTATCAAAAAAACGTCAGAATTTCACTACTTATAATACCATATTTTGATATTTAATTTTGCACCCTTAAGTACACGGTACAAAGGGCCATATCTTTAACTAACTCAACATTCAACACGAAAATCAAGTAAAACTTTTCGACGAAATTCTGAAGTTTTCCTGAACTCATTTCTACGAAATTTCCAACCGGAAACACTGTACAATTTCTCGGAATTTGCCAACATTACTTTCTCGTTCCATTCTCCCAAATCAAATGCGGCGCCCGAAGCCGTTGGAAGATTTGTTACTTCGCCCTTTAAATATCTAACTTTACAAATGTTAAAATTGCTAACTTTTTATGTCTCTAAAAGTTATTTGTTTGACGGTTTGTGCAATCGGTGAAGATACCAGCTTACTCGCTGTATGAAAGGCTTGCTTCGTGAACAAATTTCATTCAAAAACGGACACTTTAACTGCATATAAAGATGAACGCCGAACGGAATCGCCAACAGACATATTTACACGTGTTTCAAATTTGGTGAGTTTTACAGCTCTATACTCTTTCGTAATACGCGTAGCTTTGTAGGGACGGCATTCTGCAGCTGTGTAATACAACGCTGTTTATTTTTACCGTGCTTTTATTGCGGTTCAGTTCCTCCAGAAAGCTAGCATATAAAGTATTGGCAAGGTTAGTGTTAACCATTCATCGAGATGCCTTCGAATGCCCGAGTTCACGGGCGATTTGTTTAGATCGACGCTTGGCGATGTCGTAGCTGTTGTGCCTGAGAAAACAAAGTGATAAAATGTTGTAGTTCTCATTGTTTCATTTTGATAAAGTTCATTAAAAAATGTACAAAGTGTGTTTGATATATCAAACCAGGCTTTATGTATGGTAAATGGACAAATGGTGAATGGTGACCGCCTTCAGGAAATATTAGAAGGAAGATTGGGCTGTATGTATATCTCAGTGGATTCTCTCTTTAACTACTTTGTATTTTTGACTGCTTTGCATAATGAAAGAAGTGTTATTTTTTCTATGGGTTATTTCATATTTAAAGTTCAGAAACATACCATTTTCCCTCTCAACAAGGACATTTATATTCTTAATTTCATCTAAAAATTAATCAAAACCCATGTTAATGTTTTGTCCTAGGACTGCCTGAAACTTAATCTGCTTAGATCTAAAAGATCTATCTTAAAACTGTTCTCTTCTGATGATGTTAATCATAAACCATAGATTGTTGGAATTGCACAGTGAATAACATAAGATTGTTCACAAACGCCTTGGCAATATAATTTATCTACCGTAATATCTTGGTGGGTGATTCGACTTTTCCTTTTTCGTTTTATTCTTCGTGAAATACACGTCTATTGATCCCTTGCCATTGTCTATCAAAGGATTGTATCATAACAAAAGTTTCATATTAGAGAGAGGTATATGTATTAAAGAGAGCTGTGTTAGACGTAGGTGTTGGCATGGAGAGGGGTGTCCGTATTTGAGAGGGGTGTGTTAAAGAGAGGGGTGTCTGTATTAGAGGGGGGTGCGTTGAAGAGAGGGAGGTCTGTATTAGAGAGGGGTGTCTGTAATAGAGAGGTGTGTTGGAGAGAGGTTGGCATTAATAAGTAGTGTCTGTATTTAAAGGTGTGTGTGTTAGAGAGAGGTATCAGCATTAGGTGTCATTGGGGAGAGGTTTCAGGATCAGAAGGCTAAGACAATGTATCTACATCAGAGAAGTGTTCATCATAAATGGTGGTACCTTTTATATGCCCTGTTGAAACATTTATTTCAGCTTTTGGGCCTTTTAATTTTTTCTTATTCCAAAGACACATGGCTTCGATTTCAACCCTGTACGTCGTATCCGGTTTAAGTTTCTGGATGGTGTAATTGAGCTGAGAGCCTGGGACCTGGGTATGCATTTTGGTAAGAACAGCAAGGTCTCCTGTGTCCTTTGTTATCTCTCTCCAATAAATACGATACTTGCGCACCGGAACATCTAGGACGATAAGGAAGGGTTGAATATTAATAATGTTAAACCACGACAGCTTATTGTAGAATACTACCTACACTAGACCACCACGTTTGAGATATCTTTTTGAAGTAGTTCAGACACAAACCACGACAGCTTATTGTAGAATACTACCTACACTGGACCACCACGTTTGAGATATCTTTCTCAGTTAGTTCAGACACAAACCACGACAGCTATTGTAGAATACTACCTACACTAGACCACCACGTTTGAGATATCTTTTTGAGGTAGTTCAGACACAAACCACGACAGCTTATTGTAGAATACTACCTACACTGGACCACCACGTTTGAGATATCTTTCTCAGTTAGTTCAGACACAAACCACGACAACTAATTATAAAACACAACGTCTCTTATTTTGTGACATACGGCATGTTCCACTTACCTAAAATTGCTGGAGGCTTCCATTCCAAGGTGACACTAACTGACTTCAAAGAAAAACTTTCCTTCATCACCCATATTTGCTCGGGTGCGCTTGGTCGGCTTGCGTTGAATAGGGTCCTTATCACAGGCGTTGCTGGCCCAATACTTTGCAAGCCACTGCTGTTAACGATTGCAACTCGTATCTGTAACCTCATACCAGACTGCAAAGCAGTCAACTTGACTCCAACGATTTTTACTCCCTGGAAATATAGAATTTCGCGAGCTGTACTTACTGCGATATACTTGCGATGCTTGTGGTTCTCTTGCATCTTATTTGCAGTCACCTAAATGCATGAAATTTCAAAGTACCTGTTGTATTTGTTCCCACGGAGACCAGTCGTAATCGTCGTAGTATATAGACTTGCTGTCGAGCTCACGAAGTTGTATAATGTACACTGCATTGGTAATGTTACTCTCATTCCATCTTGCCAACAAGGACGAGCTTGTTATGCCACTAACTGCGACTTTTATTTCTAAAACGATAGCAGATATTTGCTAAATACTTCCACTTCATCTTCGTTTGTCGTTTAGAGTTAAAACTTTGAAAAGGTATTTTTCGTATTCTTACCTTCACCATAAACAACGATGTCTTCACAATTGTTGGTTTTCGAGCAGCATTTCCTCAACTCGTCGCATCGGACATTTCTATCGCAGTATTCGTGGTCTAGGAACGAACCTTTTGACACGCATTTCCCAGTTCCGTAGTCTGTTAAGAGTAGGGTATAGTTGATTGAATTGTTAGTAAGATATTATTATTGTGGTTGATCGAAATGTTGAATGATGATAGCGGTTTGGATGGTGGTAATCGATGATCACTGTAATCTATAATAGTGTTATAGATGATGATAATCATTGATGATATCGTCGATTATAATGATCGTAATCATCGATAATGATATAGATCGATAATGATGTAATTGATGATGATCGGTAATTGTTGGAGACCGGTGATGATAATGATGGATGATAGTGGTTGATGATGATGATTGTCGTGACAAAACTGAAACTAACCATCGCGGTAAATCTGTTTATATTTTTTGCATGAAAAATGGCAAGGTGCTGCTAAATCATCTCCCCAAGATTTCTAAGAAAAAAAAACATTTACATATTCGTTAGAACAGAGTGTCGATAAAGCAAAATGAAGGATTTGGCATGAAGTGCTCAGAGGCGTAATATTCCTCCGAGCTACAATACATCACAAGAATCCAATTCAACTTCGCAGATACACTAAGGAAACATTTGGTTGAACAGACATTTGTTTTGAAGAAAAGTTGGTAGAGCAATTGTCTGGCAAATCAAATGTCCCAGTTCAGTTTTGCACCGTGGGCATAGAGGTCAGATGCATGAAACATTACTTTAACTGTAAAGTTCTATAAATTTTCTTTACTAGTTTCCAAAGCACTCAAATCAGTGGGAAAGGCGTCAAAAAACTTTGGAAAGACATCATATATCTCTATATTCAACTTGGCCACAACTCGTATCTCAGACTCAGGTAGGTGGGCACTCATGAACTTCATGCTAAAGCAATGATAGAAATGACATACTGTCCTACTAAATTTAAACAAAACTACTTTTTCTCTATGCCAACATTCGATAGGTGTGCCATTTGCACGTTGAACTTCATGCTAAAGCAATGATAGAAATGATATACTGTCCTACTAAATTTAAACTAAACTACTTTTTCTCTATGCCAACAGTCGATAGGTGTGCCATTTGCACGTTGAACTTCATGCCAAAGCAATGATAGAAATGATATACTGTCCTACTAAATTTAAACTAAACTACTTTTTCTCTATGCCAACATTCGATAGGTGTGCCATTTGCGCGTTTAGTCGGCATATTGTATTTAAAAAAAATTCTTTCAGCTCTCAAAATCACTCGCTCTTAACATCACGCACTTACAAAACCACATATTACAAGTGAATAACGTACGTCAAAGGCTAATATATAGCTTTAAAGAACGCCTACTTACGCAAAAATCTCTACAGCTGCCTAATTTGGCGTAGTCCTGAGCACACGGCGACAAACACTAAATGAAAAGTTAAGTACGTATTAAGCTAATTGACAAGAATATAACACTTTGATTTCCTGATATAAAATCGGCTGCATTGCTGCATGCGACTTGCAAGTTTGGGAAACGAATGATGAGGTAGACATGAGAATGGTTAGATTTCCCTTTGATGTTTTTGTGAGCAAGAATTCAACTTCGTTAGATATTTTCTCGCTAAAATAGCCTACAGGCAACGAATATTTGACTTTTAACAAGAATGATGATAATACCTTTATTTGTGCATGCGCGCGGTTAGCTCTCTGTGTTCGGTAATAAAGAAGGGTTATACCAAAGTAAATACACACTATAGCTATATAGCATTATTAAACCATGCCTAGAGGGAAATAATACCAAAGCTAGCGAGTAGCGTGTATAATGGCCTTTTTTTCCAACGCGCATTCCGACATGAAAAAGTGGTTTTGTGTTCAACAATAAAGAAGCCTTATTCCGAAGAATCACGCCATCTCATCTCGTCTTGGCAACGATTCCTTGAAATTACAGCCATGCATAAGAGCATAAACTGAGTTTTCCGGCCTGTCAAATTGACCCAAGCCAATTTTCGTTTGTTACCTTCGCGAAAATCATTCGAATTGCGTTTGAGCATTTCCGTAAGTTTCAAGTTCAGGAAATGAAATGGATTTTGATTCTTAGGCCTCTTAAAAACATCTTTATCTTCCGAACTTGTTGGCTCTTGACAAGCTAGCACGCAAGCGAATTGCTCTTTTGTGCATGTTTGAACACATTTTCAAAGCTTTCGAGTGTTTCGGAAAAAATTAGAATACAATACACTCAATAGGTTGACATTCATGCATATATATTGAAAACGTTCAAATTTAATCCAATAAGATATAATTGTTGTGCTATCTTTGTAGTTGGTTGTGTGTCATCCCTGAAATTGCCGAAATGTTTTCGGTAATCGAGCAAGATTAGGAATCGAGTGTTATTCTTCGTTGAAAAACATGTCCAAAACACAAGCAACGAATTTAAAATCGACGAAACAGAACGTGATTTGCTAGCATTGCATTTCAACGAAAAACTTGCATGCATGCCCTGACGTAAAATATACAAAATCAAGCATATTTAAAAAGCTTTTCCACCAAATAATTTTGCAAAACTCAAAAGAATGTTAAAACCTTGTATACTCAAATTATACAAGATATAAAAAGCAAAACCACAACCAGGTATAGTATATTTCGACTGGGTATAAGCTTCGCTGCTGTCTTGCACCTTGAATTTTTGTCGTTATTTTTTTTAACGACACATATCCTGGTTTACAAATCTTATATCGGAGTGTTTTTTTATTTAACCATATCGATAAGCATTGATTTTGAGAGCCTGTTCCAGAGAGAAAAGCATTATGGGGTGGTTTTGGGTCGTATGGTTGCATTTGCATACATGGTTTAAACCCTGTATATCTACTTTGGCTAATAACTCGTGCAAGTTTTTATACCCATGGTTCTCTCATATTTCCCGACGTTTTTGAAGGGAATGGAGCCACAGTAATTAGCTAATGTTATTATGGGTTTCCTGCTTTCAAACTCGTCAAAAAGCCGCGGGTGATTTTGTAAGAGGCACATGCAGACTATAAAGACGGAATTTCTATACCAGCTCATGTCCGCTGTTAAAAAATGATTTGGATACTCGATAGAATCGCGATTATATTTTTTCATCTTATTCTACTGTTACTGCTTTTTGGACCGGCTGTGGGTCCTTATCAATCTTCAAGGCTTAGCTCTTGAATTCCGCTTACATTAAGAGTTTTTATTTATCCATTAACCGAAATATATTCTCAAAAAGTGCAGTTTCTCTGTTTTCAATAAACTCTGTGTTGGTTGATCTATGTGAAACGAGGCAGGCACGAATTTGTGGACATCATGCAGACAAATATACGTTATTCCAACCTGTCGAAGTACAAATCATGATATATAATTATGAAGTTTAACTGAGTTCGTCTGAGGCATTGCAAAAGCTAGCACGATGGTCACAGACACGCGCTGGAATAATGTTTTGAGTGCAAGTAAAAAAAACCGTCTTGCGTTTGAGGAAGATATCACAAGAAGAGCTTGTCTGAACGCAATACCAAACTAGGATAAGGCGTCTCTCGGAAACCATGTTAACAAGAGACACCGACGGAACAACGTTGTTTTTAACTAAGAGCATATTTTTCAAACGACATGAGCAAAGTCACGTAGTGTCAGCCGATGGGGTAAACACAACAGGTGACAGGTGTCTTCATGACTTCGTCTCTCTAAATTGAATACCATTCCAATGGGCTTACCAAAGGCATGCAAGGGGCGTGTCGGCAGTGGAATGAGCAAACACCTGATATTTCTCGAAGCAAGTCCGAATCCTTAATTCTACGCCTGTCAAGTGTTGATCGCAACGAGACTTTTAGGCCCAGAGGGGGCAGAAATTTTGACGATTATAGATTCAGTTCTAAATTAAACAATTACGCTATTCAAATACCGAGATTCATTGCGCGTGTTTAATATTGGATATTACACGATCAATATGCGCGATCCGTAAGCCTCTCAAAAGTAAATCAACAATAGTTTGACATCGAGATTTTGATATTGAGATATTAACATTAAAAATTGCATAGCAAGTTCTGGCGTTCCTTTGTGAAAGCTTTCAGACAATAAGCTGTCACTACATGCAAGCTACAGACAGCTTCAAATAATTTAATTTGTATTAAACACGCCTGTCCAAATATATTGAACCAGCATTGGCTACGAGCCACATTCTTTATTGTCCCCACGATACGGTAAAATGACTTCAATCAGTCAAAATTTTAGCTGTGAAACTCGAAATTGTAAACAGGTTTAAACGTTGCACGCAAGTGAAGCAACAGCTGGAGGCAGGGGTATCAATTTTAACGAAAAAAACAACGAATCCATGCAGCTGTTCGACAAAATAGACGGCGCAAAACGCCGCCTACGAGGCGTGAAAATTAGGTAATCTGATACCTGAGCGTGGTTGGCACCATTTCAAAACATTTAACCTGCATAATATGATTTTTGTACAAGAAAATGATGAACTCGATGAACTCGTTTTAACAAAAGCGAACCCCACAACGCTGTTTACGAATCTGTATTACCTTTCAGACAAACAGAAGATAGGATTGAAAAGGGAATTTGAAAGAAAATAATTATAGTTTGGGCCAACAGTGTTAGGGCATTATTACAGGGGCCCAGCTAATCATTTATCGCAGACGACAACGGGAAATGGTTAACAATAGTTCAGACCTCGGTCGTTAATAGCGACAACCGAAGTGCTTGGCAAACGAATTTTTTTTGGACATGGCTATACAAAAATAACCATTTGACGATAAACATACACGTTTGAAACGCGTTCAATGACACGCTGCGGTTTCAGAAAGCGATCGAATTTGAGATTTGTTTAAAAATATCAAATTTGGCAAAATCCCCATAACCACTGAAACGGAACATCGCCTCATTACAAGACAGTCGAGTGATAATTCACCGCCGTCTTGCGAAATACCGTCCATAGGATGTTTTTATCGCGTAATTGTGTGCCGAAGATGTTCATTTACGAAACAGTATTTTTTTGAAACACAAAAAAACGCGTGTCGAACTTCCACGGGCATAGATTTAAAACGTGGATTAAAATCCCGACTGTATATCACTTGGTATTCTATGCAAATCAGATCCATGCAAGTCAAAATTGACATATGTTGCAAAATATATACCCCACTTCGCCGATTTACAACGGCCCAGGCGTTCGATGTAACAAAACGACTGAAATGGTTACATTAGAAAGACGATTAATATACCGTGTACGCGACTTTGAAAATTGGACACATTTTTAGTCGTTTCATATAACACATGTTAGTCATACAAATGCCCAAGTATCATGGAATAATTACATACGCGAGAGCGGCCTTAATTTTGTATTCGAATTTGCAAGTGTTAATTTGGACGCCTAATTTCAATTATTCGAAGTCGCATGATAGCACGCCATCCTCTCATAATGTACAGTGCTATTTTGAAAACCATCCATCAAGCTTTCCGTGCTTCCAAAAGCCAAAATCCCCAATTCAAGATACCTATTCAAGCCGTGCATTATTCAGGGTTTAGAAAGTGAGCTTCGAGTATTCTCCGCCAAATTACACTTGAATGTTTGAAAACAAAAGGTAATCAACCATCTCAGTTTCAACGCCTTTGCAACAAATGTCCATGTGTTGAAAATACCTCAGAATGATTACGGATAATTTGTGCATATTTTCGATCCCGGTAAACTGTATAATTTTTAAACCTACCTGCAATAATTTCTGCTGATCTTTGCGTGTTTTGTACTAAAGAGAAGAAAGATATACACATATTACTCGAATGCAGGCCAACCGAATAGACAGACCGTCTGTGGGTAACGGATTTCCGACGCGATATATTATATATTTGAGTCAAAAGAAGCTATACGTTTGCTGTCGACTATAATGTACTCACCAAGGAATGACATCTTGAACGGCACTGAGCGGTGTATATAATCGTTCCTTCGGAAAGATATAGCGTCAATAGAACACACGTGAATGTAATAAGCGAGGACATGATCGAAACACCGATGTCTCGCTCGTGAAATATTGCACTGCAATGGGTAAATCCCAGGGGACGCTTTTTAAGCTAGTATCGAACGAAATGCAGTCTCGGCTCGAAATACTCAATTCGTGGGGGAATCCGTCGTCGTTCATTGGTCGTCCGCGATCGACCCCCAAGGGCCATATACGTGTGTCGATCAGATTTCCGTAAATTTGATATCTTCCTTAAGGTCAAATCGCCTGAATATCGAATTTCAAATAAATATCCCTAACAAGATGCTTCCAAATGCTTCCCGTGGACAGCTCAAAACGGGAACCTCGTTAACTAGTTGGAATAAAGATGAAAGTCTACGTTCATTCGTCCTGATTAACACTTGAATTCTCCTCTGGAAACGCATGTAAATTTCTTTGACATGCAAATTACCCTGGAACAATGTAAAACATCATAATACATCGCTTGTTGTATTTTAATTGGTGCGCTCAATTTCATTTGCTACATTACGTTAGCGTGATCAAACTTGCCTACGAAAAAAAAGCTTTCTCATCAAGTTTTACTTTTAAGAGAGTATTTATAAACTGCATATTAAAATGATTGGGAATTAACAAAGTCTCTTTGTGCTAAATGTTTGCCGTGATCAGATTTTGTTGTGATAAGACTAAAGATTTGCTCAGGATTGATTCACCGTTTTATTTCATTAATGATTTTTCTTAAAAGAGAGTTTAGAAGTAGAAGAGTCGGGGAAATGTCAGTTTTCATTGCTAGTCTGGACTTTGATCTGCACTGTGTTGACTGTTGCTACTAATACTAGCCTGACTAGTCTAGTACTTACTGCTTTGCAATGTTTTATTCATTAGTGTTTCTCTTTCAACCTTCCTCAATGTCAGTTGATCATTGCAGTACTGCTAGTCTGACTGAGTGTTGACCGTTGCTACTAATACTAGCCTGACTAGTCTAGTACTTACTGCTTTGCAATGTTTTATTCATTAGTGTTTCTCTTTCAACCTTCCTCAATGTCAGTTGATCATTGCAGTACTGCTAGTCTGACTGAGTGTTGACTGTTGCTACTAATACTAGTCTGACTAGTCTATATAGTACTTACTGCTTGCTTTGCAATGTTTTATTCAGTGTTTCTCTTTCAACCTTCCTGAATATCAGTTGATCATTGCAGTTCTGCTTGTCTGACTGAGTGATGATTGTTGCTACGAATACTAGCCTGACTAGTCCAGTACTTACTGCTTTGCAATGATTTATTCAGTCAGTGTTTCACTTTCAACCTTCCTCAATGTTAGTTGATTATTGCAGTACTGTTAGTTTGACTGAGTGTTGACTATCGCTACTAACACCAGCCTGACTGGTAGAAACTCGGTATTTTTCAATCAAAATCAAAGCTGTACAAGCGGAATCCCCCCAATTAGTTAACAACCCGCAATTTTGGAAAGAATCTGAGAGGCTCTTTTGATCAGAAAATATTATCTGGAATCCCCCACCCACAAAAAAAAACTAGAAACGTGTAGAATCTATTTAGACGTATCGACCTCAACTAATCAGACTTTAGAAATCTATGTAAGATGGCCGCTTTTAGCTTTATTATTCAGAACAGCTTCGCGAATGAGTTACAATTGATATCAACACATTTTAGGCAACCAATGAAAACAAGGTTTTGATCGTGGGCGTGGCTGTCATGACGTCACTGGGAAGTAAGTAAGCTTTGCTATACGTCATTTATGATAAACATTGCGCATTGATTTCGTGATGACGTCATAAGATGCGTAAACGGTCCCGATATTCACTTCCATCCCTGATTTAGACCAGAAAAAACTGTCATGTCTGTTGTGGTGATAAGATTTTTGAAACCTTATGACACAAAGTAATTCATTTCTCACTTCAATCACGTAATTTCTCAACGTGACGACATGTAATACAGAAATACTTAAAAAGGAAATTTCATATTTTTTCCTCCCTGCTGCGAAACTTATTAAACTAAAGCGAAACAGAAAAGCCAAGAAGAGCTTCACAACCTGATTTTTCAGAAAACTTATGACACTTGTGTCGTAAACACATCGTTCTGTTTACAAATTGTGCTAAATTGAATTCTTAATCTAGTTATTCTTGTTGAAGGTTTGAAGTGCCTCTTCTGACAATTTTATTGAACATGTCGTTTTTCTTGTGTGTTTACCGCCAAACACAAAGATTTCCCCCAGCCTTGGCCTTTCATCACAGTCAAGGTTAAACACTACATGTCCCATCGCAATGACGTCATATCTTTCAATCATTAGGAGATACGTCAAACTTTATGAATATTTGTTTACACATCTCTTAAGAATTTGTGTGAAGGATTTCCTCCTGTTGTAAAACATGATCAATAAGAGAGATAACCCTTGACTGGGCCTCCAGGAAGAATAGTCTAGAACTGAAGCTATCCAAGTTAGTTTAGTTTAGGTTTCCTCCTGTAGTAAGACTGGATCAATAAGAGATGATCCTTACTGGACCTCTAGGAAGAACAGTTTAGAACTGATAGAACTATCCAGTATAAATAAAGTTAGTTTAGGTTTTCTCCTGTACTGGGCCTCTAGGAGTTGCAGCTCCGAAGTGATAGTGATAGAGCATATTTGAATACTAGTACTAGTTTCATTCATGTTTCCTCTTACGGTTTAACTGGATCAAAGAGCGATGATTCGGCATGATTCGAACATGTCAAGGTTGTAGATGTGAAATTAATATCCGACTATATCTCATCGGTGAAAATGGCTTGTTCACGAATCACGACAATTAAGACGGAATGGAAACTAGGCTTTAGTGAACCTCTGTAGGTCTAGTGCTACAAAACAATTGACCGCTAAAAGTTATGTGGAATACGTCACGGTCATCTCCAAAGCTCTGATATGTACTCTATAATGTATATTGAAATTCCGTGCAGTATCTCACAGTTAGACATACAGTGACAGTAATGACATCTGAACTCCAATATCAACCGCAAAGGCAGTATTTACATTATCGTTGACCTTGGCTGACAGCAATGCCTTGTTGTTTTGCGGCTGAAAATAGCGCAGAACAGCACTCAGACGCTTTTCCTATTAAATTTGAATAGTGAAATGATTTTTAATTACATTATACAAGAGAGGAAAACGATTGCACGATTTGCACAAAGCATCTTATCTTTCGCTTTTGAAAACACACAGCTAAAATGATTAAGCATTTTAAAGTTTTTTTTGTTTCGATTTGAAAACGTGTGTATTTTTATATTGCTCGCCAAATATGGCGATGCGTTTTTTTAGCAACGCCAAACTCCAATTTTCTTATATTGTCTTTTGTCCCGACTCCCGACAAAGGAGGTGGCTTGCACTAGCATAATGGCCGAAACTTTTATAGATTTTGCTCAGTCCGAAGGCGAAGCGATATTGCAACATGTGAATAAATTGTTTTGCTCCTCTTTCAACATTCCATTAAGTTTGAAATCGTTAATGCGCTCTGTGGATCTGTTCTATGCTCTCCTTCATAATATTATCACAGTCAGAGCTTCGCACTTCCCACCCCAAACCCAGCGTGAACGTCGGGACTTATGCGATTCAATTGATCGAATCAATCCATATTTCAAAGAGCTAAAAATACTTTCAAAAGAGTGCTCGTTCAAGCTATTAAACTGATTGCGTTCTCAAACACTGGCCGCGGATGAATACCTCTGCAACCTTGCTGAATGTCTGCTAGAACTATATTCCAATCTTTTGAGATGAGGGATTTAACCGTTGAGTTTATAAGCTCAGCCGCATGCATTGAACTCAAAGAAACTGGAACGCTACATGGAATGCAGTCCTGCACGAAAATGTGAAGCCAAATTCAAGTCGCACCCAGTCAACGGAAAACGCGGTTTTTTAAAATGCTCGAGATGGCGAGTATGTCTCAGTAGTCTCAAAATGGACACCCAAACTTGATAAAAGCCAAATTTTACCTCAAGTCAGGAGGTAGCGCTCAGATCTTTCAGTTCAAGGGCCTCATATGGCCTCATGTTATATCGGTTTCTCTTGTGTATAACCGCTGCCCGCGCGATACGATTTATCCAGGTTGTTTATTTCGCTCTGGGGTGTTGGGCAAAGCCCGCAAAGACCAGAGGGAAGGCCACTGAGCTCTATGTAATATAGAGGTCAGTGGGATTAATAATATAGAGGTCAGTTGGGAAGGCAGAAATCTCCCCTAGCAACCAAAACATGGCCGTCATGGCAACGACACAAAAACCAAAGTAATTTCAACGCGTTTACACAAGTTGTGCTTTAAATTTCTCGCCGCAGACTTTCACGAGAATACGATCGGATATTTATTTCTTTTGCAGGCATGCTTGACTGGTATTGTGAGCGCGGATCGGAGATGAAATCAAACTCGACGTAACATTTGAGCCCGAAATAGTTTCGCAGTTGAAGCCAATATTTTGGTCTGAGCTTGGCTGAAACTCAGCCAGAAATTCGTGTTTAAACAGCATCGATTTTCCACGGAAAACATGAGCCACGCGGAACCAGGGTAGGTACTACTTTGAGACAACCTTTAACGAGCGAATTTATGCATTGATATATGTCATATTTTGACAAGATATTTTAAAATTGAATTTGCTTTAATAAGTTGTTAAAATTACATGTATCATGTTGCAGTGTTTTGACCTATATTGTCGCATTGTTCATGCTTTGTTTTATAATTGAATTTTTTTGGCAAGTTACCGAATATTTTTATTACATACTTGTCTAAAAATTCTACATGAATTGTAGTCGAAAAAAGGTAAATAATTTCCCTGACGGAAACAATTTCTGTTTTGTATTAGTTCAAACCATATTACAAGTAAATATAATGAGTAGTTTCGTCCTTGTGGTTATAACGTAAAATACTTGAAGACACTTTAAAATGCCTTGTTAATTTCATTTCACATATATCTTTTGTTGTTTTGAGTTAGTTTTGTCAATACTATATAATAGGACTTGGTTTTCTTTTCAATGCGGCTTCATTTCTTAAAATATTTTATTCCATGTACAATGCATCAAATATTTATACCAAGACATAATTATCTAACATCTTGGCTTCAAGTATTGTTCATCTCTCCCATGGGAGTTCCTGGCATGAATTTAAACAAAACTTCAACTTGTATAATTCTGAAGGCAGATGTGGATTCATTGATTTTAGTGTAGACATTTTTCTACAATGTAAGAAGGATTGTTTGAGAGCTAGATCCAACTTCTAAGTGTGTTTCTAAACTTCCAATCTGAAAACATTTGATTGTTTCAAGTTTTTATAATATTCCTATAATTTTGCATGGCAAGCAATAACATATATCACTGTTAGTTTGTCAGCACACTGTATGTGTTGTGCATGTTACTGGGAAGTTTTGCATCTTTCACTCTGCTGATCGATGAAGGCGGCCATATTATTAATGAACTGAAAGTTTTACAGTGATAAATCAATCCCATGTAGATGGACATGTGGTCTACCTGAACAATTCTATAGTTTTAAAGTTAAAAAGAAGTCTGTTGCGGCCAGAACTTGCATCGTGCAATTTTTATACAAAGTTTTAATTTTGGTAAATTATTTTCAAAGTTTATAGTTGAGATAATGGGCCTGTTTAATTTTTAATGAGAATGTGGGTTTAATTTTTTAAAAGCATTAAGAGTATCTATGATTCTATGTGTCCTTTTTGAACAAAGTTTGTGTCTTACTGGTTCTTATATCAGACCAGTTCATATCATTTCTGGTAAAACTACAGAAAACTTTACCATGGAATATCTGAGGAAAATTTGAAATTTAATAAAGTAATGGCAATTGGAAGCTATATCAGTACCCAAATTAATGCCAATATTTTGACAGACAAATCTCGACTTTAAAAATACACACACAAGGGTTTAACTAAGGAAGGCTTGTTGTTTTTTCTCAATATATTTGCTTAAGTTTGCAGACCTTTTTATATCCAAACTACAACAATATTCAGGTTGACAAATTAAATCTAATGTGATATATACGGTCATTTTGACCTTATCTGGCATAAGTCATCCTCATGTTTCACAAATACAATGTATTTTTAATAATGCAAGCAATTTTAATAAAAGCCCAGTATTCCTATGTAAACAGCAAAATGACATGTTTACATTAAACTAAGCTGAACAAAATTAAAGAAAATTTGTCTAGCACAATGTGTTCATATCTTACTTTTATTACATCTTAATTGTACATCATGTGTCCATCTGGGTCCACAAATTAAAAAAGTGGAATTCTCCGCTATTTGATTTGTAAAAAAAATCCAAACTAGGTCACATCTGGGTGAATTGTTAGTATTTAGGTTAAAACTACAGACACTTTGTTAATCACACTACGACTAATCAGTGAAATCGTCTGCCGTTAAACAGAGTAAAAAGCAGTAAGCCCAAACCCTTACAAATTCGCCTTTTGGGGCTAGTTGTGTGAAAGCCGGATAGCGCTATCCACCGGATAGTGCTATCCACCGGATAGTGGTTTTTTCAATCCCCTCAAAATCGCCCGTTGTTTGGTATAACTTCGATTAAATCTTAGTATTCCTAAATACGGATCCTCTAACTATTGTTGGTTCCAAATTTTATTGCTATTCAAGCATCTTTAGAACCGTTGAAAAAATCAATATCCGGTGGATAGCGCTATCCAGCTTTCATACGACCGACCCCAGTTGGAAAAGACTCTGGGAGACTCTCCTGTAACCGATGTGTAACTTTCTAAAGGCCTGTTTACATGGAGCGAGTTATCCCGGCTGGGCGAGGTAAAAAGCGCATCACATCAAAGGCTTAACCTGATTAGTCTTTCATTAGTCTTTCATTATATGCAGTTTTCACCTCGCCCAGCCGGGATAAGTGATGTAAAGACCGCATTTCTAAAATTCACAACTACTAAACCAATTCCTAGTGATCTCTCTTGCAATTTTACCCATGTATAGTCCAACGTTCGCTTCTTAACGTCCTAATGTAGGTTTTGTTGAAGGGTTAGTTGAAATAATTCATTTATCACTCAGTATATGCAAACAAATGAGAATTGTAAACGTGTAAACAAATGGTGACAAGGAAAATATAAACAAAACCAAATATACTAATCTTGATAGTCGGTTTATCATTAGAATTACAAGTTCAAGTTGTATCAAGTTCAAGTTATATCAGACCAGAAAAATATCTTTCTTCAAAGTACTAGAATTAGTTGGTTTGTAAGTTTGTAACTATTTAAATTTTGCACGCTATATCACCGTGCTCTGACCAGCAGAATTCGGCTTGTTTGAAGACGAATAATCCTTTGGAGACGAGTAATCCTTTGGAGATTCTTGTAAAATGATTTTTGATTGATTTGGTTTTCCAGAAGAGTGCTTTAAGGATTGTTTTTTTAGTGATTTAGATGATTAACTCGCTTTCCGACAAATGTTGATGATTCTTGACATATTCACTAAATTTTTCGGAGATTTCAGGAGATAATGAAACTTCCTCAGCCGGGGACATACGAAGCTAGTGCGAGACTATTATAGTCAAGTATACATATTGCTTTTTGTTGTTAAACAAATAAAGACAATATACTCGTAAAAACACTACTTAAAACGGTGCCATCAGTCTGTGATATTTGAATCATATAGCGGTTGTTTACAAGCGAGAAAAATACACGCCAATTCTTAGGCTCGTTTGTTGGCGAAAACGTTTGCCAGGTGCTCTCAAACTCAGGAAGTCAGATTATAGATTCTGGCATAAAGTGTAAACAAAAGTAATGCTATTTATACGAAAAGTTGCTTAAGAGTAAATGCACTTGTATGTGTACATTTTTTAAGCAAAGTTTGACGATATTGTATGCTTAAAAAATTTGCTTACGTTCGTCCATCCTTCACAATGGCGCCAAAGGTCTGACCTGTAGGATGCAACAATTTATCGTGGCGAAAATATCGAATTCCTCTGCTTATTAACGAACGATTAGAATCTTCAGCGATGTCTTGAAACTGTTATTTTAACACCTAGATTAATAGCTATTAAAGAACTTGTACACTGATGATAGTTATTTCTGAAGCATTCTCAGAAATATGAAATTTATATAATTATTAATCTATACATCATTATATGAAATATTTGTATAACAGTAATTGTGTAAAACTTAATCCTACAAAGGAATATCAGAATATACACACCGAAATCCTGGGTGTTAAGTGCTAGCTGCGTTTATTATATAAACTTCTTCATAGCTACATCACTATCAGACATAAGTGATAAGATAAAAATCAAATTACTACTATGCCTATCGCTGCCTAGAAGCATTCGTCAAAACTGCTGTTTCACTAATCCTGATACACCACTGAGAATTTCAGAAGCATTTAAAAAAAAATGATTGAATGGCTTTCAAATTAATCTATGAATGAAATATTCATGTTTCATTATGTCAAATATAAGCCCACAAAAATATATCAAAATATGCCAATGAAATCTTAACAGACTGTATTTATTTACGTTGAACAAATTTATCAGTTTGAAAAAATAATATGAATATCAGTCATTCAGTTTCCGATCGGTAAAGAGAATCCCAAATGAATTAGGTAATATTTGAGTATAGTTGAAGAATAATATATTCTTGTGGCACAGGTAGCTGAAATTTTAAGATTAAGAGATTTACAGATGATATAACCAAAACAAATTTTACATTACATTATGTACAGTTCTAATATCGACTCCGTAAGTTGCATTAAACAATGAACACCATCGAATTAAGATGAGTTATCAAACTCTCTAAAATGCCTCGTCAATTTCTTCTCCAGTCCTCTCGCCTCCTACAACAGCCTCCAAGATCCGCACTTGGGTGGATTTTTCTCCAATACCAGGATGAAAAAGCATCTCGAGAAATCTGGACTGGTATGTGATGCATTCTTGATACGAGAGCATGTTTTGAAATACTAAACTATTGTCAATTTATTTTGACTTGTGAAAAAATAATAAAATATAGTTTTGTCTTTCATGCTTTCTCCCCCAAAACACTGTTTTGAGAACTCGTAAACAACCGTCCTATATTTACAAACATTGCTCTCTGTGATCCTGATAACCAGTTCAACCAGAGGTATAACCCTGGGATATTTGCATCAAGTAGTCCCAGACTCCATCGACAACTACGCGCTCCAGTGTCACATTGCTGTCAGTGACCGTGTATACTATAAGTCTACGTACCTCACTGACCGCAATACTAACCTGGACTCAAATGTTTCTGAGTTACCTCAGCTGGGTGCAGATATTAGTGTCTTTCATTCTGCGAGCATCCTTAAAAAATTTAGACTTTTAAAACGTTTTGTTACAGGTGACAAAGTCCGGCAAAGTTGTGAGCGAAAAAACTTACCGGCTAAAAATGGCAAAGAAGGAACATAAGGATCACGTGAGAGATCTCCTAGCAACCGCTATTGTTCACAAAGCACTGGACATGGAGGTATATAGGCGCTCAAGATATATCCAAGGCTAACTTAAGATAAACTTGACTCTGCCTCTCCGAAGCCAAATCTAAAGACTCCAATATCAGTCTTCAAAACAGTTTGTTTGTCAGAAACTTCAAAATCATCAAAACACAAATCCGGCAAAATGCTCATTTTGTGTGATTTTACATTTGGACCTAGCTAAATAACTATTTAACAACCGAGTTGATGATATTAGGGAGCTTTAGCAGAGACTATACGAGTATAAGTACGAACGTTTGTCCACGCCATCTGACGAAACCGTAGTCGTTTGGCATTGAGTATGAATTTAATCAGCAAACTCGTGCTCAAAAGCTCGTCGACTACGAGTTTTGGCTGCATGATGGCGTGAGCGAGCAACGCGCTAAAATAACTAATCTTGTACCTGCTCGAAACCTTCAAAACGAAATTCCTTTTTGTTGGCCGACAGTAATCATTATAATTGTTGTGTATTCGAAGATGGGATGTTTTATCTTGCAGAGATCCAGGCAGCATGAATTGAGAAAGAGACTGGACGATATGTACAAGGTTGAGCTGGTCAGGAAGGTGAAAAGCGATCGTGAGAAGAAAGGCGACGAAGATGTTATGTCGCTGCTTACGACGCGAGAGAAAGTGAGGAAACGACGAAGACCAAGAACAGCTCCTACAGGACACGTCCTTGCTCCGTCTGAGCTGGGATACGATGAAGAAAGAGGAAGACTTTATTACAATGTGAGTTCCTCTTTGATTCGTGTACAATTGTCAGCATTCCACTTCACTAGTTTCAATAAAGCTCAGTTCAAATGCAGCTAAATTCATTCATTGCTCTACCCTCAGGTCGCTCCCTCCGACACGAGCACTGGGGATGAGATGAACTCCCTGATATCGGGCAACGGTTACAACCCGTATTATAAGCCGTATCCACCCGCAACGTATCCTATGCCCGCACCTCCGCCCACGCGTTCTCCACGCGAGGGATCGCGCTCCAGATCTGCTCCGAGCAGTCACAAGAAAAGCAAGCTGAAACTTCACAGGGTAGGCCGACGAAATATTTGAGAAATTTTTGAAAAATTAGCAAAACGACGTCATGGCGACTAACTCTTTTTTTGTTTCACTCCAGTACACATATTTAGCTCACTCGGAACCAGCTATTGCTCACAAAGTTCAGGTTAGTAATTTACACTGAATCAGAAATTAAGCCTTTTTGAATTTTCACTCCAAAATGCACGACTCCGGATCGCCAATTTTGTCAGTCACTATAATAGCCAAAATTCAACTTTTTGTACAACCGACTCTGAGCTACCTCCAAAATACACGATAATCTGACTGGCAAATTCTGTCATTAACTATAGTTTAACAACCTTCATTCATATAACCCGTAATAACCGACCTCTGGACTGTATTCTCTCAACCCATTCTTTTACTCTATATGACATCGTTTTATACCGAGTCAAATCGCTTTGTGCTAGACAGTGTAAAAATGGGGCGATAAACGGCGAAGGTATAAGCCAAGACCTGCTATATGTTAGAGGAGATAGAAGGAGGTTTTAGTAAAAACAGTCTCAATTTTCAACTTTTCTTCTTATGTAGTTACAGTCCATGGCGGAGGTGACGATGAGGTTTTTAGGCCCAAAACTGCAGCTGAAGAATGACATGTTCCCAGACGAACGTCTCTGTGAAGTGATGGTTCTACAGCAACACTGTGGAGGAAGCTCGCTGTGTGTTTTCAGAGAACTCCTGCCACCAAATAGTAAGACGAAGATAAATGCATGTATCCGCGGCAATTTGATTTCTCAGTTCTTACCATTTGCCTGCTACATGATGTTTACTTCTCGTTTCATTTTTCTAGCGATATTTACGTTTATCTCGCGGCGTCATCGTGGAACGCCATTTGGTCTTACCTTTTACATCGACAGCATGCAGGATATCCGTCTCAGTTCATGCTGTGAATATAAACACAAACCAGGGCATATCCTGGGAGGAAAAAACGGACATTTCCAGTTTGTTAATGTTGAAGGAGCAGCCCCTTGTTATCGGTGAGTTTTTACGTAGAGCTTTTGCTCAGTGTTACTACAGGAGGAAACCTAACTAAACTAACTTTATTTATACTGGATAGCTCTATCAGTTCTAAACTGTTCTTCCTAGAGGTCCAGTAAGGATCATCTCTTATTGATCCAGTGTTACTATAGGAGGAAACTTAAACTAAACTAACTTTATTTATACTGGATAGCTCTATCAGTTCTAAACTGTTCTTCCTAGAGGTCCAGTAAGGATCATCTCTTATTGATCCAGTGTTACTACAGCAGGAAACCTAAACTAAACTAACTTTATTTATACTGGATAGCTCTATCAGTTCTAAACTGTTCTTCCTAGAGGTCAGGAGGATGATCTCTTATTTATCCAGTGTTACTAGATGAGGAAACCCAAACTAAACTAACTTTATTTTTCCAGCTGTCAAATAGCATTTTCAATGAAAGAGAGAAAGTCTCAAAGTGGTAAAAGCAAAGTAAAAGACAGAAAAGAGAAAGAGTCTGATGATGGAATGGCTGGAACAAGTGTAAGTGCAAAAACGAGTTTACAAACACCATCGTCAACAATCGTCTAAAAGGTGTACAGTGCACAAAACAGTCGTCCTTCTCTTTTATAGCACGAGACCGCTGAACAGCATCACCCAGGCGACGATGATGAGGGAAATGACGTCACAGAAAGGTTTGAAGTCACTATCACCCGGAAAATGGAGAGCGAAGATGACGGTAGGTTACAACCCGTGTCATGAAAACCTAAACAAAACTAAAGTAGGTTGGACTTGCCTTCTCATGCCAGTAACCCCCCCTGAATTAATTCTATTCATGTTTTGCCTTCCCCCCGGCAGTATTTCAGTTTTTAATTGCTCTTTGCTTCTTCAGACTCAGCTGTTATGGTAGACACGACCACGCAGACGCCACGTGACGATAGCGTGACGGAAAATCACGACCCTAAGAGCACCGGTGATCATGAAGGTACAACAGGAGACACAGAGAAGCAGAAGGAGGAAGCGGAGGCTGGTGAGAGCACCAAAGACTCGGGGATACATCAGGATGAAGATGGATATGACGAAAGTTATGCTGATGAAGAGTTCGAGGAAGATGATGCCCAGTCCGTCGTCGATAAAGAAAGTCCTAGAGAGGAAAATAGGGAGGGAAATGAGACAGATGAAGTAGTGGAAATACCACCAGATGTTGACGATGATAAAGTCGATGACGAAGACGAAGAAATTGAAGATGAAACTGAGGAAGGAACCAAGGTGCCTGAACTGATAGAGCTATCCAGTATAAATAGAGTTAGTTTCAGATTTCCTCCTGTAGTAACACTGGATCAATAAGAGATGATCCTTACTGGATCTCTAGGAAGAACGGTTTAGAACTGATAGAGCTATCCAGCACAAAGTTAGTTTAGTTCTGGTTTTCTACCATAAAGGCTTTGGACATTTCGTTAAGAGCAATTCACTAAAAGTTGTTTCTTTCTTTGACCAATCACAGAATGTTATCGCAGTCGCAGCATCAGAAGCCGACCAACCTGAAGAGGTACACAGCGAGGATGATAGCGGTGACGAGAAGGAGAAAAAGAAAGACAGTGATAGTGATTCCAGCTCAAGTTCCAGCGATAGTGAAGATAATGACAGTGAAGATGAGAAACCTGCTTCGAAAGTTGCGGAGAAAGTGGTGTGTATGATACGTTAATAAAACCATTCATAAGTGATCTAAGATTTGGAAAATCCGAATTTTAAAAGATTAAGTTGATCAACTCAGTCCCCTTACCCACCCTACCCTGTCCATCTGCTACTCTTCACTATGAAAAAGGACCCGGGATTTTGAGAAAACTTTTTAGAACTGAGGAAACTATTGAAGTCCTTGCGTTTATTTTCAGGATTCTGATGTAGAAAGCAAGCATTCCAAGACGTCTGATCAGGATTCCGAGAAATCGGATTCCAGGAGAAGTTCGATCAAGGATGAAACAGACCACACCTCTGACAACGAGTCCGTCTCGTACGGAACCACGTCTGAGACGGATCTCGGAAACAATTCGGTGGAAAATTCTGCGACCGTTTCCAAGAACGAGCCAGAGACTATTAAAGAGGAGATTGAAACGTCGTCGAATGCAAAGAATGGTTCTGACGGCAGTATTTCTCCGAAATCTGTTGAAAGTGTAAAAGAAAGTGTTAAGGATGAGAATTCTGATAATGCGGAGTCTGATCGGCATTCTGAGAAATCCGTTGAGTCTGAGAAAGATTCTGATTCCGAGAAGGAAGATGAGGACGTTGACTCCGATCGAAAAGTTTCGGAGTCTGAGAAAGATACGGATAAAGACGACGATAAAGATTCAGATAACGATCACGAATCGGAGCCCGATCGAAAAGGATCGGGCACTGTTCGGAACTTGTCGGACTCTGAAAACCAGGCGGAGAAGAACGACGATACTGGCATCGATCAGAAGAAATCTCGATCAGAAGAAGACCAAATATCAGATAAAAAAGATAAGAAGGGACCTGTTTCCGAGAACGAGTCCGATTCCGAGAAAGGCAAGGAATCCGGTTCCGAGAAAGGCAAGGAATCCGGTTCCGAGAAAGACAAGGAATCCAGTTCCGAAAAAGATACGGATAAAGACTCAGATTCGGACTCTGATTCTGACTCAGATAAAGATTCCTCGAGCGACTCCGATGACGATAGTTCCAAGAAAAGTAGCGGGAAGGAGTCGAGGAGCGGGTCGGACGCCGAGTCGGAGAAGAGCAGCAAGGGATCACGTAGGTCAAGTAAGGATAGTGCTGATGACTCGAAAGGATCGCGTAGGTCTAGTAAGGATAGTGGAGCTGAAAGCAAGCCAAGACCTGATTCTGCTGGCAGTGGAATACTACGAGATCCCAGCAAGGTAGTCAAGCGTTTCAAAAATGTTTCTTTCCGCTCCTGAATGAGATCGTATTGTAATGTTTTCTTTTGTACAGGAGGTAATGGGGTTCACCCTGTCGAGTTTTGCCAAAGACTAGCATATAGCGGTAAATGATCGATAAATTGAATAGGAATAAACTCTAGAATAATTTGTAAAATGAATTAAAAAACTAAGTAAACATCTTTAAGGGCCTGTTTACATGGAGCGAGTTATCCCGGCTAGGCGAGATAAAAAGCGCATCACATCAAAGGCTTAACCTGATTAGTGACTCATTAGTCTTTCATTATATGCAATTTTCACCTCGCCTAGCCGGGATAACTCGCTCCATAAAAACAGGTCCTAAGACCCGTTGACATTTGGCAATATTAGCGATTTTTCACTGATATTCATCTTTTAACTGATGTAAACGAGTGAATAAGTTATTTATATTCATTTAAAGACACTTCAACATAAAATATCTCATAACTATTAGCCCGTTTGCACATATGAAAGAATGAAATTTCAAGTGTAAAAACGGGTCTTTATTAATAATGGTATTGAGTCATTGAAATTAAATTAGGTAAAAATTAAAATACTGTTAAATAATTTAAAACAGTTAGAATCTAAAATGTTCATCATAAAATAGTACTTAATTTATAATAAATGTTAAATCTATTGAGTATTAAGAATAAAATCTCATTTAAAACCATGAAACACACAAGTCTAAAATTCTTGTGCAATATTGCGCTAACTAAACATAAATTAAACCAATTCTTAAATATATTCACGGGTTAGTGATTGTCCGAATTTAACAGGCATTCTCCTTTACTCAGCTTTCCTAAAGGTGATCTAATTTGTCTTCCATCCCCATTTCACCCGTCTTGTTCCCAAATGCGCGGGCAGGCGGGTGTCTCCATGCAGGCTTGGCAAATTTGAGAAGCCTGCACCAGTGAACTCAAATAAGACTGGAACGCTCATTCGCGCCAGAGGCCTGGATCATACCTACAAGAAAGGCTTCATGATCCGCCATCTTGGCTTCACTCATTAATGAGGGAAAGTCAGAGAGTAAGCGTTCCAGTCTTATTCGAGTTCATTGGCCAGCACTTTGCAAAAAGAGCACAATCCTTGTATACAAAATGACCTTTATTAAACTTACGTGCTGGTGTTTCAACTAGACTCCAGACCTCTCCGATGACGAGAGCAGACCCAAGAAGACTGTTTCTTTCAATGAGGAAGTCAAAGTGTATGTTGGTGTTGGGGAGACTGGTGATGAGGAGGATATCGAGGGTGATGCAGTACACGACGCTACAACTGGGGGTAAGTTTGACAGCTTACCCAATCTGCGAGTTAATCATAGGTCTTTTCACGGGTCCCGTCTTTAGATTTTGAACTTATTTTCTTACAGACGATGATGGGGAATTAGAGGAGAGCCCTGAGACGGAGACTGTGGATAAGGAGAGCGATTTAGCTACACAGGGGGATAATGAGGGAGAGCAAGGCTCACTTGAGAATACAGAAGTTCACAAAGAACCACAAGAAAACGAGAAAAAGGATACAACCGTTGAACCTGGAAAAAATGTAGAAGAGGTGGAAATTCAACAGGCTTCTCCACCTAGTGGGATAAGTGAGAGTAGTGAGGACACTGAGGGGTCACTTGGGAAGGATGTGGACCTTGAAACAGGTAATTTGACCATGAATTCATGAGACAATTTTTCAGTTGTTACTAAAGACACGGCTCTTACCATTTCAGGTGAAGATGAAAATGAAAGGAACAACGAAGGCGATTCTGGTCTTACAGCTGAAAATACCGAGAAAATCGGTGATGAAAATAAGGAACAAGAGAAGTCTGGAAGTGGAAGTGATCGTGATGAGGTGGATGCAGGCTCGAAGGAAGCTGCTGGCGATGAAGATGGAAACACCGCACAGTCCAGCCAAGAGAAGAGCATAGTTTCTCTTGAGCCCAGTGACAGCGAGAGCAGTAGCAAGCAGGGTGAATCTGATAAAGGTACGGACTTTGAACTAAACTCAATCGGTTTATCACTTGTTAATCCAATCTAATCTAATCTTAATCAACTTTATTCATTCTCGATAGCTCTCTCAGTTCTAATCTGTCATTGCTATTTTTCACCACAGAGTTGACCGATACCGATCAAGACCTGGACCCTGGAAATGACCCTGACTCCGTGGGGAGTGGGGAGCCAATCCCAGAGCGTGCCCTGAAAGCAGTGGGAACAAAACCTGGGGTGAAACATGAGGGATCTGTGAAAACGTTGATCGAAGACCAGAAGGATCTGGAAATTGCGAGTGTTGCACTCAATCCTGAACAGGTAGGGGGTTGTTGCTGTTTTCATGTTGCTTTGAATCTTTCCCTTTTAACTTCGTGCTTGAAATGTTTATGAATGAAATACTCAGGTCGAAGAAGTGGCGTCGATGGTTGAAAACAACTCGGAAGTTGGTTCGTTAACATTACGTAATGTTTCTCTGGGCGACGACGGTGTGAAGCAGCTGACCAACGTATTGAAGACTAGTGCAAATGTTAAGGTATGAGATGTTGATCCTCAGGAACCAACCATACATGGTCGTAGTCTTTTCTGATTGAGCACCGCCATGATGATTCTGTTTATCGAGTGTCGAAATATATAGGCAGACCTAGGACAGCGGAGAAATAGGAAATGTTTAACCAGCACGCGCGTATGTTGTTAACTCGCTGTCATCCAGGAAAACCAGCTTCTAAATCATTTCATAGGAACATTTCATCTCATTTTAGATGCTGAATCTGAATGTAAACAACATTGGACCAGATGGTGCGGTTCATGTTGCTGAAACCATACGTCACAATACCGCGATGAAAATGTTACTGTGAGTACGATACGATCACTTTAAATTAATTTTAAATTAATTTTCTAAAGTGGAAGCGAGTCTCGAGCTTGATATTGACTTGATTACGCTGAGAAAACAACCCGTAATTTTTTACACCAAAATGGTGCGTCTAATTCCCGTTGTCTTTCTCTCTTAGCCTTCATGGCAACCCTTTGGGTGACCAAGGGGTGACGTCGATTGTCGACGCCATTCTTGGAAACGAGGCTTCGGCCTTGTCGACGCTGGACGTGGGTGACTGTGGGCTCGGTGACCTTGGCGCCACGCAAATTGCGCGCCTTCTCGAGAAAAACAATACAATATCCGATCTAAATATAAGCGCCAATCAAATAACGGTTGACGGTTGGCGGGAAATTTCGAAGGCTCTGAAAGTGAACACCAAACTTAGAGCGTTAAGTTTGGACTATAATAAAATCAGCGACGAGGATCTAGCGGTTCTTTCCGACGGATTCCGACATTCGGTGAGCCTGCGTTCGGTAGATCTCGAAGCCAACCGAATTCGCGACGAAGGCGGGCGACTACTTCTCGACGTTTTGCGTGAGAACGAAAAAATTATCGATCTCACGCTTATGCCCATGAACACGATCGACGAAGGCATTCTCGAGGAAATCAAAGATCTTCTCGACAACAGAATCTGTTCACGACCGAGCTCGGCAAACTCCGAGGATACTTCATCATGACTGCGTGAGAACGTTGTCTGACAAAGCGTGCTCGCGTAAAGCGTGATTGTGTGATACTTTGTGTTGGAGAGTGTGTGACCTCGCGTGCTGAAACAACTCATATGAGATTGTCTACGAAGTTCAATTTTTTAAATTTTCCCCTGTTATTTATTTCTTTGATCCTTCTTCAAATGATGTTATACATATCAAGCATTTTAAATTATTTAAATATGTCTTTTGCCCTTGTTTTCTTGGATGCGATTTTTTTCCCAGAAAGATGCGCAAACACGCGCACACAAATAGGCTTATTTAGAAAACGTTTATTGCTGTCATTCGTTGCACTACAAAAATGATTGACACACCATTGAAAAAAAAACAAAGAAAATTATGTTTACAACATGTTCACAATTTTAGGATCATAGGCTATGTTCTTCATTCAAAGAAATTTTAAACTACGATATATTTATGCTTGAGATCAACTGAAAATATTAAAAATCCTGTGAAGAGTTTCACTGTTGAAAGAAAAACAAATTTTCACGTGACAAAGCAAACTGTTCACGTGACAATGAAAACTTGTCATATCTATTTACATATTAGACATGTGATATATGTTCACATAACACGTGATCATTGTCCACGTGAACACACTTCAAGGCCCCTCCAATCCCAAAGGGGCGGACAAAGACGTCTCATAACTTCTAACACGGGAGAAATAAAATGGACAAAACTGTTCGTTGTTGAGATCAAATTGAGAAACCGTCGTAGTTTCGGTACCCCTTGAGAAAAGAAGATCCAAAGTTAGGTTTTTAGTTTAGGTTTTACCGTGAGGGGTAGGAATTTTCAGGTACCACAGTGGTTATAATAGATGGGTTATGGATATCTGTGGTCATCACCTGGAAAATGTTTGACAGGTGTACTGCACCCAGGTTAGTTTGTTATTTCGTTTTTTCTTCGTGTTCTCCAGCTGAAGCTCCTTTAAGCAACAAAAATGATCTATATGAGTTAGGTTAGAGTTCAGTAAAGCATTAAGAAACAAGATGTGTCGTTTACCATGTGAAATACTCTTTCACTGCCCGACTGTGCTGGTCTTCTGCCTCTTCTACGCGATGGATAACCCGTTCGCTGAATCACCAGCAAAACCTAAGATGATGGAGCATTTGTAGTACATAAGCCAGGCGAGAGATCTCAGAGGGCTTTGTGGATATAAGGGGATTGCCAGGATTTGGGATGAAGTCAGACACAAGAAAGGGAGATGTCGCAGTGCTCGGAAGCTTTCGTCCAATTGGATAATGCTTTTCTATGCTTTCTAAAGAACGAAGCTATGCTATTGGTTGAAACAGAAATGTATTGTAAAGTTCAGCCAATGAAAATCTTTCTTGCGAGGAGCTGCGACACTACCCACAAGAAATGCTGGTGATGTAGCCAACTCTTCCAACACGACAAATATTTGACGATCTCATGAGAGATCCTCGCATGCATAAGATAAAAGAGGAGATCTCTATGGAACCACACAGGTTCTGGATGTTCAAGCCTAACTAAATGAGAGGCTTGTCTTATTTTCTATTTCATCCTTTCTTACTTTATCTCCAACCAGTCTGCAGTTGCCACGCCATATGCTGTTGTTCTCGTTCTTCAACGAGAGTCGTGGAATAGAAAGATGAGGTTCATCTGGGCTCGTGAGAAACAGCACTGATCCTGAACATAAACATAAATGTGACTCACAACTTGTCAGAAGTAAAATTTTGAATATATACGGCTTTCCATTACTGGACCTCTGGAAGGAACAGTAGAGCGGAACAATAGACCTATCCAGTATGAAAAAGAATAATAAGTTCAGGTTTCTTTAACTCTTTTGGCACTTACCGTCAGTGAAAAATCGAAGGTAACGATAGTAAATGATCAGTTGATAGGGAGTGTAGTGTTGTTCAAATGTTGGTTCACTTGGCCTGGTGTAACTGACCTTACTGATGTAAACGCCTGGAAACAAGACATAATGACACGTTTTTAGCAAGTCAGGGTTGGATATTTGCGGGGCATGTCGCAGTGCTCGGAAGCTTTCGTCCAATTGGATAATGCTTTTCTATGCTTTCTAAAGAACGAAGCTATGCTATTGGTTGAAACAGAAATGTACTGTAAAGTTCAGCCAATGAAAATCATTCTTGCGAGCAGCTGCGACCCTACCCATATTTGCAGCTTCTTGATTTGAACTCTACTTAAATGTTAAGTAGGTAGCGTACCGCCGCCGTAATGGACCTGTCGTGACGAGCATGTATGCAACTAGCCTACGCGTAGACTCAACTTAAGTTATAAGTAGAGTCTACGCATCAGCGTTAAAAAGCTTGTTCAATCACGTGGCATCCCCACAAATGTGGGGAACGCTTGTGATTGGTCAGTATCCTGAATATTTATCAACTGACCAATCACAAGCGTTCCCCACATTTGTGGGGAAATCCACGTGATTGAACAAGCTTTTTAACGCTGATGCGTAGACTCTACTTATAACTTAAGTTGAGTCTACGCGTAGGCTAATGCAACCCTTATTTATAACAACTGGTTCTAGCCAGGGCAGTGATAACGTAACGTGCCACAAACTACAATAATATAGTATTCTGACCGTTGTACAAAATGTGAGCTCGTTTCAGATACATCTCCCTCCAGGATCCATTCCACGATACTGTCGATCCAAGATTCACACCCCATACCCTACGATATCATGCGAGAATCCCCATTATATACTCATTCACACAGAAACAAACAGCAGCGAATACCATTCAAAGTATATAAGTGGCTTCTTTAGCAAATTACTCGCCAGGGTGCTGTTACATGAATGAAATGGTGGTGCCTTAGGATGCAGTGGTGAAAACATCTTTGGTAGCTAAGAGAGATTTTCGTGCCTTAAATTATCAAGTTATCAATTTTACCTTAGACAGGCCAACCGCCAAATCTCCGTGTCTCTGGCCAATGCGTAAAAACCTCTACAGACCTAGCAAACGAATACCAGACTTTGATCAAAATGCTTCGTTAACAGTTCTTCTTATTCCTATAGTCGTGAGATTAGATCAACAAGTATTTCTTACCTGACCTAATCTCTCTAGCGATCTTAGGTCGAGATGTAGAGATACAACCCATTTGAAGATGTACATCAAAAGCTCGGCAGGCAATGCAGATATGTGAGTTTTCTTTAAAACAAGAAATGAACGAGATTTTTAAGCAATTATCTTGCAAATATGGCGAGGAAATAACGGGTCTTCCTGGGGAAATCAGACAACAACTCTCTACTCTAGTTGTCTTAAAACGTCGACGTCAATCGATAGCTTTGCCTTTGGCTGCTATTAATGGCTTTCTACAGTTTGAAAGGAAACAAAAGATATCCTATTTCATACAGTTGTTGGAAATTCTGGTTCACAAATCCCTTTTACGCTCATTTTATCAAATTCCTTGACAACACATTCCAGTTCCTTTGACCTATAATTGAATTTGAAAAAAAATTATGCTGAAGAATTTGATCCAAAAGAATCCGCCACACAGAGCTCACAAACACAGAACGCAAAAACCAGAAGCGTTTCTTACCTGTAAATATTCATATTGTAAGTTGCTAATGTCCCATCTTCGTCATCTTCGTTCATATCCTGGAGAAATATCTCTTGAGGTGATTCTAGTGGGAAAAAACCCGATGAATTCTCAAGATTGACGATCATTGATTCATTCGTCCAACTCTAACGTCATCATGCTGGCTCAAGCAATTCTTCAATTTGAAATTGATTTTGATAATCTCACCAGTTTTTGGAACAAGTTCGTTAAAATCAGAAATCCTGTTTTCGATGTCTGGTAGCAACTGAATAGCCTGACGATAATATCGAATTGCTAAGAAAAATAAATAATATAACAGCGTTAGTAGGTCATGGTGGATGATTTGTCAAATAATACTAATATTACTCTATTGATATTACGCGAAAACTTTCAGCTAACCTTCAGGCATTCTTCCTTTCTGTTCCAGGGCAACGCCGGTCAAAAAGAGATATTTTGCCTAAATGTTGCAAGATAAAAATTTTGATGCGTTTTCTGATAAAGCGATGTTGATGAATTACGATCAGCCCGAAATGTGTGAACTTGATTGAGTTTCACTTTTGTTATTTTTTCATGATTTTTTCTTGAAACTATTGTATTATCCGCAATTCAATTTGATGGAAAGAGTGGATGAAGTTGATTGTTGTATTGGGTTAATGAGGACAAATGTATGGCTCATTATAGTTAAGGGAATTTCTAGGAAACCAAACTTTATATTTCAATATTTAACAATTATATTTTGAGCCAGAGAGTTCTTTGAGATGATAAATTATGTGTCAGAGAAGTCAATGAGAGGTTTGAAGCATTTTGGCTGTTTACAGGTGAGGAAATTCTTGGTTATTTGGTACCCGAACAAAAATGCTGATACGCACCCTATTTTCAATGCTCTCATCTGTGTTTGCTGGTTTAAGACATTGGTTTTGAGATGCAGAATGGTTATCAGTTGGGCTTGGTTCTTCTGGTATTTGAGGCGAGTTTGATCTGCTGCGCTGTTGCAATTCCTCGTGCCATTGTCGACGAAATGATGACAACTCTTCCTGGAGGTTATCTTTGTTCTGACATAAGCGTAATTAAAGACAGAACATGAAGGTAGAGTACTAGAGTACTTTCAATCAATACCACTATACCCAGATACAACCATATGGTTCTACTCAATAACAGCGAAGCATAATATGGGTAGGGAAGAAGTGGGCAGGGTTTCCACAATCCAAGGAAATTTCCTTACAATTGGCAACCACAAGGGAAGGAGGGGTCTATTTTGATATAATATTTTATGCATTCTTTTCAAAAGTTCTGTGTTTCTCTCTTTTGTCATTGCCATCCCCCTAAGAAGACAGCCATATGCAAATAAGTTGTGGAAACCCTGGAAGTGGGTGCAACCAACAACCTAGCTTGGTAGCATGGACCAGTGTACCAAAAAATTGACAATGTGAATTTCTGCCTATCTAGTGATCAATCAGTCCTGTGATCAGTCTAATCTTAGGTAAAAGGCAAACCTAAACAGCCCCAATACAAAACATAATCGAGATATTGACATAATATAGACATTTATAATGTCAACACGAATAATAATTAACCACCCGGAAATGAATTGCGTAGCCGTAGATAACACGTATATGACTTGTAGATGCAATGAATCTCGCGATCGGGTATTTAAAAATATAAACTACATGAAAATATGTGAAATAGTTGTTGTCAAAGAAAATTTTTCGCGATCGTTTTGAGCAAAAATATTCAAATACTTTGCAATGTTTACATATGACATACGTGAAAGATCGGGTGTTTTTCATATAAACTTTTGGGAGGCATTTGATATAAGATGAATCCGTTCCTACCTCCATCTTATAGTGATCTCGTGATGCCGTAGTTAATATAGCTCAAAATATTCTTGCCTGCGTAAAAAAATGGATAAATTTTGTTCACTTTTGCAAACGGTGCCATATTCTTGTCGATTTCAAAACAATAACAAATAATTCCAAGTGTTTCCATATAAAATGTGGAAGCGGAAATTTTCCAAAAATAACTTTGGTACTTCTCGAAAGTGAAGCGCAGCTCGTTTGTAAGAATCCGGAATTATGTCGATCGCCAATCATATACGTCTTTATATTCAATTATTCTAATCAACCAATAATATATGCCCTTATATATAAATTATTGTAAGCGCCAATCGTCGTCGCCCACGAAAAATTGGCGCGAATTATAAAATCATTACACAGCAGAAATTTTGTTCTTTCCCGAAGCATCGTAGCGAAGCAAAGGTAGGTTTACTTTGAATTTTTGACTATAACTCCAATTTTTTGCGCCATATAACCCTTAAGTACGTTCACAGAAGATAGTGGTTGAGGAATATCTAAAGTACGAGCAATTTCTTGCAAATAACCGGGCCAAAAATATTGAAATTGAGCGCCCGAGTGATGCGATCAGCTGGTGCACTTATTACAAAGTGAAAGCTAAATTTTATAGCTTGTCTTTTGTTGTTTGTCGTTTTATAGGTAGAGAAATAGTCGTAAAACGAAAGAAAGGATCTTTTAGTTCGTAAACAAGACTGAATTGGTAAGAATTGACATTAATTTGAAAGTTTTGCGAGGGGAATTACCCGCATTAGTGAACCGCGATTTTATATTTGTATTATACTGACGAAGTGAAAGTTTCATTGCATTTATCGTTTGTCATTTGATGTTTCTCTTTTTATAAATAGTGGGATATACTATCAGGTGTTAAAAACAAAGTATTGGTTTAAAATAGGAAAAGATCTAAGACAAAGTTAAAGTATATTTGTCTGTTTATAATCCGATATTTACATTTTATTTGCACCTGCACAACACCCCCTAGGGGGGGAGGGGTAGTTTCATAGGGTAGATATAATTTTCAAATTTTTTATCAGCTTAGCAAATATATTGCCTTCCTCGTCCCCAGTCGCTTGCAATTGCAAAAATAGAGATCAGTGCTGCTGTGAGAAAGCTGTGGCCGCGCGGGAAGCATGGGAAGGGGAGAGAGGGGGAAGGGGAATCCTCACAAGTAACCCATGCATGCCAATTAGCGCGCGCGCACAGGTGAATGACTGTGGAAGAGTCAGATATATTGCCATCGTCTTGTTCACTCTTCACTTCTAGCCAATCAACGACTAGTATTATAAGCATTACGTCATTTTACCAGTAAAATTCCGCTTCACCTGATGATTGTCGCCGCGAAATAGATCTATCGCGCTTTCGATTTTCTTCGTTATATTATATTTCGAGTTAACGCTATTTTTGGTTACAATTTTAATTTGGAGGATCTTCCGTGTTTGCAGTAAGTGTTATAATCATGAATTCTGAGACATTCCGCTGTGTAAATTACAGCAAATTTTGTACGAAATCGAAACGATCTCTTCGACTTCGCCGGGCAAACCAATTTCTTCCAAATTTGCTAGAGAATAACATAAGTTAATCCTGTTGATTTGTTGGATTCAAAGACTATTATACACATATAAGTCATTTTTATAGCAATTTATTTACACATTGACACACATTCAATACTGTTGCCAGAGATGTGGGCGGGAAGCGTTTCGGTAAATAAATATTAAAGCCCAACATGGTGCCTTTAGTAAAGCCATAAAAGACAATTTCAAAAATTTAAAAGTAATAAAAATATTATATTAGATACATACAACATAGTGCTTTTAGTAAAGCCATAAATGACAATTTCAATAATTTAAAAGTGATAAAAATATTTGATATTGACGTTTCGTCTTAAGACACCTGCAGACTAAGTCATAAATTACATGCAAATTTGAATATATAGATGTAAGTACGTTCCAATATAACCAGGAAGCAGCGTCCTCGAACAACTTTTACAACTGCCATCGACGTTTCGACCTGAGGGCCTTCGTCAGGAGATTAAGTATGAAAATAAATAGGGAGAATACATGTTTTGGATGGGGGCAAACACGTGATAAAAATATGACTCCATTTCTTTGTTTACATCAAAACTGTTTGTAATATATTTTCGTTGCTGATCAGGCTTCCCCTATTGCGGGCTATTCTTAACCCACAATCAGGCATTTGTTTGGCAACGTAATATATATTCCAATTTGTTTTGATTTTTTGTTTTCCATTGGCCCATTTTTATCACGTGTTTTGCCCCCATACAAAACATGTGTTCTCCCCTATTTATTTTCATACTAACTCTCATGACGAAGGCGCTCAGGTCGAAACGTCGAGAAGTGTTTAGCCTATGTAGATATAACGCTGCCCTTGCTTTCCCCTTTGAAAATTGATACCTTGTAAATATATTATTGGCATTATTAGACTACATTACTAGATTATTATTGACTAATAATATTATTAGTCTACATACTAAATTAGCATGTAATTTATCACTTAGTCTGAAAAAGTCTTTTATACATAAAAAATATAGCAAATCGCATAATTGTGGGCAGATACATGTACGCTTAGCAGACCTATTTTATATATTTTTCTCAAAAGCATGTAATTTCTTTTTAAGGCAAAATGGAAAAGCCACATGATAGTCCCAAAGTTTGGACAAGTTCATATTTTGAACAAACCGCAAATCCAACACTGATTGAGTCACCCACACTTACTTTCACCCTGGAGGATGCAGTCGCCAATGCCAAAGGGAAAAGAGTCCCTTTTGAAGACATTATACTCTTTGGTGAGGTTAAAGATAATGTGGTTTCTGGGGAGGTTGCTATCTCCCCGCAAATTTTTTGCCACCACTTGAAAGAAGGAGGAAAAATCAGATCCAGGAAGAAGAAAGGTGCGATAAAGAAAAAGACAGGAGAAGCCAGTGATCATGAATATGGCCTAGAAGATGAAGAAAATAGGTATTCCGTGAAGCAGCAAAAGTTGTTTTATGTCAGCAGCACTAACTCCGGAATAACTAAAGTAGTGAATACCAGTTATGAAGGCAAACACTTGTGTGTCATATCATACGTTGGTGACAAATTGAAGGACGCTATTTCAAGGGATGGTCGTTTCGCAGACGAATTAAAGCTGTTTACGAGCGATGACAAACAGTCTGAAATTGCAATGCATTATGAAGCATTGAATTATTGTGGAAAAGTTCTTTTGGCTAAGAAACCACCGCCGAAAAGAAAACTGGCCGATGAACCTATTGGAGACGAAGCATCGGAAACAAGGGGGGGCAACCAAAGCGCTATTTCGTTGCCCGATAATTTATCCGACCCCACCACGGAGGACATAGCCAGAGCGATGATGAACGAGGCAAGAAATGATGCTCTCGAAGCGTTTGCAGAACCTGGGTCCAAAGGCAAGGCAGATTTTCATATCAATAAAATGGTGAAAAAGTTTGGGAAAAAAGATTCCTGTTCCATTCCTGCACGTATTTCAGATACCTTATCTCAAGCCAGGGGTTCTGTTGGCTATCTCCATTGCGGTGATTATGGGGCCACGTGTTGGCTGTTATGTAAAAATGTTGTTATAACATCTCGACATGTGTTTGAGGATATATCTAAAATAAGGATGGAAGCTACTGACGAGGAGATAAATAAAACGATTTTTGTAGACTTCCATTTTGACTCCCCGGGACAGAGAAGCAAAATCGAATTTGAAATTGATGAAAAACGAAAAGGGATATACGGGCAAGGAAACCGAGACTACGCGATTCTTTTCTTAAAGGATTCTCCTGATCTTAATAATATGCTAAGCCTAGGGTTGTTGGTACGGCTTCCCCTTCCAAGCAGTGGTAGTGTTGTACTTCTGGGCCACCCAGAAAAAAGACCTAAACAAATAGAAATTTGTCAGATCATACCAGGATATAAATGGTACCGGACACTTTGTGAACGGAGGAACGACGCCATCATGGCGCATGATTGTGAATCAAATCCAGAAGAGTGTATGCTGAATCCCAATAATATATATTCCGACAAAATTGTGGAATGTATCCATATGTACCAGGGTAAAGAACTCAACCCAGCTGATCATTCGGACCAGATACCGTACGACACCAGCTTTTTTCATGGGGCTAGTGGTTCGCCTGTCTTCAATTCCTATGGTCATATTATTGCAATGCATACCATGGGTTATCCATTCTCTCAATCTCAAAAGAAGCATAGTCTGATGGAATTTGGCATTACCTTAGCCGCCATCTATGATGATATAATACAGCAGGAAGGCCCTACTTTAGCCTTCACTCTGTTTCCAGAAGTGCAAGTGTCGGAATAACTGATGTGCGATTGCAACAGTGATTTTCGTGATACTTTTGGCTTCCACAAAAGGTGTGGTCAAACAGTATATTACGTAATATAAGTGCAATTTTAGAATAGAACCCATCCTTGTAAATAAGTTTAATTGCTCTGTAGATGTTGTGAACAATACAACAAAACGTTAGCGAATAAATTTACCGCTTTTATGCCTTGTTTGTAAGTCATTTGCCGGATGACTTGTTTGTAAGCCATTTCTAATGTCTTTTGACTTGTAGTGTTTATGGACAGCAAATCAGAGTTAGTCAGCCAAAGGTAATGCAGTACTGTTTTATCAACGTCAGAAGCGAATTGGTCCGACAAAATTGGATCATGTGAATGGTCTTTAAAACAGAGTTCTGACTCTTTGAACGTGATCACAACCCCTGCCCCCTGGGTTACTCCTTATTTGATGGAAATTCCTTTCAAAATGACAATAACAAGGCACGGAGGGAGGGATCTGCCGGTGTTGTTAGGCTCTTTTCAAAAAGTTTGTTTCTCTTTTTACATTTCTTTCCCCCTGTGAGTCACGAGGACAGTCATGCAAATTAGCTATGGAAGCCCCCTGGCCAGCTAGGAATTGAAGAATTGCACAATTGGTTATTTCTGGTAAAATCCGGTTGCGACCACTCTTGGTGTATTGCCACAAAAACTGTTCAATGCGATTATGTGATATTGGCGTTTTCTTAACGTGACTGATAAACTGGATTTATTTGCTGTTAATTATTTATACTCCATTGATCATACATTCCAATATAACCAGGGAGCAGCGTGGCAGCATCTTCAAAGAACTTAGCATCAAATGTTGTATAACAACTGCCTAAAATAGACAAAACACTTCTCGACGTTTCGATCTGAGGGCCTTCGTCAGGAGAGTTAGTATGAAAATAGATAGTGGAAAACACTTGTTTTGTATGGGGGCAAAACACGTGATAAAAATGGGCCAATAGAAAACAAAACAAATTGCGTTACGTTGCCAAATACATTACGTTGCCAAAGATACGCCTGATTGTGGGCTAAGAATAGCCCACAATGAGGTGAGCATTACCAACCATTAAGTGGTGTAGCAATGGGAACTAAAATGGGTCCCGGGCCAACTACGCCAACTTGTTTGTTGAACAGTACACTTGCCCTCTACCTGATTACCTGAGAAGGTACATTGATGACTGTCGGTACAGCATCGTGTTCTCGTGCTGAGTTGGAGCACAGGTTGGAGTCTGGAGAGATTCATCAAATTTGTTGATAAATTTCATCCAGCACTCCAATTCACATGGGAGATCAGTGAGACTAGTGTATCATTCTCAGATATCCTGGTTTCCATCAACAGTAATAAGCTCACAACCTCTCAGTGTTATTCAAGCCCACTGATTCCACACTGTACCCATAGCTACTTCTTATATTCTTTCTTCCACCCTGGCCACACTAAGAGCCTGGTCTATGCCTTTCTCGCAATTCCTTCGTCTTCGCCGCCTTTGCAGTGAATATCTTAAAAAAGTTCAATTTTTCTTCTGAATACGCATTCTGCAATCTTTTGACAGCTCATCATACACATCCGTGACCCCGCTGTGAAATGGCCATTTTGAGGCCACACAAGGTTATTAATTCGGACGATTCGTTTTTACCGTGTGCAAGGTTCAAATCTTTTGTGCAAGACATATTTTTTAATATTTATAAATCTTTTTTCTCACCAAGTTCGAAGTCTAAGTATTGAGAATTGCGGCTAAGTCTATACCAGTTCCGCGGTGTCACACCACATGGTTCCTAGCCGGTGTCACGCGAAATTTATGACCGAATCAAACCACTTTTTTCCGGTTCAAAAACTGCGACGCTTGTCTCCCTAGCTGCTCTTCGAAATTTCTACTTGCATGAAGTGGTTGATAAAGTAAAGCATTTAAAGCAATATTGATCGTCATGATGTCAATGAGCCAACGATGTTCAAGAGAGGAAAAAGACCGTCGTGTAACACTTGATGATACTGGCGGAAGGCGAACATTAAATGATGCACTTAAAGTTTCGGTGGTCAGTCAGTAAAAAATATGTATCATTTGAGACATAAATCATAATACATCGTACTAATTTTATTTTAAGTAAATTAGCTTGTAGGTACACCATGTAAGTATTTAACATGCATGCTAAATAGTATTGGTTTCTGTCGTAAATATATCATGTTTACCAACCGCGCAACAAAGTACAGTATGTCGCCCAGTTTTCGGACAGTACCAGTATTCGGACAGCTGAGTTTCATTGCTAAATTTTCTTTTCTTAAACAAAAAGAGAAATTCAAACAATATGTTCCGATCATTTTATGATATGTTGCGAATGTTTTTGCGCTTTGACGTGTTTTTTTATTTGCTTTCCTCGGAGTTATGCATTTTTAGCGAAGGTAGGTCAATAATTTTTCTTTCAAAATCGGGTAGTTTACCGCGAGACAAATTTGTATGGATACTTCAAAAACTAATTTCATAGTATTACAATTTTTATATGAAAATGAGTTAAAAAACCTCCTTTTTGTTTGAGGTAAAAAGGTGCGACTCTTTCCGCATATTTACGATGTAGTGAGATTTTGAATCTTCATGCCATTTTTGTATATCGAGTACGACGAGTACGAGTGAACTATATAGAAGAACTAGATATGACTGCTGTGCACTCTAAAATTTGAAGTGCCATAGACCAAATGCCAGAAAAGTAACGTTAACTTTAACAATTGTTTAAAATAAATTGTTATATTTATTCTACATTAAATTTCAATAGTTAATATCAAAATTCTGCTTACCTGAGCGTCAAATCACGATAATTTGAGCGTATAAATTGCCCGTCACTGGACGAACTGTCCGAAAACCGTCCATAATATGGATGATGATTTTCATCAATCTCAAGAAAAATAACAAAGCTGTGCGTATTTTCTTTTAACATAGGTTTCGAAACAAATATGGCAAGAAGAACATTAACATATCAAGTTAGATTTAAACTCATTTAATTCATAGGTTGCATTAATGGTAATTGCTCTACTGCTTCTAATGAATCAGATACTGATTATTGGTCTGAGGATAGCAGTGTACCTTCTTATTTTGAACAAACTATTACTATTATTTGCACTGGTGGAGAGACAGGAGAGTCTTGCTGAATCATCAGAAAATACAGATGCTTCTAAACTAAAGAGAAAGGTAAGATTACATGCATGCCATTTTAGTAAACCGTAATAAGGTGCAAGTTTTCTGTTGATATAGTTTTGTGTGGTTTAGTACTATAACCTAATTCCAATTATGCCATTGTCACTCCCAATGCAGAACTATTTTGTCCAAGGAAAGGAGGCCTGGCCCTCTGACCCTTGCCAGATTGATACACCTTTGAAGTGCATCAAATGTATATTTTTTACTTTCAATAAGAGCATCATGTTTCCATTCATTTTCCTTTTTGATATTTTTTGCAATGTATATTTGGACCATGGAATGTATCTTATGAGTTAGTGACCTTATTAGTTAAGCACCATTAAAAGTATGAAGAATTCATGAAGAATTTGTACCTAAAAGAAATACATTGTATCTTCTTAGTCCTTAAATAGAAAGTTTTGCTTTCTCTCCTCAAACTGAATCTTTTATTTTCTAGACATGTTGGGAGTGCTTCTGTTTGCGAATCAAGGTTTTTAATAAGCTATATCATATACTTTAGCAAGAAGCCATACAACTTGCAAATCTCAAAATCTACTTTCTGCTCTGGCTAATAGTTGACATTAGACACAGGAAGTGGGTCGTTTACTTGATTTTTGCTTGATCAGAGACCATATTTTTTTTTAGGCGTTAGCAGTAATGGAGACACAATGTACTAATCTGTTCCTTAGCTATGTATGTGAGAAATTACTTAATTATTCCATTTTGTTTAAATCCTAGCATTTAAAAATTAACGCTTCTCAACACTGACACAGTTTAGAAATCAAAAGCTACAAGTATATACTTCACAGTTTAGCAAAAAATGTTCTGTTTGGACGTTGATAGTACAGACACATGCATAGAAATTTAGGTCCGGATTAACAAAGCAAGAAAAGGCATTTACCCCACACTTTAATATGTCTGGTTTACATTTAATTCATTATTGTATTGAACAATCCTGTTCACTCATTATTTCAGGTACACACTTTTAATCTCAAAGAACACATTTGCCTTCTACAGGAAAACAAGGTGTGTAAAAGGACATGCTATTTAAAAAACCTGATATACTTACCTTCTTTTTTCAACTTTAAATATATAGGCAATTTTTCACACCTTGGAATTCATAATATTTTAAATTGCAGGTAAAATTTTCATTCAGCACAGATGAAAATACTCCACAGTCCACTCGAAAGGTAAATTCATCATCGATTGTCTTGTATCGCACCTCAGAATGTTAAAACAAAAATGTTAATATTAAATGGTCTGTTAAAATGTAGATTCTGTTGACATACAATAATATAGATATCCTTCGAACTTTATATTTTTCACTAAATGGATCCATACTTGATCGATCAACCTGTGCACTCTAGAAAGATCTTGCTTTTACCCAGTGGCATAGGAAGGGGGGGCACTGGGGGCACGTGCCCCCCAAGATTTTTCAAGGGACCAAAAGTGCCCTTTTTGTGAAAAAAAAAGCCTTTTTGGAAGCGAAAAGAAACAAAAAAATATCTACTATTTCCCAATAATCCTTAAAATTGAGAGGGATTTGCGGCCATTTCAGAGGCCTATATCTCAAAATTTTATCGGGGGAGCATGCCCCCGGAACCCCCTAGCAGTACGAACCCCAAGAAATACGAAAAATGCTCTGCGGTCGGCGGTCCCTGAATCAAACCGTCCCTATATATATATATATATATTTTTATTAACCATTTTAACCGCCATTTTTTTAACCAAAAGTGCCCCTAGAAGTTGGTGCCCCCCCAACCTTTGGATGCTTCCTACGCCCTTGCTTTTACCTTCAGTTGTATTCAGCTTAGTTTTTGCTTCATACAGTTTTGTGACAACAAAATTCTCAGAGCGTGAATGTTTTTGGATGAAAGCCCTGAAAAATAATCCAGGTGCTCTATTTCATTTTCAAACTAGAATGACCACCCAGGAGACGAATCAGATCATTCAGATGATCAGTGCTCTTACCTTCCCAGTAAACTTCCCCCCCCTGGAACGAAAGTCCCGCTTGTCGAGTCCAGTTTAATGCCAGATGATTTAGATGGTGCCCGCCAATTAACCGCGTCCGCGGTAAATGATGTTAACCCGAATAAATTAGCAACTATTGCATCACTTGTTGCTGAATTTGGTGTTGGAGAAAATGAAGGTGACCGCATTCGTTGTCAGAATACCCCGGAAACGTTTGGAAAAGATCCCTCTGCAATGCCAACACGGATTCTCAACAATATAAAGAATGCCAGCAAAGCGGTTGGGTATCTTGTGTGTGGGAACTATAAAGCTACCTGCTGGTTGTTAGCCGAAAATATTATCATAACTTGCAAACACGTATTCCTCGAAATAGACGAATTCAGGAATGGGAAAACTAACTCAACTTTATATGAAAACATCTACGTGAACTTCGAATACGAATGGCCTGGGGAGTTGCAATTGAAGCGAAGGGAAATTGATCTAGGAAGAAGTCCTGTCTGCTTTGGCAAAGCCGACGGTCTGGACTATATTATCCACCATTTGAAGCCCATCCCACAAGAATCCTCTACAAAGATAAAACAACCTACACCACTGCGTTTGCAAACAAGGTCGAGAATTCCGCCAAAAGGCCAGGTTATTTTGGTAGGCCATCCTGACGGGCTGGATAAACGCTTCGAAGTTTGTACGATCGTACCGAAGGAAAATCGTAACGAGTCTATTTGTGAACGCGTAGGAGAAGCTGTAAAGTGTTGTCAATCTGACCCATCAAGATGCCGATATAAAATCGGTCCGTTTGTTTCATGCGTCCACGATTACAGTGACGGAATACTGACGGACAACCATTACCGAGAATTGGCGTATCATACGAGTTTTTATGAAGGTTCCAGTGGCTCTCCTGTGTTAAATGACGATGGTCATATCATAGCTATGCACACAGGCGGCTACAAATACAAAAAAGGTTCAAAGAAAGAAAGCCTGATGGAGTTTGGACTCCCGATAAGAACTATTTATGAAGATGTGGTAGCGCAACTAGGTCAAGAAAATGCAACGTGGTTGTTTCCGAGCATTTTCAATTTCTATTAAAAAGCAGTCAATTCATTTATTTTGCACCATTCTCTAGTATTCTTTATAGTATATTACCTTCAAAAGGTTAATCTGGTTTTTACGCCTGTAACTTAAATGCTAACTCGTACTCAAACTCATTGGCTGGGAGATTTTAATCTTCTCATAACGTTTCCTAAGCGGTATTTCCACTCGAACATTGCGAACAAGAGCTTGATTTTCAGGGTTTTACATTAAATCTTTCCATTGATTACATAAAAAAAAACTTTCTCATTGATCAGTAAAAATAAAATATATTCTATAGTATTCTGTAATATGGAATAATAGAAATGAATAGTTTGGGAAACAGATCTGATAAACTAAGCAATACGTTGAAATATTTTTAGCCATATTTTACCATGAATCGTATGGCCATGATTTTGTGTAACTTTTCACTGTAGTACTTCACGTAAATATATTGAATAGTTTGACTTCATGCACGCCTTTGGGAGTTGATAATTATATTATAAAGTACAAATAAACCGCGTATAAATATTTTAAATATTTTTAATTACCGTCTCTACAGATCTATAATAATGACACAAGCTTTTTTGCTGTTACAGTCCAGTATTTTGGTATTAAACTCTGAGTAGCACCGTCACAATAGAAAGGAACATGTTCAGCTAACCTTCAGGCATTCTTAATTCCTTTCAGCTCCAGTGCAACGCCAGTTAAAAAGAGATATTTAGCCTAAGTGTTATAAGATAAAAACTGATGCATTTTCCGGCAAAGCGATGTTGATGAATTACTGATTTTGGCAGAACTTCTTGGAAAATTGACATGATTAAGTTTCACTTTTGTTGCAATTTTTCATGACTTCCTTCAAACTATATTTGTATAACTGCAAGTCAATTTAACGGGAAAGTGTGGAACAGAGTAAGATTGATGTACTGGATAATTTGGATTGTCTAAGTGAGGACAAATGTATTAGAAATTGCTCAAGGTATTTCTAGGAAACCACATTTTTATTTCGTAATAATCTACGGAGATGTTTGAGCCAGAGTTCCTTGAGATGATAGCTGATGTGTCACAGAGGTCCAAATAATAGTTTGAAACGTTTTGGCTGTCTACAGGTGAGGAAATTCTTGGATAATTGGCACCAAGAACAGAAATGCTGATACGCACCCTATTTTTAATGCTCTCATCTGTGTTTGCTGGTTTTAGACATTGGTTTTGAGTTGCAGAATGGTTATCAGTTGGGCTTGGTTCTTCTGGTATTTGAGGTGAGTTTGATCTGCTGCGTTGTTGCAATTTCTCAAGCCATTGTCGACGAAATGATGACAACTCTTCCTGGAGGTTATCCTTGTTTTGATATGAGCATAATTGAAGACAGAACACGGGATCATTCATATTCTGGGGCACTGATGAGGGTAGGCCTAGGTACTGTACTGTGCTTAAAGATATATGTAGTAATCATTAATTTGTAGTGTACCCAGACTGGAACATAGAGAAGCTGAGCAGTGGCATATACATCATTGATAATTGGGGGGGGGGGGGTGTATTCATATATTCATGTTTTGTGTGACCAATCCTTTTGAAATTAATTGTCTTTACAGTCTGCTAATATGAATACCCCCCCTAATTATAGATACTAGCTACACCAAAGCACAATTTGGGACTTTTTTTTAAACACTTTCTCCCTGCAACCTTGGTGGGGCATTACTCTACAACTTTGGTATGGGGACTTTCCACAAGCACCCTAGATCAATGCCACTATATCGTTCTACTTAATAGCAGTGAAGCAAAATATGAGTGAATGCAAGTGCAACCAATGTAAATTCCTGCCTATCCAGTGATTAATCAGTCTTGTGATCAGTCTAATCTTAGGTAAAAGGCAAACCTAAACAGCCCCAATACAAAATATAATAGAGATATTGACATAAGGTTCGGATACTTAAACATATAAACTACATTAAAATATGTGAAATAGTTGTTCAAAGAAAGTGTTTTGCGATTGTTTTGAGCAAAAATATTCAAACACTTTGCAATGTTTACAATGTTTACATAATTATGACATGGTCACATAGGCGAAAAGATTCTCCATGTAAAACTTTTGGCAGGCATTTGATATAAGATGAATCCGTTCCTACCTCCATCTTATAGTGATCTCGTGATGCCGTAGTTAATATGGCTCAAGATACTCTTGCCTGCGTAAAAAAGTGGATAAATTTTGTTCACTTTTGCAAACGGGACCATATTCTTGTCGATTTCAAAACAATAACAAATAATTTCAAGTGTTTCCACACTCGAATCGGCAATCTCGTTTCTGAAGCTCGCAATGCGCTCAGGGAACGGGAATGACCAATCAGACGCCAGAGCGAAAAAAGCGCGAAATTACACATCGTTATTTGCCGCTCTCAAAACTAAAAGGTAAGAGTTTTTCGTAATTCATACTAAAATTTCCCTATTTTAATACCTTTTATTGCATTGTTATTGCTCATGTATACATGAAAGGTTCGTTCAGCTAACCGTCATCGAAGGTTGTAAAAATATCTGGGAATTTATCCTAAAAATTGTATGATTTCATCTGATCAATCATCAATGTCACGACAATGATGACGACATAATAATGAAATATTAATGACAATTTACATAGTGAAAGTTAAATAGCATTTACATATTTTATTATATAGTCCAGCGTTTCCCGCAAATATATCGCTAAAGAAGGATTCTGTGTTTTACTGAAGTGATTTCACAAGACTATGGTAGGAATACTTGTCATAATATTAAGATTATGGTACGAATTATTAGACATACAGACTAATACAGTTTAGTATACACCCGACTATCGTCTATTACAAATCCTACATTCTGATTGGCTACTCAACCATCGTCTATTCGTGATAGTGCACGTTTGGGAAAAATTCGCTCGCGCGACCGTATAAAATTACATTAATTAAATTATTTTTCGGTGTAATTTTGCGGTGTATCGATTATTTCCTCGAAATTAATATATCTATGTACAGGGTGTATACTAAAACAATTAGACAACTCGCCTTCGTTGCCTATGAGCGGATAGTCAACTCAGGCTTCGCCTTCGTTGACTATTCGCTCATAGACAACTCGGACTCGTTGTCTAATTGTTAAATAGTCAATACTGAATAGTGTAATACTTATCATTTATAGACCTGGAGCGAGGGGAATTCGACGAAATATTACCCCCAAGGGAAGATATATCCCGAGGGCTTCGCCCGAGGGATATATCTTCCCGAGGGGGTAATATTTCGTCGAATTCCCCGAGTGGAAGGTCTATAAATTATATGTTATATCGAAACAACGTGTAGGCAGCGCAAAAGCTGGGTGAAATGGCTTCTTTTGCATCCATTTTGAAATTGTTGACAACCTCGAGTCGTGTGCGAGGCATCCACGCGTGGTACACGCAAACTCGAACCCCTGCAGCGGGGTATTCGAAGTCGACTTTTATAGCATAATGTGAAAAAATTCGATGGAACTCCATGATTAATTTACTGATCACGTGGTACAAATCGAGCTTTCTGATTGGATGATTTAAAGTTGAGATATAATATTATCATTTATTATTTTATGATATTTTACGAGAGCTTCTATCATTATTGAGAAAAATGTTTTGCCGAATCCCTCGAGCGAAGGGTCTATAAATGATATACTATTATAGTCTATACGGAAAAATATTGTGTGCTTGTATTTGTAGGCTGTAGAATAGCCAAACATACAGTACAAAGGTTCGGAAGAGTATTTCTTTAAATCAGTCAGGGGTCATCCTAAGGCCTCCCATTTTTCAGTTCCAATTGAAGAATGGGTAGTTCTAAATCCTAAAATGGGCAGTTCTAAAAATTAACTTTTGGAAAGAGAATATTGAATTCCCAAACATGAAAGGGTCTAAAAAGGCGATATCTATTAGGCGATATCTACAAAACAAATAAACATTATTAATTAAAGTCTCACGGTTTCAAGTAATTTATCCTGTTCCAAAGTTCAAAATATTCTTTTCTTTTACACTATTCTATTCAAAATATTTTATAGCTAGCTTGTTTGTTAACTTTGTTTCTATTACTTAATACTTCATGTAACTTTTGACAAACAAATTCCTCATTCTGAGACCTTCGTTTATTGACCTATATTTGTCATTGCAGTTTTTGTTTTTGTTTTTTTCATGGATTTTGAAATAGATAGTTTTCTAGAAAGGAAATATCCATGAAGGGCTAGGTGACTTTAGTAACTTCCCAGCTTAATTCTGATATCACAAAATGTGCCATTAAAATTTTTTTTGGAAACCTAATTTTCTCCCAAAAAGGGTTCTCAGAATGCTTAAAATGCCATTTAAGAGATCTCAAATTTCAAATATTTTCGGCGGAATGGTAAATTCCACACACGCCCAGTGGGCTTGTGCCTACAACACATGTTGCATTTTGAGGCAGCGATGAAATGGGCAGTTCTAAATTTTCCTTAGGATGACCCCTGAAATCAGTAAAGGTACACGAAGGCGTAAAGGCGGTTTTCTGTTTGTCTTTTGTCGAGAATACGGTTAATTTTCTCGTCAAAATTGCTAATTTCTTGATTTTAAACGAACAACAACAAGCTAACAACAACACTATTCCCGCCATTTTTTCCGTGGGTGCGTGTAGTCCTCGCGAGACGTCGCGTAAGATAAATCTGATATCACAGTGTGATAAATTTAATGTCACACGCCAAAGCTCGGAAATAGGGGACTGGGATGCGATACCGTGCTGCATTTGTACTGTAATGTAACCTCATTAAACTCTCCTTAGATAAAGCAATTATATTATATAACTTCTGTAGGCAAATTTAAACGATTCAGGCTACAGCAGTCCGCGACCAAAATGCCTCAATGGAGACGAAAAACTTGTACTACGCGTGGTAAGAGGAGGCTCCACTGGTGAAAAAGTAACTGCGAATGCATATGATTTCCTAGCGAGTGTTCTTAAACAAAAGTATCCGAAGATGAATGTTGCGAAAACACTCATCTGGACGGAAATACGTGGTCACCACGGGAAAAAGTGCGTGAATCCTTTTACCCTTCCATGTGGGCTTATTGGACCCGATAAAGAAATAGAAATGCAGGATGTGAAAAAAATTGTCTGTGAATATATAGAGAAGTTGCAGGATACTAAGCCGTATTCTAAACCTCTCGGCTATCCCTTTTTCATTTCCATTCGTGATCGGAAAGGCAAAGCAATAATAACAAAAATCCCGTATCATGATTTTAAATACAACGACATTTGTGTCGTCGCGAAAGAAGAGCAAACTCTTTATGATGCCCTCGAAAGTGATTCTAGGTTCAAAGATGTGGATCATTTCACTCTTCGTGAAAAGAGAACAGGGGACAGTATATCAATAAACGAGCGATCTTGTCATCTCAAAACAGAATACGTTTTTGAAGTAAACAAGAAAAAATTGACCCAAACGCGTAGTACCTGCAATCCCACTACAGTAAATCCTAATAATTCTCCGGCGACCTCAACAGCGGAGCATCCCGACTCGACCCCAATAATTCGAAAAAGTATCAACTTTGATAAGCTGGCTGAGAAACTTGTAGAAAAGCGGGTCGTATATGACTTTTCTAAAGAAGCCTATGAATTAACTGCGCAGGAAATACTCAATGAGATGGATGGCTGTTTGCGGGCACGTGCCTGGTCGTCATTAATTGGCCCAGAGGACAGAGCAGGCAGTAGATACAAAAAAGGCATAACGAAGATTGCTGAGATACAGTTTGCCAACAATTATATCACAGCGCGCCCTACTTCATTTTCGAAAGCTTTATACCCTCTATATGATTCTATTGGATACATTAAATGTGGTGGTGTTGTCGATGGCACATGCTTTTTGATAAGCAAATGTATGATTGTTACAAATTGGCACGTTGTGCAATGTGTCAACAAGGACCGCAAGGATGTTCTCGTATACTTTGACTACGAAGAGCATGGTAAAAAGGGAGCCGGTGTCAAATTGATGCCACTTTCATATTCGGAGAACAAGTTTTCGAAAGAGTTTGATTACGCATTCCTTTATCTTCAAGATGCTGTTGAGTCAACGAGGCGGAAACCTTTAGGGCCATATGTTCGTTGCCAAGTGCCAGAATTTGGCAATACCTGCATCGTTGCTCATCCAAATGGTAAGGAGAAGCAGGAGGAATTGTGTCCTATCATTCCCCTTCACGAAAGCAGAAGATCTTTGGAGCTTGAGCGACGTCTAGCAGAAAAAGAAGGCGCGTGCGCCGAGAATCCAAATTCATGCACATTGACGACTGGTGCGAGAGAATGCATATGCGTCCACCTCTACAATCAAAATATCAAAAAACTTTATGGTGATAAATCAGTTATGACATACGATGTTGGTTCGATGTTTGAAGGATCGAGTGGAGCCCCGGTTTTCGATATGAGTGCGAACATTGTTGCACTTCACACAAGAGGATTTCGCCTGGAAACCACGAGTGTCGTGGAGGTTGGTATTACCTTCGAAGCCATCATAAATCATTTAAAAGCATGTGGGTGCGATGACTTCGTCAAAGAAAATTTTCCATCCTGCTTTGACGAAGCTATGGACTTCACCAATGAAGATTTGTTAGATGGTATATGGTGTTCTGAGCACTGACTTTTTTTACTTACGCTTTTGCAACCGTAAAAGGAAACTTTACATGTTGCAAGGGGAAAGGGCGGAAAGGATACTTTTACCTTTTTTTTTCTAGCAACAGGCCGGTTCTCGCCTGTGAATTTTGTTTAGACTAGAACGATAACTAACGCTAATTTCGGCCATTATCTTTTTTAAAGCCGAATTGAGTGCCAGTGCAATCAGTTATTTTGCCAGTTGTGCAGTTCTGCCAAAAGAAATTGACTAGCACTGAGATTTTCGAGAACCACAGAAAATTTTAACAAAATATTACAATCCAATATATATAGCATCCTCGTCCCCATGTTTTTCGCGTTCTGTGAGCAATCACGTATACATATTCGACAATAATAACGTTTTGCATTGTTATATGATTTTGTACCGGTACCAGCGTATTAGAGCAATTCTAATCATGGTGATATATATCGCATAGCCTAAAATAAAAAAAATTAAATCGAGTGGTGTTAATCGGCATGAAATTGTTATTATGATTATTAAAGATTTTGGTAATGTAGTTTACATGATAGTACATATTATATGACAGCTATATGTAAACGGCTATGTTTTGCATTTTGAACCGTATGATTTAAATTTTAGCTACCTGGAAATGGTATAGATTTTTAAAGCTAGATTATAGTAATGTGTAGTTCAGCTGAAAATAAAATCTTTTACAAGTAATATTTATTAGCGTCCGTCTTTCTGAATCAATCAGTATTTTAAAAAAGTCCTGCAGATTTCGATGGCAATTGTTTCACTGTTTGCAACTTAGGACCTCTTAAAATAAAATGGGTAATAAATGTGGAAATAAGCAGAGATTCAATACTCTTCTTAATCGCCGTGGTTAAATGAATTGTAACTGATTTAGTTATGGTCAATATTAGACGGTCTGAACACACGATTGGGATTCCTATGGTCAATCAAGTGGCCCACCCATTGTTATTACACTCATCCGCCTTACCGGTATGCTGAAGTACAACTGGGCTGTATTTTCTCAGTGTTATCCGGTCTAACCAGTTTTTTCCGGTTGCGTGCGTCAAGGACTACGAATTAAGGGGCTGTTACATGCGCCCGGTTACCCGAGATTCAACGACGCGTGAGATGATTTTGAGGTATTGAAATGAGCAGATAACATGATCCTGGCAGTCCTTTAATCATCACAACAATAGCATGCGCTTGTTTGGTGTCATAAAGACTTATTTCAATACCTCAAAGTCCTCTCACGCTTCGTTGAATCTCGGGTAACCAGGCTGATAGGCTCATGTAAACAGCCCCAACTATATCAAGTCTTCGTTGTTTGCATCTAGTCTTGGAAATTTATACCTACGTTACATGGTCGATAAAGTAAAGCACTTACGCATTACTGATCGCCATAATGGCAAGTAAACAACGTTCAGAATGTAGTAGAAATTCAGCAAAAAAGGGCCAAGACCACAGTGCAGAATGGAATTATGGTGACGGAAGAGCACTGTTAATTAAAATACTGGAACTTTCGACGGTGAGTCAGCAAATCTATCATATCATCCAAATATATCTATCATCTAAAAATATCACTGATCTACCAATTAATATCATTGTATCAATTAGGGACTATGAGGCTTAAAAGCAAACATCATTTGTAAACGGTCATTCAACGATTATATCAGGGCCGCGGCTAAAAGCTTGGGATGTATATATATTCCCCCTATGATATGTAAATGTAATACTTGCGGTCTAGCTACGACCCTGTCAATATTTGTTTTACTATTTTGCAATTTTTAAAGGAAATGAAAAGTAAAAAAACGTAGCAAAAGTTCAGAAACAGAGGCAAACTTTTAATTTATTAATGTTAATTAATTTTATAGCTATACCATTGATATTTGATATATAACTACACTTTCTATATGATATAAGAATGCATCTGTTCAGACTGTTCTGTCATGGTCATCAGATCATGCTTACCAATTTTCCAGCCACAAATAAAGTTACTTAACTTTCATCCTAACAGATCATGTTAGATTTATACTCATTTAATATTTTAAGTAATTCATAGGCTGCATTTTTGATAGATGCTCTGGCAGTTCTGCTGCCAATGTTTAAGGCACTGGTTTATGGTCTGAGGATGGGACTGGGCGTTCTTTTTTTCCACAAACTGTCTCAATTAGAGCCAATGTTGAAGAAGTATTTCAAATCATCAGAAAAGAGAAATGCTCATAAATTAGAAAATAAGGTATGCCATTTTAGTATACTCTAATACAAGTCTTCTGTTGATAGTGAAAGGTTTGGTTAATGTTTCTTGCACCATAGTCCAAGCAAACAGTGGAGCATGTTTAAAAATGGCTGGGCAAGGAATAAGACATAATGCAAATGTAACGCCCAACACATAATCAATTGTTTTGACCAAGGAAAAGTAGGGGGGGACATGACCCTCCCATACCACAAATGCAAAATTTTGTTTCTGATTTATTTTCTTGGGATTTTTTGCAATATATCTTATTAGTATTAATATTTCAAACACCATTAATGAAGAAATTGTAGCTAAATGAAATAATACATTGTACCTTAAATAGCATTTTTTTTTCTCTTACACTGAATCTTTAATTTAATAAACATTTTGTGAAAGAATCTGTTTGCTGTTCAAGGTATTTAACAAGCTATATCATAAAATTTAATTTGTAAAATGTCACACTGTACCAAGTCAAAATCTACTACTATATTTAACTTCTGGCTAATAGCTAGTTGACATTAGACAAAGTGAAGATTGTGTCCTTTACTTAGCTGCAAATATTTGGTTGATTTGCGGCATCTCTGACTTTGTCACATTTGAGAAAATAGTTTTTTGATGTGGTTGCAGTGTAAAGTCTCAGTGTGATATAGTTAATCAGAGTTCTCAGAGCACAGTTGTTTTTAGATGAAATTCCTAGAAAATGATCTAGGCGCTCTGTTTTATTTTCAAAATAGAACGACCACAAAGGAAATGAATCAGATGATCAATGCCCTACCCCTCCTGGGAAGAAGCTCCCGCTTGCTGAATCCAGTTCAATGGCTTCAATGCCAAACCGCCCAAACGATTTAAACGTTGCCCAATCAACGCAAGGATTCCAAGGAACTGCATCTGTGGTTAATCATGGCAGACCGGACAAATTAGCGCCGGATAAATTGGCGCCGGATAAATTGGCAACTGTTGCATCGCTTCGTAGACGTAGTGGAAGAAATAAAGGCCAGGGTATACCAGGGACATTTGGAAAAGATCCCTCTGCAATGCCGTCACGGATTCTCAGCTCCATGATGCAGTCCTGCAAATCTGTGGGCTATCTTTTGTGTGGAGATTACAATGCAACCTGCTGGCTTTTGGACGAGAATGTCATCATAACTTGCAAGCATGTCTTTTCTGATATCGATCAAATAAAGAGCGGGAAAACTGGCGGAGAAACATACGAAACCGTTTACGTCGATTTTTCCTATGAACACCCAAGAAGTCTAAAGTTTTCGCACGGGCAAAGGGTAATTGATAACAGAAGGTACCCTATCTGTACTGGCAAAGACTTGGACTATACTATCCGGTTTTTGAGGCTTGCTCCACGACAATTAATTACAATAAAGCCAAGTAATATTGAACCTAGTGAGGCTAGTCCTAAACCATTGCTTTTGCAAACAAGGTCGAGAATTCCGCCAAAAGGCCATGTTATTCTGGTAGGCCATCCTGACGGGCTGGATAAACGCTTCGAAGTTTGTACGATCGTACCAAAGGAAAATCGTAACGAGTCTCTTTGTGAACGCGCAAGAGAAGCTGCAAAGTGCTGCCAGTCTAACCCATCAAGATGCCGAAATAAAATCGGTCCGTTTGTTTCGTGTGTCCACGATTACGGCGACGGAATACTGACGGACAATCATTACCGTGAATTGGCGTATCATACGAGCTTTTACGATGGTTCCAGTGGCTCTCCTGTGTTCAATGACGATGGTCATATCATAGCTATGCACACAGGCGGCTACAAATACAAAAAAGGTCCAAAGAGAGATAGCCTGATGGAGTTTGGACTCCCGATAAGCGCTATTTATGAAGATGTGGCAAAGCAAATAGGTCAAGTAAAAGCAAATCAGTTGTTTCCGAAAATTTTCGATTTCTAAAAGCAGAAAAGGATGTCAATTTCTCAATTTCTTTTGCACCGAAGCGAATCATGCGATAATAACCATTTTCTAGTATTCTAGTATTGAGTGGCCGAGATCTCAATATTCTCAAAACGTTTCCATGACGGCATTTGATTGTACATTGATTCTCAATGTTTCACCATAAATCTTTCCATTGATTAAGAAATAACATTCTTATTGAGCAGTAAAATTCCTGTTACACTCATTAGAGAGAAAACTGAGGCGAAATATATTGAAATTATTTTTAGTCATATACCAGATTGGTAAAATACTATTGATTTAATGAATTATATGGCCAATGATTTTGTATTTTGATTTTGCAAAACATGATGTTTGCATGTGTAACTTTAGATAATTGTAGCTCACGTAAATTTTGTGAATAGTTTAAGTGACCTCACGCCTTTGGCGGGTGACAATTACAGTAATATAAAACGATTGTATGTTTAATAAATATCGTATCGGTTGAGACTATAGCTTATGCCTTATAAGTAGAAATGAACAGTGTATATAAACATTTTAAATATCTTTTATTACCGTCTCTATGGATCTATAATAATTACACATTCTTGTTACAATAGTGAAAACTCTGTTGCATCATTTTTTTTTAATCTAGAAAGATAACAATATTCAAATGAATTCTGCTGCGCCCGAGATCGTAAAACCTGGCGCAATACGATGTAGCTTCTTGATGATTTGAAATTGACTAAACCTGGGACCATGCGTAGTTTTAATTCGTTTTTTCACGCGAAAAAAGGAACGATTACACGGGAAAACTTTCCAAGCACAGAAAGCAAATCAATTAGGAAATCTGAACTTATATAAGTTACTGGAAAGCAAAAGGCTTGAATGTAGTAAGAGGCAATACTAAAAGAGAGTGAAAGCCGTGATATCCCGTCATGCAACACATTCAGTGAACTCTGTCTGTGAACTGGAACCATATAACTTGGTCGCCATCTTTGAAGCCAAAATGAACGACCAGTACCAGTCCTTTTCTATTGTATTTGTCTTCACTGTTAGTGATCGCACCGACATTACCGACATCAACAATATAAAGGGACTGGCACTGGTAATCAATTTGGCTCCAAGTATGGCGTAGTTCATTAATCTGATCTTACCATTTTTTCCTGGTATTTCCTCTGTTTCCATTTTCTTTATTCCCATTTCCTCGAACAAATTCCTCGACTTCCCTTTTGGGCGGTTCACTGCACCTGTATTTGACCGTCATCTCGCTCTTGTTGAGATCACCATGTTGAGATCACCAAAATGTAAATAAACCGCATGATACATTCACTTTGTCTTACACTTTGCCTTTGGAATTCGTGCTTATATAGTTATATTTTAATGTCAGAGCAATTCGATTACGCTTTTCTTCATCTCCAACAACCTCACCTTTGTTCGAGACTGAATGAGCTGGGCCTGGGGAAACGGGTTCGTTGCAAAGTACCTGATTTCGGTAATACCTGCATCGTTGCCCATCCAAATAGTGAAAAAAAAATTGCAAATTAGCCATAAAAACGAATAAAAATTCAGTCTTTCAGATGTTCCAGGTGTTCCAGATGTTCCATTCCGCGTTTTAGACTATGCCGGGCCTAATGACGACTCATGTGTCATGTGGGTGGACACATGCGACCAATCACACACCAGAACAAGAAAAAGCGCGAAATTCGAACTACATTTCGAACGAAATTTCGTGTTCTTCAATAAACGAAGGTAGGTATTTTTAATTGAGATTTGGTGACATTCTTATACCTTTCGTATCTTGGTAAAGCTCCGTGATGTTGGAGTAATATTATATGATGTATGCCGATCAATGTTCACATGATAACAATTACTAATTACGAAGTGAAAGTTGCAATTTATAGTCCTAATGTTGTTGTTGTTCGTTCTACAGAATTATAACCGGAATGCAAATTGTGGATTTCAACGGTGATTAACGTGATTTAGAATATTAAACAGGTAAGAATTGCTTTGTTTGTTATTCGTCACCGATTATACCAAGCCCAGTGCGAAATTAGTTATATGGCTAGTCAGACTGGAACGATATTAGCGCCGCTTATGTCTGTGCTTCGAATTCGGGGAGCTATACGTATGCGAACGTTGTACGTTCAATATGTGATTGTAATTGTCGCATATTTTATGTCATTAAACCGCATATGATGTATTTATCACTTATATACCCTAAGTGCGGGTGGACGGAGTGGTTTATCGCTGAGAGTGAGTAATTTTTGTGGTGCGATGAAGTATTTTGTGTACTAATTCGCAAGGCACAGACTGAAACTACACCAATATTATGTTCCCCCTGACGGATTTCTTTTGAAATAAATACATCGGGCAGAACGAATATATGAATATTGAGTCTTTATAGAAATATTTTTAGACACAACAATCGCGTGTCTTTATATGATTTGAGAATTATATTAAGATTTAAGAATATACTGATTATTGACTAGGAGTTGCTATTGCAAGGAGATTGCTGCCTTCAACGTAAATACATGTTATTTGCAACTTCAATACAATCAGAAGAATAATAGAGCAATAGTCTATTTTTCCTCTGTGATAGTTCAGGTAGCCAAAAACTATTTGTGTCCAAATACTTTTGAGCTACCTGGGGTGGTACAATGTAATTGCAATTTTTTAGCACAGGTGGCAAAACAATAGCACTATATCATGGGTCGTGATGTACTGCTGTTGTTAGGCTACTTTGAGATGTCAAAATTCCTTAAAGCATTAGCAAAAAACACTCAAATTTTACATCTTTGCAATAATATTTGAAGTTGCAATAGAAATTGCATAATGTAACATGGCCTTTAGATGATAAGTTTTGGGTTTAACACATACAAATGCAAGCAAACTGGACAGAAATAACAAAAAAAACAAATAGTTTATCAAAATATACAGGTAAGTATGGCTTTATTTCTTTCTGCTGATATCCATCAAGGCGATGAACTTTTTAGTATCCTTTCTAGAGGCAAGCAATGAGCTTTTATGAGTTTATCGGCACTTAAACCTTGACAATAATCACAGCCAAGTCTTTGGGGTATCTTGGCAAAGATGTTGCAAGTTCTGTAACATTTTGTGGCAAGTTAATACAATGCCCTGAATAACCTCGTTGACCACCAGGTTTAACATACACTCTCATTGGCAAAGCACGAAAAATTAACATTTCCTCAACCTGAGTTAAATTTTGTAATTCATCTGGAACATAAGAAGGTATTATCAAGTTTTCACAAGAAAATTTTTAGGAGATTTTCTATCTCTAAAGCATCGTGAACACATATATGGTGAACTAGGTTTAGATTTTATTGGCCATGCCTCATGGCAAACTGTACACTGAGCAACAGTGTATTGCATTGACTTATGAAACTTGTTTATATTAGCTTTTGCCCAACATTGCTCCTCAATTCTACCATTATTGCCTATATCAAACAAATTTAAGTAATCCTCTTGATTTATTCTGTGTTGCGGCTTTGCCTGCTTTTGTTTTTTAGATAATCTGTCTTTGTCAAGTCTTATTTGCCTTTCCCTGTCAGTTTCTTCTGACCGCCTCCTTTTTTTACACTTGTTTTCTTCTTGAAGTCTCACTTTTCTCTCACTATTAGTTTCCTCAGACTGCTTTCTCATTTTAGACTCCTTTTCTTTTTGAAGTCTTGTTTTTGCTCACTGTCAGTTTTTTCTGACTGTTTTCTTTTTTTATACTCATTAGCTTTTTGAAGCCTTAATTGTTTCTCACAAGCAGTTTCATGAGACTGCTTTCTTTATTATACTCATTAACTTTGTTAAGTCTAGCTTGTTTATCATGATCAGTTTCTACTGAATGTTTCATTGTCTGGTATTCTCGATCTTTTACACATTCATTGTTTTGATCAGACATTTTACACATACTGAATTGCACAGGTACAATTTCAAATAAGTTGGCATGTAGTCCAACTGACAGACAATACAAATATTACTCTAATTCCAGAATATTATAAAATTTCATGACAACAGCAGTGCCATTATGATCACGCATGCCACTAGAATCTCTAGCATGCGAGTCAATAAGATAAAAATCATCTGTTTCCTTAATCAAGGCCATCATATAACCTAATATAATAATAGCATAACTTTCATCTAAAAATATGTTTAACAGTGCAGTGTGAATGTCATAGTAGTGGCACTCAATTTCTCGATCTGTTATAACAAGACCTTGAATTTCTGTTCCATATGTTATGAAACATTTTGTGCCTCAATCAGCTCCACCACCATGGGTGGATCAACAATATTTTGTGCCTCAAGGGTTTCACCACAAATATGACAATGGGCAGATGATATTCAATGAAGCATTCACAAAAATCGGTAAATTTCCCACAGACAAAAAATCTTCATCCGATTCTAACATTATAAAGCCACTATTCAGCGCTTTTAGGTACATTTTGTCTCCTTGTAATAAGACATTATTAAATGTAATTTTTGACCACGACGATAAGGGAAAATTTCGGGCTGTAAGAAGCGCCGATAAACTCATAAAAGCACATTGCTTGCCTCTAGAATGATTACTAAAAAGTTCATCGCCTTGATGGATATCAGCAGAAAGAAATAAAGCCATACTTACCAGTATATTTTCAAGAATTTTTTCGTACAATCGGCTTTGTGGTTTGCATTCGGACTTAAGCATGTCGAATTTGCATACGCAATAAAAATTATTCGAAATCGAATCCCCCCCTATATCTCCCAACATACTTGAAGCTTAATGTATGCCCCCGGAATTACGACAAACATCTTTCCGGACAGACACAGATCCAAATTTTGACAATACATAAATCGGCGCAAAAGCCTGGGTCGACTGAACTCTGGAGAAACCTCAGAATGTCAAGAATAGTGTGCTGCCTCGCTGACGCTCGGCAGCAATTACTCAGTACAAAATTGATATAATAATATGTACACCAAACTTAGTGTGTAGAAAAAGTCTACTCATATTTCGCGTGTCATATTTCCAAGTCTTGCAATACAAATTTACCGCAAAGTTTTTCTTCGCCTGCGCTTCTTGTATTCTTAGATTCGTAATTAGGAAGCATCAGTAATGGAAAGTATATGTTCTGGGACATCTTTTGAATGCACTTTCGTTTGAAAATAATTCTTATTTCCAATGGCACTTTTCGCTTATTAAATGTGGGCGACTTGTCCAGATTTATATGGAAGAAACGAGCCGCGCGTGCAGTCTCTTGCAGAAAACTGGCTCTAGAAGGTACTGCGCAGGTCTATGCCTCAAGGTAGCGCCAGAATTTGAATCGTCGTCAAATTCCGCGTATTTTGATAGTATATTTATGCATATTTTCGACGATTTCGGAATGGCAAAATGAGCGCAAAAATGTGGGTTTGGATATTGTTTGGCTGCTCATTATATATTCAAGTGCTTGTCGCTGTATCCCTTGTAGTGAATGCGCAACAAGTTTGTATCACGATCTAGTTCTCGTACCTCAATCTCGTAAAGACTTTTATCATTTGCGGACTTTTTGGAGCATTTAAACAAAGGCTTAGAAGTGCAGTCACCGTATTGTTCGGCAAAACGTATCCAGTAGCGTAGCCAGCCTGTCGATTTGTCCCGCTATGCTAATATCTTCGTGTTCACTGACTGTGAAAACAATAGATTTCTAAAGAAATGAATAATTATAATAACTCGAAATTTACATAGCGGGACAAAATCGTCAGGCTGGCTACGCCACTGAACGTATCGGTTGAAGTAAGGTTCTCTCATGCCTTTGCGCCCATAGAGATTATAAATAACACTATAGGGGTCATCGAGGAGAAATTGGGGAGCGCGTTAATGGGGGGCAAATTCAAGTCCCGGATGTTCACTCATTCACGATGTCCGAGGCCAAAATAAGTCGTTTTTAACAAGTTTTTTCGGTCTCTAAATGTTTTTTTGCCTAAAATATCATTTCAGGATGTCTAAATTAGTAAAACCAGTTTCAAAAAGCACTGTTTTTCCTTAAAAAACCGGCAAAGCGGCCTAAATAACGAATATAATTTTTTTAAAATTGTTGCTAACGTGGTTGCTAAGGAGGCACTGATCTAGCCAATCAGCGCTTGGCTTAGCATCCGGGACTTGAATTTGCCCCCCATTATCGCGCTCCCTTTTTTGACTGATGTTTCTGATACCAATGCCTCCTCTAGTGTTATTTATAATCTCTATGTTTGCGCCATCTTGTTTACATATGATTGTCATATTGCGCGTCATTCACAGCGTGTGGGGCACTGGACACGAATGTGATTGGTCTATTGAAGGAAACACATTTAAAATAACAATGTTCAGTAAAATGTTTTACAGGGACGCGGGAAGCCGAAAATTCAAAAATTGGAATGTTTTACAACAGATTTTTTGATTGGGCAAAATTCAGTTGTGGTCATTGTGAAAAATAAGGAAATATGTTTGACCAATCAAAAAATCTGTTGTAAAACGTTCCAGTGCAGTTTTTGAATTTTACTGAACATTGTTAAAAATGTGTGCCCTTCGATACATATTTGTTTTTGAGTTACAAGAATTGTCGTTTGCTTATATTTTGTTCATATAATAAACAGAATATTACATGGTTGCTTGGAAAGATGGATTCATTTCTCGACAACACTCGAAATAAATTCCATATTTCCGCGCAACCATATAATATTCTCTCTCTCCATATATATACATGCATTTAAGATTAAAAATAGTCAAACAGACATCTATTTACAAAACATCGCCTAAATCTTTCAGTTCTAACTTTAGGCAGAATAAGAGGATGATGAATGTGTTCAGGATTACCTAAAATCCTGTGAAGTAAAACTCTGTCTCTTGCTTTAATAAACCCAGACATTTTATACTGCTTTATTACATATATCCGATACGGATTTGCTCGCTTGAAAAACTTGTGAATACGTTCTAAGTATTTCTTTTAAAGGGCCGAACCCCAGACTTCGATACCGTACAGAAACAACGATAATATAATTGATTAAAAAAGATATAAGCTGTTCTTTTTGGTATCCATATCTTTTGCATATACTCTTAGAATATACATTCGACTCCTAGAGCCTTTGTCAGTAAGCCATTAACCTGCAGGTCAAGAGCATCTCCCAAGTTTTTGATAGATTAGATTCTGTTGATTCTGTTTCTCCTTGCCCAATTCTCAATATCCTCACTTACATTTCTGCGGAATCACAATTTCCCTTTTCTGGTGCCCTAACTTTCATATCATCAGCAAATTTAACAAACTATTAGTTAATTTCTAGTTTTTCGAGTTTTATGTCCATGCCATAAGGGCAAATAGAAAAGGACTAATGACCGTTTCCTGTAGCACTCCTTTGCTAACAAGGAACTTAAGCATGTAGGACGGAACATGACGACTGCAGCTATCAATACAATGCTTCATCGAAAAGAAATGAACTATTAAAGACCTATGGGAGTTTTAGACGTGATCTACCTTCTGTTTACAACGGCGAAACGTCGTTTATTACGTCCTATGTTGAGCGTCTGCATTTCAGGACCCAGTGAGCCGCTACCTCGAATTAGGCTCTTTAGAATTGCATGTCCATAAACGTAAAAACAATGTTTTAAACGTCTTATATATCTCATTAAATTGGTACAGTTGATAATATAGAACAACGCTTTACCATAACATTAATTTAAAGGAGTATTCCAAACACGTCGTCGTTGTAGTTGCCTTACAACTTGCTTAAGGTCACTAATATCCACATGAGGTATTCATTTGTTATTCCACCCCGGCACCCCCAATTATCGCATCTATTTCGTGCCTGAATAGCATATGAAACTCTTACAGGGAAAAGACATGGACGACTCGGGGTATGATTCGCCAAACGCTCACGGGAAAAAGGTGCATTTTGTCATAAAAAGAAAAGAATCAAATTCGCTAGTTAATGTAATTGCTGCAAGCGACGAAATTTTAGCAGATGCAGTGCGACGAAAGAACCCGAACGTAAACATGAAAAGCATTGTCTTTGGAGCAAAACTGCGTGGCCACGATCGAAATACTGCCGTAAATCCGTTTCTCTTGCCATGTCATTTCATTCAATTCGGCACAGAAGTTTCGTGGCAAGATTTAGGGGACGAAACAAAGTTATACGATAAGGACCCGGGACTGAGTTCAGTGTCGAGTTGTACTAATGCCAAGCACGGGCAAGCTCCGTTTTTTGTATCAATAGCTAACCAAAAACACAAGGAGAACATAACGCATATTAATCGCCAAAAACTCGGACCTTTCGAAGATATTTGTGTCGTTGCCAACCGTGGTGAAAGTTTCGAACAAGCATTGATCAGAGATGGTCGATTTAGGAATGTTCAGCGTTTTACTTTAAGTCGTAAGCTGCCTGGCGTAGTAATAGGATGTGAGATCGATAAAACCGATGAGCGCGATGATTATGAAGAAAACTTGGTTCTTGAAGTTAAGTTAGCAAAGTCGACAAATACTGAGTCCAAATCTCTCGGCCAGAACAAAAGAAACTGCCTTCTTTTGACTTCAGAAATTGCATCAACAAGTGGTGAGACGTCGACGGCAACCACGATGGAGGAGGAACCTAGAAAGTACGATCATACTAGTTTAGATCAGTTAACTGAAAAGCTGTGCAGGGAAAGCGGAATATATTATTATTCCGAAGACTTTTGCGAGTTGACGGCTTCCGAAAGACGACTTGAAATGGAAAGGTGCTTACGAGCTCGTGCAATGTGTACCTTGCTGCCCCCGAATGAGAGAAAAGAAAACCATCTCAAGAGTTCCCTTGTCCAGCTTGTTGCAACTCATTTCTCGAACGTAAACATTGTAGCTCGCCCAGTAGCATTCTCGAAAATAATATGCCATTTCTACGATTCGGTGGGCTACTTGAAGTGTGGAGATGTTAATGCCACGTGTTTTTTGGTCAGTCAAGATATGGTTGTCACCAATTTTCATGTTATCCGTCAAATCCAAACAGCGCGTGAATCGTCGACTCCAAACGACCACTCGCATATATACGTGTACTTTGGATATGAAAGACCAGACCAGGAGTCTCGAGAGCGATATAAATTGGCCCCACTTCAATGCGAGGGCAATATTGTATATTCTGATGCGTTTGACTATGCATTCCTTCGCACGGAGGAATGTGTTGAGGGCAAGTTAACGCTGGGCCAATTCGTGCGTTGCAACGTGCCACGTAGTGGAATTGTCAGTATTGTTGGCCATCCTGGCGGGAAGGAGAAACAAGAGGAATTATGCGCGATCTTGCCTTCATCACATCAGGACAGAATGTCGTCCAATGACACGTTATTTATGTATCGAGAAAATTGTAGAAGGGACCTCAGTGGTATTGCCCTGACGTACGACGTTGGTTCAATGTTCGAAGGGTCCAGTGGGTCTCCTGTGTTTGATATGAATTGCCAGATCGTTGCTCTTCACTCTATGGGCTTCCAAATTGAGAATTCCAGGCTCGTCGAAGCTGGCGTGACATTTAATGCCATAATCCTTGATTTGCATGCAAGAGGATTTGATGAGTTTGTGAGAGAGCATTTACCATATTGTTTTGATATTAGTATGGACATTGATTGATTTTAAGTGTAATATTAAGGCTAGTTTCTACTCAGGAAAATTCTCCTTTGGATCGGACAGGACAGGAAAGTTTCCTTTGTATAAACGCCGCCGGCCTGAGAACTCACCGACAAAGGAAATTTTTTCTGTCCGTTCCGATCCAAAGGAGATTTTTCCTGAGTGGAAACTAGCCTTTATTATAGGTAAGCAGTGGCGGATCTGGGGTTAAGCATGTAGAATAAATTACACGGCTTTAAATCCAAAAAACGCTACTGTTTATGGCCGGATTTTCAGAGAATATTTTCAAAAATCTATCAACGCGATTGCGATTTTAAGCTGTAGTAATTTATTCGGCGGTCAGTGTGGCCAAATATGGTAAGTTCTCTTACCAGATCCGGTCGGATGCATGGATGCACGTAGACAGCAAGTAGACTAGTTAAAAATTTGCATATATATGGTCACACTGACGCAACCTTAACCTGGATCCGCCAGGTAAGAAAAGCATGTTTCGGCCTTCGGGTTCTATAATAAACATACATGCAGGCTCCGGTGAGTCTGAGGGATTTACGCGCCGAGGAAGACTGGAAGTTTTCCGACTCACTGAACCTGTAAGTATGTATATTATAGAACCCGAGTTTTTAACCAAACCCAGTGAACTCAAAAAAAGACTGGAACGCTAACTCTCTGACTTCCAGCTGATCTGAGATTATGACGTCATGAGGCGCTTCGACAAAACTGAGTTATCATGCGCCTGAGCTTATTTGTTTCTGTTCTTCCATCCAATGCTATTAAAAGGTAAAAAAATTGAATTCTTATTTGCAGTTGGGAAAAACAAACGTGTTACGGCATGAAAATAATAGAATTATTTAAAATTTCCAGTGCAGAAGTCATATGAAAGGAAGGAAATGATAATTCAGTTTTGTCGAGTGTCGGGCTTCTGATTGGTTGATTTTAATACTCAGATCAGCTGGTTTCTCTTATTAATGAGTGAAGCGAAGATGGCGGATCATGAAGCCTTTCTTGTAGGTATGATCACTATTATTGATTGCTTCCAACAAGTCACAATTGCTCAAAAATTTGTTCTTCAGTCTTTGCTTAACATCTTTAGCTTCCTAAGGTTAAACATCGTAGTCAAATAAATAGTAGAACGAAGTTTATATTGACAAAACAATGTATGTTCAATTTAAAATTGAATTCTATTGTATTTAATATAATTTTTTGTGTAAATATGTTAGTATATGACATTATTGGCATGTTTCAGATTTTCAGTCAAATGTATGAAGCATTCCCTTGGTGCCTTATTTTTATCCTTCGGAAAACACGATTAAGTAAACTTACATTTAGTTTCTGGTAAAGCGGTAACCCATGTTTCTCTCGTCATTTTCCATGTTTCACGCCTGTTACGTCTACATGATCTGGTTACCTGAGGATTGAAAAACGTGGGATGATTTTGAGGTATTGCATGAGATATGTCTTTTTGAAACAAAACAGGGACGGCGGAGCGTTATATCAAGTGCAGGGGCTACACCTTTAATCCTACTTATGATGTTATAAAAACGATTCCAAATACTAAGCACTGCTCAGTAAATAAGAAGTGTAAACATCTTTTGGTTTTACTGTAAATACAAAGTCGGGGGCTTTAGCCCCTCAGCCCCCCCCCCCCGGCTCCGCCGTCCCTGCAAAACAAGCACTTGCAATTGTTGCAGTTACTTCCAGGATCATGTCATTTACTTATTACCTCAGTCGTTTCACACTTCGTCTAATCCAGGTAACCAGGATCATGAGAAGAATCATTTGCATGTGAGTTCAATTCTTCAGTCTAATATCTTTCGCCAAGCGTTTACAATTTTTTTAACTAATCTTTTAGTGGTGAACGTTTTGTAATTTCAACCATGTACAAGATAGCGGTAATATTTTCATCAATTAAATAACTAAATAAAAACGCGTACGAAGTAAGATGATTTTTATTTTTGATTTATTTTGTTCTACAAATACTAACAAGCTTTTATTTCAGTATTGTTACAATGTTATCACACTGTGCACTAACTTACACTTCATCATATCACAGTTCTCTACAAAGGAAACAAAATTTGAAATGAATTCTGGGCCACTGAGCCGGTTGTACGCCGCCAAGCTAGATAGTGCTATTATTCACCGGATAGTGAATTGCTCTAAAATTGGTCGTTCGTTGTTCAGTATTAACTTTAAAGTATTCAAAAAAATTCTCTTAGCTAAAAAGCAGTAGAATATCAGTGCAGTAACGAATGAAGATATTTTGTAGTAAGGGGGCTTAAATTCTGTACGAGGGTGCTTGCTTAACTGCGAGGGATCGTGGGCATTCTTTCCCAAAGAAATGTGAAAACTTGAGACTTTGAAGTAGCGTTTCTGCACACAACTTATTACATTTCCCCTTATATTCTAAAATAAGTTAATGTTTTTGTTCTACTATGCGAGCCCCCCCCCCCCCTAGTTCAGTCTTTATAGAGTTAATTAACTGGTTAACATTGTACGTACCATTTTTTCCTGCCTCTGTTTCCATTTCCTTTATTCCCATTTCCTGGAACAAATTCCTCGACTTCCCTTTTGGGCGGCTCACTGCACTTGTATTTGACCGTCATCTTGCTCTTGTTGAGATCACCATCTCTCTTGATCTGACAATGACCTCCCCCCTTTCCCTTGGCCATGTTGTCAATGTTTTCCATGCTGCATTTTGCACTGATCGAAACCACGTCAACACTGCCCTGGTTGGCCAACGAGATATCGATTATTTCTGGGACTGCCTCCTTGTTGTCGCATTTGATGTTTATTGTCCCTTTTTCCTTGGAAACTAAATGATGATTTTGTGGTTTGTGTTCAAAGAAGCCAGACATCTCTCTAATACAAACACTCTCACATGCAGACATCTCTCTGATACAGACACCTCTCTGATACAAACACACTTGAATGCAGACATCTCTCTAATACAGACATCTCTCTAATACAGACACTTCTCTAGTACAGACACCTCTCTACTACAAACACCTCTCTATTACAAACACTCTCGAATGCAGACATCTCACTAATACAGACATCTCTCTAGTACAGTTACCTCTCAAATACAAACACCTCTATTGCAGGCATTTTTCTAATACAGACACCTCTCTATAATACATACACTTCTCTAATACAGATACTTCTCTAATACAGGCACCTCTCTAATACAGACACCTCTCTAATACAGACACCTAGCTCTAATACAGACACCTCTCTAATACATACACTTCTCTAATACATACACCTCTCTAATACAGACACCTCTCTAATACACCTCTCTGACACAGACATCTTTCTAATACATGCCGATGTCTTCATAATATAGAAACATGCGTATAGCTTTATTGTTTTACCATCAGTTAATAAATGTGTCTGTCTTTACATTATTCATGCAATGCACCAACTCACTAGTTTTCTCTGCGCCAGATGAGTCTCCCTGACCCTTCTTCCTACAATCAAATGTCACTACTTTATCCATGTGATCAATGGAGCCATCCTGAGGCAACGCGTTCATCGACACCTCGCATTTTGCTGGTTTACCGTTTGTTTGAACGAGAGACGCGAGACATTCCTCGTTGGAAAGACGCTCGATATTTGGCGCCAGAGAACTTGCTATTAGGATATCAGAGCCGTTCATTAGTGTCACGCCACGTATTTCAATGTATTTGTGTCTGGGAAAAGGACACTTTAATGTCATTGGCAGGACGTTTGAATGCTCTGAAATTAAAATAAATTTAATTTTTACTGGATAGTTCTATCAATTGTAAACTGTTCTTCCAAGAGGTCCAGTAAGGATCATCTCTTATTTATCCAGTGTTACTACAGGAGGAAACCTAAACTAAACTTACTTTATTTACACTGGATAACTCTATCAGTTCTAAACTGTTCTTCCAAGAGGTCCAGTAAGGATCATCTCTTATTTATCCAGTGTTACTACAGGAGGAAACCTAAACTAAACTAACTTTATTTATACTGGATAACTTTATCAGTTCTAAACTGTTCTTCCTAGAGGTCCAGTAAGGAACATCTCTTATTGATCCAGTGTTACTACAGGAGGAAACCTAAACTAAACTAACTTTATTTATACTGGATAGCTCTATCAGTTCTAAACTGTTCTTCCTAGAGGTCCAGTAAGGAACATCTCTTATTGATCCAGTGTTACTACAGGAGGAAACCTAAACTAAACTAACTTTATTTATACTCGATAGTTCTATCAATTGTAAACTGTTCTTCCTAGAGGTCCAGTGAGGATCATCTCTTATTGATCCAGTGTGTCAGTAATTTGCAATGTCGCAATAAAACCATAGAGGGCTTTTTTATCCTTTCACTTACGAATTTCGAAAATATTTTCAGTTGACGGTACAATAATGTCTTCGCAGTTAACAGACAGAGCTGCGATAGCAAACAGAATGCTAGCAAAGCTCGTCATTGCCTAAAACGATAAAACGCAGTCAATACAATTGAAAGTTACATAATATTCTTCCATGAAATACGGTGACTTATTTAAAGTTTACCTTCACGTTTGTCTGGATGAATTGAGAACGTTCACAGCGAATCGCTGTATCTAACTTTTATTCGCTTAAAGGAAGACAAACTGTATATCTGTCTAGTGGCGACTAAATACATATAACTCGCGTCTTTTGAAAAATTGATATTTTATTGACCTACGGTAAAATTAGTTTTATTCAATTAATGTTTATTAATATTGTTTTTGCTGGCCAATTAAATTGAAAAAGTCAAAATTAAAAATACATTCAAATAGTAAAACATTTGCATAACACTTAAATTGATCAATTTTGTCACTATCGCTTTTTAATTGCTTTTGGATTAATTAAAATGTTGTAATGTAAGAAATTGAACGTTTCTCATTGGCTGTTGAGTGCGCATGAGCATTGAAAAGCCTAGAGAAGAGACCTGCTGTATTTATTCAATATAGCGTATTTGAATATGTATGTTTGTGGCCTGATTTATGGACGAATTTCCACAGAAATGATATATCCTTGGAGTACTTTTACTTTCCGTATCTTAATTGTGGGAGTTTTTCAAACAATTCCTATTTAGAACGATAATATTCTGCGATCAATAACATGTATTATGACATGAAATCATGTATTAATAAAATGCAATTCAATTATTGCAATTAAATGAATCCATATATTTCGGCATGGTTTTATTTTTGGGGGTTTTTTTTATTTATATTATATCATCAAATGCGGGAGACATGAAAATTAAATATATACAATTAATCTTCGTTAATTTAAGAACTATGGACAAGGCTATTTTCTCATTTAACGCGTTGCCATGGACGTGATATTGTTAAGACAAATATTTCTGTTCTGAGACTGAGCGAAATATAGATTAGATTTTATTATATACAGGAAGCAATTAGCTATGAAATCTTTAGGTTTAAAGCTTTATCACTAGTGCAGTTTAACATAACTTTAATTGTTGTGAATTGTTTTATAAATATCTGCAGCTTCTGATGTTCTTTTTTAAAACGGATTCACAAACGCTATATACCTTTCAGATAATGTTTCTCCACGAAATCTGTTCTCCACAGCAGAACTAGAAGGATTTTATAACGTGGAGTGTTGCCGTAAAGCGAGACGAATTTAGCGACAAAGCTTAGTGTTTGCATATATGTAAAGACTAAAGTACTAATTCTGCGAGAAATATATTTCTTGCATGAGAAACATAAAATATATTCTATGCTTTTTTAAGGTTTGATATTAAATCGCATCGCATGCAGGTTGTATTTTATTACTCTTCGCTGTGGGCTGGATTGTGACAAACTAACGATTCTTTGAGTTGCGAAAGTTATATATTTCCGCGGTATATACTCCGAGTTTCTTTCTCAGAAAGCGCTGATCAGTGTTGAACTAATTCATCCATCAAATGCATCACCGCCAGCAGTGCTTCCTCTAGTCTACGCATAGACGGAATATGGCGGAAATACCCCCTTTTTATTCCCCGCCTTTCTATTTCGGGCATGGGTCTGCGGCGCAGGCTATGCTTCCTCTGAAAGTGGATAAAACAGGAGTCATATCACATTACAATGTCAATGTGAATGACCGCCTAAAAAGGTTCTTTTGACAACGTATTTCAATTTGATCAAGTTAAGCTGTTGGTCTTCGTAATTTAGTTTAGTTTTTCCAAGTACAAGGATGTCAACACGAAGCTCGAAGATGGTTTAAAGTTGTGATGTATTGCATCCTTTGAAACAAGCCGGAATTAATCAATATATTTTATGAAATTGATTAAAGAAATCAATAGATTACTATACTCTATAGTAAGTCCTATACTGAAAGCTATATTTTGAATGGCGCGAAATCAAAAAGATATTAACGTCTATCACTACTCCTTTTTATTTACGATAAACACGTTTTGTCATCGATTTTGTGTTCCTTGGTTCGAGAATTTTTTTGTAAAACAAGACGACTCGGCTATAAGGCAAGTCAACTTCTGTCATCCACACAAGAATATATATGCACAAACACTGAAGCGAACTTGCTCCGCTTAACTGGCAGAGCATAACATTCCGCTCATATCCTTGTTCAAATAAACTTCTCAAAAGGTTTTGCTTTGAGCGAGAAACTTCACCAGGCATTTTTGAATAAGCGTGTAGTTTGATATATACACAGATCAATTACAATGACGAATTCAAATGAGAAAGATAACGTTAATTCAAAACAATGCAATAAAGGACACAAAACAAATTCCATTTAAAACTACTCCCGTTGCCAAGTCCACGACACTGCCAACGTTGTCAAAGTCGTGTCATCACGTTGAACCGTTTCTTGCTCTATAAAAGCTGCCTCGCAAATCAGCGTTCTCATTCGTCGGTGGCAAAAGAAGAGAACTCAAGATGGCTTCGCTAAATTTTGCTCTGGAACTAAGCGTTTTCGCTTTACTGGCGTGTGCTGTTCAGGGATTTTTCTTGGGAAACGAAAAGGAAGGAACATTTATTCCTCTGGAGAAGCTCAAAGATTTTGGATTGTCGCGCGATCACAAAGTTTATTCGCATCTTGTTATTCCACCCTGGAGCAGACCTTTCAAACTAGGCTATTGCGAGAGCTGGGAATGGCACACTGACCCAAAATACCGGGCTCAAAGAATGGCAATCTGTAAAGAACTATCTGAAGGTTTGTGTGAATGTTTTTCATATTTATACTTTCATGTTTACGGGCTAAATAGATGCATACGTGGATAGCTCTATTAGTTCTTCCTAGAGGTCCAGTAAGGATCATCTCTTATTGATCCAGTGTTACTACAGGAGGAAACCTAAACTAAACTAACTTTATTTACACTGGATAGCTCTATCAGTTCTAAACTGTTCTTCCTAGAGGTCCAGTAAGGATAATCTCGTATTGATCCAGTGTTACTACAGGAGGAAAACTAAACTAAACTGAGTTTATTTATCGATAGTTCTATCAGTTCTAGACCGTTCTACCAAGAGATCCTGTAAGGATCATATCTTTTTGGTCAAGTGCATGTTCAAAGAGACACTGTAGCTCCTATCATTTTCTTCTACGCAGGCGATTCATGCATATTTTCACTATGCTTCCACAGGTATCCACGAATGTGATTCTCCATCCGGGTTCTGCGAGGACAAGTGTCCCTACACTAACGGCAGTTACCCATTCTGGAGGCTGCGCAATTCCGCCGAAGTACAAATCGTCTGGACAGTGTCGAGTATTCAAATGTTCAGCTCCTCAAGTTCCAACAAGAATCTCGTTGAGAACCCAACCAAGGCTTACGCCAGCAGCTACTTCGGTCCAGGTATGTCAGCGGATAATCACCGTCTTAAAGCCTGGTTCCCAGGTTCCCAGTAATCACCGACAGTCGATGATGTATTGTTGGCGGTCGGTGACGAAGAACATTTATACAAAATAAAAAGCACTTTATTCTTCAGTGACCACCGACAATATACACTGTCGACAGTCGGTGGCTTGAGAACCAGGTTCAAGAACTCAATGCTATCAAAATGCCCCCCTTAATTCAACTGAAACAATCAGAGCCATTTCTTCCTGTACATTTAACAAACCGCACACGCAACAAACTGGCTTCATTTTGGGATATCACTCGTTATATTTCTTACAACTATAACTGAACTACTGAAGAACTTACAAAAGTTTTCAGTAATCACCATAGACAAAACTAAGGCAGCGCTATATCCACCTTTCGTGAAGAACAGGTTCCTGCATTTCAAATAATATGAGATATATTGTGTTGCTGCCCCTAGGCCCGTCTTCAAACACAACGATTCCTTTTTTTATTCTTTGTCTCTTTCTTAGGTTACTATCCTAGCAACGCATTCGACAACAACCCAGAAACCATTTGGGTCTCAAATGGTCAAGCACCCCCCGGAATGCAGTGGATCGCCTTCGAATTCGACCACCCCGTCTCCATCAGTTCCATTCGTATCGCTTCGGAAATCGACAAACCCGAACGCGCGCCGACTGAGATCTTCGTCGAAGGCTCGTGCGAGAAATATTTCCGCACTTTCGAGACCATGTGGATATTGCGCAATCCGACGCAGAGGAGCGACATCCGAGTCAATGGCGAGGTGAAGCGACGGGATGCCGGCAAGCCACGATTCAGGCGATACCGTTAGCCGGTCAGGAAAATACACACTTATTCAACCTATATAAAGTTACTTTTTTAAACAAGCCTCTGTGGTGACGATTTGCGTTGTTAGCTTCCAGTTCTTATTCTATAAACCAATTTGAAATGTTTATTCATATTTTTAACACTCACCCTAAGAAATTTCTATTCCTGTCATTTCTGAACTAGATTACTTTATATTAAACTTAATATCAAACTTGTGAACTAAACGCATTTTCCCTCATCCTTGACTGATTATGCGTGCAAATTAGCTAGGATAGTCATCTTGTAGGTTTAAGAGCGGTAAACAAACTAATAAATGATAAAATTTATACCCACAGTTTAAATCTTTGTTAAAAGTTTATTTTACAACTAAACTGACCAACTGTTACAGGAAATTAAAATGGAAATAAAATCACAGAAAACCATGACCAGGCGACAATTTAAAAAAGTAAACTGTAAAAAACAAATTCCGAATAAACAGGACATCTTGAGAGTCGAAATATGAATCAAGCAAGACACAGGTTGAAACTGTAACTTTATTTCAAAGTATAAAGTCGAGAATTTACAGTTTCAACCTGTGTCTTGCTTGATTCATATTTTGACTCTCAAGATGTCCTGTTTATTTGGAATTTGTTTTTTACTTCAAGATCACAGAAGTTCGCAGAAGGAAAGATATATGATATGCTTTATAAAGTGTGGCGAAGCCAAGAATGAATTTTAATCAAATTGACCATATAGGTCTGTGTTCTACATTGGTGGGCTAGACGTGCAAATATGCACACCTTACGTCAGATGCAGGGGGAGTAGTGCTGTAGTGGGCTATTTTGGGAAGCGTGGGTTGTGTGCCAAGTACCTCCCCCGGAATCAGTGCAAGTATAGGCTTAATTGAATTCAATTTGAAGGTAGTTTTTTCGCGAATTTTTTTATTTGAAGAAATATCGGAAGTACATGTCCACTTTTGAATATACTTTCTGGTACTATCCCGACCTACGGTGAAAGGTCTGCTTCACTTTTACTGTAACAGTGGCACCTAACAACCTGGCGGATGTGATAGAGTGACAATATATCTCTGCGATATTGGAAGACTAATTAGCATATACGACGACGTAAAAAACAAGCTAAACTCACACAGTTTCACATCCACCACACGACGGGTAAAATTGACTAGCTTTTTATAATGAGCGTGGGAATGGGAAATCGCGTCTGAGTTCGTAGACTTCTACAATCAACATAAACCTCTTCGGCTCATCCCACGTTTTCTCAATCAGAACTTGAGAATAATTAATCCTTAGCAACAGGAGAACAGACTTCCTGCTAGACTGATACTGTGTATATCAAGGAGCACTGTGCTTCGATAAATCGTCATGTCCAAGCGAACAATCTACACATCTCATTTCTGCTTCAAAATGCTATCTATTTCTGTTTCCGATTACGCGAGTCTTTGCCTAAAAAGCCGTTTCGTGTTTATACAAGCAGGCAGTGGGCTTTGAAAAGCGGCTGATTCTTCCTGTCATCATACGGTTTCCGTATCATCGGGCATCATGAGACGGTCTTATGACTTCTCACATGCAGACGGCATTGTTGTTATCATTCTCGAATCTGATTGGTTCAGGCAATCAGCCGACAAAATTCCGAATCGCAAGTTGTTGCAATTTCTCAAAATAAACGCGTGTTTTTAAGGTTTTCGCATATAAAATCAATGCTGGAGTTAAAGAAAGAATCCCGGAGTTCCATGTTAACAACAACACTCTTCAAACGATTCGAAACAACCTCAAAATCGGCAAATTTTTGACATATTTTATTTTGGTCTTTAAATACTATACTTTCTCCCGCGATATTTCTTAACCAATCAGATTGCTTAATTGCCTTCATGTGACTTATAACAGCACCGTAATGGCTTACTCCTTGCAGTCATAACACAGCGAAAACGATGTTTTCCAAAATCTTCAGATTTGGACACAGAAAACAGGCGAAAAAAGTCCACGTTTCTGACAGGTACGTAAGATAAGTATTATATCGATCACCTTGCAAAGTTACACGGAAATCGGGAGAGTTTTGAGACATGAATTAACACCAGACACTTTGTACTTTTTTCCATTCTAGTGATGATGATTCTTGGCTTGAAAATTTTCACCTAATCGAAAGGTCTGTTCGATGTATTTTGCAATCAGATGCGTTTAATATTATGCATTTTATATGTTGTCTTAACTGTTGTAAGATCGTGTTGTTTGCAGTCATTTGCCGCGCTTGTGAATTTGTGTTTATTTGCGGGTTAGCTTGAGTTATTTTGCATTGAAAAGTATATCTACCATTTTATAGTGTCTGGGCGATCGTTGTTAAAACTAGGTTGCTTGAACACCTTGTATTGAATACACAGCAGTATGTAATGCACGAAGTGAATAAATCACATCTGTAAATTTTAAAATTCAAGTGTTGTACTGTTTCAAATTTCGAATCGTTTACAAACTTTATAATTCTCTGCGTATAGTCAGGTGACATACGTACAAACTGTTATGAAACATTTTCGTTTGCATTTTGGACTTCAATTTGCTTCAGGGGGCAATGTCAAAGTTTTGTGAGGCTTAATGAAGCTTTGTTCTTGAGGAAGTCATTTAAGATTTTCGAATCTGACAAAAGTTTAAAAGGTCATGACAATTTAGCATGCTTGATATTATTTGCTGACAATTGAATCTCAGAAAAATTGCATTATCATCTTTGGTTGAACATACCCTGCTAAAAGCATCAAACTGGTGTTCATGTGATTAGTTCTGCTTCATGCAAGCTGGTAATTGGTGATGTAAGCTAAACAGTGCTCAGTTATTTGACCAAATATGATTTTGAATTTGTATCAAATTTGAAATATTGCCCACCTATCAACCATTAATGGCACAACCCCATCACTGACATTCTGTTGCTTAGCATCAATAATAGAAAGAATAATTCACTAAAATTATTTAAACACATTTTCACCAAATAGTTGAAATTGAATCAATGAATTTGGATGCAAATCTCAACTAATCTCATAAAAATTTTCATGCCTGATTGACATCAAATTAAGATAAGTTACGTTATTCTAATATATGCATGCCACATTGATAATTTGTGGTCACTTTTTTATACAGAGGACTACCAAATCTCGATAAATCTCAAGTTCGAGTGTTGGTGTACAAAGACCACGACAAGAGAGGAGATAAGTTTGTTCTCTTTGATTCCAAAACTGATATACAAGATGAAACAGAACAGGTATTGTGGAATAGTTTGAGAAAATTTGTTCTTGATTAGTTTAAAAGTTGTTGCTTTTTCTTTGACATTCTACTTTTAAATTTTAAGCAATGGAGTGGAGCCACTCGTCCTACGAGGAAACGAGTCAGCTCCGATGCTCAGCTGCTGGGAGAAATGATATTTGGGTCAGTTGAGATGACTTACAAAGGGCCGACAGTTAAAGCTCATTCAATCAGGTAAAACTTTCCGAAACACATGTGAATTATTGAAATAAGACCCAACTATTTCAAGTACCTTTAGGTAGTGTTTGCAAACACATGTTTCATTGATTTAACATATGATTACTGTTGTTTTCCAGGAACCCTCCACAACTACTTCTGACCAAAGTGTTCGCCTTGAACAGACCCAGAGCATCGCAACATGGTGGCAGGTATACTGTTATCAATATCATGGTACACCCCCTGTGTCTATCCTGGTTAACCAGGGTAGATTAGATCTGGAAAGTCTCCTCCTGTATAAAAACCTTCACTTGTAATCCAATATTTGCTAGCTTACACCATTATTTATTTTATTATTTAGCCCAACATCCAACCGTTCATCTGAAAGTTTACGGTTCAGCGAATCCATGTCTAGTGTTTCCTCTTTGGCCTCCCCTGTCACAAGCTCAGGTACTGAGTACTACTGCATGATTGACATTTAAATACGAATGCTCTTTCATTATTTAATAACAGTATATCACACTTATATTTATATATGCCCCAAAAAAACAAGCTCTTTTCTTTCACTCCAGATAATGAAGAGAGTTCAGTTGTGGCACAATCGGTCCCAGTCCCTGGAAATTTCAAATCCTTGCCACGAACACTTCAACTTCAAAACTTTGCCGAAGGACTTTCAAATTCCATGTCAGGTAGCAACATGTATAGTTTACACCACACAACGATTTATTTTCATTTGCATTGAAGTGTTTTGTGCCAAACTGATAAAACAACGGCTGCTCAGCACGTCTCCCTTAATTCCTTGGGGTTAAAGAACTCACCAGCTAATTCAATGCAATGCATCTCCTGGGTTAACAAAATACACTAGTGTTTGTGCTGCTGGTTGATATAATTTAACTTACCAGCGTTTCTCGTCCAATTAGCCTTCCTCACGATGAGGAATATCCGCCATTTTGGGGGTACTTTCAATTTTCGTACTTTCAATCCGTTTAAACAATAATAGCATTCTAAGAATAATTTTTTAAGAGTCCATAGACCATTTGAACAATAAGGTAAGACTAAAATTAATGACAGACGCCCTGACAAGGTCTTGCGCTCACAATTAAAAAAAAATTACCCCAAAAATGGCGACACATTCGTCATCGTGAGAAAGGCTAATTTGACGAATAATTGTCCTCAGAAATTTATATACTTTTTTAGTGCACGCGGAAATTGTTATCATTTTCAGCAAAAAAGTGGAGCCAATTTCCCTTGCGCAAAAATATATAAATTTCGAAATTTGCAGGCTATATTTTCCTCATTTTACAATATTTCGCCGTCAAACCTTGCAATTTTACTTATTTTAACATGCATGCTCTTTCTTGAAATATAATCTCTTCTTTCTTCGCCATAACAAAGAGTTAATCTAACATACTTGAAAACTCGTGATTGAGATAATCTCTCGTGTGCTTTAAATGCAAGGATTTCCGTTTACCTCACATGAAGCACTCGTGATAAACATTAGCTTATTTAGCTGTAAGAGGAGATTTTTTATATGTCGTGTATTTTGGCGGGAAAACGTTCAAAACATAAAATCTTTTCGGCGTACCACTCAAAATTCATTTATTTTAACTTTATTCTTTAGATTTTGTAGTGAACTAAGCTTTGAACTGTATTTGGTGGTGATTGTTAAACACCAAACGACAAGGGTTTTTTCAAAATATAACGCGGCTATCCACAATGTTATAAATGTCAACGCCATTATAACTGAAATGAATACAAAAGTAGCTTTTCAAGTGTGAATTTCTTGCTATTTCAGTATAGCACAATCACAATATTAGCTAATTCATACAACAGGGACCGGTTGTATAAAACTCGTTAACTTCATTTTGCATAGTTAAATCCTAGTTAACTCAGAAATACACGACTCTGATTGACCAATTCTGTCTTTAACTACAGTTAAAAGTTAACTAGTCTTTTATACAACTGTGGCTCCTGATTCATATGCATGCACTATCACAATTCAATCCCTTTCTGGCTTTCTACCAACTTCAGACACCAGTCGCTCGCTGACATTCCCAAGAACCTCGTCTGCCAACACCAGCACCAGTTATCAAAGACGATGGATGCGAAACCAAGTGACACGTATGGAATATGGCTGCAGCAGACGAAACGAAAGCTTCAGCGAGGAGGTAACTTAACTAGACTTTATGTTTGTTTCTTGTTCGAGGTGAACACAGTAAAAGTTGTTTAGGTTTTTCTAATTTTGGATTCATCTTTTAGATGTCAATGAGATCAAGACGTCGACCTAAAATTGGAATTGGAGTCTTATTTACACTCTGGGAAGACAAGAACTCGTCGGAGGAATGCAACAGGTAAATTTGTGAAAGAGATTCTTGATACGTGTTGTAGCTATAATAATAGATCGACCTACGGAATATCTCTTTGGAAGTCGTTTGTATAGATATTTGCCCTGGAGATTTCTTGTCGTATTGAATATTTCTGATGTAAACAATGACATCATTCCCAAGATATTGTTTCGTGGTAATTTAGTGAAGTCTTGTCTGCCATCTCGCAAGAGGCTCCCTCCTGATGAAAACCCTTCGGTCGAAACGTCATGAAGTGTTTTTGCCTATTTTAGACTCTTTAATACGACATTTGATGACAAATTTCTCTTTTTCTTTAGACTGTTTCAAAATTTCGTTTTCTCTCATTTCCCTCTGTTCGAGTCCCACATTCACCGCTTAAAGAGAATGGTCGAAAAAGCCTTACTACCCTCGGTCCAAATGTCTGGAAGTTCTCAAGATGCTCTTCTGAAAATTGTACGTGTCTTTAGCTAAAAGGATACAACATTTTATCAAGTCTGACTGTCTTTACATACGATTCTACTCTGTCTGATCCAATTCACTTCTGACGGATGTTTTATAGTCTGTCGACCAGTGGCGTAGCCAGCCTGACGATTTAGTCATGCTATGCAAATTTTCTGTTATTACCATTATTCATTTCTTTAGAAATTCATTGTTTTCACAGTCAATGAACACCAAAATATTAGCATAGCATGACTAACTTGTCGGGCTGGCTACGCCACTGCTGTCGACTTGCAAAATATATTGGCAGCAAATCTACTAAAGCCAATACAGTATTGCTTTATCTATAACAGACTACATTCCATACGTCAGAAGTGAATTGGATCATGTGAACCGACCTTTAACACGTCACATCACTGAGATGTAGCCATGTCCATCATCGTTTTATCCAATTTTTACAATTCACCTTTCTAGGCCGCCAATACCTTTGCTGAAAATATCCTCAACCTGTACTACGCGCCAAGAATCAGGGTGAGGCTATAAACAAATCACTTTCAAAGCACTTCAAATGCAAATTCTTGATAAATACTCGGCTGTATTTCAGAACCCACTATGGTTGACGATGCTATCCGAACCTGATCAATGCAACACAATATGCGAAGATCTTGTGCCTCAAATCGTAAACGCTGTTGAACTGTACAATACAAAACAAACAAATTAGTAAGTTATTGAAATTTTAAACGAATTAGCGGTGATATAAATCAATTTATTGATCGAAACTTGATAGATTTTGTGCTCAAAAAACGCTCAAAAAAGTGGCAAGGTGTAATTAGAGGTTAGTTAAGTCTGCAACTGTCGATTTCTGTTTTAGTTTCTTGTCTACGTTGTTGACCGCTGTTTTGACGTTTCATGTTGCCTGGGTAACCACAGTGACACCGTCATCTGACGTGGCAAGGCGAGCGTACCTGGACAAGCATTCTTCTGAAACAGTACGTTCTTTAACTAAGAATCTCTGTAAGCCATTGCGCATGCATAATGTTGTTGTGTTTTCCTTTTTATTTTGAAGCTTAATGTCCTTGGGGAATCACATCCATACAATCCTCTGTGGGCACAGTTGAGGTGAGTTGAATCAAACCGCAGAACTGATAGAGCATAATAGAGCTATCCAGTATAAATAAAGTTCGTTTAGTGTAGGTTTCCTCCTGTAGTAACACTGGATCAATAAGAGATGATCCTTACTGGACCTCTAGGAAGAACAGTTTAGAACTGATAGAGCTATTCACTATAAATAAAGTTAGTTTAGTTTAGGTTTCCTCCTGTAGTAACACTGGATCAATAAGAGATGATCCTTACTGGACCTCTAGGAAGAACAGTTTGGAACTGATAGAGCTATCCAGTATAAATAAAGTTAGTTTAGTTTAAGTTTCCTCCTGTAGTAACACTGGATCAATAAGAGATCATCCTTACTGGACCTCTAGGAAGAACAGTTTAGAACTTACAAAGTATTCTATTTTTGATCAATGTTTAACGTATTTCTAGTGAGCTCTACGGGGCTTGTGGCAACCCAACCAAAATGGCAAGAACAGTTATCCTCGGTCAAGACCAGCAAATTGTCACTGTAGTTCTACACATCCTCTCATACTTCATACGCTGTAGCGAAGTCTTTGAACAGCCACTGGAACAATCGCCCAGCCATTTGACTGGTTACCTTGACTCGCTTGAATGCCAGTCGAGAGCCAACGAATTGGAAAGAGAAGACGAAACGCAAGTTAGACCAAAATGTGACACAATCGTCGAAAACTCTGAGGAAGTTATAACAGAACCTAAGCGAAGCTCCCAAGAGGAGATTTTGAACAAATATTCTGCACTTATATCGCAGAGTTCAACTAGTTATTTACAAGTGCCTTCCGAGAAATTACCGATGAATTCCAACAATGGTATCGGGTGTTCCGAAGTCTCGGATTGTCCGGAGGAAAATGTGGAAATTTCTGAGAATTCTCAAACGAAGTTACCTACGGAAATTGTCGACTCCTGTGGTGAAGATTCCGGAATTTGCTCGACGGATTTTGATAGCTCGATGGAGGTACCCAAAAATGATACAAATTCCGGGAATTGTGTGCGCATTTCTAGGAATTTCTCAAACGGGGATTTGAAAGATTCTGATAATTGTTTTAACGATTCTATAAATTGTCGGACGAAATCTGAACAAAGTTCGAAAAATCTCCTGTGTAATGGTGAAATACCAGTTCAAGATTGCAGGAATTTATCCGGAGATTTGAAGAAGTGTTTGGAAAATTGTCGCGATTGTACTGACGATTCTAGACGAACAAACGAAGAAAAGGGATCGGTTAACTCTTTAACGTGTTCGGACGAAAGGTTATGTGAAGAATGTGAAAATGTTGATTTAAGAAGTGAACTTTCCGGCGATATTTCACAAGAAATAAATGAACATTTGTGCCATTGTAATGGCGTGTGTAGAGGAAACACGAAAGAACACAAAATGTGGACGTCTTTTTTAAGAACATCCTGTTGTAACAGAAACGCGAGGAGTCTGGACAGACGCTGTTTATCAGCGAAATCTTTTGACGAAACTTTGAACACAAAATCCAGAGAGGCTCGAAGATACAGCTCTGAGAAAGAGTCTCATACCAAAGGTTCAAAAGTTTGTGTTCAAAAGGACGGGAAAATACTGTCGCTGGATCGACAAAATGTTTTAAATATGTTTATATCGTCTTATCCACTTTGTCCCTTGTGTAAAGGACAATTAAACTTTGCCGAACACGATTTTAAAACTCTCACGAGTCAATCTAATGGCTGCCTGTGTCAGGATTGCGAGAAAATTAAGTCGTGTCGCTGTCGGGTCGTCGAAACGGATTTTGGCGAGAACGGTCGTTGCTCGTCGTCAACTACGTTGAATTCCGAAGGTTACTCGAGCGGGATCTCGGTGCAATCTTTCGGAGCTGAACGCGGGTCGTTGAGCAGTCTGTCGACTGATTCTGGCTTAAATGAACATTGTTTGCAGTCTGATGAAAGTTTTACTGGGAACTTCGGCATTGAAGATCAGGCGTGCATGTTAGAGTTACCGGAGGCTCGGTAAGTGCTTAGGAACACTTGAAACTATGAAGTAAGGGGGGGGGAGAGAATGCAGAATGTTTTTCAGGGAGGTTACAGCGGCTCAAAATTCTCTCAAGATGTTTACTAAGACTGACTTTTAAACTCCACATTTAGACTTGATGAAGAGTTCACAAAAGATGATGTGTCTTGCAAAACGTAAGTTCATTTCTTTTCATAATAATGGTTTTAATAATGGTAAAAAAGCCTCTGTAAAAAAGCCCTGTCCTATATTTCTGTGTATTTATTTCCACATAGCTCTCAGGACTGTCAACTCTTTAGTTTTGGAAGATCTCTGATGGCTGGGTAAGTTTGTTTAAAAATTTTTAGCAATCGGTAAGCAAACGGGAAAATGTAATGTGAAATCATCTTCCACATGCAGGTATTGTAATGAATATGTTCCGGACTTTGTTCTTCATGGTACGGACCGCTGTACAGAAGAGCAGGCGAAGCAAGGCCTGCATATATCACTTGAGGTAACTAGATATATATCGTTTCCAGTTTGAAGTTAGTTTAGGTTTCCTCCTGTAGTAACACTGGATCAATAAGAGATGATCTTTACTGGATCTCTAGGAAGAACAGTTTAGAACTGATAGAGCTACCATGAAGTCTAGATTAGGATATTAACTTTTCTAATTTTTTTATCAACCTAGGAACCAGTTGTGGACAGTCCAATATCCGAATCTGTCATCATTACTGGAGACACAGACAAATGGTTTGTTAATTAACCTTTTGAAGATCTTTCGGTCCGTAAACCCGGGCCTTCATCAGTGAAATTTCAACCAGGCTATTTGTCCTCATAAACCTCGTGTAATCCCTACTTATGTCTTCTGCTTTTTATTACCAGGGAATGCACGATTAAGACACTATCAAAACAGAGAAAAAGCACTGGGTAATGTCATAATATTCATTACGTAATGTGTCATTTCAAAGTTAGGTCCACTGAACTGAAATAAAGACTGGAACGCTAGCTCTGCGAAGAAAAGCTAGCTCTGAGGGAAAGTCAAAGAGCTAGCGTTCCAGTCTTTATTTCAGTTCAATGGTAGGGCTGTTACTACGTATTACTAGCAACACAACGTAAATTCTTGTCAACAAAGGTATCTTTTTGTGTCGCTATCTACTTCATCATTATTTATCCATCAACTAAATGGTCGTTTCAACTTTAATTTACCTACAGAAACCATCCAAGCGGAATTCGCTCAAAAAAAGCCGAGCGGTCAACATTAGTTCACAATTTTCTCACATCATTTTGCGATCTCTGGGAGTTAAACATGCCCGCCACATTTGTAAGTAAACAAAACGAACTTCATTTTATATACTGGACTGATATCCATGACACGATTACATTCTGGTAACAGTTTCTTTTCATTTTAAAACTTAGTGTCTGATGCATCTCGAGGACAAAATGAAAGAGTTGTATCTACGAAGCAAGGTGCGATTTGAATTCTGTATTTCCTGATTTTCCTCGTCGTAAAATTTGCTGTAATCCCTACTGTTTCATATTGTGAAATATTGAATATAGGGCAATATACATATTCTATGAGCTTCCCTTTGAAATGAACCAAATTTAACTGTCTATTAATGATCGATGAATTTTGTTATTTCCAGGTCGTCTCGGAGTATTTACTCACACAAAAGAAATATGTAACAATGCGAGATCTTATGTCGACATTTGGGTAAGAGTTTTTATCAGGAGACGATTAACTGCATATGTACATGCCCAACCTCGTACCCAGCGTCTTTCCCACAAGTTAAGACCCTGGGTACGACGTTGGCCCATGCCCAGTGGCGCCGGCAAAGCCCAAGAGGAGGGACGCCCTCCCCCCAATAATTTTCCCACCGGATTTCAGATTTTTTTAATTCGATAAGAAGGTTCGGGCTCACAATTCTTGTTTTCTCCCTCAAAGATTGTTCCTGCCGAGCCCACTGACCATGCTTAAATTCGTCTATAACAGTATTTAACTTCATCAAAATGCAAACGTTTTTACATGGATTTAATTTGACGTGTTTTTAGTTACGGCGAATGTGACCTCGCATTGATAATGAGCATTATTGGAGTGCACTCCCCCCTGGCAGTCTCACGTATACCACTTCCCTAAACGAGCACAGGTACGATATATCGGGGGGGAGTTCATGTTAACTTTTTGCTATCGGGGGGGGAGTTCTATGTTAACTTGTTCCTATTGAGGGGGAGTTCATGTTAACTTTTTCCTATCGGGGGGAGATTTTTATGTTAACTTTTTCCTATTGAGGGGGAGTCTATGTTAACTTTTGGGTCTGTTTGCCCGGTTTTTTTGTTCCATTCCCAAACGTGTGAAGGAGGTCAAGATCTTATCCCAAGAATTCCTTTGATTTAGTGATATTTCCCTGATTCTTTTTGTTACTTTCGGAAAGTTCCTTCATTACTTGAAACTATTCTAGTTATTTCCTACAAATATCACAGAAAGTCACGTTGTTTTCTTTAGAATTCAACAACCGTTCAAGCAATTTGCAAAATTCACTGGTGCATTAAAAACTGTCATCAACTCTTACACCTAGTATTCAATGTCAACAAACTTCAAAAGATCATGATATAGTCGCACTGAATGCAATCGGAAATTATATTCTTTAACATATCTGTAAAATGATGGGCACAAGAAATAAGACAAAGTTTAATATCTGTGATCGTTCTTTTAAATATACCAACAAACAAGCCTTGTTGAGCTGAGGCCGGTTGTATCAAGCCCGTTTAGCTTAAACGGTGGATAAGTTCAAAATAGCAAGCAAGTCTATCGTTTAATTTGTTTTATTCAACAAGCAAACTAAATGTCGTTAACCTTAGTACAAAGCTAATGTTTACAACCACATATTCAGAGCATAATATTCAATTTGACTCATTCAAGAGAGATGTAGCTAAGAGTGTTATTTTAATTTTGACTTATCCACCGTTTAAGCTAAACGGGCTTGATACAACCGGCCCCTACATGTGGAGTCAGAAATGTGAAGATCGTGTAAAGAGTTTTACACAACCGGGCCCAGATTAGATTCCCAGAATTATAAAATCGGTTTTGTATAGTCATGTATAAATTAGTTTTCATGACGTATTGAAGCACTTTGCTGAACAAAAACACTTAAGCTCATAAGTCCGTCGGTTTCAGGTTTCTGTTAATTAATCTGTTTCACGTGGTTTCACGATTTTGCCACCTTTTGATTAATTGATTTTTCTCGAGCGTGCTCTTGAGTAAGCGTCTAAGCAAGTGAAAGCCTGCCTGAAACTCTGAAAGGTATGTTATAACTATGTATGTTTTGCTACCACACAAGATTCGTCATTCTCAACTCTCAAGTGTTGTTTGCTTACGCCATCAATTCGAGTTTTGGCTGATGGCGTATGCAAACTACGCTCGAGAAGTTACGTTTATTTTACTAGTACTAGAACGCGCGAGAATGACGAATCTCGTTACAAAAGTTCACAGCTGTCTGGTATGTGTCGATGACAGGCGCGGATCTAGACCGTATCGAACGTGGCTCGAGCCACGGTCAGATTTTCCCATCCAGAATTCTCCCATCTGCAATCTAATATTCACACATTATTTAGAAGTACATATTAATTCATCACACCAAAATTAAGGAAATATATGTCTAAAACAAATTATGTGAGCAATATCTTTCGTAATCGTTGTCATATTACCAATTCCTGCTAAAAGTGGGAACAAATTCCCAATCATTATTTCTTGTTTCATATTATGTTTGTTCAGTTAACACTGAACTATAAAATTCGCCGAAAGCTTGCCGAATTGTACCGAGTATGTCCGGAAGCTAGTCGTGCATTCGAAGCTGCGATCACAGCAACTAGTTGACACGGTCAGCGTGCAGATTATTGCGCAATTGTTACTAAATATAGTAACGTTCGGACACGATGCAGTGTAGCAAACCAATCACAGGGCAAGCTTTGGCCACGTGAGCCACGGTGCGACACGGTGGCCTGTTTTTGATTGCGCAATAAGCATGATAAACAATAAAGTTCCACACTTCTCGACTTCGAACTCGGATATAGTTTATACATAACACATTAAATTGGTCTGTTTCAATTTAAAATATGACCAGTCTGACATTTTTGGCGGCTTAATGGAAAGCGCCCTATGATACAAATTTGCATTTACGCTGTAGTTTGTGAATAATTTGTGTATGCAAAATTCACGTTATGTTGAGTGTGAATGAAATATCGGTAAATACCTTATCTAAAATTTTGAAAATGGTTTTGTGGTTTTATAAAAGTACACGGATTGTTTCGTAGGGTCCATAGCCCCTTCGCCATTCGCCCCATCCCTCCCCCCGACCGGAAAATTTTTGTCCTATATGACCACTCCCCCCCCCCGACCGGAAAATTTTTAGTCCTATATGACACGGTCAGATTTTCGGCTGTATCCGCGGCTGGATGATACTGGTCTATGGTTACTTACAGCGTAGGTTTGCTATGGAATGCACATCGCTAATTTGGCCGTGTCTCAGTGACTTTGTGTTTGTTTACTTAGTGAACTGAACTGCTTTGGCAATATTCTCCAGCGTAGGATGTCTGAAAGCTCTGAAAGTCAAGCGAGGGGTTGGCTTATCGCCACGTGTGTTGTGATTCAAACCGTATTCGCCGTCTTTGCTGCTTTATACATCAATTATATTTGGGATAAAAAAAAAAGAAAAGAAGACAGAGAGATGGAAAGACTGGAATCCGATAAAAAGAATATCGCTGCAGTTCTCTCCCAATATTACGACGAGGTAGAAAAAATTCATCACGACCTAAAGAGCGAATTAGAAAAGTTGAAGAAAATAGTCTTTATCGATAAAGACGAAGGTGAAGATGAAATCACAGAATTCGATGTTCTCCTGTATATGTGTCATCCAGATAATAGGAAAAGATTTCAGCAAACCGCAGATGCAAGGAAGGCCGCCGGTGAGAGGGGTTTATCCTCGGTTTTATCAGACGTTGATAAAATAATAAAGTTTTTCAATGAACTCGGTCTTAAGTTGTCCACCAATCTTAATAAGAAATGTCCAGATGATTTGAACAAAAGGTTTGGTAAAGAAATTAGAGACATGGCTGAGTTTATCCATCCTTTTGTGACACGTGCTAATAGTACACTGAATGTTATTGATGTGGCAGAGTATTTTAAACAACCGGAAAGTGGACAGAAAAGTCAGGCTTCTTCCAATCCTGCAATTCAAAACAGACAATCCCGGGGTCAGAACGAGGTTTCTCTGCTACTTCAAGGGAATCAACCGGACCCAGACTCCCCTGGGCAAAACGGAACTGCTTCAGGAAATCAACCGGACTTTGATCGCATACGCGATGCGATTCCATATATTAAATCGTTGAGGTATGAAAATGGCAAAATACGATGCGACATTGAATGCGAGTTTTCCAATCTTAAAGCTCTGGGCAATTTTTATGAAGACTTGCAACCTACAATCACAGGGAGAGAAAATGAAATCCTGGAAAAAATCAAGGAACTTTTTGGTGAAAATCAGCCGATAAGTAATGATTTACGTCATGAAATAAGAAAGATTATGTTCAATCTATCCCAGTCGCCCAATCCTGAATTATTAAAGCCCGCATATCGTGAACTCGATGAATATGTTAAAGATATTCTAAATGCATCAGAAAATCTTAATCTGAAAGTAGAAGAAATGCGTAGTGAACGTGCATTGGGAGATATACAGAAGATGTGTAAAGACCACAAATGGCTACTGAGTGAGCCAGACACTCGTGAAAAGTTGGAAAAATTTTGCGAGGATCTGGACACGTTTATAAAAAAAAAAATGGCCCAATCCCGCTCTAACAATACTGAACCGAATGACGGTGAGCAAGCTGGAACATCTTCAAATTGATCGGACAATCTCATTATCTTTGAACGTTATTAATTATTACGTAGTTTAATTTAGCATGCATGATCCTATTTGATTCAACTTTTTTGATTTGCATGCATGTGAAGTGATTGAGTTAGTGACTATAGGTGTTATGTTATGTTAACAAACCTGGTACATGACTAGTGAATAATCGTGAGTATCATTGTGAAACAAGTGTATGGGAGCTAATATGTGTTAATATCTATAATGATTTTAGCTGTAATTTAATCTGAATCCAATCCATTTAGAATGCATTAAAATATTACGAAAAATCTCCATAGGATTGTGTGTGATTTCGCCCAATTGGAAACATCAAACATGTGAAATACTGTTGAACTAATCCTTAATATATTTTTATATATTAAGAAAAGCTGAAATAATATTTTTTCTATGTCGCGTAAAATGTGTTCAAAACTCAGCCTTCAGGTACATCATCATGCAACATTATTCAAATTTTCAACGCTAAAAACGCTTCGGCGGTTTTGCAAACCCCAAAGAGATTTCTTGTAACCCCAAAGGGATACGTCGACAAGAAAATGAAACTTGAATCAAAGCAACATAAAATCTAGTTAAGCTACCTCCTCGCTGAAGCTTTCGTTTCGTCTGCTGCAGCCATATTCCATACGTGTCACTTGATTTCGCATCCATCTTTGATAGCTGGTGTTGGCAGACGAGGCTCTTGGGAATGTCAGCGAGCGACTGGTGTCTGAAGTTGGTAGAAAGCCAGAAAAGGATTGAATTGTGATAGTGCATGCAATGAATCAGGGGCCACAGTTGTATAAAAGACTAGTTAACTTTTAACTGTAGTTAAAGACAGAATTGGTCAATCAGAGTCGTGTATTTCTGAGTTAACTAGGGTTTAACTATGTAAAATGAAGTTAACGAGTTTTATACAACCGGTCCCTGGTGTATGAATTAGCTAATATTGTGATTGTGCTATACTGAAATAGCAAGAAATTCACACTTGAAAAGCTACTTTTGTATTCGTTTCAGTGATAATGGCGTTGACATTTATAACATTGTTGATAGCCGCATTATATTTCGATAAAATTCTTGTCGTTTGCTGTTTTACAACCACCAAATACAGTTCAAAACTTAGTTCACAACATAATCTAAAGAATAAAGATAAAACTAATGGACTTTAAGTAGTACGCGGAAAAGATTAAAATCGGTTTTGTATATAGTCACGTATAAATTAGTTTTCATGACGTATTGAAGCGCTTTGCTGAACAAAAACACTTAAGCTCATAAGTCGTCGGTTTCTGTTAATTAATCTGTTTCACGTGGTCACAGTTTGTGACGTGTCACGATTTTGCCACATATCGATTTTTTTCGGGCGTGCTCTTGAGTAAGCGTCTAAGCAAGTGAAAGCCTGCCTGAAACTCTAAAAGGTATGTTATGACTAAAATAGGTTATTTTATGATTGAACGTGCAGATTGTTTACAATAAGTATATTCAGTTATGCCAATGCAAACTGAAACCTATGACTATAATGTTTGTCTGTTATAAAAAGGCAAGCTGTATGAAATAATTTCCGGTAAATCCGCCACAAAATTTGCAGAAAGAAAAGTATGGTTAATCATCATAGATTGAAATATTCGATCTTGTCGCACCAGAGACAGTAGGGAGCTTTAGCAGTAGGGAGCTTTAGCAGTAGGGAGCTTTAGCAGTAGGGAGCTTTGGTAGTGACTACGAGTACGAGATTCGTCATTCTCGCGCGTTGTTTGTTTACGCCATCAGCCAAAACTCGTTGTCGTTAAAGTTTTGAGTACGAAATTCATCAAAAAACTCGTACTCAAAACTTTAACGACAACGAGTTTTGGCTGATGACGTAAGCAAACAACGCGCGAGAATGACGAATCTCGTACTCGTAGTCACTACCAAAGCTCCTACTACGAGTACGACTACGACACAAGATTCGTCATTCTCAAGTGTTGTTTGCTTACGCCATCACTACGAGTTTTGGCTGATGGCGTATGCAAACAACGCTCAAGCACGTTTATTAGCGAGTTTAAGATTCATCAAATCTACGACGCGGACGTGAAGTAATACCGTTCTAAATTCCACATTTTTCCATCATTACTGGTTTTCTCACATTAATTTTCGCTCCAATGCAAAAAATAAGGGTGTTTACACTGTGCCGATTGCAACGTTTCGCTTTGTTGCCAGCTCATCACTCTTTGATGTTGCCATAGAAACAAAGCCAGTTTCTTGCCAAATACTGTCTGAGTCATTCTCGTAAGCCACGACTTCGCTTGCTAAAAATATAAACGCAAGAATTGCAACACAAGACTAGTTAACTTTTAACTGTAGTTAAAGACAGAGTTGGTCAATCAGAGTCGTGTATTTCTGAGTTAACTAGGATTTAACTATGTAAAATGAAGTTAACGAGTCAGTTATACAACCGGTCCCTGGTGTATGAATTAGCTAATATTGTGATTGTGCTATACTGAAATAGCAAGAAATTCACACTTGAAAAGCTACTTTTGTATTCATTTCAGTTATATTGCCGTTGACATTTATAACATTGTTGATAGCCGCATTATATTTCGATAAAATTCTTGTCGTTTGCTGTTTTACAACCACCAAATACAGTTCAAAACTTAGTTCACAACATAATCTAAAGAATAAAGATAAAATCAATGGACTCCATGTAGTACGCGGAAAAGATTAAAATCGGTTTTGTATAGTCATGTATAAATTAGTTTTCATGACGTACTGAAGCGCTTTGCTGAACAAAAACACTTAGGCCCGTTTCATACGCCGTACTTCACATGTGCCGAATTAAATTCAGGAATTAGGCACGGCAAAAGTTCGACGTCTGAATCAACCAAATTAATTTAGTGCGGCAAAATAAATAAATTCGACACGTTTAGTCGCATGCGACTTTGGTGCGGCAGCTGATTTAGACGGCGTATCTCACATGTGCCGAACTTAAAGCATAAATTATAAATAATTAAAAATAATAATTTTTCCCATAATACACTTGTTTTTGCACTAAACATGGCGAGCAAAGCGTGCTCTTCGTGCTCTCTTGATACAAAGTATGCTTGTATCGAGTGTAAAAAGCCAATATGCAACCTTTGTGGAACTCCAGAGATAGACGAAAATACGAATGGTTGGATCATGGGAAAACAAGTGGCTTATTGCTATTCATGCGAACGGAAAACAAACCTTTCAAAACGAAAGTTGATTATTGATGGGGCTGTACCTCGTGATAAAACTGATAATTTGGAAACGCAGACTCTTGTCACAGATAATCGCACCAAAAGTGTGAAAGATTCATTTCTTACCAGGTATAAGATCGGTTCTATCATCTTTTTCAAGATTTTTTGCCAGGTTTTTATGCACTATAAAATTATATGAGTGTCGATCTTGTCATAAATTTTATAGTATATGACAACACCCAAGTATAGATTAATATTTATGAAATTTGTAACAACTAGATGTTAATTATGAACACATTCAGGTCACCTAACCCTTTAGCCCTTGATTTAGTGATCTTAATGATGATCTCGAATCATCAGCAAGTGAAGATGATCCCATCATACCACAGGAGGAGTGCAAAAAGAAGAAAAGAGGTAGAAAGGCTAAATGGAGCCAATCAATACTTGATGATCTGGTAGACATAATCATTTCAAGTGAGCAGTATAAAAAGAAATTGATTTTTACCAATCAAAAAAACCAAAGAAATGGTGATATTTATGAAAAAGTGCTTGCAGAGCTAAAGAAACGTGTTGAATCAAGGGGAGAAGAAGTGCCATTTAATAGTAACCAAGTTCGAACAAAATTCAAAAAATGTATTTCAGAATGTAAAAAGTGTAGCCCTAACAATCAAAACTGCTACTGGAATCGACAGATTTATTGAGCAAAAGGACTATGGAAAATGGTTTAATGACTTGTTTGCAATAGTCAAAACTCGTGATGCTTGTAGGCCAGAACTTGCATTGCAACCGTCTGGTTCAGAAGAAAGCTTAACAATCCTGGAAGAAGATGAACCTTCAACATCAAGTTCATCTGGGAAGAAGGAAAAGTTAGTAATTAATAAACGCAGTAGAAAAAGAAGTAAACAGGACATGGTTAATGAAACTTTGAATCTTATTAAGAGTGCAATTGAAAAAGATCCAACAAAGGAGGTGTTGTCCTTTTTAAAGGAAGAGTCTGAAAAAACTCGAGAATATGAGTTAAAAATGATGCAAATGCTCAATCAAAGCTCAGCTTCAGCTTCTCAACCACCTCAGCAGTACAACATACAATATCCTGATAGAAACTGCTCAGTTTGGCAATACAATGGCCAATCAACACCATCAGCTAATCAAGAAAATGAATGGACACAGGGTTTCTTTCATGCACCACCATTCAGTTGAATGCATATGTGTACAGTTTACTAGTATATGTGCTACAGGTAACTTGTTGTAGTTTGTGTTTGAAGGGTTAAGCATGCAAGTGTACATTTTAAACATGTCACTAGTAGCATGCAATATTGTTTGATATTAACTTTAGAATGAGATCAGTATACATCTAACAATAACATTTATTTGATAGCCAGTAGAGTATCAAAGTATTGTTCTTATAATTTTGGCCTTATAAACAATAAATAGGTAACTTTGTGACAATATATATTTTGAGATTATTTTTACATTATTGTTGTTCTGTTATATAAAACTTGATTGTAAATAAACGAAATGGTCAAGTCAATTCAAACAGTTTCATCAGTTTAAAACTTCTCTCCACAGTTTGTCTGCAAGAGCATTTCTTACTTTATTTGCTTGTGCGTTGGAATTTCTTTGGTTTTTTCTACACTTGCTCATGTGTAATTCATCTCTAATATCTTCACTTGATTTTCTGGCATTGGTAATTGGGTCAATGGTAAGGTCCAATGCAGAAGAAATTGCATCCCCCCTTGCAATACAAATATTATGCAACACCATGCATGATAGTGTATTTATGGTAACTTCTTCTGGAGTGCTTTCATTCTTTCTCATCAAGATTCTCCACCT